TTCCGCGTGCCGTTTTAACACAGCTACATCGTGCTGCGCAACACAGCTACATCCTTGCTGCCGGTGTTGACACGCTGAGTCACGGCGGGTCCATCCAATCCACGCGAGAATGGTATGAGAGGATAGGATGGGTCGGTCTGTAAGCGCAAGCCGACGACCATTCCCTCCCTCCCCTCTGGTCTGGCTGGTGACGAAGGACCCGAATGAGTAACTGAAGATGCGCCCACTGCTGCTGCTGCTGCAGCAGCCGGATACCCCTCTCCGCGGCTAGAGGCCAGGTCACGCGAACTTGGACAGTGGCGGCAGACGGTCTACTCACTGACCCAGAGTAAGAGTAACTACCCTGTGAAGAAGTACGAAGGTGTTCGGCAAGGAGAGGTTGATTGGGGAGGAAAGGTCTACTCGCAGGAGCACACGATGGAGAGACGATTCCAGACACGGCCATCGACGAGGAGGGAGGAGGGGAAGTTTGCCCCGACTAAACCCGAGATATACCTAGGTACCTACGTGATGAAAAGAGATGCGGTGCATCGCCTGGTCGGTCGAGCCTCCCCGTTGATGCGTCTCTGGGAAGTACCTCGTACTCTACGGTAGAATACAAGGGAAGGAAGCTGAGAGGATACTTGTAGTACTCCGTATTTATGTACTAGTTTCCCTCTACCCAGAGTTATTTGATATGTATTATATGTATGTAATAGAGGAGAAATACCAGCAAGGGCTTCCCCTGACCTGAATCAAGAGGGGAAAGTACCTCCTCCCTTCTTCCTTCTGTGCGTCGATCAAGATGGAGCGGGTTGGCTCGTTTGATTGTTGTCCTCGGCATTGAGAGGCTCTATCTTCGCATTCGCGGTCTGCTTCGTACTCCGAAACTCCCCGGACCGGCACTGTTGGTGTGCTGACTTACACGGTGTATCACAGATTGTGAATAGGGAACAGTTAGATAAGAAACAGTACATAGCGAGTAATTAGGTAGAAAACAGTTGATATTTAGTACGCAGCGAGTAATTAGTGAATAGTGATATGATGGTGCCGGCGCGAGGCACATCCAACCACGCACCGTCGTCACCCAGTATTGACATCTCGGCAGTGAAATAACCATGTCGAGGCGAATGACTTGCAGAGAGGTGCTCGTGCAGGGGCGCTCGACGTGGACGAGGATTTCGACGTCCAAATCAGATGTAGTGCAATGGACGCTATGGAGATCGCTCGCGTCGGACATTGAATTGGAGCCCACGGTCTTTCTAACAGCGGCAAGGACTTTTGGGTATCCCTCGAAACGGGTACATGCCGATCCCATACTGGGGAGAGTCGTCCCGATATACAGTGACTTGGGCAGGCCTTGGCTCCATAAGCAGCGACAGCCTCCACCTGCCATTATTGCGATGTAGTCCCGCCTTGCTTGTGGAGTGGACCGTCCCTCATGCTGGAAGATCAAACAGTGTTGATCGAAACTTGTCATTCGGCCCGGCGCCGGTTACGCACTCTCTCAGTACCATTCCATCAGCTCTGCCGTTCACTCAACATCATGTTCTGCCATGACCTCGTCTTGTTGCGCAAATAACGGTGGCATGTAGATAGGCAGCATCATTCTCGTGGAGGTTGTATCGACGGTCAGAGGATCGGCGACGCGAGAGTTGTAAGATTGCTCGATGTGGATGGACTATCCACTTTGTCGTTCATTCCGAGGTCATTGCGAAGTCAAGCCCAACAGAGCACTATCCAGCTCGCACAACCCTGATTGACTCTCGTCAAAGGAATCGTTCGCAGCACTTGGTGGGGTTTCGCTTGTGACAGGCGTGCTGCGCCATGCAGTGCGGCTGGAGCGTAGCTGAGCGAGATAGTATAGTCCCTCGCGATTCGGTTTCAGGGGTTGAATTCTTCAGGTGCCACTTTCGTTGATCTTCTGTCCTTCAACCGCTGTGTCGTCAAGCACCACAATCCCATAGGGATCTCTATCCCTCTCACTAACCACAACTTCGACACTCTCATCCTTCAACATCTGCTGTAATTCCTCACTCGAGCCCCTCTTTCCACTCTCTTCACCCCTCACCTTTGCCCACTCGCTTTCGACCTCTCTCTCTAATTTGTCTCTCATGACACCCCACAAATACCCCCGTTCTGAATTCGAATGGAAGAGAGTGATGACGCATCCACCCCGCTCGACCACAGCAAGCGCCTCATGATGACTCAACTCCCCCGTGAAGATCAGATCGGCCTGTGTGCCTCTGACCACACCGCCTCCGCTACCTGGACACGTCGCAACACTGGAGATGTTGATCTCGCCCAGATTCCGGCCTTGCGGGATCGCCACGGCGAATCCCTTGGGCAGTCCGATCGCATGCGCTATCCTCGTGATCAAGAGTGTCAAAGGCTGAGGTGTGGAGAACTCAATCAACCGTCCAGCACCCGTGTTCGAGGTATTGTAGTTCTCAGAGCCAGTGAATTGATTCGCTGCATCAATCGCGGCCCGCGGAGACGGCGTAATTACGCTTCTCGTGTGCGAAATCACGTTGGCGTGAAACTCGTCCGTCGGAAGTGGCAAACTCGGCTTCGAATACGTCCTATGCACATGATTCGGCCTCTCCAGCCTCATCTTCGCCTTTGGTGTGGTGAAAGGATCGGTCATGGCATCATTGTCATGTTCCGCAGCCGAAGGGGAGGTCGGTCTCGTCGACGCCTTGGAGGGTGCCTCGGACCCGCTTTCCGATGTGGTGACTTCTGTTTCGGAAGGGAGAGACGCTGCGGCGTAGGCTTCGGGTTCGGGGTCCTCGAGCTTGCCGGTTACAATGTCGCAGAGCCAGTCGGCCATGCCGTCGGGGACGGTGTCGACCGCGGTGTGTGGGCAATACACGCTGATTCCGTGCGCAAGCAGCAGAGTCATGGATAATTGTTGCGTATCGCCTGATGTGATGTATTTGAGGGGGCGGAAGATTATGGGATGGTACGCAACCACGACCGAGTGTTTGTTCTCGATGGCTTCCTCTGCCACTGCTCGAGTGAGGTCGACGGTTAGCAGGACAGAGTTGCGATTGCGCGGTCGCGAGGGAATAAAGGGGGCTTCTAAAAGCAAGCCGGTATTGTCGAAGGATTTGTCCGCCAACGCTTCTGGGTAGAGGCGGCGCATCGAGGACACCACCGCCGTGGTGAACGGAGAAACATGGTAGCTGCTCATTTTGCGACGGATGGGAAGCTGAGGTGCGCTGAGCTTAGGGACAAATAGAGCGCGTGGCAGCAGGGATCGAAGCATTCGGATTCGGATTCAATCTGGAGATGCTCATTGTAGGTATTCGGAGCGTGGACGCGTTGAACTCGGGTGCCGCTTGTTGATGTCTGTTGTCGTTGGAGTTGGAGAGCACCGCTGCCCAAGGCTGAAGTAAAGTTGACGCACTGGCCACACCAGCTGCAAACACACACCCAGTGACGCAATATGCAAGTGGCCGAAGAGCCGCCAGCACTGATTTCCAATTCACAACCATATCGCGACTTGATTTCCAGACGAATCTTCCGCCCACCGTCATACCACTGCTTCTACCACCGAGAACCCACATACGCACTCACAGCCTCATGCACGTCCGCACCGTCCTGGCACTCCAAGCCACGCGCCAAATAATCCCGAAATCGACCACCGCAGTCCGCTCATCACAGAGCCTTGCCCAAAGCCTCAAACCAGCAGTCTTGTACCGTCCAACGACCCCGCGACAACAACGCAGACACGTACGTCCTCTCTCCGCCGTCGCCCGCCGAGCCGCCCCTTCTCCCATCGAAATCCCCATGGCCGCGAACACCGACACTCAAGCGGCGCAGGTCTCGTCCTCATTCTCCCAACCCATCGACGCAGAGTACCTGACCAAGAAGCTCCAATCTTCGCTGGACATCACCCACATTTCCATAGAAGACATGTCCGGCGGCTGCGGCCAGGCCTTCAACGCCATCATTGTGTCTCCGGAGTTCGAGAAGAAGACGTTGCTCGCGCGGAGCAGACTTGTGAATGGCCTGTTGAAGGAGGAGATTGCCGCGATTCACGCGTGGACGCCACGGTGTCTGACGCCGGAGCAGTGGGAGAAGGAGAAGGAGCGCATAGGGTAGGAGAGGATCTATATGGGAAAGACCAGTTTGGTTTAGGTTTGATAGGAGGGTGGATAGACAGTGAGGGCGAATTGTTCAGCTTCGACGTTCCCAGGGACAGCCCGCTGTTGAAAAGTATTCTTCTGTGGACACTGCCACTGGAGATGTGCCCCTTGTATAAGGTTGATGTCACGCATATCACCAACGGCGGGCCATTCTTCTTGGGCAAAGCAGAAATGAGACGAGTCATTGTACTCTGTCACCGTGGAAACTGCTGTACACCAAATAATCACTTGACTATAGTCGAATGCAGGGCATACATCGTGCTAAATTCTTCTGGGATCAGCTTCTCTGCTGCTCCTCGGAAGAGCACGCCATAAATGTCGCCATATCTCAATTTGGACCAGTCCCTTTCTCGCCGGTATATAGACCCACAGTGAGCAATTCGGCCGTCCTTCTCGGCAAAAGCGATGTTCGCTCTTGAAAAAGGTATCGTAACGTGACACAAGCCCCCGCCAACCACTTTGTCCAGCCCTATGTCTTCGTCAAGTCGTTAGGTGGGGTTCTGTATGCCCCGTCAAACTACTGGTGTGACCTCTGCCATCCACTCCCCACGCTCAACGTCCCTTGAGCATAGCGTCTCATCCAAGCCGTATCTGAGACAAGCACAAGCGTTCTCACGCTTCTCCTGTACCGCCAGGGAGACCGGGCAGCGGCGTAATCCAAAAGGCACCAGATCGGAGTGCCGCATGGGGCGGCATGGCGGCTATGCGATCCCAAAGCACGCTCGATAGCGCCTCTTCTGTCTGCTGTTGATTGGAAGCATGGAGACCAGCGCGGATCCTGGTGTCAGTGAATCCTAAAAGATTCACCGTGCACTGTACATAGCTGACCAATTTATCTGCATTATCGCCGTCTTATAGCGCTCGGCTTGGTTATTGCCGCATTGGCGCCGCCATCGGCTGTTGCTGTGGTGGATATATTCTCTGGCGTTTGGTCGCACTTCCCATATCCGCTGCTCCAGACATTTCGGACTGACCTCGTCGATGTGTCGGTTGTTGCTGTTGCGCCATCATGCTTGGTCCCCGCATTCCCACGGGCGTCTGTGGCCCGGCTTGATATGCGTTCCCATTTGCATCCACATACTGTTGCTGTGAGGATATGCCAGGATAGTGCATGTTTGGGTTCACGGGTGAAACGCCGGAATATTGACTGGGTGAATTCCACGTCCCACTCGAGCCAGCCGGGGAAGCGCCTGCTGACATGTCGTCCCGGACGGAGTGCGCTGTCGACGAAGCAGCTCCGGATGGTGCAGTCGTTGCCGACAAGGGCTGCTGTTCCATACCCTGTGGCAGCTTCTTCAGATGCATCAGGTGCTTCTCCAACATATCAAGCAATGATTTCCGCGTAAATGGCTTAGGCAAAACATCGTCCATACCGTGATGGAAATACATCTGAATGTCGTCGGACCGGATATTCGAGGTCATCGCAACGATCGGCGTGCGGTCACACTGGCGGATGATGTGGCAGGCCGACACGCCGTCCAGGTTGGGCATGATAATGTCCATCAAGATCATGTCGTATTTGTTGCCTTCCTGTATCTTGCTGACAGCTTCCAGCCCGTCAAGCGCCGAATCTACCACGCAGGCGAATGAGTACAGGAATTTGCCGCCAATCTGTCGACAAGTCGGGTCGTCCTCGACCAGAAGTATTCGAGGCGGCCGACTCCAGCCCGGGTCTGACAAACCGCTTTTCTTCCGAGTGTCGGCAAACTGTGTCCGAGGATCGGCTCCATCTCGTGATGGCATTGGGTACGGAATGTTGTGGATGTACTCGCTGGACATGGGATCAATACCATTTGTTGTTCCCATCGGATACACCACCGTCTCGAGTTCAGCGGGGTTCATCTTCGCATAGGTCATTGTGCCACTCGATGCGGCAGAATTGGGCCCACGGAATAGTCCACCTCGAGGATCCTGTCCTACCGGCGGAGTTGCGATGCTTGTGTTCATCTGTTCGAGGGCTGTGATGTTGAATTGGCCGTCAGCATTGATATCGCCCAACAACTTTTGAGCATGCTGTAGAGGCGACGCCGGGACATCATCATCTTGTGGGGGCATCGTCTGGCTTGTCGGCGTCAGCGTCGTGTTCGTCTGTGCGGCCTCGCCTGGTGGGGCGAACAGTGCTTTGCTATCCCTTCGCTGCTTCGCATCGACGGAGTTCAAGTATGTCATGACATCTTGCATGGCTCGGTCATGATTGAGCACTGTCTTTTGTAGTCGGAGGATTTCCTGTACCATCATCTGATGGTTCATCTGCAGCTGGTTGGTGGTCGCGACCAAGGACTCTATTTGTTGGGCTTGGGCCACGATCTGTTGGTTCATGAGATCAATCTGTTGAATCGGGATCTGTTCATCGTTTAGACTTGACGGCTTACGAGGCGCTGGTGCTTTGCGTCGGATGTTATCGAGACTGTCCTTGCTGTGCTGCCGAAACTCCGGGTGCTTGAACTCCCAGGCGTTTGCGCCATACATAGATGTTCCCCCCTCCTCATTATTTTGTCGCACCTTGTGGAAGTCATATTTGTTCAGCTGCCGCACGAAACTAGCGAAATTCGAGTGCTTGAAGTGTTTCGGCAGTATTGACTTGGTGAACTTTTCGTTCTCGAGGACCACGAAGCTATCGCCATCATCCCCCCAGCGCACTACCGAGGAGTATGATGGATCTTCGAGCATTCTGTGCAGACGTGTCAGTACTGGATAGACAGATGAGCCGCACGTGGGAGAAGTACTTGTACAGCTTGCGCACAAAGTCGCTTGAATTGTTCGCTGCGCCGCCCCCGTCCATCTTGAGTGGATCTATCTACGTGTAATTCAGTCCGATCTGTGCTTCCCTGCCCGGCTAGGGTTGAAAAGGGCGAAAAGGGTCTTCGCAGTCGGTGATGCAAGTCGCTGCGCAAGGCCGAATCAACACAGCATCGCTACGGATGAGCGATAGTGGTATAAGATTCGTGGGATAGTATAATCACAATAGCCGGTCGAGGTATGCGTGGGCTGTCATCAGACAATTGCGATTGGAATGGAATGCGTTGGTGGTAGATGCTTCCAGTGGCACAGACAGCTCGGGTGCTCGAATCCGGTCGTTGCCAAAATGCAGGTTAGGTTCCGGCGCCGCAGGAATGGAGGATCTCCGAGGTAAAGAGCCAGTCAACCGGATATGAAGCAATCGATGAATCAGGTCGGAAGTCGAGTGGTCAGCCTACACAGCGAGAGTGGTTACAGTGCAGAGCAGGTGTCAAGCGACGATGAGACGTCGATAAGTGAACGATGCTGAAGATGGAAGTGGTGGTGGATGGATTGGTACAGTACGAGCCCTGGAGACGAGAGTTGGCAGGCAAGTGGGATCCTTACTGCCAGGGCTTGCGCCTTCGTCGGTTGGAGCTTGGAGGGCAGAACAATAATAACGCCAGATTTCTGGGAACGACCAGTTTTGCTTTGCCTCTATCGGTGTCTGGCGAGTGCCACAACGCCATTCGCTCTCTGACGGACGCTGAACCAGTGAGCGTCATCGAAAGGACCACTCGAGTGGATGTCCCAGGAGCACACTTGATTCAGGCGGGCATGGGGCTTCTGCGGCTAAACGACAGCGCGAGGACGAGGGGAAATTCGGTTAACCGGGGGCGGTGGGTTGGATGGCCATTAGCACTTGCGGCGCGCTAAGACCCGCGAACCTCAATGACAGCCAGCACTGATAGGACGCTCCTGCATCAGAAACTCAAGGACAAGAAACGATCGGATCGGGGAGAGCAGGTAACGGGCCTTATTTTCAGCCAACCTCAATGCACCCTACGAGGAGCAAAGTCTCCAAGTCGTGCTCGCGGCGTGACTAGATTCGCTAAAGAGCCCCAAGTGCGACCAGGATGACGGATGAGGCGCTCGCTCAGTCGCCAATGTGGACTTCTCAGCCTTCCCCAAATTGAAGGATAGAACGATCGACTGCCCAAGAGACCACTAATTCGGCCGATGGGAGCACAACGGTTTGTGCCATTGTACTCGTGCGTGACCGCACATTAATGCTGACGAAAGCTTCCTTCGCGGCGATCTTTCCATCGTCACGACACGGAGCAACTTCCGGGACGGGCACAGCACCCCTGCACCTGCCAAACGAACGGTAGCCAAGAGATTCAATGTTTCGGTTGATCGTGGGTCAAGTACGGGGTCCGCAGGACTCAAATCAGACATAGAGCACGTCGTGCAGGGCTTTGCACTCTGTCAGGCTACTCGTTCCCAGAACCATGTACTGTGCACAACGAAAATGGTGGCAGAGGCTGCGGCGCCAATATCACTAGAGTTCTTCTCGCCCGGGGGGCAAGCGCTGTGACAGGTAAAGGGGGTGCTGTGTATTGACAATGCTATGCCATTCTGCGCGAGGTGCCCACCGCCTTGTATTTTCGACCATTTTGGAGAAGATTGAGTGATCGCAAGATCTTCATTCACGTTTCGCCGACGAGGATCCGATTGTGGTGGGAAGCGCTTGGATGCGGTCACTTTACCGTGATACGTACGAGCTACTGGGTGCTGACGGCGATCATGTGTCGATCAAAGCAGGTGCGTCAGACTCGGCGCCGATGGCCGAAGTCAAGAGTCGCTGCCGCGTACGAGTACGGCTTTGACGATGACGGTGAGTACGTATTCAGGAGTGCCCGATTCTTGCGATGTGATGATGAGTTCAAAGCTCTCAATTTGTACCTCTTCTGCATGCATCATATTAGCGTAAGATCGGGGTCAATTCTTGTCGATGGCGTAAAATCGCCGCACGGAGGTCTACAGGGTAATCACAATCATTGAACTCGCAACATTCCTTTGCCGTAATGGCATCTCGCATTCGATGACCATCCCGGTGAAAAAAAATGTCATCAGCAACGAGGCCTGTTGCTGAGATCGAGGCTCCCATGGTCTGCGGGTTCGCTTCGCTACCGAGATCGCGGATCGCCTCGAAGCAGAATGGCAGGGTCTAACAAAACAGTATGCCCAAGCGATACTGCACCAGCGGCTTGTGGCGTGACCCCCTTTCAGCGACTTGAAACCCCGGGGAAGCAGCCGTGAGGATGACTCCTGCCTGAGATGTGTTTCTGGCTTCAGTCAAGCCATTCAATTCCTGCATCACACCGTGTATCAAGATCCTTGCTGAAGCTTAGAAGGAGCCGATGTGGCTTTTCCAAGAAGTGATCACTCATAGCAGCTTGCCATGGCGATGAACCACCAGAGGGCATGACCCTTAAACCGTTACCATCATTACTGCACAGCATCGCATGTTCCCTGCTTGAGTATCATTGTGCAATGGGGCGAGTCTAGACCCTGCGGAGTACGGACTGGGCCCGAGACTTTCTCGCTCTGGAACGGCTCCTGCAGACGGGCATGCAAGTCGAACAAACTCAAGCTTGGGCGAGGTTTAGTTTGGGCAAGGCGTCGCAAGAGTACGAGTACCCAGTGAGCCAATTTGGTCATCCCAGAAAAGATTAGTATCGATCTGCAGCCAGGGAAACAAAAGGGGCTCTTCGGCTCAAGTAGAGGCTCTCAGCCGCAACGCGAATCTTTGCGAGCAAATGCAGGGTCGAGAGCCAAGCGAGCGCTTTGATCGATGCCCGGGTTCTTTGCAGAAATAGCCTTGCTTTATGTGATGCGATCCCTCTTGGTGGACTCCATCACGCCAAGTCGCTTCCAACTTTGCTCAGTCGTTCATGGTACTCGAATGAGGGTACTCAGTCCTCCTGGTCTGTCTGCTTGTGAGCCCTTCGCTCTATCGTCGGTGTCCGTCAAATATGCGATTGGAGGGAGCCGCGGCCCATTATCCGCTCGAGCTTACCTGTACATCTTATTGGCTTATTCTCCAAAGGCAAGGTCGGGCAGACAATTCCAAATACATGTGCATGCTGTTAGTCGCACATCTGAATGGGTAGGCACGTGGGGAATGAGGAGACTGTGAAGCCCAGCATTTCACGCTGAAGAGACCAACAGAAAGTTTCCGTGTCGTCGAAGCATTATTTGCTAAGTACCCGACTTAGAAGGTGAACAGACGTGCCTTTTATCCCATACACTTCCAGGCGACAGCACAGAACTTTCATGCTCTGTAGTTCGGGGCCGACAAGGAACCCAGTATTAGTCGTTTTAATAGTGGGTCTCGCAATTCTTAGAGGCCTCATGCAGAAGCTTGGAGAAGCTCCTGTGAGCTGCCCCGCATCAGATTGTCCTCGTTCGCTCCTGCACTGTTTCTGCGGGACGTATGGTACCAATTGACAATAGAAGGCGAACAGCGTACCTACGAGTTACTGAACTTTGGCGGAGTGCACCTGCAATTCTACATTCCAAATATTTCTCCCACTTGGAAAGTGCCCCTCGGTCACATAAATGTTCTCGCGATCCATCCTACGTTCTTCTACCTCACTCCGGACTGCTTCCTCCAAACCATTCACCAGATCTTTCTCCTCGACACCTGCAATCATGGTATCTCAATCCCCGCTGCGTTCTGCTCCTCAGCACTGATTCCTCTGCAGGTCAAAGAAGGCGACTCCATCCCCAACATCGACCTCTATGAGGATTCACCCGGCAACAAGGTCAACCTGTCCCAAGAGCTCGCTTCCGGCAAAGGGGTTGTCATTGGCGTTCCTGCTGCGTTCTCTCCCTCCTGCTCAGACACCCATGTCCCTGGCTATATTGCTAGTGACAAGTTGAAGGATGCTGGAAAGGTCTTTGTGGTCTCTGTCAACGATGCCTTCGTGTAAGCAAGGAACATCTGCGTATACGGATCTACTCTGTCTGACTTTCCTTCACAGGATGAAAGCATGGGCAAAGAGCTTGGATGAGTCGAAAAAGAGCGGCATTCGATTCCTCGCAGACCCGGCTGGGGAGTTCACCCGCGCCTGGGATGTCGAGTTCGATGCTGCTAAGATCCTGGGAAACAACCGAAGCAAGCGTTATGCTGTACTCACCGATAATGGCAAGGTTGTCAAAGTTGCAGTTGAGCCAGACAACACTGGTGTCACTAGTGAGTTGACTTGGTTTAGGCTCAGCCTCAATGCCATACTGACTGAGAATAGTTTCTGCTGCCGAGAAGGTCCTGTAGCGGGCGGAGATTCGACCGCAAAGCTCTGTCCAGACTCAAATGCTAGGGCAATGACAAAACAAATCGCAAAAGTTGATCACCGCATGTAACAACGAAGCAGCTCAGACCAAGAAAGCAAAAAGATAGTCGAACAATGCAATCTGAGCAGCATTAACCACAACCTCGTGCTGTCCACACCTTCTAGCGGGGAGACGGTTAGAGGTGGCATTTCTATTTCCTTGGCTAACTCAGCAGAGCGCGTACCTCTGCGCCAGTTCTAGGGTACAGCTCTCTCAATGACCCAAACGGCCCGTGGGCATCCGCCTCGTCTATCTCATCCTCGCCACGCTTATCTTGTTCAGTCTCTGTAGTCTCCATATCGACAGTCTCCAACAAACCCTCTAACTCATCGAACTCGGTACAAAACCTTTCCACAGCCTCAGCCACGACATCGGTAGCCAATGTACGATCAAGGAGAGGTTTAAGGGCTTCCTGCACATCCATGAGTGCGGAAGAGAGGAATTCGTCCAAGCGTTGTGCTGATTCATCAAGGTTCTCAACTAGCCACTTCCTTCTCTGCGAGGACGGTTGGGTCCTTCGTCCGTCAATCTCTTGGGTGAGGTCCGCGACGCCGGAGTAATCGAGGAAAGTTGTGCTGACGAGTTCGACCAACTGATCTCTCAAGATTTGAATCTCACGAGCGGACTTCTGGAGCGGTACCCGCGCCGCAGATGCGTGTGCTGACACATTGGCCAATGTCGCTTTCAAGGCGGTCATGTAATTGATCTTGTAGATGCAGCTTCTGCGCATGTCCGAAATCTGAGTGGCGCCTTCGGCACAGGCGGAGATGATGCCACCCAACACTGCTGTGTAGAGGCGCTCGAGTTCGGCTTCCGTCATCTGTGGTCCTCTCGCACGACAAATCTCGCTGAATTGCGATAATGCGGTAGCTAGGAACACCGGAGGCGTCAAAACCGGCGATGGTTCGGCATCCATCGATGCCACGGCGGCGGAGGTCTCTTCCTGCATGGCCTTCTCGAACTGTGATAGCGTGGAAGACTGGAGTTGCTGAACCATCTTTGTCAGAGGACTGTCGTCGCCCAGCAACTTTGCGAATATCCCACGGTAGAAATCGAGCAGGTTGAACACCTTGAACATGAAGACGGGATCGCCACTCGTCCGCACCGTGATGTCAATCCTCGATTGCAGGGTTTGACACACGAGTGAGAGATTCTTCGATATCAGCTCTGAGAGGGCTTTCCTGCCGTCGAACACTTCGTGCTCTTCTCCCTCTTCTTCTTCTTCTTCAGAAACACCACTGCCCCGTCGGCCACTGCTAATCCTGGCCCACGGCTCACTCGCTCGCCCTTCACTCAACCCTCTAGCCAACTCCTCCTCATCACCGACAAACAGCCCCTCGAGCGCCTCCTTCTCCGACACACTCGCGCTATGCACCCAAGCGAGCATGTCGCCGACATATCGCAGAGGTTCGTGAGTCGAAAACTCAATCGCCTTACCCAGCCCAGCCCCACCAGCACCGCCCGTCAACGCATCCTGAAACCCGTCATTCAGTGTTTTCTGCCGCGACTCGGCAAAGAAATCCAGACAATTCTGGAACAGGGTCGGCCGTTCGGACAAGACGCGCAGACCCCGTCGGATACCACCCGAGATATGCGGGTCTTCAATGTCCAGCGTCCTAAACCTGCTTTGAACCCAAGCGTAGAGTTTTTTAAATGATGCGTCCAGTGTGCGAGTCGTCGACTCAAGCAGCTCCATTCCAAGCCGCGAGGAGCCTTCGTCGTCGATGCCTGGGGCCGTCGCCGTCGCCGTCGAAGAATACCCCAAAAGCAACGAGCAATCCCTATGCAGGGCCTTGACGCGCGCGAGTGCCGCAAAGAACCGCTCATCCACGCCGTCCGCCGCAGTCGGACCAGTCAGGACGGCCATCTCGTCGTCCGAGACGAGGAAATGGCTCCGAAACGCCCGGAGAAGCTGTTCCTTGGCCTCGGTGTCCTGCTTCCGCTTCAACAGCAACCCGGCCTCTTCTAACGTCGGCCCACTCTCCCTCTTGGCCGCGAGGACGTGCGTCCTCATGGCCGCGCACGTGGCGTTCAAACTGCCGATCATGTCGCCGACCCGGCGGAGCTGCGCGGCGACGTGGCCAAAGTCGCCCACGATGCGCGCGTCACAGTCTATCACCTCCTTCTGGGCATTGGCTTTGAGATGCCGTCGGGTGTCTTCGTCATTCTGCACGCCCCGGGCGTCGAGCAGGCGGAGCGTGTCGCGGATTTCATGGTCCGCGTACGACGACGAGAGCACCGAGGTGAGTTTCGTGGTTAGGAGCGCGGTGGTGGTGCGTTTCGAGGGGAGGCCATCGGGCTCGGTGGGCCCGGGGCTGTCGAGGAGGACGTTGGGTGCGGTCGTCGACGTCAATGTCGATGGGAAGCCATCGAGGCTCGTGAGGAACGGTGTTGTCATGGGAAGGAAAACGGCGTGGACGAGGATTCCCGGTACGAGTACTCGTACTCTGTAGAAACGGGGGGAGATTTGGCGAGGCTGCGCGTAGGGCTGCGGTAAGGCTGCGCAGACGGACGGAGATGGAGAAATTATTTACTCTAGGTGCTGTACGAGGTACGCACACACATGCAGGGGGCCCGAGGGAGCCTCAAAGTGGGGTGGGAGGATGGACAGGGTGCAGTAAATGGCCTTAGGGCTTAAGGGCCGCTGGGGGTTTGGCGGGGTTTGTTTACCGCCCACCTGCCCCGCAATGTTGAAAGCTCAGTTTTCCCCATGCGAACTATCGTGCTTGTCCGTCCAAGCCGCTCAGTTTCCCACCAAGAGACTGCTCGCAGCTTTGAGATACGCATGGTTGACGGCGAGGTATCTTGTCTCTCTCTCGATATATAAGGTTTCACCACCGGAAATTCTCGAACTCTGCAATCCTATGACCCTTCTAGATCTCGAACACTACAAAAGCTCATCCTCGCCTCACATCTGCGAGATCAGCCACTTGACACCTCCGATCAAGTTTGCCACAAACTGCTGGCCCTCCGGCACGGAAGGGAATATCCAGAAATAATGCGGCAAGCCCTTGTAGTGGTCATGCTTGGTGGGCACGCCGGCCTTCTTCAACGCCTTTTCCATCACGTACGCATCATCGCGCAGGGGATCCATCTCGCAGCTCACAAAGTACGTGGGTGGGAAGTTCTTGTGGTTGTCCGTCGCCAGGGCGGTGAACATGTCGCTGTCCTTGGGATCCGCGCCGGCGTGCTCGTAGAAGATTTCCATGGATTTCTTGTCGATGATGGGGACCCCTTCCTTGTTCTGCTCGTACGCCGTGTAGAAGGCTTTGTACTCTTCCGGGACGTTGTCGTAGTGCAGCGCGCAGGGCACGATGGCCGCGATGCCTCGGACGCCGTCGCGTTTCGACGGGTCCTTGACGATGCGGTTGGCGATCTGCAAGGCCAGCGCTCCGCCTGCTGAGCCGCCGATGGTGTAGAATTTGTTCGGGTCTCCGCCGTAGGAGCTTGCATTCTGGCGTGCCTAGAGGGGGACACAGATTGTGTTAGAACATCCAGCCAGAATATTGACTTCCTCTCTGGGGTTTGCCAGCTCACCCATTTGTACACCTTCAGGCAGTCCTCAAGCTGGGTGGGGAACTTGTGCTCGGGGGAAAGACGATAGTCGATGTTGACGACGATGGAAGGCACAGCTTCGGCGACGATTCTGCAGAGGAGGTCGTCCGAGTTGAGGTCGCCGGTCATGAACCCGCCTCCGTGTGTCCAGATGGCGACGGGGAGAGGGCCGGACTTGGCAGCTTCCTTTGGAGTGTACAGGCGGTACTTGATCCCGTCGACCTCACCGTCCTTGCTCTCGACGGCCTCGGATGGTGGAGGGAGTTGCGGGAGGAGCAGAGCCACCAGCTGGTCGTACTGCGCTCTGATCTCCTCTGGTGTCCCGGTCAACACCATCCGACCGCCCAGGTTCTTCTCCAGCTGTAGTGTGTGTGTCAGTGCAGGTGAGACAGCGACTGAGGATCGGGGTGGGGAAAACATACATCGAGCCATGACTGTGCGTACGCCATTGTGCAAGTGCTTGGGGAGCTGATGAGAGGGGGTTTTCGACAGATAGATGTTCAGGCGGGATGTGTCCCAGAGTCAATTCGATCTCACGGCTTGGGGTTGAGAGCCCGCCTAAAGGGCTCGAGGGGCATTGACTGTCCAATATATACATTCAGCTCCCGTTCGACCTCGGCTACAAGCGCCAATGCGGCCCATGGAGCAGAAAGTTGGGACTGCGCGGCCAGCATGCTCAATGGCTAGCCAAGGGCAAAAGTCTCGTTGCAGTGGAGCGAGCCAGACCTGACGGATGTTCGTCGAGTCGGTGGCCTGGAAACTTGGAGGTATCCAGACCCGTCCTGATGATGCCTGCCCAGCCCTACGTGCCCTTTGTCTGGTCAGGAGTGAGCCGGGTCGTGCGAACAAGTGAGGCTACCTACTGGGTAGGCCGGTATGACTATTGGTGCACACTCCACGGCTCCAGAAGTGGCTGCTCCACAACTGGCAAGCTATGTACTCCATTTGCGCTACGATACGGGGTGAGTAATCCCAGGATGACAAAGACGTATACACATCTGGAGAACCAGAACCCCCAGCTCCCTGTCGGTGCAGTCGTCTAGTCTAAGCCGCGTAATACCGATATATACACAGAACCTACATATCCACCGGCGAGGTCGACTATTTTGCATATATCCTGGCGACATCAGGCCTAACAGCTAGCCGGCATTCACACAGTCCAGCAGAGCATAGCACCTAAAAAAATTGGCTATAACCATGAACGGAGTGCCTCCGTTGTCAACTGCCGACACCGAAGTATGAGAAAGTCGGCCCACGCCTGATGAGGACGGGATTGCTTTCCCGCACAGTAGGCCTGAACATCGGATAGTCTGGCAGCCAGATGTCACCAATCTCACTGCCCTGGACCATGTTACCGCGAGATCCCTCCGAAGCCGAGGAACCAAGAAGCAGAAAGATGAGCTCTTACGCAGACCATAGGCAAGACCAGATCTAGCGTAGGAGGTTCTGCGCATGTTGTCAAGGGCCTCATGCAGAATCCATTCACGAGGCCTCGCCAAAATTCATATGTCCCGTCTCCTGCGCGTGCTTCATGGCCCCAGCCTCGCCAGTCAATGTCACCCCACAGTCATTGCACATGAGTTGAAAACCGGCCGTATCGGTGAAGTAGTGCTTTTCTTGCAGTTTCTGACACAAGGCGATGGCTTGCGGAAGCGCTTCATCCGACAATGGTTGCATAAATTGCTTGACGTCGAATTCTGGCGGTTGGCCCTGTACGCTCAGAGCGATCGTGTCGTAATGGATGCCGGAGTATACAATGAAACAGCGGGTTTGCGCCTGCTCGTTGTATCTGTCCACGCGTAAGCTCTGCACATCGATGCTGCATATCTCGATGTCGAAGTGCTGACTGAGTATATCGAGCTCAATCTGGCCGCCCCAAGCATCTTCGGTCTGGATCCAACGGCAGTAAGCGTCAGGCTCTTTGTTGTCGAGGACCGCCTTGGTGTATTTTTCCGGATTCGCTTGAATGTACTGCGCGATGATCGACCGGAGTTCAGTCACGGCATCGACGTCTGACAGGACGGCGCTCGCGACTGCTCTGAAGAGGCAAGAATTATCGTCGGGCATTATCCGCAAGACCATGGTGCCTTGCAAATCTGGACACCAGATCTCTGGAGGATCGTCCATTTCTGCGTTCTGCTTCCGTGATAGCGAGAGGGGGGCTCCCGACTGTTCCGGCCTTTTCGACGTTGCACGAGAAGGTGCTGCTACATGTGGAGCCGCTCTGCCATGGTCTGTCGAGGGACCAGCTGCCCGCATGGCGTTCTTTGCTGCATCGCCGGGTGTGGGTTGCATCCCAGTAGTTTGGCTGGAGGACTTGATTTCGTTGACAATGAGCTGCTCCCCGTTCAATTTGACATCAAGTTGCGAAAGCAGCTTGGAGGCCGGATGCTCGTCGAGTGAAAGTGTCTTCGGCGGATACCCATATTTGAGCTCAAAGGAGGATAGTGATGTTTCGGTCTCAATCGTTTTCCGCAATGTGTCTATTGTGGCAGAGTCGTCGAGGGTGACTGTGGAGGATTTGCCAGAAGGGCCCCGTATTCGCACCCTCATCTCGTCTTACGAGTGCGAGGAGGTTGCAGGCAATGAATCAAGACGGTTCCAGCTCCGAGCTTCTCAATAGAAGGCTATCTTGCAGACGGATGTAATCTTGCCACTTGGAAGGATGTGGTCATGAATGGAAGGGATGAAGTGGCAGCTGTCGAGGTGGCACCTGCTCTGAGTCCTTGGAACAGCGGGCTTCGGTTCGCGCAAACGATATATTGCAAACAGAGAACACTCGCTCTTATGTGTTACTAACCAGACATGTGCTTGACGGACTTTTGGAAGTGGTGAAGATCGTACGAATGTACTCGATTGCTTGTCTAATCAGCCCAGTCCGGCTTAACCCCAGATTTGCCGACTCGGCCCTCGACGCGACTCGACGACCAGGACGCGTCCTCCGAATTCATTAGGCTGGGAGACTGGGACAGGCTGTCCACAGCTACCACCGTCGATAATATAAAGTACTCAGTACTCCGTAGTCAGAAGGCTAATGTCGAGTTGAAGTGAGGTCGTCAGAAGCCGCAGCGACAGTCAAGCTCGCCAAGACATTTCCTTGTTCAGATCTTGAAGACGCGGCTTTCCGCAGGCTTTACTCTGTCCCCGCTGTCGCATGTCGCATCACCAATGAACGCGATACATAATTAAGCCGGACGTCAAGAAGGTCTTTCAATGTCATTGCCATCACCGTTTCCTCCCCTCCCCTCCTTGCGCATAGACCTGTCGCGGTAGTCACGAGAAATGGCCGACTTGGACAGTGCAGATGCTAAGGCATCGGAGCCCGTCCAGTCCATCGAAGTCGAGCCTACCACGAAGAACGAAGGCGCGGCCGACGCGAAAGAGGAGGCCGCTGCGGACGATAATGCCGACGAGGACGCCGAAGCCGACGAAGATGATGCGCCAGGAGAAGAAGGCGACGGCCGCCCTGTTTCTCGCGATCAATACAAAGCCCTCAAGAACATTACGGATATCTTGACAAACCATAAGATTCAGGTCAAGAATGAGTTTGTGGAACCCATTGCACAACCAGTAGTAGGCGAAGGCTGACGCGCATCACAGGGACTATTTTCCTTCGCAACTCTTCAAGCGCATACCGAATCGAAGGGTCCTGCCAGACTACCACGAAATCATCAAAGATCCCGTCGCCATTAGTACTCTTAAGCAGAAGATCCAGAGGAAGCAATACACAGGTATTCCTGAGTTCGTTCGAGACTTCGCATTGATCGTCCACAACGCTCAGGTCTACAACCGACCCAACTCTGGCCCAGTGCGCGACGTGTTCTTGCTGCAAGACGTCTTCAAGGAGGAGCTGAAGAAACTGGTAGATGAAGGCTTGATCAAGGAAGAGGAAACAGTCTTCCCAGACCTCGGAGAGATACCTGACGCGACCCCTGAGCCCACACCCGGCTCCGAGGATGAGGAGGATAATGATGACGAGGACGAGGAAGATGAGGATGACGACGGCGCCGATGACGACTCAGAAGATGGCAGGCGAAAGAGACGCAGAAGAGGCGGCCGGACCAGTATTTCTGGACGCAAAGGCCGCGATGACGATGACAAGGCCGGCGAGCCCAAGCGGCGAGGACGTCCTCCCAAGGTCGACACCCCTATGGAAGCTCGGATCAAGGCCATCCTCAAAGGCCTTCGCAAGCCCAAGGACAAGGCTGGTAACCTGAAAATCCGCCACTTTGAGCGACTACCGGACAAGCAGGAGTACCCAAGTTATTTCGCTGAGATCAAGGACCCGATTGCCCTCGACATGATCAAGAAGAAGGCTAAGCGGAAGAAGTATCAATCCATCGAGCAGTTCATGAAGGATATCGATCTTCTCTTCAATAACGCAAAGCAGTTCAACGAGGATGGGAGTGAGATCTATCAAGATGCTGCAGACCTGCACACAGAAGCGCAGAAATTGGTCGAGATCGAGAAAGCCAAACCCGACGACGAGTACCTTATGGAGGACGGGCGCAGACCCTTACCGAACGGCATCCTCCACAAGAATGAGCTCTGGCGGGTCGGTGACTGGATCCATCTTCAGAATCAGAATGATGTGACAAAACCGATTGTCGCTCAAATATACCGAACCTGGGAAGACACCGAGGGTCAGAAATGGATCAATGCTTGCTGGTACTATCGACCCGAGCAGACGGTGCATCAGTACGAGAAGCACTTCTGGCCGAACGAAGTCGTGAAGACCGGGCAGTATCGGGACCACCAGATCGACGAGGTCCTCGACCGCTGCTTTGTCATGTTCTTCACCAGATATACCCGGGGCAGACCTCGCAATATCAGTCCAACCACCGAGGTGTACGTCTGCGAGGCTCGATACAACGAAGAGAAGCACAGGTTCAACAAGATCAAGACCTGGGCCAGCTGCTTACCCGACGAGGTTCGGGACAAGGACTATGAAATGGACTTGTTTGACAACCCCCGAAAGATCAAGAAAGTGCCCAGTCCACTCAAGCACTTGTTGAAGGACGATATGACGGACTCGGGTCCTCTTCCCACGCCGCAATGGGGGCATCCAAACGCACCACCTATAATCGGAGGCATTCACAAACAACCTCGCGAGGAAAATGTAAGTCTTTTGTTGTTTTCGTAGTGTTCACTGAGGGCAACTGCTTCGTTTGGCCGCCGCACAAAGACTTGTCACTGACCTTTATTGATCCAAACAGCAATCACCGCCACCTGAACCAACTCCTCCGCCGCCTCCCACACCCCCACCGCCAGTTGCAAGACAACCATCTATGAGCACTGTCACAAGCATGGCGCCACGCCCGGTTGTTAACGGTGCGAGCCACACACCTACGTTGCAGCCTCAACTCACACGCCCATCACCCTCATTGACCCCGAACCCTTATCAACACCAATCGATCTCGCCTGCTCCGCAGTATGGCAGACAGAACTCGTTCGCCCAGTCACAAACCACATACCGTGCCAACATTGCCCCTTCGACACCAGCCCTTCAGCAGAACCACCACTCGTATACCACGCATCAACAGATTCAACCTCAACCAAGCCTGACTCCAGCCCGCCAAGGAAGTTACACCTCATCGGCCACTCCGTCTCATTCACAAGCGACCTTTGGTCGGCCTCTGTATCAACAACAAACCTCAACCGCTGCGCCCACCTCTCAATCATACCCAAACTTTTCTACAGGGACCCCCGCTGCCGCAAGCACATACCCCGACCACCGCGCCGGCGACGTTTTTGTGCTCTCCGACACCGCCAACGCTTCCATTCCGAAATCCATCCGCGACAAGTTCCCGCAGGATGATCAGGGGCGGGTCTTGTTCTTCACGAAGCCGCCCGTCGTGCATGATCTGACTGTGCGCGGCAAGGAAGGGCAGGTGTTGAAGCACACAGAGAGGTACCTCAAGGCGAAAGCAGAGAGGGAGGAGAGGAAACGCGCCAGAGACCTGGAGAGAACAAGGATGGAAGCTGCGAAAAGAGTCAAGGTCTGAAGGAAGTACGCGTACGATGTACCCTTACTTGGGACCACGATCAACTGCAACCGGGCTGACAGCGAATGAAGACCAGCGTTCGGTGCGCGGTAGGAATGCTCTCATCCAGATAATCTGTATTCTACCTTGGCCCTGCGTCAACACTCGTGCATTGCGCCATTACTACTGTAGCTGGATCCGTTAGAAGTAGCCGTGTTTCAAGGCGGAGGAATCCAAATCAACTATGATTGAACGTTGAACAATTATGAAGTGTTGGGTACTGAGGATGACCGTCCAAAGGAAGACGACGAGTATACTTACTGCAAGGGCGAGGAGAGCAACACCAGTTGCGCACCTGGGACTCTTGGAAGGACGATGTCGATACTTCGTACGAGTACACCATGGAGGCGAGGTGAAACGTGGAAAGTCGTCGACCTTGCCTGGACCTTGCCTCTCTCATCTACTCCGTGCTCTTCTCTGAACGCCATTGGGTCCATATCCGACCGCGGTACGGTCTGCATCCCACGTCACAAACAGGCAGTGGCAAGCCCGTCTCTCGACACGCTGCAGTAAAGGGCGCATGGCCTCTCTAAGGGTCCAGCGGGCAATAATTTTCTCTCTTCTCCCTCCTCTACGCAGAGTTTGGTTTACATGGCGTCGGGATCACCTCTCCTCTCACACCACTCCAAAATACTCATAATCGTCGGCCCAGGAACGTGGGGGCTGTACATACATAGTACGGCCCCTTCATCTAGCTCGACGCGACTATACGTCCATCTCCATCGCCGTGCTGGGCCCTTATGCTGTGCCCTGCCCCATCTCGGCGGGCAATGACTTGAACAAAGATCCTCGAGCTCGAGCTCGGCTCGTTCGCAGGTGAGGACGAGGATGAGCGGTAATTACGTGTCTGATACTCTGGTGCCTCGAAGCAGCCACGGACGGCTGGCTGGCTGCGTGATCCGGTCTTCAAGCCCTACTGTACTTCCATGCGACCGGATGCAATTATCGCAGCCACGTCGGATGAAGTGCGGGCTCATATGAACTCGGGCTCCGGGGCCGAGCGAAGAGGACGGGTGGCTTCCTCTGCGGACGAAGGAAGATTTTATCACCACCATGCCCCCGGGGCGTCCTGACGGGCTGGCAAGGCTGGTGGAAGAAAACCGGCGCCGGCAGAGTCACGCGGCTGATGTACGACATTTCCGACGTCAAAGGCGCAGTCACCGCCGATGGCAAGGCACACTACCAGGAGACGCACGATTCCGTGTGTGCAGGCGCCAACACCGCCGCGCTGTTCGACCTGAAGGACCAGCTCCGCCCGACGAAGCCGCGCTGTACAAGGACCTGCCCGTGCTATTCAACATCGAAACGCGGCTTTCTTCATGGAATCCGACGCAGACAATCTCGAGCTGAAGATGTGTGACGAGCATCCCGGATACTGCAACGGGATTCCCAGTACAAAAGCACGCAGATCGCGAAGCACCAGATCCCACATTAGAGAGCGAGGCTCGGTGCCGTGCCTTTTTGCGCGAGGCCATGCCCCATCTTGCGCGGACCGGCCATTCAGCTTTCGCGGCGCATCTGCTGGTGCGCGGATACGCCGGACCGTGACTCTAACTGAGTACGTACAGTTTCTTAGTGTATGGCTGCTTGGCCTCGGGACCCGAACAGAGACTCGATTTACTCCGTACGTAGTCACTTGTGTTGAGCCTGCCTGCCCACAACGTTACGGCCCGGAGCGGGAAGAGCCGTCACCGCACACCACGCCTCAGCATCGGTACGTCGCCACGTATTCGCGCGTACACATCGGAGAAGAAGAGGAGACGTCCCTTCCGCCCTGCCGGCCTGGCACTGTTGTACAGACAACTTTCAGAAGCTTGCTCACTTGCTTTAATTCCGGTGGCCGCGTTACTGCCTGGACGGTCCACCCATCTGCATGAACACCATCAGCACAGCCGAGTACCTAGTATCGCGAATGCGCGTAGTCAGCTACATCGTCCTGAAATTATAAACGAAAATGACTTGACTTCTCACTTCACCAGGCACTGGTCCTGCAGCTCCATTCGAGATTACTGGGATGTGACTCACGCTGCCGTCGCCGCAAGACTCTCAAACGGCCTTGCCACCGTGACGGTTTGAATGAGGCCGAGGAACAGGACTATGAACCCCGTGATGACGCCCAACTGCTGAACGGGCTGGTGCACGAATATGAGGATCCACAGCGGCGTGACCAGCATGATCAGACCAATGATGCAGACTACGGCGGTGAAGAACCCGTTAACCAGGCTGTCGGAGTAATACCTCGTGCTGGAGGGGTCGTATTCGAAGTATGGTCGTTTCTCGCCGCCCTCGAGATCGGCGAAACGTTGCGGACTCCGCAGAAACAAGCGATTCCAACCGAGTCCGATAAATCGCTCAACCGCCGTCCGGAGGGGCGTCTTCGGCACGGGCACGACGTTGATGAGGTCGTCTTCCCGGTCCATGAAAGATGCTTCCTCTGGGTCGATGGCGTGTGGGTAGGTGGCGCGCCAGTTCTTGACGTTCGTGACGTCGTGCTTCGATGCCGGGGGGCGCTCTCGCAGCGCTGAGTGCCGGAGGATGAACTTGTTGTACTCCTGCAGCTTGACCTGGATGTCCGCCAGCAGCACTCTCCGGTCGTCGTCGAGCCAGTGCAACGACCCATTGTTGACGTCCGGGGCGTCTCGGGCGGAAAAGACATCATCCAGCTCCTCTAACTGTCGCTCCAGCACCGAGATTTCCCACTGAAGTGACAGGATGACCCTCGCACTGAGGTTCTCGAATCGACGGACCACGAAGAAATCCGCGTCTGAGGCAAGCCATTGCGAGAAGACTTTGTAGCCGATGTACTTCCAGGGTTTCTCCTCGACCTCGCGTCGGGTTAAAGCCGGTTTGGGCTGAGGCGAGATCAACGCGCCCACGCCATGTTGAGGTCCACTTGCCGAGTGGACAGATGGGGCAGGGGTCGGGGTACCCGTATGGGATCCCGTATGGCTGGCAGAAGCAGAGTGAACAGACACGTTGGCAGACATGGTCTGGTGTATGTGCCACCTTTTCGTGGAAAAAAGCTCGAATACTGAGTGGAGGTGACCAAGAGACATGAAGTAGAGCAACGACAAGCGTCTTGCACGCATGAAGCGATTGGTCCGCGAACCGCATGGCCTCGAACGATACACCAGGCGTCCACCCCGCATCGTTCGTCGACACAGCCTCACCGTGTACATGGGAGGGCACCTCGACCTCACCAAACCATTGAAACGGCCAAAAAATGTACGCTTCCTCCATGACGATTCTCGTGCTGTAGCTAGCGGGTAGCCGCATACTCCACCAGGTCCGAAGACGAGTCCGGGAAGCCTGAGGAGAGAACATGTCGAACCACGATCCACTTGAAGACGGCTTTGGTGCTGGAAATGGTTTCTGCAGCCGCAGTCGCGGACCTTTGCAACCTTCCAAGGGCGATCACAGAAAGCGACGGCCAGGCGTGAGGCCCATCAATCCCCCACAGACATTCAACTCTGCAGTATGGTTTTGCTGCTCTTGCAGCGTTCGCGGTCAGGGATTCAGCTTCCGCCAGCGAACTTGCTCAAGCTGCAGACATGCAAAGTGTAGAGCTTGTCCAACGGAAGTGACCGGTGGCGGCGGCCCAGGCGGACAGGGGCCAACCGCAACGGCGAATGTGCACGGTGGAAGTTTGCTAGCCGACGGATATTCTTCCAGCGTTTCGCTTGAAGACATGACAATACACGCGGTGAAATCTGACGAACTCATCGGGATTGGAAGTGCCTTCCAGTCTGACATCGCTGCCTTGGACACCTTTTCTCATTGCTCTGTCAACGCAGCGGGAGCACGCACCTTGTGTGGTCAAAACTGGACAGCATCGCAGCGTGTGGTCACGTCCGACTCTGGAGCACAGAGCCTCATGATCATGGACGCTGCTATGGACATGAATACCTTTGAAGAAGACGAGGAGGAAGAAGAAGAACAGGATCCAATTCTCTCAGATCGTCGTTTGGACGCCGAGTCGACGCGAGCTAATTGCGGCCGCGAATGAGAACTGAAGACAGTGAGGAAACCAAGGCGAGACAGATGGCATCTGTTGTGAGCGGTTTCCGACTTAAGAACCGGCAGCTTCGATTGACTGCACCGCGGCGTTACCATAATTGCCCTTCACGCAGTCTCCCCATGTCGCCCGAGTTGCCAGTGACTTTCCAGCAGCCAAGAGCGGTTTGTGAAGAGCCGAGCATCATAAGTACACATCATTCACGTCTGCTGTCACCGATCTGAGGACAAATGGCCACATGCTGGCGTTTGGAGGCTTTTGCCAGCTACCTGCAGCGGCTGAGAAATGGTGGTTCGTCGAGCTGTGTCAGTAGCCTTCTGGTTGGTGCCTCGGCGACGTGACGGCGTGATGTCGTTCACACTGATAGGATTCGAATACGGCAGAAGCTGTTGGGATGGAAGACTGTCGAGATCGTCACGCTCGATCATCTCAACTTGCAAGATGAATTCACGAACCTCGCCTCCACTACTTCTCTTTCCCAATCACCTTTTCGAGGACCCTTGGAACGCACATCCTCCAAATCATCCACGCTCAGATTACGTGCTGGCAAGTGCCGACTTGGTCGACTCTCGCAACTATCGACTTGTCAGGCGAGTCTGTGGCTCAGTATGCAGGTCGAACTGGATGTTAATACTAGTCTATTTGGTTAGAGACTCAAAGCCCAGAGCGACACGGTACTCATATCGTTTCAGCGTGGTCATCAAGACCAGCAAGTTGTTGAGAGAGAACAGAATAACATGGCACACAATCGGCAATTGGCCAAATAATATGAGCCTTCTGGTCTATGAGGATAGACGCATTGCTGAAGGGAAGAGTCCTGCTCTTGCGCGGTGACAAGCTTGCAACAGTCGCAGAGGATGCTCGGTCGTGAGGCCTCAGAACTGGCGCTCCCGAGTCGAACCGACCATCTCAAGCATATATCGGGTGCCTTGAGGTTCTGCCGCTTCCGCGTCGATTTGATGCCCAGACAGCACTCATTGCTCTTGGAGGTTAGCGAAGGACTGCGCGACGCGTCACGGCTGAGGGTGTCTAGATGTGACCTGTACCGAGTCATGAATTCCACGTGACTCTCACACTGTTCCGCAGCCCCTGAGTCAACCCTTGCAAATGCTGCTTATTCCACATTCGGCAAGGCTCGAGATTTTGCCCTGGAGCTACAAAGTCGCCTGATAAACCTCGACTTCAACTCTACCTTCCCTCAGTGTATTGATGCGGGCAGACCAAGACAACCTTCTCAACCATCGGATGGCCCATATCTGCAGAAGCTGCTGTGAGGTTGGAGGTAGGTGACGGGCTTGGTGGAGGCGACGCTATCCAAACCTTCTACTTTGGTGCTCCAATGCTCCTCAAGGCCACATCCCTCCTGGATTGCTTCATCATCGTGTGCCATCAGCCTTCAACAGCGTCTGAAGCGAACTACAAATGACCAGCATCGGTCTGTTGAGCTCACTGCCTTGATATTCCTCTCTGCAGGAGTTCAACCAGTGAAAGACACGACTGGTGGTTTGAAATGCTACCATGCCTGAATTTGATCCTTTCACTTCTCACTTCTATCACACTTCACAGCCTTCCTCGTGACTCAGTACCACTTTCTCACTTCACTGAAAATCAATGTATATATTTGACGTCACCACAAAAATGCATGTCCTTCGGGTAAGAAATCCTTACGGCCTTCACACTGCAACACTAACCAATGTCTTCAGGACCAGCAGAACACACCGAATTCATACTGCGGATAGGTCGTTTGGGCCGAGCCCACCTGTAGCCTTGCATTGCGCTCCAGCAGAGTTGCCTAGTCCTCCACGAAGGAAACCCACTGTAGCGGTTTGGCGCCGGGCCAGAACAGGTTTCAGCATCTAGCACCCCTCCCGCGCCGGGCTCGCCGGTTGCTAGGTGCCCTTTTTGCTGCGAGCCCCGAAAGGGGTTCGAATACTGTGTATGGAATTCTTTTGGCTACAAATTTTGCTCACGAATGTTCCGCGAGGCTGCCCGGATTATGTGATGACAAGCCCTAAGTAAGTAAATGCTACCATGCTTGGCAGCAAGATGGGCGTGGAGGTGAAGGGAAGCAGCACTATGTGAAATCTGTTCTGTAGGTTTGGTTTCCTTGCGCTTCACCTCCGATTCATCCTCCTCCTTCAACTGCGCTTTGTTCCTCACAGCCAATATCCATCTCTTCAACACCATTTCCGACATTCAGGATGTCTCGCGTACTTCGAGGTCGTGCCGCAGAGGCCGGTGAAGAGGACAAGAAAGAAGATGGCGGACGACTAGTGAGACAAAGACGAGTCACGGATCGATTCGGACAGAGCCAGGTAACTTCAAGCGATATCCCGGAGTCTCGAAAACACCATAGGCTCAGGCGACTCAACGACAATTCTTACCGGCCCACGCGTCATCAAGCCAGTGACAATCGTAAACTTTTCAGAGACGCCTCAGAATCCGATCTTGAAAAATCGCATCGCCCACGTACTCGCCGTCAACGCTGTGCTCATAACCCCCACACTACTGGCATGGACAATTTTCGAGCAGCGAACTCTCCCAGCCCCGCCTCCGAGTCCTCGTATGGTGAAGCTCCTGCAGACGAGGTCCTGTCCTCCCTGATGCAAGTCGCGCCTGGCACACTGCCTGCGGCCTTCGACATACGCACATTCCTAGCGGCTGCCCCGCAGAAGAAAGTCAAGAAGCAACCTCCACCACCGCCCGACGTTGAGCCGATGCCTCTTGACCTATGGGAACTTGCAAAAGAACCTATGCCCGCTGCCTTCGAAGAATCTCATGACCAAATATGGATGGCTGGCGTAGTATGGCTCCACCATGTCTTGCAAGAAGGCAACACCGAGCCTGGAACCGCTCAGACAACAGTTCGAAGAGGCCAGGAGGTGGTGTTTGTGCCGCAGAGACGACATGAAAGGGTGGTCTGGTTCACTCCAGTGCGAGGATCCAACATGTTCGATCACATGGCATCACTGGGAGTGCTTAAGCGACTTGGAGCGGGTGCTTGCGCTGAAATACCGGAGATGGGGCTGTCTGCGTTGTCTGTTCCAGAGAGCACTCCAATTCTTCACGCAGTACCCCCGGTCATTGCTCAATGGTGTCACAGACCTAGACCATTCCGCCATCACCACACGGCTGCAGAAGATTGTGGACGACATCGACCTCACTGTGCAGCGATGGAAGTTGCAGCAGACGGGTTCAGACTCCGACTATCATCCCGAGGTCGATACTAACAACCCGCGCCGCATCCTCGCTGGCGCCCCTCGAGTGTGTGTGCCCAATGGGAGGTGGTCTCAGGCTCGTTCTGTTTCCTCTCAGCCCGACTACAGCGATGACTCGATGGTCTTTTCGAGCGTCTCCGATGGTGCTGATAGATACGGTGTATGTGGCACTGGTACGGGCGACTATGATGAAGGGGATCGTCATGAGGATACCGCTGGCGAAGATCTTGCTGGAGAGGACACGGCCGGATGGGATGCAGACGATGAAGGTGTCTATGACCATCCTCAGGGTGCAAGCCATTGACATCAAGGTGTTGTTGGTGAGGTCTATGGTGAGACATCTTGGTGAGTCTTGTATGTAGTTACTCATGGAGGTGTGGATAATGAGGCTGCTTGAAGTGGGCTGCTCTTTCTGGTGTGTCCTGAGTCTCACTTCTGTCTCACTTCCGATTAACAGCCGTCAACAGGAGCTTCCGCAATCTTGCACGGCGACGTGGCCATGAATACTGCACTGCTGCACATGAGATCATGCATCTCCTGATCACAGCGTCGAGCTCCTTCCTGGTGATGAAGGACAAATGGATTGAGGATTTTAACGCAAGTCGACTACCTGTGTGCGGTCCCGTACAGCCAGGTCAAGTCCTGGACGTGCCCAGCTTCAACAATGGCGTACAGTACACGCTGCATTCTTCCACTCCGTCACACCCACCCATGCATCCATCCACAGATACAGGCAGGCTTTCGCTATGTGGCAAGAAACCTGGTCAAAGCAAGAAATGAGTCCACGGTCCCCGTATATATGTATGACTGTATGGGACATTAACATATGCGCGCATGTGTATCGTCAACAAACCCTGCTACCCAAACACCCAGCCAAACCAACAACCAACCAACCAACCGAGCCAATCCGAGAAAATGACCCATTTTATGCATCACACACGACATAACAAAATGCAACCCGAGCGGTTGATTCATACAGTGTACTATAGCGAAGTATAGCGAAGGATAGCGTAGCGTAGTACGGTAGCGTTCTCGCCAGGCTCGCACTCCTTCCCATACCGCCAAAGGGTTGAAATGGATCATAGCTGTACTTTTATCCGCGCGCCGTCCGAATCGATGTGAAGCCACCGCTCAATCGTCAAAATTCTGCACCTGCCAACTCAGGATCATCATCCACAGGAACAGCACCGCAAGAATGATGCTCCAGGCGAAGCTTGCCTTCCAACAGCTACAGATGTTGCTCTGGGTCAGCCAGGCGAGGGTCTCGATGCTCACGCCGCGAAACTCCTGGTTGTTGACATAGTTGTTGCAGTTGCCGTTGACGTTGCCGTCGCCGTACAGCTGCACGGCCGTCTCGATCAGCGTGGTCACCCACAGCACGAACAGCACGAACGAGCCCAGCAGGATGATGCCGGGGATGAGCATGCGGCGCGCCGCCAGGATGAGGATGATGATCAGGAAGAGGATGGTCAGGCCGCCGGTGATGACGGCGAAGGTGAAGATCCTGGAGGCACACACTCTGCGTTAGTGATAATGGTCTGTCTGTGCATGTTCCTGGGAACGGCAATGAAGTAATGGAGGGTGCGCAAAATGGCTACACACGTAGACCGTGCTGCACGCACTGCACTACTGCGCAAAAGCGCGATATCGTCTGCCTCTCCTCTCTTCTAGCCCGTGCGTACACATCACATACCAAGGAACGCCGAGGCGCATCTGCTCCTGCACGGCGATGAACCATGCGTTGATGCCTAGGACCGTGGACGAGCCGGCTAGGACAATGAATATCCAGAGGTTGAGCTGGACTTCGGGCCAGATGTACCGTCGCCGCGACTCGCGGACTATGACTTCGGTAGCCATTGTTGGCCGTAGGTAGGTAGGAGGGAAGAGAGGTAGGTAGGGGCGCGACTGGCGCGGTGTTGCGAAGCGATGCGGTGCGCTTGACAGCCGGGTTCTTCGTTCGCAGAAGAGTATGCGGAATGCTATGCTGGAGATTATAGAGCTCCTTGTCTCGAAGGGGTGATGCCGGTCCTAGGAATTGGTCGAGTGCAGTGGCTTCGAGTCGCGACTTGTGTCTGTTATACCTTGTCGTCCATGAATCGCAGTCGCAGTCGCATGCCGAGTACAGGGACAATACGTAGGTGGGTGCGGGAGTCTGGCCGTAGCATCGATATCGCGACACGTCGAGTTGGGCTGCAAAGGATCCGAAAGGAAAGTGAGGTCAGGCGCAGGTGCAGGTACCCGAGCTGCAAGATGTGGACGTGGCGTGAGGTGTCCAGGTCGGTCAGTCTGTCATCGGGTTGGGTCAATGGGAAACGGCCACGACGCGGGCATCGTGTTTGGTGTTTGAGATTATGATGCATGTGGATGTGGATGGTGGATGCGGACATTTACCCGCCGTGTGGCCGTAAGATCCGGTGGCTTGGGCAACGGGCAGCCACCCCGCAGTAGCAGCAGCAGGATCAGCAGCAGGGCGCCAGGGTTCGAGGGCCCGAGGGTGGAGGGTACACAGCAGGAAGGCGGAGGTAAACAAACATGCGCATGCGGCGAGAAGAAAACATATAGATACAATGTGTACAGACGGCGGCATTCGAGGCTCGTCCGCTGCCAGTCGAGGCCATACTGTGTATATTGACATGGACCGCATCTGCTACCCTGCTGTGCTGTACCAGAGCGTGAACGAAGTCAGAGAGACGTGTGTGCAGCCCACGATGCGATACGGCCTGTACTCGTTCCCTAGGAAATCGTGCCTGTCTGTGGTTTCAACAGAGTCACCGCCGCGCCAAACAGAAACCTCCATCAATTGCTAAACTCGTGCCGCGTCGTGCTTCTCATCATGGGATCGATATGTCCTTGGGTTCCGAACGTCAGCAAAGTCGATGCAGTATAATGGTGATGCGCCATCCACCTACCTCGCCTTCGACATCCCCACGACTCGTTTCGCGGATTCGCGATGATGCAGGCCGTCTGGAAGTCCTCCGCTCCACGAAGACCTCTTCCTGGTAGCCTCTGCTCCTACGTCGTCTCCCGCTGGAGCTGGCCCTGTGGTGCACAACGTCCTCCTCGACCACAGTCGTCTTTCTGCTGAACACCCCGCTGCCAAACGTGGCAATGGCGTAGATCACGTAGACAATGAGTAGAAAACCCCCGACGGCTCCCACCACAATGGCTGTGAGAATGCCGGGCGATGGGCCTGAATTGAGTCCAAGGTAAGTTGTTGGGATGGCCAGAATTCCTCGTTGCCGTTTGGCCAGAGCAGCGGCGCCAGAGGCAGCGAAGTCGAAAGCCTGGAAGCTGTCCATGGCTGAAGACAGCACTTAGGCGTGAGAAGTAAATGTGTGGATGGTATCGACTTTGTGGTTTGCCATTGTTGTCTTGCGGGATTACTGGCTACTACCACGACAACTGTCCAGGGCTCTAGGGCGACTTAGCCTTCAGGCCCAGACCAAGATGGTAAGGTTCCGGGCGGCAAGCCGCGACATCTTAGGCGCCCCTATGCACATCGATAGGCGCCAGACAAGGATTCGGGGTTCGATCTGCTACTGTAGCTGCATGCCTGTCGTTGTTGCTGCAGTATGACATCTTCCATCATGTTGGATGGGCGTGACCTGGTCATTCATAGCAGACGCCTGCTGCTGATCGACCCGCAGAAGCCCAGAGACATTTCAACGTTGTAGCCGGCTCTGATGTTAAGTAAAGAGCACCACCTTGAATTCATTCGAAGGATGACCTCACCCGCCAACCAAGTGGGATCACAGACGAGCCACACGCCGTCGCTGTCGACAAGTACAAGCATGCCACCGCTTCAATACAACGCAACTTCTCCCGACCCTACAAAGTCACCTGAGGCGGTCGCGATGCCCCCAGTAGACGGCACTGTACCGCTGGTCGAGGTCGAGCCTTATACTCGGACGGTGCAGCTGGATGTGCCGCGTGACACGCCGACCACGCCCTCTACTGGAGGGAAGTCAGGGTTTTCCAGGTGGGGGAAGGCTGCTGCGGCGTCTGGATATCTGGACCCCTGGTACAGCAAGTCCGGTAGGTTGTTGCCTCTGTGGAAACGATGCTCCGGGTAGATGTAGTCTATTGACGCTGCTTGTAGCTGAGGAATACCCGGCCGGGTACCCCAGTCTGGCCGCGTATATGAGTGATGATATAGACGGGCGCATCTATCGCCGCTTCAGCTACTTGCGGAATCGTCTTCTGCTGTACATGCAAGATAAGTTGAATGCGCTAGAGCAGGCTCTCGAGGACGTCGACCGAGATGATGAGGAGAAGGCAAAGAACGGAGAACGGGAGGCTCTGTATCGTCTGATCTCACGAAGATACAACGAGCAGACCGCCAACCTCACACCGGGTTTCGGCACTCAATCATGTCCTTGTTGCCACAATACAGCAAATCAGCAAGCTCTTCCAGGCAATGCGGCCCAGACGACAAACTCGCCACACGCTAGCGGCCTCTCGCAGCCAAAGAACAATGCAACCAAGCGGATGGAGATACTCGAGGATGTCGAAAAGACTCTGGAGAAGTATGATGAGCTTTTGCTTCGCGAACATGAGATTTCTTCCATTCGCGAGTCTACCGCAAAGCAGCGGGCGAGCTTGGGCAACTTCATCTACAACGGAAAGAAATGCGGACCCGGAAAGAACAAGAAGCCTCTAGCGAACCAGGAGAATAAGCTCATATACCGAAAAGACGACTCCCTGCTTCTGGGTACACAGGAAGATGCCTGGCTCGGGACTGCGGCGGAGTCAATGAAACGGCTGATGCCTGCAATATTGAGACGGGTAAGTGACACTTTTGCTGCCCGGTCAAGTACTTATCTCTCTCCAGTATCTCCTCATGACGCGAGAAGACCGAGAGAAGAGCACCACGTCCACCACGGAATATCTGTCAAACCACCGCGTCAACAGCTTCGTGAAGGCTGTCGTCTCTGTCGCGAGCACCATTCTTCTGGTGCTTCCCATCATCATCCTGTACGCTTTGAGTACACACGGAGCATCTGGGTGGCTCAAGATTGGGATCCTGCTGGTCTTTGTCGTGGCTTTCGCGCTTGCATTGGCAATGCTCACCAACGCCTCGAGGAGTGAAATGTTTGGCGCCTCCGCCGGGTATGGCTGGCCGTCTCGTCGTTCTTTGATTCCAGCTGACAAATTGTCAGTTACACTGCCGTCCTTATTGTCTTCTTGACGTTCACAGGGTCGTGAGAGTGGCGAAGGATCGCAAGAGTGGCGGAGCGTCACTGGTTGAACACCGACGCGAGGCTGAACGCCAAGCCGTTGCCGTCGCAACGAACCCCCCACCACCACCCCCCCGGCCATAATGCAGCAGTGCTCGACTCTCTCAACCGTTGCGTCTAGCGCACAGGACGTAGAGCCAGCTCCTGCTTTCCATCCAGAGACACGCAACTATACCGCGGTCAACATGAGCGTTAGAGTCGTCGCTCGCATCCGGCCTCTGCTCAACTCGGAAATCGAAAAGGACCAGATCGTGACGAGCCAACCCGGTCCAGATGGAAAGGCCACCATCGTGAAGATTCCCAATCCCAAGAACTTTGCCGAGGAGTACAGCTTCCAATTCAACAGCGTTTACGAGCAAGATGCCACACAACAAGTCCTCTATGACGCCGAAGGTGTGTAGGACTCTGACTGGGGCGGAGCTGCAGTACTAACACCGTTGTGCAGTCGCGCCCACTGTCAAACACCTCTTTCTCGGATACGATGTCACGATTTTCGCATACGGGTCGACGGGAACAGGAAAGACACACACCATGCGTGGCGGCAAGTCGCTCGCCGACCGAGGCATGATACCGAGACTGCTCAGCAGCATCTACAGAAAGAGTCGAGCGCTGGAGAAGAGCGGCGGCGGAGAGACAACCGTGGATGTGTCGATGAGCTACTACGAGATCTACAACGACCGCGTGTTCGATCTGTTTGAGGCGCCCGAAAAGAGAACACCCACTGGGCTGCCCATCCGGGAAGCGGAGGGTGGAAAGACTGTTGTTGTCGGCCTGACAGAAGTGCCGTGCTCGTCATTGAAGGAGTTTGAGGTGCTCTACGACAAAGCCAACGCGAATCGCAGTACCGGCGCCACCAAACTCAATGCTCATTCGTCTCGGTCGCATGCAATTTTATGTGTCAAGGTCACAATCACGACTCCGACCGAGACTCGAGTAAGCACTGCGTCGGCCATCGACCTTGCTGGCTCCGAGGACAACCGACGAACTGGCAATGGCAAGGATCGGATGGTCGAGTCTGCCAGCATTAACAAATCACTTTTCGTCCTTGCGCAGTGTGTCGAAGCTATCAGCAAGAAGCAACAACGGATCCCCTATAGAGAGTCGAAGATGACCAGAATATTGTCACTGGGCCAGAACAACGGTTTCACGGTCATGATTCTGAACTTGGCTCCCGTCAAAGCGTACCACCTTGACACTCTCAGCTCACTCAACTTTGCCAACCGAACAAAGAAGATCGAGGTCAGGGAGGTCGAGAATGAGCCCATCTTCAAAGGCCCGCCCAGACCGGTCGCCCCTCTGGGTGGACCTACGATCCAGCGTCAACCGCTTCGACCCCTTTCCAACAGCATCAACGTCAACCTCGCCGCCAACCGTGACGCAGCCACAAAGAATGAGAAGCCGCAGAAAGCTTTTGCCGTGTACTCGGACCGCAACAAGGCGGCAATGGCCCGACCAGCGCCTCAAAAGTCGTCGCCTTTGAAGCGCACTGCAGATGCCTCATTCTTTGCATCTACCCGTCCAGCAAAGCTACCTCGTCCAACTCCAAGTTTCATCCGGCGCGCTCCAGAACCCCAGCTTGCGGGCATGGATAAAGCATCAATCGAAGCCCTGGTGGAGAAGAAGGTGTCCGAAGTGCTTGCCGCCCGCGCAATGAATGCCCCCGATCCTCAGCCGGTGAAAGCCGTTTCCGAAGAAGTCCAACGGCGGCTAGATAGCATCGAAAAAAGACTGGAGGGTCAAGATGGTGAAAGAGCCGAGGGCCTAAGCTACCTGCTCATGGCCAAGCAGCATCAAGCCCGAGGCGAAGACGGCAGTGCTTTGAAGATGTACGAACTCGCCAGGCCGTACTTCCCCGACAACGAGAAGCTAAAGGGCAAGATCGAGCGCTTGCGGGAGAAACTGGTTGCGAAGAGAAGAGAAGGCGGTGATCCAGCTGAGAAGTCAGAGCAGATACCGGCCACGTCAAGAACAGCCGACCAGGCGAAGGGCCCACGAGCGGACGATGAAGACGAGAGCTACCAGGACCAAGGCTGTGACTCCACCTATAATGACTCTGGGGACGAAGACAAGCCCGCCGATCGTTCACGAAGTAAGAAGCAGATCAAGCAGCAGCTGAAGAGGAAAGCAAGAGTATCCTCGCCCGATCCCCTCAGCCCACAAGACCCAGAGGTCGTAGTTGGCGCGCTCACGCCACGGACGAAATATCTCCTCGACATAGTCAACACGCGCGACGTCGCACAGATCAAGACCCTCCACGGGTTGGGTGCGAAGCGTGCTGAAGGAATCGTAGAGTATCTCAACGAACAGACCGGAGATTCTGACGATGGATTCGTGATGCGAAGCTGGGACGATCTTGCTAGATTGCGCGGCATTGGGAAGAAGACGTTGGAGACGATGAGGGAAGGCGTACTGGTTTGAGCCGTGATGAAATGGCATGTGTTGTACTGTACATACATAAGGCATACGGAGTCCTCGTCTGGAGTAACGGCATGGAGCGTGCATGCATTGTCATTTTGGAGAGTCACATCCCGTGTCCCATGTCCTCGTGAAGCGGCCTGTGTGATTGAGAAATGATAGCGTAGAGTCAGCCCGGTTCTTTAACATCTAATCTGTGTAGCAAAGCGGGCCGCGAGCAGTCAAGTCAGTCAGTCAGTCACCCTTGTTGGCTCAATCTCCCAGCCGCCTTCATATTTCTGTCTCACTCCGTCTTCATAAACTCGGCAATCCTCTCGTTCATAAACGCCGTGTCCGCCGGATTCAACCCTCCACCGGCAACATGCCCCCACACGCTCTCAATGACGGCGAGGGTGCCACGCTGCAGGAACTTCATCTCCACCTCTGAATCCTCGGGCGGGAAATACTGGTCGGTCCGACACGGCATGAGCAGCACCTTGGCCTGAATGCCACGGAGGGCCGCCTGGAAGGCCGCGTCGTCGGGGACCTTGCCACCCAGCTGCGTCTGGGCGGGAGTGACAGGTGGTTCCGCCTCCGAGGCGTCCGTGACGGCCCCGATATCCCCCATCTGCCACATGCGCGCGAGGACGAGCAAGTCCTCGGCATCCCAATTCAGCGTGCCCTCCTCGCGCGCGCGCATCCACTCCTCCACGCTCGCCGGCGAGCCCTCCATGGTGGTGAACAGCCGCTGGCGGAACCACGCGGGGGACGTCAACCAGGCGGCGTAGGCGCGGGCGAACGCGCGCAGCCCGGTCTTGGGCAGCACCTCCTTGAGGTGCACGCCGACGGGCTCCCCCGCGGCGACCTTGGCCTTCATGGCCTTCCACGCGACGTAGTCGATGGAGCTGGTCAGGGCGGCGACGGGCCCCTCGAGAAACGCGTAGTTGTGCAGGCTGGTGCGCGCGCTCGAGCAGATGGCCACCACGCGCTTCACGAAGCCCGGGTACATGACGGCCCAGTGGTAGGCCTGCTGGCCGCCCATGCTGAAGCCGACGACGGCCTCGAGCCCGCCGCGCACGCCGAGATGTTGCGTGAGCAGGGCGTGCTGCGCGCGCACCACGTCCGAGTACCGCAGCGTGCCGGCCTCCGGGAAGAACGGCTTGGTGCTCGGGCTGGCCGACTCGCCGTTGCCCAGCATCGCCACGACGATGACGTGGTACGCGGCCAGCGCGGCGTGCGGGCCCGTCGTGAACGTCAGCGTCGTGTTGATGAGGCCCGAGTAGCAGGTCGGGATGAGCACCGCGCCCGCGGTCGACGAGGCGTTGAAGGACCGGTACGCCACGCGCAGGTCGTGCAGCGTCGTGCCGTTGGAGAAGTGGAAGTCCGGGATCGAGTAGGACTCGACGCCGGTCGCATCGTAGCTGGGGTTGCTCGTCATGGTGTTGTCGTCGGTTGGAAGCTTCAAGTCCTTCGAGTCTTTCGAACCTGATTACGTGCCGATCCTGGATGTGTACCGGACACGTGTGATGGACCAAATCCGTCGGTCTCGACTTACTCTGCTGGCGCCGGCTCAAGTCCGACTTCTGCCGTTGATACCGCCATCCAAGAGGGGAAGGACGATGTGTCAATGACGAAGCTAAAAGGTCGAAGCACCAGAATCACGGCCTTCTCCGACATGCAGAGGGTAGTCCAAACGTCTTGATTCGGATATTACTGCATCCCAGTCGTAACGTCGTTAATCCTGATTGTAGACTCGACCAGCGCAATGTCTAGACCACACATGATGATATCCAATTCCTCGCTGCATCCAAAGAGGCATTTTGCTCAGACTCCCAAAGCACAAAGCCTGGTCCGGGGCTTCGCTTGCCTCGTCCTCAGCAGCTTCAACTCTTCTCCGAGCAGTTTTGCTTCCCGCCATTGTTCTTCCATATTGCTCATGCGAATAGCAGCAATGACCATAAAGACTCCAGCACGGAATTTCTGCACTGGCTTGAGCTTCACCTCGTACTTCCGCTTGTCAAGAGACACGCCCATTTCCCCGAGAATGCGAAGATCGACCTGGTTGCTGGAGACGTTGTCAGTAATTTTCCAGACACAGAAGACGGCTGTTATACACCTACCATTCGACCCTCATTGCCTCATTCTGCTCTACCAGGGCTTTGCTCCATGCCAAATCTTTCCTCAGCCGTTCTTCGCGGCGACACTTGGCTTTCAACCAGATGATCTCCTTGATAAGACCTTTCATCTCCTTCGCGCGAATCTCGTCTTTACTTGACTTGCCCGAGGTGAGCCGTTCGAGCATGTCTTCGTACTTGCTTTGCAAGACCTCGAGCTCGTTCTCGACCATTTCGGCCTTTTTGTTGGCCAGACTGCGCTCCTCTCGGAGGCGGCGGAGATGTTGCTTCATTTCGTAGGCTTCATTGTCCCGAGTCGAGAGGCGCATGGATAGATTGTTGACATCTGCCTGCTCTTCCTGCAAGCGCTTGATGTGCGTTTTTAGGTCATTGATCTGCCTATCGCGCTTGCGGAGTTCTGATGAGGCGCGTTGCCTTTCGTCCTTGTCGTCATGGAGGCGGTCCAATTGCCCTTGCAGGTCGTCCACCAGATCGCTTTGCTCAACTATCTTGGCGTTCAAGGATGCAATTTCAGCACCCTGCGACCTAAGTTGTGCCTCCAAGGTCGCTACTTCCTCACTGCCTGTGGGAGTTCGACGAGCGGCACGCTTCAGATCCCGATTCTCCGAGCTGAGAACCTTGACTTCTGCTTGCGCATCAACGAGATCCTGCCTGAGCTTGGCCAGTTCCTTCGAATGAGATGGCGGTGGCGAGACAGAAGGTGATTTCGACTTGTATTGTGCAAGTCTAGCCTCGTGCAGGTCGCGTTCGAGATCATTGACTCTCATCTTCAAATCTCGGTTGGCTGCCTTCAAGTCTGTCTCCCGCTTGGCTGCTGCCGTTTCCTTTTGTCTCGCTTCCAGTAGATCGTGCTTCAGCCCGGAGATGTCTGCACCAGGCGAGGTCACTACTTTGGATTGATTGTCCAGCATGCCCTCGAGTTCAGTAATGCGTGCCTCCAAGCGGGCAACCTTGTTCTTCGCAGTGAGCAGATCCCTGTCCCGGGTCTCGGAGTAGGAGGCCTTCTGATTCCGAAGCGAGTCGATTTCTGCATTGAGCCTGTTTTCTTCGCTGCTGGCGCGCTCAAGCTCGGCATTGATCTCGTCCTCAAGGTTCTGATTAGCCTCTTGCAGACTGTCACGTTCCGTGGTCAGCCTTGCAATGTCCTTCTCGAGCTTGACTTTCAGGCGCTTCAGCTCTCGCTTCTCCTGATCGACGTTGAACGTGTCATCATTGGACTTCTGTTGCGCGTCCTGAAGTCTCGCTTCCAAATCGTCCCGCTCCTTCTCGTGCATTTCCATAGCAATGTGCGCATTTTTCAATTCGCTGCGCAGATTCGAAAGCTCTTCCTGTAGCGACAGCTTCTCTTGCCGCATCTTTTGGATCTGTGCATCGGCATTGCTGGAGTACTTCTGTTGCTGCTTCTCGGCGAACTCGTGTTCCTGCTCGATATCTGCCTGCAACACTTCGATCTCCTCTTCCAACTCGGCCACCTTCTCTTTGAGAGCAGCTTGTTCACGGATCGAAATGCGCAATTCCTCCCTAGCATTGTTCAGCTCTAGTCGGTTCTCATCGGAGGCCGTCCGCTTGTTTGCAAGATCTTGCTGAAGTTCCTCAATCTGCTTGGACAGGACCTTTTCTTCTTGCTGATGGCGTTGCTTCTCACTTTCAAGAGCAGCTTGCAGTTTCAGTTCCCGTCCGTTCATCGTTCCCTGCGACTCCTGGAGCCTGTCGACGGTCCGTTGAAGACCGCTGGCTCTCTCTTCGGCTCGCTGAGAGGCGGCTTCGAGTGCTCGTTTCTGCGCCTCCCATTCTTCGAGGTCAGCGGCGTGGTCACGTCCCTTTGAGTTGACCTCGCGGTACAGTTGGTCGATTTGTTCGTTCAAGTGGTCGAGTTCTTGTTTGTGCTGTGATCGAAGGGTACCATCGTTCTGCGCAGCGCGTTGTTTCTCAACATCGAGAGCATCCTCGAGGTCCTGAATAGCTTTTCGGGACTGTGCGAGATCTTTCTGCAAGTCCGCAGACTCTTTGGTTAGAGAATCATGGCGGGTCTGAAGAAGGTCTTTCTCATCGCTCTTGATTTGCAGTTCCCGTTGGACAGTCTCGAGCTGTTTCGTCATGCTGATCAACTTGCGTTCAAAGGTGTCGCGTTGCTGCTGTGATAGCTCGAGGTCTTGTTGCAATTTGCGGTGGTCGGACGCCCCTTCTCGTTCGAGATCCCGCACCCTCTCTCGCAGGTGCCGCTCCGATTCCGATTTCTGAGAAAGTTCGGCTTTGAGCAAACCATGTCGCTCCTGCAGCTCTTGGAGATCGTCCTCGAGCTTGTTCGCCTTGTCCTCCAGCTGTCTGCTTAATCCTTTGGTCGTGAAAGACTTGTTAGCCATCTCATCCCGAAGCTCGTCCAAATCTTCCTCGGCTTTGCGCTTTTCGTCCAATGCATCCTCCTGAGCCTCCTTTGCCTCTTGCGCGTCGGCTCTTGCGCGCTCCAAGCTCTGCTTGAGGTCCTCAATTTCTTGTCTGGCCGATTCCAGCTCTTCTTCAGCCTCAGCAGCGTCTGTGGACTCCTTGCTGGCCTTTGCTTTGAGGGCGTCGATTTGGTCATCCCGATCATCAATCGCGCGATCTTTCTCTCGGATGTCAGCTTGCAGATCCTCTATCTCGTCCCTTAGCTTCTTGATGGCCGATTTCTCCTGGTCTTCGGCCCGACCCTTCTCGCTTTCCCACTCCTGGATCTGTTTGTCTTTCGCTTTGACATCGGCGCGTAGAGTTTCCATCTCCGTTCGAATGCTTTCGTCCACCTGCTTCCGTCTGATTCGTTCTTTGAACTCTTCGAGCTGTAATCGATAGACTTCGGCGTCTTTTTCAGCCTGAGCAATATGCTTCTTGAACTTGTGTAACTCCCTCTGCATCGTGATCTTGTTGACCTTCAAGTCTGTGTTTTCTCTGAGCGCAGCGTGGTTGAATTCAGTCCCTCGCTTCGATAGCGCCTCTTCCAGGAAATGTATCTTCATCTTCAAGCCGAAGTTTTCCTTCTCGATCTTGTCGATAATGCTCTCTTGCTCTCGCAATGTCATCATGTTCCCGTCGTTGACAAGGCCAGCTGCATCGCGTCCGGGCAGTTGAGCAAGCGGCGTACTATGAGCACTGCTGCTTATTTGTTGAGGCATGGGCGTGTTGTCCAGTGCGTTTCCTGCCGAGCTTGTGGTGTGTTCACTGGCAAGATGCGAGAGGTCACTGAGTCTCGCTCCCGGGGTACGACCGTCTCTGAGGTACGAGGGTGTAGCACTAGGCTTCCTGCTAGAAAGACGGCGCGCCATATTCTTCTTGGTAGCACTCTGCATGAGCGGCGTGAATTCGGATCGAGCTGGATTCCCCTTTGGCACCAGACGCAGAGGATCCCGCAGACTAAGTCGTGGGGTCTTGAGACTGGCGCCTTGGTTCTTGATGTTCTTCATCTGGCTGAGCAGGTCGAGGTTCCCATTGGGGACGTGAAAGGATTTCTCCGGCGACATGTCGCCCAGACGGTCGAGGCGGTCGCTGACGTGGGAAGCATCGGTCGCGTGCGGTGTATTGATGTAGTTCTCCATAGTGTACGAAAATGGCGAGATGCTGCAACAAACGTCCAGAGGTTGGATCTGCACAAAGCAATATCAAATCCAACACGTAAACATATTGTTGTATCACAAGTCAAATACACGAGACATTCGAAGGCTCGATGTTGTTGTTTAGTCGAAAGGGGAATGGTCGGTTCGAGGCTTGGCAGTCTCGGCCATTCTGCACTAAACCGTACCGGGCCTGGTGGGCCGCTGTCCCGACTTGCGTCACCAGCGACGATAAGGCTGAATCAATGAGGCTGAACCTTCCTTGCGCTTGGTGCGCGCCTTCAACACTATCGGAACCCTCCTCCGAACAGAGCATGGAGTGTTCTCTACTCAAACTCCCTAAGCAGTGATGAAAAGCCGGTCCAGGCCTCACTGACTACGAGTAGCCACGGAGGCGGATTGCGTTCTCAAACCTCATCCAGCTTACGCACTATTATTGAGCATCCTCAATGTTACCAATATCGCCCAATGTGAGAGACGCAGTCATCACAAATGCAATAGTACGGAGTACATTTACCAGATAATTCTGGGGAAATGACAACGTCCACGAGGGCATCCATCTAAATCATTCACAGTCGGCTGGAGGAATGGCTTAGCGCGTAGCGGTGCCTAGCCGCCTTTGCCGCTAACTTAGGCTTCAGGGCGGCACACTGTGGGGTCCCCCAACGCTCCGAGGCTGCGCGCACCCACCAACGAGGCTTTGTGGTGTGCGCTCTTCAATCCATTTCATCTCCTTCCTCTCGCCTGACGTTCGTCAATCAACCTCTCTTTCAACCTTACCATGCCGCCAACTGAGGAGGACATCGCGTGGTTTCGCTCGACTTTCCACCCTATACCGAGGCCTTCCTTACCCGATGACTGCATCGAATACTCGCTCTACATCATATCGCCATCGCAGGACACGCAAGGCGACTCTGACTTACGAGGGCGGTTGCGCGAGGTACAAAAATACGCCGGTGACTTACAACGGCAATACCTGAGAGAATACATCTGGCAGCGGCAGAGGTTCATGCTTGAGCTTCAAAAAGAGGATGGTGAGGTCTGTACCGGCATGACAAGGACAGTCGTGAATAGACTAACGCCCTGCTTAGGATTGAGCTTCTTGCGTGGACAGACAGAGTATGGCGACTCAGTTGAAGATGAATGGGTCATCGTCTGGTTGTTGCGCGAACTGACCACCAAGTTCCATGATCTATGGGTCAAGGTCACGGATAGCGATGGCGAATTCTTGCTAATCGAGGCATCTGGCACTCTGCCGTCGTGGCTCGAGCCGGATGTGGCAGAGAATCGCGTCTGGATCAATCATGGCCAGCTCATGATCATCAAGCCGGCAGCTGCGGCACGGACTTCGAAGCGAACAGAGGAGAAATTGACCCTCGAGCAAGCCCGCAGCATTATCGTGTCGGATCCCGGAAGACTGATGCACTCGATCAGCATCGAGGAAGAAGCCTTTTTCAGGATTCGAAACTATCCAGCACAAATTGCGGAGAATATGCACCACGCCATGATCACAATACCCCGGAAGGTGGCATATTTGCTTCATCAAAAGCCTGCATACATCGCACCGGCCGTTGAAGCCTTTTATCTCAGAGACCCGATCGCCCTCAAGCCGCTACAAAGCAAGAAGAACAAGAATAAGATGGCCTTTCCCCCTCAGGACTTTGTTACTGTCAGTGTCAAATTCCCACGCGTGGCATACGCGCAGGTGAAGTCCCAGGATTTTCCACCACCAGCAGTTTTCGCAGGCACCCTCCCGTCGAAAACTGATATTAAGGCCTACGTCGCCGCTGAGACGGGCATGAAGATCACGTGTGGCCTTGAAATGTTGGTCACAGATTCTCATCACCAAGATCGACCTGAGGTGCGCGAGATGAAATTGATTCTCGACGATCTCGCATCTGGCGATGAAGTGTTGCCGTCGGACAACGAAATTGAGACATGGGAAAAACGAGAAGACGATGAAAAGTGGCTAGATATTAACTTCGCTGATCTAGAGAACGAACTAGGAGGTCGAAAGGGTCAGTCTGATACGATGGGAAAGAAGCACAGCTTTGGCGATAAGGCAGCACAAGAAAACCTCCAGAGAATTGTGAAGCAGTTTGAGGACTTCCTGAACGATGACAAGGCTGGCATGGAGGGCGCAGGCCTGGGTGATAGCGATCTAGACGATGACGATGATGATCTCGATGATGACGACCTTGACGAGGGCGACGAAGGAGAGGACAAAGAAGCCAGTTTTGGCGAAGACGAGTTCACCAAAATGATGCAAGAGATGATGGGCATACCGCCCGAAGTGATGCAGGAAATCATGAAGGGGAAACTAGGGCCCGGTGCCCAGGACCCCGCGGTACGGTCAGGATTGCGTCCCTTGCCTGACGAAACAGAAACAGACGTGGTGAAAGCGGACGAGGGTGAAGAGGAAGACGAGGACATTCAGACGTTCATGAAGCAAATGGAAGCTGAGCTGAGAGGGCATGCTGCTCTAAATTTAACCTCCTCTGAGACCGGCGCTGGGAAGCAGAAGGCGATCACAAACCCGAAATCACACCGAGAGGACCGGGTCGCAGATAGCGCTGAAGAGTACGAACTCTCGTCAGACGACGACATCGACAATGAGATAGACATCGATCTGGCTAGAAATTTGCTAGAGAGCCTCAAGGCTCAGGCTGGCAAAGCTGGACCCGGCGGAAACCTCATGGGCATGATGGGGTTGAAGATGCCCCGGAACGAGGCTGATAGCGATGAGGAAGATGACGGTCAGCCAGGGCCAAGTGGAGTACGGACAATACCCGAAGGATTGCCCAAGGTTGAGGAATTGAACTGAAAATCCTGAGGGCTTGAAGTCAACACAATACCCAGCATCTGCCTCAGGCGTGAGGGAGCATATGGCTACACAAGTGATGATGAGCTGCTTTAAGCACCAGCCTAATAAGAGGCGCTGGATCTTGGAAGGCTTAATATTCCAACCCAAGGTGAAGGAGTTCAAAGTCTATGTTGTCGCTACCGGGCGGCTAAAATATTAGGAGATTGAGAATATCTCACTTATGTAGAGGGACCTCGAAAACGTGAGCATATCCTGTCATCCACCATCGCGGGCGTCTATAGTACATCTAAGCAATACCCATCCTTGCTAACTTTGCAATGGTGGCTACGCGTATGTTTGTCTGGAAGACCGGGGAGGCTGCCATTTACAACCTCGTAGCCGATAGAGATCGGCCTACAGCCTCGGTCGACAAGCAGTAATGCTGGAGCAGCGAGGACAAACCGCTCTGGGAATCTACGGAGGCCTACGATACCTTGTACATCAGGCCAGGTGAGAGTGTGTACGTTTTGGCGTCGACCTAGGGTCACTTGAAAAGTCACGTGACAGTTGCTGCTATCGATAACAGAGTGGAGGCTGGGCAGACTTGGCGCGGGGCCGCGATGGGCAAGCACGTGGCAAGCCTCGCAAGCTCAACTTGGCGCTTACTTCCATGTTTAATTGTGATCTTTGTTCGTTCCTCGACTTCATTGCTGGACTTCCTTCTGACTCTCGAAAAGCTCATCTCAACTGCTCGCCATGGCTCAAATCGTGCTCTTGAGCCTGTTCAGAGATCGGCTGTGCCCTGTTCGAGCGGCGTACCGGTCTGTACCGGCTTCTCGGCACCTGCGGACTTCGATGCTACCCCTCTCCTTTCTACGTCTCCGGACAGCCTAAATAACCTGACACCTGCAGGTAAAGTTGCAAGGCGGACATGGTGACGTAGATCCGAAAAACACACGACTGGCTTCTTACCAGTCATGTCCCCAGGTTCTCTCTGCATGCGCCATTCACATGACAGGTCGATTCAATTGCCGGAGAGGCTCTGAAGTCCTTCCCCTCTCTCAAGTCGACAGACTCGGGCCAGCGGGATACTGATGCGAGTGTTTTCGATGATTTGGAGTCGTGACAGCGGCATTGTCGGCACCGGCGTCCGCTAGGTCCCCGCGGTAGCGCCTAGAAAAGCTGAGGAAAGTCATTGTGAGGATGTCGAGCTTCACCGAAGCATTTCTTGAACTGGGTGTGATTTCCTCAAGACAACGCCACAATGCTTGTCAGAACTCTTTTTCGGACCATTTTCATTTTGTTGGCCTGTGGAGCTTTGACCAGCCAAGCCTACAATCCCAGGCCCTACTTGAAAGCATTGGAAGCTCGCCAGAGCGGCAGTTCAGGATCTCCCTTACGTATTGACCTTGGTTATGAGATATATGAAGGCACCTCCAATAATACATCAGGATTGAACATCTGGAGAGGGTGAAGCTCTCATCCGGTTTCAAGTCTTCTTGGGCGTCCGAGCTGACGGAATACTCAGAATCCGTTTCGCGGCACCACCAACAGGTTCCAATCGATGGCAAGCGCCCCAGCCCCCAGAACAGGATCGCTCCTCGGTCATAAATGCTAGCTCATTTGCGCCGATATGTCCGCAGGGTCCTGATGCCTCTTACACTGTCCACTCGGTCAATCAGACTGGCGCAGACGAAGACTGTCTGTTCTTGAACGTCTATGCACCCGCGAACGCCTCTTCACTCCCGGTCCTTGTTTGGGTACACGGAGGAGGCTACGGTGGTGGAAACGGCCGACAGGATCTCTCCGCTATCATAAACGCCAACAACAACAGTTTTATTGGGGTTGCGATCCAATACCGGGTTTGGCCTCCCTCTCGTGTGGCTGGCGAACATCATTCTCATTCGAACCCAGCTCGCTGCACTAGGATTCCTTTCCTCAGACGAAGTCTTCCGAAATGGGGTAGTCAATGCCGGTCTCCTTGATCAGGTGAAGTCTCACTAGATATTGACTATCATTTGCTCATCGTCTGTAGCATTTCGCATTGCAATGGGTACAATCGTACATCAGCCTTTTTGGCGGCAATGCTTCTCAGGTCACCATCTCTGGCGAAAGCGCTGGTACTGCTCCAAGTGCCCAGATTCCTCTTTTCGCTAGCTGATCTCCATAGGTGGCGGCTCAGTCATGCTACAGGACATGGCGTATGGTGGGAGCTTGGGAACTTCCCTTTTCGTCAACGTGAGTTCTGGCACCGCATGGTCTGGTGAAGGCCTTCTCTTACTCCAGATGTGGGTGGGTTTAGACTATCGCCGCATCGCCGTATCTTCCCATGCAATACGGCTACAAAGACTGGATTCCGTCCCAGGCTTACTACGCCTTTGCGACTGCAGCTGGCTGTCCCCCTGGCCTTCCATATGGTGCTCAGCCACAGACCATCTTCGAATGCTTGGTAAGCAAGGATACGGACACCTTGATCAATGCCAGCGCCACAATGTCACAGTCCGGAAACTATGGGACTTGGGCATTCCTGCCGGTGTAGGTTAGCACTTCTTTGGCCCTTACTGATTCATGTTCTTACCACGATGGAGCAGCACCGACGGAGTCTTTATCCAAGATCTACCCAGCCGGCAGCTCCTGCGAAGAAAGGTGAACGGGCTAAACGCGCTAGTCGGCAACAACGCCAATGAGGGACCATCCTTCACTCCCCAGAACGTTACCACAGAGGAAGACCTTGTTGCTTGGTTGCAACTGACATTCCCCCTATTCACGAATGACGACATCGCGAGAGTTCTACTTTACTATCCCAGTTCGAACGACTCGACAGATTCAGCCGCACCTCTATACGGGACGTCTGGGAATTCTGGCGCATCAGCACTGAATCAAAGCTCAGTCGGAACGGGACAGCAACAAAGAGCAGATGTACGTCGGCCATCGAGTGGATGTGGTTGGAGCGCCCAGGGCTGACTTGGACTGCAGAACATCTACGCCGAGACAACCTTCGTGTGCCCTTCTTATTGGATGGTGATGGCCTATAACGACCTCGGAAGAACATCCTACAAATACCAGTTTTCGGTTCCACCGGCTTTGCATGGTGCGGATGTTAGCGGATGTGAGTGGCTCCCGTTTCTCCTGAAGTTGTTATGCGTCTCTTGTCTTCCTTGGCCTTGCCCAACCCGAGGTTGGCCACAACATCCTCAGGCAGTTACTGATATCAGAAATCTCAGACTTTGGTCCTGCCGCTCCAAACATCGGCCCTGATCTGGCCCTCGCATTCCGACAAATATGGGGTAATTTCATCACCAAGAATAACCCCAGTATTCCGTCCGACGTCGCTGTCGGAGCTTCTGCCGCGAATTCGTCAACTTCAACAACGGCGAACCCGGTGACCGCCTGGCCCCAGTTTACCATGTATGCGCCATATCAGATCAATTTGAACCAGGTGAGTAGTACTGCGAATTGCCTGCAAGCTCACATTCAGTGCCATCTTCTACATGCGGGTCTCATAGCTGATGTCGTATGGATCGTCAGACCGGAGGAACCCCCTTCTCGGCGAACATCACGCAGATCGGTCACAACATCACGGAATTTGGTAGTCCTGGCCTACTCAACGATATCGCCCTCGTAGATGCTTGGACCTGGGAGGCCGGCAGGGGCTACCGATGCGAGTTCTGGAGAAGTATGGGGGCTATTGTGCCCGAGTGACCGGTGCATGCCCGTCGAGGACCGAGTGTCATGGACACAGTCGTGGACGCGATGGTGCTCAGGTCAAGCAGTTGATAGTCAACGACTCCGGGATATACAGGCCTCAAAATGTTGGGCCTGGGCTCGGGTGCAGATCGCCACAGACGTGAGCACCCACGGTGGAATCTTCATGACGGCAATGTCGACGGCAGCAGAATCAATCTCCTCGGGAGACCTTCCCCCTCGGAAGACTTTCCTCGTGTAAGCGGGGATGGTGAATTGAGCGTCGCCTGAATTGTGGCTTCCGTCCCATCAAGTCGCACTCGCCCAAGCCTCTCACAATGCAGGTGTCAGTCGCCTCTTCGATTTGCGTAAATTCGCGTGCCTGCTCGCCAGTGCTAAAGGAGGCTCGTCTCCGCTCACGGGACGGACTGCTTGCCGAGAGAGCTCAGTTATCGATCTGGCCGGGTCACGGTCAACGTCTCCCCCCCACATGGGCCCCTCCAATTCTAGCTGATTGATGCCACAAACGTAATGTCTCTTCGAGTGAGCATGGGCTCGCTTCACCCTCCTCGCAACGTCCTGCAGATCACAAAAGCTGCACAGGACTACGAATATGACGCCCAGATACCTCTGCGGTACTGGCTCCGGTCCGCCCAAGCAATGCTGCAAGAGGTGGGCAGCACGGGTTTCACCATTCTTGCACTCGGCACTGACTTGTTTCGCAGGCACAGGTGTATATACGCGAAGGCGACGAAGAAACAACGTACCTCCTGCTCTTCCGCCACGCACACTTGATTCTTTCTCAGCTGCCGGCCCACCCGCAGGCCAGGGATAAAACAAACAAGCTGCTGCTGAAACAAGCCGAGAGGGAGGTGAACCAAAACTTCAAAGTCCTTGACTTGCTGAAGCCTCGGATCAACGAGAGGTACGAGCGCTATGTTAAACTCATCAAAGAACGAGAGGCAAGGAGGACTGCGCAGACGCAATACCACCATGCAGATGAACCTCAAAGTCCCCAAGCGGCACCTGAACAAAGAACCCAGAGGCTTCAGGCACACGAAAACAAAGAGCTCGCTGTTCAGATAGCCCAGAAAGAAATCTCTAGGAGAGCTGCAAATCGCAAAGCTGGCCAGGCGGCGGGCCACGACGGGGATGACCTGTCTCGGAGACTGCAGGAAATTCGGGCTCGAGTTGAGGGGAGGACACCGTTTAGTTCTCGGGATGGCACTGATGTGCAGGCAGCAGCGCGGCCTGCCACATACCACTACCCGAGCATTCCGACTCATCAGGGTCAGCCGCCACAAGGATCTCATAATTTGCCCCTTGGCGCTCAGAGGGAGGTTGCAGGTGTACCGCCGGCCTTGCCCCCGAAACCGAATAGCAGTGCTGCTGCACTCCCGCGTCGTCCCGAAAAAGTACCAGAGCCAACAACTACGAGGATACAGACACCGGAGCCTGCGCACATCTTTGCTCCAGCAGCGTACCTGGAAAATGGGACGCCACTACGTACCATCTTCCTCCCACCCACGTTGCGGACGACGTTCTTGCGACTAGCATACAAGAACACGCTGGCCAACTTGGAAACGTGCGGGTTCTTAGCGGGAACTCTTATTGCCAATGCCTTCTTCATCAGCAGGCTCATCATTCCTTCGCAAACGGCTACCTCGGATACGTGTGAAATGACCAATGAGTCGCAGCTTTTTGATTATGTGGATTCGGAAGACCTCATGATTCTGGGTTGGATTCACACCCACCCGACTCAAACGTGCTTCATGAGCAGTAGAGACCTGCATACTCATGCTGGGTATCAGGTAATGCTTGCGGAGAGTATCGCCATCGTTTGCGCGCCCAGCAAGGGCGACACTACCCACGGTGGCGATTGGGGAGCGTACCGGCTGACAGATCCTCCCGGCAAGAAAGCGATCCTCAGCTGCGAGCGGCCTGGACTATTTCATCCCCACGACGTGGAGAATATCTACACCGACGCGCTTCGGCCGGGACACGTGGTGGAGGCGAAAGGGATGGAGTTTGAAGTAGTGGACCTTCGAGACAAATAGTTCCAGTAAGGCATGATGGAAAGAATGCCCATAAGAACGGGCCGCCGAGGGATGATGCGGGTCAGACCCAAGAACAAGGTCTCAGGAGGGATGACCTAGCATTACGGAGGACAGAGTACTGCTGACCGTAAGCAGTACGATGGACGGTACGGAGCGCTGTGTACTGTGTTCTCCCGCAACTGGACCAGCGGGGTGCTGAGATTTATATCTTTGCTACTTTGGGCGCTCCGATAACACGTGATACTATACCAAGCAGAACTCTTTCGACACAGTATAGACACCGAGCTTGGTATCGGAGAGGCATCTTAGCACTATTTTCCTGGACAGCTCCTTCCTGAATCAGTTCCTCTGTACGGAGTATCATCGGACATGGTTAGTCCTACCCAGGCAGGCAGATGTTGATGTGCACATGTCGTGTGCGCACACATCTTGAAGATGCACATGCGGTTCTTCGGTACAAAGGAGGCAGCGAAATCAGCCTGGCTGCACTGCCTCGCAGCCACAGAACGCCATCCGACCAGGAACCCGGGATCTGAGGTCCACACCAAGCCGCCAAACCTGCTGATTTGGATGAAATGACAGGAGACGCCTCGATTTGTCGGGTGCGCTTGCTGTGCAAGAATTGTGAAGCAGTCGAGCTGTGTCGTTGTGCTTCTAGCCAAAAGCCCTCGACGCCATTGGGTCAGCCACCGAGCAACCGCAACCCGGGTGTATCAGAGTGTGGACTGGATCCACACACAAGCAAATCAGGGTGCAGATGTCATGCAAGGTCCTGGGCACCAATGCAGGAACGGTGCATTTGGTGCCTCGGCAGGATGCGGATCCTAGGAACATGGAGGAAAGAGATTTTACGAGTACGCAGAGAGCAACGGCAGATGCTCGCTGTGCCCTCCCTGCATCCAGTGGATGTGATAGATTCACAAGCCCTTGCAAGGAACCGGTGCATACAGTATCCTCCGTACCCTGTAGACATGATTCCCTGATCACTTCACCCGGTGCATCCGATATTGGCCTGAATCAAAAATAGCGTTAAGCATTGAGGCTTTCAGTCCACTTGAGTGAATTGGAAAGATAGGCTTCAGCGGCCGATGAAGAGCAGATTGCGTGTGGAAGATGATGTGGACCGAGCACCACCGAGACTGTGCCTGGCTAAAAGAACAAGAGGAACGCTTAAAACCGCCTCTAGGCTTGAACGGGCCTGGTGGCTCTGCGTGTCTTCCCTAATTCGATCATGGGCGTTTGACAGGCAATTTCCGAGCGGAGCTTCTGTCGCCAAATCTCAGCTGTCGCGTTGCCATTTGGGGGCTCCACCCAACACGACTCTCAGACACTCTATCCTTGCACGGACCAATCGAAACAGCCAGCCGGGTGCCTAGCGTCTCCTGCGGCCGTGCTCCCTTGATGCTGCTTCCCATCCCACAGTCTTGTGACTTCTTCCAACTCCTCCTCACCACACATTCCTTTGCCTATCACCAGCAACAACTTCACCACATCGCCATCGAGGCACGTACTCATAGACAACATATTCGTTTCTCGACGCCTCGAGCTTCGTGTCCACGTCTCAGCCGAGACCGCCTTCTGACGCTCGTTAAGCCAACATTACTGCGTCGGTCCAGACCTCAGGGGCGTCTGTGTATCAGGTCTGAAACGCGAGCTGCATTCCCCGGCCAACACCTCCTTCGACCTTTCCAAACGTATCCAGACCAGGACTCAGGGACTTCCTTCCAACCTTCTATGTATATTCTGGGGCCTGGTTGTGAAAGGTGAACAAAAGAGCAGGCAGAAAATAGCAGTGCGGGTAACTGCTGAGAGGGAGAACAAAGAAGCACCACAAACAACCTGCAAAAGGCGAATCCGAGGTCGAATGGTTACACAGACTGTCACCGCCTGACCTGACCGAACAGTGAACAACAATCCTCGTCAACATCTTTAATTGAAATCTTCATTTGCACATCACCGCGGATCTGAGATCGGCACCATCACTCACTTGATCCTCGAACGACTCCCGAGTCGCGCCTTTGTCGGGACTTGACTTTTACCTGACTTTCCGCTTCTTCGACGAAGCAAACATCACATCAAAAATGACCACGTCAACATTACGCGCCGTCGCCTTGACTTCGGCTTTCGTTCTCCTCGCCTCGCCGGTGGCTGCCCAGGACGACTCCGGTGCGACGCCCACGAGTGCACCCAAGGCCATCACCACGTTAGGCTGCTACAACCACCCTGACCCGCTCACAGTTCAAGGGAATTACGACTTTCAAAGTTCAGGGTACTGCCAAACACAATGTGTGACCATGAACAAGCCTGTCATGGCCATAACGGGAGGCTCGACCTGTTATTGTGGTGATGAGATACCTGCTTTGGACCAAGAGGTTGATCAAGACAAATGCGATACCGTGTGCGCTGGCTACGGGTTATCAACCTGCGGCGGGATTGGGTACTGGCAGGTTTACCTGACTGGATTGACTGGAGACGTGGAGACCGCCCCCAACAGCACGTCGAGTACGAGCTCATCTTCTCCACAAGGTACCGCGGGTTCTGGTTCAACTAGCACTCAGCCCGCGGTTGTGACCCAGCCCGGCCAAACCGTCGTGGTAACTCAGTCTGCCTCCGCTCTTGCCAGCCAAGACAAGTCGTCCGGCGGCTCCAACAAGGTCGCCATTGCCGTTGGCGTTGTTGTCGGTATTGTTGGTCTTGCCGGCATCATAGGAGGCGTTCTGCTCTACATGAGACACAAGCGGAATCGCGAGATTGAAGAAGAACACCGCCGTAATGCGGCTGTGAGCTCTTTTGTCGGCTCCGCGGCGTCGGACAAGTCTTCGACGGACCAACGACTCGATCCATCCATCTACTCACATCGCCGACAAAGCATTGGCAGCATTGCTGATGAGAGGGACTTTTCAAGGAGGATATTACAGGTATGTTGAGCCCCAAGGTTGCTGGAACGTGGCTAAGTTTGTTCCTCAGGTGCGGAATCCGGATCGAGATTCGAAGCAATCTACCATGGCGTAGTGACGTCCTGTTGCTTCCACGTTGTCGTTCAAGCACGCATGTTGCGTTTGGTCTTCTATACCAGCTGATTCACGAGGCCTTCGCCTCAACCCGATATGGCTAACCACCGTCGCTCGGACCTCCACCCATACTTACGACTCGACACTACGATTCTGACTCGGCCTCTCGACTTCCACCTCGCTTTCCGCATTTCAGCAACAATCGAAATGTTGACGATCCTTGCCTGTTCTTACTCTCATTTACTATCCCTTCTTAGAATTCACGACCCTGTTCTCGGTGGTCAAGGCATAGCTCTGGCGTTGGTGGTCTAAGCGAGAGTTGGAAAGCTATGATGCGCAGATGGCGGTGATGTTAGGCCCAAGTATAGAGCGGAGGATGCCGGCTCCTCGAGGGGAGCACCTTGGGTGCTTTGATTGTGATGCTGGCCAGTGATGGAGGACAAGGCAGATGGACATTATCATGAAGGAAGATGACCACAAGACATCCGCCCACTAATATCGACGCGGGAGCTGCCAATACACGAATCGGCTCTCGCCCAGAGAACAAAAAGCATCTTACCTCGCTGGATAATGTCTGATAGGAAGGAAGGAAGAAGCCTTCAGGGAAGTTGGATGAAGATGACCCGACCCTACCTGACGTCTCACAAACGACTGGATCCAGATTATTCCGACAAATCTTGACCTTGATCTTGAGGAGTTTTCCTTGTGTAACACAACCAGCCATAGCAAGCAGGGGCAGCTGACATGGGCATAACACCGGCATAGCATAGCAGGTCTCATGAGATTTCAGTCTAGCTATGTCTGTATGTGTGTCTGTGTCTAGGCCTGTGTCTACGTCCATGTCTGTTTGTCTATGTATGTAGATAGAGTTAGAGCGCGCGACCTCGCCGCCGACTGCTGTACCACTACACTGCACTGCACTACATTACTGATACACATACCAATGCGTATCACATCACATCGCAGCATATCATATCGTAACATTTCCATGTCGCTGTACCTAGGTATTACAGCACACGGCTCACTTCACACCATATCATGGCATTCCCATATCGCCGTACCTAGGTACATATTACATCACATGGATTGTACGGCATGCTAGGTACATACCTTGTAGGTACCTACCGTGATTACTCCGTACTGTTTTTCTCTGTTTTGCGGCGTGACGGTTTCCTTTAACCTAAGCACGTAAGGTACCGAGTACATAGGGCTTAGGTATCTACTCCGTACGGTGCATGGACTATATGCTATGCCCTATGCGGCTGAATGTCGATGCACACGTCCATGTACATGCCAACGCCCACGCCCATGCCCACGCCCAATGCATGCAAGCGGCGGCGTTCGCTCTGTCAGGCTGTAAGCAGGCAAGCAGTCAAGCAGGCAAGGGAAGAAATCCAATACGTATCTACGTAGTACATATGTTCATTTACCTGAGTCGGTTTCCCACAGGCCTATGTATGAACGCATAAATGCATTGTATCTACGTCATATTTGTTGCTGTGTACCTGGTACTTTGGATAATTATGGCCCTTGCTCCAGTCCGTCTTGACACTACACCTCTTGTGTCACCTTTCTCCGAGGCAGGGGAGGCGGTTTTGAGCTGCGGTCTGGCCGTCATAACCTTGGTAATCTTTGACATGTCAGGTGCATAAGGCATCGCTGACTTTTGCTGGCTCACCAATTTACAAGACTGTTTAAGTGTATGGGAGACCGTCCATATGTCTTCCGGAACTTGACCTGAGTGTCATATATGCCGCGCGCAGGCTGGCGGAGCGTGGCCATGGAATAATGACAGATCTTGCGATCTTGCCAGGAAACGTGGCGAGAGGTCTAGCCGTGGCTTTGCACGAGAGTGGAATGCAGATGGCGCGACAGTTCGGATGGAACTTTGTCCATGAACGAGGCGGTCGAGCTTGCGTGTCGGATGAGCTCTTGTCTGAGCTCGAGGCGGTTGCAACTGGCTTGTCGTAGATGAGCGAGTCCACTTTATATCACTTCCACGGTTCGCTTTAGCTCCTGGCCACGGGGATGTGCACGGCTGTCAGTATATCGCTCACGCTCCAGCCCGGTCCGCCGGGCACAATCTCCCGCCACGACTCGTCAGGGACGCTGTTTTCAGCAGAAAGTAATGACCAATTCGGAGATGGTGCCGAGGCGTCTAGGTGTTTGAAGTCGTCGATTTGGTTCCATTGATTCGGGACAGCGGTGGGGTCTTCCTGCAAGGAGGAGATGAGATCACTCTATGAAGACAGAGTCAGTAAGCAATACCGAGGTCGGATCATGCGGCACCCACATGAAATTTTGGTAGTTCTGCAAAGCGGATACCCTTGCAGTCTTCAATGATGGGTCGACTTGTGCAGTGTAGATAAACATCGACATCTTCGCAGTCGTGCATGCGGAATTGGCGGCATTTGATCACCAACACGGAGTTCTTCACACCGGTGATGTGCGCGGGGCCGGAGACTGAGCCACAGAGCAGCAACGAAGAGGTGACAGACGTGATCGTTATGGACGCAAATGGAGAATTTGCCGTCGTAGGGACTGAGAGATCGACTACACATCTAGAGAGCTTCGAGAGGGAACAGGGTGTGCGAGCGTTGGGTGCAGACGAAGGGAGGATGATATGTGTATTAGATTGATTAGAGATCGCGGTAGAGGTCGTCGTTGTGGATAAGGACGGCCGGTCGATGTCCTTTGCCGGATCTGCGGGAGGTGGTTGTAGTTTCGTTTCGGTGTTGATGGTGGCCTTAGATGCTCGCTCCGCACTCTCTTCTGCTTCCTCCTCCTCTATGGTCTGTTGTTCATCTTGCGCGACTTCATTGGCTGGTGTATTGATGTAGCTAGGGGTGTTTGCGAAGGAGGTACTCGTTGATGGGGACGCGAAGCCAGGCCCTCCCCCTTTGCGTTTCTCGGCCGCCAGCTCTGCAGCGTCACTCAATGACAGAGCTGACGGGCTCTTAGACTTGAACGAGAACTTGGGCTTAGGGGCATGGGACCTCCTTGTCTCTTCAAGTTTCTCTTGTAGAGCTTTCACCGCTTCACCATAGGTCCTCTGGTCGTACGGCGGAAGGTATCCTGCTGCGTCCTTTAGCTCAGCAGACAAGCGAGTTATGCCTGCGAGACAGTGGTCCATTGCATCAGTGCGCTCGCCGCCAATTAGCGCTGTATCTGCGAGTCGGCCCATTTGTTCTTGCAAGGCTGTGATTTCGTGTTGAAAGAATTGAAAGAAACGCTGCTGGTGCGAGAGTTCGGGACCAGGCGATGTCATACTGGGCGATGTAGATGTGTCTGCTGCCATTTTCTTGCAAAAAGAGTGCTATATGAGACGAGCAAAAATCCTCCTGCAGAATAAGGGGTGGAAAAGGAACAAACAGAGTCTGTCACACGAGCAAAACTTGACCACAGCTGTGACTCTGAAGAAGCGTGGATGAAGGGATCATGAGTTGAGCTTCAGCACCGCAATGCGGGGGTGGCCATGGGGGACGCGACGGACAATGATGGGCGATGGGTGATGAGCGTTGGATGATGGCCGATTCGGATACCGATCGACGGCGCGGGCCCACGGAGCCAGCAGAGCCCGCCTAAGCCGAGTTCGGTAGGTGCTCGCGCCTGTGCCTCGCGCTTCCTCAAGGCGCGGCTGCGCTTTTGCGGGCTTAATTCTTCGAAACCACCATTTACCGTCTTTGCTCTTCCGTCTGTCCGTGTCTTGTGTTCTCCCTGGCCAGGCCAGTCCAGCCACTTCGCTCGCTTCGTCTGCGTATGGTCTTTCGACTCCTTGTCCGGCATGCATCAACTGTTGCAAAGAGGACTCCTCGGCGGGCTGCTGGGCGCTATGAGATAATCAGTCAGAACCTATGTAGTGAGTGAACTCTGTTGCGTGCGCTACTCCTTGGTTGACCTTCCTTCAGACGATGTGCTCAAGAGACTGCGTCCTAGTCTCCCCCCTCCCTCGACATGCGATGTGATCGACATAAATCCTGGTGTCGGCCTCTGGTCCAAGGCCTTGCACCAAGTCCTCCAACCTCGACGACACGTCCTTGTCGAACCTGAGTTGAAACAATACGCAGACAGCCTAGCGCCTCTGCTCGACAGCGCCGGGTCACGGTATCGATATGCCACCAACCTTGAGGAAGCATTTGATCCTGAGAAAGGACTCCTCTCCGAATATGCCACGGGGAAAGGTGCTTCACCAGGAAAACTCCCCGAATTCAATCAATCGCTATTGATGACAGTCAATTTCTCCAGCCGGAGAGTATCCCAAGGCGCTTACTTGGGGTCTCTCGGCAAGAAGTTCTTTGACGATCTGTTCTTCTCCCTCTTCTCAAACCAGGCCGGACGCAGTCTTTTCCGTTATGGTCTGATTCGGATATTGGCATGGATCCCTGAAGAGATGGGCAGAGAACCTTTTGTTCCCAGGACCGTGTATCGTCGGTTCAAGCAAACAATCATACTCGAAGCAATGGCAGACATCAACGAGGTCGCCGGTGTGCCTGGAGGCTTTGGTACCACCAGGTATAGAAGATGGCCTGAGCTCGAGTTGGAGGAGTATGCTGCCATAGATGCCCGAGCAAAAGAGAGCCCTGCCCATCAGGTACCAAGGTCGAGGCTGGACAAGCCGCCTGCTCCAGATCTCCGCAGCATTGAACCCACGCCGCAGAATCTTAAATCCTTGCCCTTCTCGAGCGACGCGCTCTGGATCCCCGACTTCGTCCAGGTATTAGAGCGCCTGAAGACGGAAGAGCCGGGCTTCTATCGTACCCATGCTCACGGTCGGATACCTGGCGAAATGCGCTACAAAACTCCGCTCCAAAGGCAATGGGCAGCCTACCTGAGAGAAGCCAATACCAAACATCGGACGCATATGAGAGCAGTCGAGGTCGTCAATGAGGGAAGGCGGCTGATTGCCGATTGGAAGGCTGCTGTGCAGGAAGCCCATGGTCAGCCACTGGACCCGGCTCTTGAACTACAGCTCCGATGTCGTGGCGATGAAAATCACAAGAAAATACAAGCCATGTTCGAGACGAACAGGATCTGGGCTCAGAAAGCTCTTGACGACTGCCGAGCTGTTGACATGTCGCCACCTATACTTTTCTGGTCTCGACGGGAAACACATCCCCTGATCGTGCGTGACGGCGAGTTTGAGCCGTCAAGCCGGCACATGGCCCTCTTGGACGTGGTGCCACACTCCAAGCTGCTGAAAAAGCTCGACACGCACGACAAGATGGTGTGCTTTCGACACGTCATGACCACACTCTCCAATTGCCTGTCATATTCAATACCCGAGGCGGCGAAGACGCTGGTCCACGACGCAGGTGTCGAAGATTTCCTCAAGACAATCCATGGCATACATGATCCTACCTTGGGAGGATGGTATGATTTGACGCAACTGAGATTGAGAGCTCTACCGGCAGATATGTTTATTGAGATTGCATTGGCGTATGAGAGGTGGCCTTTCCGTCCTCGAACCGAGTCTATGCTACTGGCAGCTCCGGATTCACAGGCCACATATAGTGCCGAGGAGAAGAATATCAAATGAGCCGACAACGGTCGTACTAGAAATATGAACAATGTCCTTTCGTGATCTAGCTCACTGCGCGGCTCGAGTGAGGCTGAATTTAGGCTCAGTCAAGCTTCCTCAGCTGGGTTCAGCTCTGAAGCATCAGTCCTGATTCATCCGTATCGCACCGCACAACCATTTACAATTGAATCTTAGGTCGTTAGAACATGCCTCAGGGTCTATATGTGGAAAGCGTCTTTGCAGCGCGCCCTGAAACATCCGCATTCGCATTCACCTTCGCCTTCGACAGTCCTCATTGGTGGATCATTATCGAAATATCTCCAGACAGCAGGCAGAAGCATATCTCCATTTCCTGGTCAATGTACCTTGAGCGTGACGGTATAAAGATGGCTGATTCCACTTTTTGACTTCATGATACGTATTACATGACGTTCAGTGAACTTCGTGATACGAAAACAAAGGAAATCTACGAGGCCTCAACTGTTACAAGGTATTGTCAATACTCGCCAATAAACAGCTAATTACCACAAAGGTTTGGCCAATATGGACATCACGCACATCGTCCAACCACAAAGCACGGCCAGCAAGACCGACCCTGCCGATGTCATAATGTGGTCGTCTTCTACTCCTTCTTCTTCTGCATCGCAACCACACCCAGGACAAGGTCAGCCCACGACGACATCCCATTGCTTCAACACGCCAGCTTTCCCCGGGCCGCTGTTGGTTGTGGACCGCGACCACGACCGCGAAGGCAACGGCGACCGCCAACGCACGCTGCTTCCCGCCGCGCACACCCGCACGGCCCTGCTCCTCATCGACATCCAGCGCGGCCTCAACACGTCGAACGGCTATTTCGGTAGCGACCGCGCAACTCCGACGCTGGAGGGGAACGTCGCGACCCTGCTCAGCCGATGCCGCGAGTATAATGCCCGAGTGGCAGAGATGAACTCGACGACGACGACGACGACGACGACTTCCGCCTACCCAATCCAGATGATCCACGTGTTCCATCAGAGCAGTAACCCGGCCAGTCCGCTGCACGTGAGCGGCAGAGCGCAAAAGGACGGCATCGAATTCATGCCGTGCGCGGCGCCAGACGACTCCTCGGCCTTTGAGACCGTGCTGGCCAAGCGGGCGAATTCGGCGTTCGCGGACGGGAGGCTGAAGCGTCTACTGGCGGAGAAGAGGATCGGACAGCTCGTCGTTGTGGGGATCGCGACGGATCATTGCGTGTCCTCGAGCGTGAGGTGGGCGAAGGATTTAGGGGTCGTGAAGCGGGATTGGGATCGCGCCTTGCATCATGGTGGTGGTGGTGGTGGCGGTGGGATGGCCATTGGGGAGACGGAGGCGGAAATGGATAATGAAGGGACAATCGTGGTCGTGAGAGATGCGACGGCTTGTTTTGGCAAGGGCGGCGTAGGGGCCGAGATGGTTCAGAGGGTCAGTCTTGCGAGTTTGGAGGGCGAGTTTGCTGACTTGCTGTGTACGGCGGATGTGCTGGATGAGTTGTTTGGATAGGGTAGGTACTTGGGCACGGTAGGGTAGGGTAGGGTATGGTGTGGTATTGTATCAATGGCCGAGCGGGGAAACGAAGCCACGGTCAAGGAGTTGCGACGATTGAACGACGATTGAACGGGGCAGTGGAGGGCGAGGACAGACACAGACATGAACGAGGGTGTCGAATCATACATAATCAGTCTAGGGTCGAAACTGTGCATTCCGGGCGAATGCAAACCTCGTGGCATGCCGTGCTCTTTGTGAGTTCATACTTTCGATAACTCTGGCAGAGCTGGTCGGCTGCGGAATGGGACTGAAGACTGAAGACTGGAAACTGGCTGGTCAATTCACGTTGATGGATCGGCGACTGATGTTGAATTAGGGGAGGCAGCCTTATGAAGCGTGGTCTACACAGTTCGCTTCGACACATCCATATTGAGCGTATCGACACGTCCTGTGACTTTTACACCGTTACCTACGGTTGACCTCCAAGTTGGACGGAATTGCAAATGTGCAAACAAGAATTGATCACATTGCTGACGTACTGGCTGTTCGCCTCCTCATCTTTGAGTTCCACGCAGAGAAAAACGAACCGTCGTCCCGGACAGCGATGTGTCGGGTGAGAGGAGCGAGAACACAGGCTGGCGAGGTGCATCTCTCCAGGAAGAGTGGCGGGCGTCTAGTAAGTGTAGGAGTGCAGCTGCCGAGTTCACCATCTTACCGTCTCGAGCTTCGTTGATGTCGTATCGCAGTCTGGCTTTGCTCCATGGGAGGACTTCGCCGACGGCCCATTTGGTAGATCGGCTCGACGGGATCGATCGAGTGCAGCCACGACCCCGGTCAGTATACTTGCTTAGTAGTGCTTGGGACAGCCGTATTTCATGGAATTGGTGGAGCGGTGAGGGACCACAGTAAGAGTATGGGATCTCTTGACTGAATACGAAGTCGTTTTTGCGCCATGTTGGTGTTCAGGGAGACATGCATAAACGAGCTTGCAGTTCGAAGATTTATAGCCCGGAGGCTGTAAGCGGTACAGTATCTAGATCGGTCCTTGAAGCATAGTTGTGGGGAAAATACGCGGCGAGGAAGCGTATATGAGTGTGATTCGGGGAGTGTTCTGTGGTTGCCAGAGTGAGGATGTTAGACCTTTCACTTCTCATTGCTTGCCAGACGATCCTGACGTTCAGGGTGAAATTGAGTCGCAGACAGCGAACACGGCGTTTGAAAAATCAGCGGCTATTGCCCGCGGTGAGTCTCAATAAGTCCTTTTGGAGTTCGTGTTGAGTACTGGAGCAGCGAAGTAGTTGGATCTTCGGACACGAATATCCTAAACATAAGTCAACACGATGACCGGCAGAAACCCATGAGGAAGTCTTTAGAGATTTCCTCTGGTCAAGCTGTTCGGTACTCGACAGTATATGCATGCCGCTGAATTGCCGCCTGTGAGAGAACAGGTCCACCACACCTGCTCTTGAAGTCTGAATGGCTGACGTAAGGTCAGGTCAGCCTCGTGAGTGAGGCTCTTCACAGAAGCGAATAACCGCCGAGAACGTCCAGTCCTGCTACGTTGCTCCTGGATCGGGAATAATCCTTCAGCTCGACGTCTGGAAGAAATATACAAAGACCGAAGTGATAGCACTCGCCTTCTCGAGACCACGCCAGCTGCCCATCTCTTCAACCATCCTTCCAGCATCAATCATTGTTCTGCCACCATGCCGGCCTTCAAAAGGCTCCTTCCCGTTCTTTTCCTCGTCCCTACACTTGTTTTCGGGTACCCCCCCTCCGCACCAGCAAGCTCAGACGACACCGACAAAATCACCTGCTTTGAGCAAGGCAGTGGCTTTGTCACAACCGCCCAGGCCAACGACCTCGTCAACGAGTTCAATCGCCTAATCTGCCAATCAAACCCCAGTGCGGGCATCTCGCTGAACGGGCTCGAGGGGGTCTCCGTCAATGATCCTTCCGGCACAATCATCTTTCAGAACACTTTGACCCAGGTGGCTACTCCGCCAAACTGCGGAGAGGTCGTTGAGGATTTTCAGAAGCTGTTGGATGCATGTTTCACGAACCAGGGCAGCTACGGTGGTGTGTTGATTGAAACGGCTGGTGGCGGGGCGACGAGCTATATCATCAAGTCGCCATGACGAGAGCACAGATGAAGGAGAGCTGAGACTGGCCAAAGGATTGCGGACTGATCGTCAAAGGTGGCCTACTGGTCTCTTGCCTCCTTCTCCAGCTTGGAGAGAAACGGTGAGAATTGCTGTGGAGGGTGATGAAGTGGAAAAGTTTTGGCACTGGTGCTGGGGTTGAGGTAGAGGCAGTTCCTAGCAGTCAATGACCCGATTCTCACTTAAAGCTTGAAAGAGGAAAGAAATACGGAGTACGGGATCCGCGTCCTGGTTTGAGTGACACGTGCGTTGCTCCTTCCAAAAACCCCACCTTGCCGCATGAGGCTAGTGACTGCCGCTTGCATCGCCCGGCAAACTTTCCTCGCTTCCCAACTGCCCTTATCTCCATGCCCTCTCACCTTCCTCTTCCTCCTCTAAGGCCCAACTGCCGACAAGCATCTGCCTCAAAAGCTTTGCATACACTGCGTGGCGTGCCGTTCCGTCCCTACATGCACCCCTACAGTCTCGCCCCGCCACGGGCTGTTATCATGCCGCCAAGTCAGGACAACAACGAGTTGGCATGGAAGGTCCTGCCTGCAGCTCCAGCCCCTCGTTTCGCAAATACATAAAGCGGTCACGAAATGACTATCGTCCTCCCAAGGTTTGGAAGCGTCGGAGCAGTAGTTGGCACCTCCGCCAGCACGCTCTTCCGCACCATCTGTACACTTTCGTTTACCCATCTCTGCCTTTGATTTCCATTGTTGGCTCAATTTCTCAACATGAGCAAATTTGCTGAAGTTGCAGCTCGCGGTGAAGAGGTCTCCCCGAGGGATAGCAATGATGCAGTAGTAGGTGAGAAGCTGGGCACGGCACGAGATGTCCAAGATATGAAACGTATGGGCAAAGAACAGCTGTTTAAGGTAATCCAAGGTGCCGTCAATGTTGACAGAATAGCGGAGTTGACGATAGCACTGCAGCGGAACTTCGGGTTCTTGTCCATTTTCGGGTTCGCCATGATTTTGATGCAGACATGGCAAGCTTTACTCGGGTGAGTCTGCAAGCCGCCTGATCTCCGCGTGCTGGACGTCTGTTGATCACGAGTGCTGTAGGACCATCGTCTTTGGTCTCGGTAACGGTGGCACAGCTGGCCTGATATATATGTACATCATTGTCGTTTTCTTCTTCAGCCTTGTCAACATTTCCATGGCTGAGATGGCCTCCATGGCGCCGACAGCAGGTGTGTTCGATGTGGCCTGGAGACGTGCCTGTTCGTATCCTTCCGAAACTCACTCTGCAACAGGCGGTCAGTACCACTGGATCTCCGAGTTTGCACCTCGAAGCCAACAGAAGCTTCTTTCCTTCGTCGTGGGTTGGCTCTGTACCCTCGGCTGGCAGAGTGGAGTCTCGATAGGATGCTTTCTCGCGGCGACGGAGATTCAAGGTCTCATTGTCCTCAACAACGACAATTACAGCTACGAACGGTGGCATGGAACTCTCCTCACTATTGCAGTCGTACTCTTCGTCGCCTTCTTCAACACCTTCTTTGCAAAACATCTTCCACTCGTTGAGCGGTTTGTTCTTGGCCTGCACCTCGGAGGTTTCATTTGCATACTTGTCCCACTATGGGCGCTTGGTCCACGAGGAAAATCCCATCAGATTTGGACTGTCTTCGAAGATGGCGGCGGATGGGGTTCAAGTACGTTCCAGAAGTTCAACTGTTCGGAGTCCTGCTAATCGTCTCAGCCGGTCTCGCAACGCTTGTCGGCGTCATCACACCTACCACTGCTTTTCTTGGTGCTGACGCTGCTGTCCACATGGCTGAAGAATTGAGGAACGCTTCCAAGACTCTCCCGAGAGTCATGATATGGACCTCGGTCATCAACGGAATTTTGGGCTTCATTATGCTTGTGTAGGGTATCCCTGAACTAGAATAGCACCCATAACTGACAGAGCATACAGTACCTTCTGCTGTAAGCCGACTGACCACGTATATGAGGGCATCTCTTCTGTCGTGCACGAGTACTAATGTTTCTTAGATACGTTAGGCGACCTGGATGGCGTCCTTGCAACGCCGACCGGGTATCCTTTCATTCAAGTCTTCTACAACGCCACTGGATCGAAGGGCGGTGCTACTGCAATGTCATGCATCCTCGTTCTTTCGTCCGTCGCGAACGGCATGACCAACATGGCGACTGCGTCTCGGCAACTGTTCGCCTTCGCTCGTGACAAAGGCTTGCCATTTCACACATGGTTCGCTAAAGTCGGCGATCGTATCGAGATTCCATTCAACGGTGAGTGGTAGGCCACCTACAGAATCGTCTGTCGTTTGACGCATGTCTAGCGGTCATTTTTACCGTGGGATTCTCCGCCCTGTTTGCTCTGATCAACATCGGCTCGACCGTAGCCTTCAATCAGATCCTATCACTCGGCGTCGCGGCACTGCTCTCCTCCTACCTTGTCTCAATCGGCTGCGTCGCCTTCCGTCGCCTTCGTAAGCAACCGCTTCTCGGCCGGGCTTTCAACCTCGGGCCATTGGGGCTTCCCATCAACTTAGCCTCCATTGCCTTCCTCCTCTTGACCTTTGTCATGAGTTTCTTCCCCGGTATGGGACACCCCATTCCTCAGACCATGAACTGGTCGTGCCTGGCTTACGGTGGGGTGCTCATCATTGGAGGAGGATATTATATGTTTTGGGCACGACATCATTATGTGGGACCCGTAGAATATGTTCGCATGAGCGCTTGAACCAGAAAGGGACAGACTCCGCCACGCTGTGGGCGAGCAGTCTGGGTTTTCTGATCCCTCGATGTGATAACAAGACAGTAGACGGTCGCGGTCTACCGCGGCAGGAATTCAATTATTATGTGGCTTCTGGAGTAACACGGCTGTGCAGATCCCTAGCAGAGTCATGGTGTTTTCCGGGTAGCGTAGACGTATTCCGGAAGAGCAGGACGAATCTTGGTTTGGTCACTTCGAGGAAACGTCAGGCTGGCAGAAAAGGGGAAATATCCACCGCTATGAAGGACGCTCGTCCGCTTCAGATTTTGACTTGTGATGGTGGCATTAGCGCGCTGCGCATGGAGCGCCTAGGACACGGAGAAATGCACTTCCGTGAAGCGACGACTCAACATTATCATGACTCATATCTGGCCCCCATAGGGAGAGTTGATGTGCGTTACGGAGTTTCAGAGGGCGCCATTCAGCGAGCCGGGCCGGCAGTAAATCTCTCTTGTTTCTCACTGAGCGCCCTGCTACACGAATGCCAAAGAGAACAACCTTTCTTCTCACATGACCTTCCTCTTTCCGAGCGTCCTCTTCACAAGGTATGCTTTCTCCTCGGAGGACGTTGCAGACTCGGTTCCCCATTGTCCCGTATACCTGATCATGGGTCTCAATGGTTAGCGCGGCCCAAGTCGGAGTAATAGCATACCTACAGTAATTCCTTAGGGCTAGCTACGAGTCTAGTAGGGATGTACTCCGCACGTTTCTCGACTCTAGCACTCTAGCGCCTCCACCATTCCCGAAGTCACGACGAATTCTACCTCTAGTATATATCCGATTCTATCCGCCCGACGCTCATCTTGGGATCCTCCTTGATTCTGAAGACAGCCATCTCAAGAGACATACAGGTAGGCAGTGAAACCGCAACCATACGAGCAACGCCATGGCATATCAATTCCCCAACCCTGTCGAAGCGTCCGACCACGTCCTCGCCCTTCTCGACCGTCTCCACCGGCAATCCGAAGCCCAAGAAGCAGGCTTCGACATCTACAAACACAGCGCCTCGGCGTCGAACTTCAAAGAGGCCGTCCAAGACAAGTTCATCGCCCTCGACCAGGACAAATGCCACTGCTTATACACGCTCTGTCGCGCCCTCAACGCCAAGAACATTGTCGAAGCAGGCACCAGCTACGGCGTCAGCACCATGTACTTGGGCCTGGCTGTGACGCGGAACATCGAAGCCACGGGCGGGACCGGGACCGTGATTGGCACGGAACATGAAACCTCCAAGGCTGAAAGGGCTCGCGCGTACTGGGCCGAGGCCGGCGAGGAGGTGTCGCAACACATCGACCTGAGAGTCGGGGATCTGCGGGAGACGTTGAAGTCGGATCTGCCTGAGGAGATTGACTTGGTGCTGTTGGACAGTGAGTGCCTTCCCTGCCCATTCTGTCCCTCATCGTCACGCGGCTGCAACACCAGTCGTGTACAGCCGCGAGTTACATACGGGTATGTGAATCCATACTGATTGACGGCATCGTGGTGGTTAAGTCTGGGCGCCGATGACGCTGCCGGCCCTGAAGCTCGTCCAGCCGAAGTTGCGGTACGGGGCCGTCGTCGTCATTGATAACCCGATTGCCTCGGCGGACAGGTATAAGGATTTGTTGGACCACTTGAGGGGCCGGGACAGCGGCTTTATCAATCTCACACTGCCGTATAATAAGGGCTTGGAGATGAGCGTGTATGTGCCTTCTCGAAAATAGAATGACGGGTGGCTGGAGCACGCAGAGGGACGGGTACAATGCGAGCACATCACACCACATGGATAGGTACAGTATCAGTAATGAGAACAGCATTGTTGAAACTTGATCTGCTCCCATTGGTGACGGGCAGTCCACCCAGAAGACTGGACGACAAGGATGAGTATACACACTCGATACCTATCATGCTACCTAGGTAAGAACGTTATGCTGGGCGCTTCATCGCCGACGACATGACTCGATTTCATCTTCTCGAAGCTGATACAGTACACTTGGCCTTCGGACGGACGCTACTCCCTGCGTCCTGTCTTGGAAATCCTGCAGGCTCAATTCCAGACCACATCACTTAAAGCTGCATGGCATCGGTTTCATTGGACTGCTGAACCCGTCCTCACCATCGCCCACAAGATCAAGAATTGCAGCATAATGCTGGGTGTGCCATCTCCCCTCCTCCATCAGAATAACAACCTACCTGTGCACGTTCAGTACCACCTTCCGCTGTGGACAGTAATTAAAACCTGCCAGTTAGAAGCTGCGGCCAAAATGGCGCCGTGTGGGTGGGAGCGCGCAGGTGGACCTGCGGATGTTGTACGAATAGCATCTTATTGGGTACGAAACATCTATTCCCTGGGCGAGCCTTGCGACGGTGACGGTGAAGGTGAATGGGAGGTGAGGTGAGGTGAGGTTGAGCTTTGCGAGAAGAGGAAGCGACGACACGACGGATGCAGGCGGTGCACGTGGGGCAAAGTTCGCCAAGATGACCTCATAAACAAAACCACAACATGGCCAAACTCGGACGGCGAAGGTGAACACGAACACGGTAACCGCCCAGTAGGATGACCGCTAGACCTCCACCTCCGCACCGCGTCGCAAAACCTCATCCACGAATTCCAGACGCGCCACCTTTTACAGATATCTTTGGGAACTATCACGGCTTATCTGGGGCCCAACTGAAGATCGCAACGATCCCTTGAAGCTGCCGCTGCAGCTCTCGCAGCGCGATGCCACGCGCACCGCTCCGGCGCCGCCAGCTCAACCGAAATGGCCCGACTGCGCGCAGTCCGCGCTTTAAAAAGATCCCCAGCAGCAGTCCCGCCAAGGCAGAACTAGCGAAGAAACTTGCGCATAAACCCATTGGCCCTCGGCCGACCGATAGCGATGACAGTGATAGGCTCGTTGTCAAGGGCAATGGGAGGAGAGGGAGAAACGTCGCAAGCCAGGAGATTTACGCCTCGGGCGCCGTGGGAAAGGGTGACAAGCCGGGGAATTACCCCACAAGGGCTCAGAGGAGGAAGAGTCTGACGGATGCGACAAGGGAGATTCTCGCGAATGGACCGATTGATGTGCGAAATGGGAAAGAGTCGGTGGCAGCGCACGGCGGCAGATCACGTACTCATGTTCAAGAGGAGCCGGTTGAGAAATCCCCGCAGGTGAACGGGGTTGTAAAGAAACCCATGACCGCCAGGAAAGACGCACCGCCTCCTGCCACTGTCGCATCTTCAGCTGTGATACCCTCGGAATCTGCTCCAAGGCCAGTACAACCGACACCGACGCGGGAGAACTCGATTCTTGGGACGCTGAAGCCCCGACGGCGGCAGCCTAGTATTCTGCAAGACATTGACCAGGACTCATCGAGCTTCGACGTTGAAGACGAAGAGCAATTCTTACCCGATGACGAATCTACTCCTTTCAATCCGACCAAACCTCAACGCCCACTTTCGTCTCCAAACCCTCCATCACCCTTGCTCTCGTCCTCTTCACGAAAACGGAAGTTTGGTGCCTCGGATCCGCTTGGTCTGACTGAAAGTGACAAACATCAAATGCCGACCAGCTCGCCACTATCCTCTGCTCGACGATCTCGAAATACCCCTGAACCGTCGCTTCCTGCACTCCCGGTCTCTACCTTGCGGGAATCGGGCCGAAAATACCGCGAAAGCGTCCGCCACGCAGACGATATCATGGCTCCCCCCGAAAGCAGCTCCTCGGCATCATCCTCCCCAGCCAGGGCAAAAGCTCCTCCATCAATCTCCAGGACGAAGACACAGATTCCGAAGCCGGTCGCCACGATCACGACGAAACAGCTGCTCGAAGCCGCCATGCCGTCGAAGCGCCGCAAGGCCACCCGAGAACGAACACGAAATCGCGATCATTTCGATATTCCTGCAGATTCTGACTCTGAACTAGCAGACGGGGACGACGACTCGAATTTCCTACCCGCCGGAAATGGCCGCAAGAACAGGCGGAAAGAGCCAGTCGTCAAGCCAAACGGCGCGCGGACAAGAACAAAGGCTAAACCCAAGCCTGGCAAAGCTGCTGCCACTGCCAAACGGAAGCAAGCAGCCTCAAAAACAAGTACGAGCCATCTTCTCACCACTTCTACCACTGCGCCAATCTTGACGCCCTCTACATCCACATCGAATCGCGAAACTAAGTCTCCCTCACAGCAGCGTTCTACTACAAGCGTGTTATTCAATACCGATGGAGAGCTCAACGCACGCACGTCGAAGCCGTATGGTGGCTCCCACCTGCGTGGGCAAGAGCAAGGTCCCACGGCACGTGGAGGAGACAAAGAGAATCAAGTCCCACGAGAGCCAGGCTCAAGCGATGAACTTTCCGAAGGTCATCGAAATATTGGAAACGCACAAAGTAAGCAGGCGGGGAGTAAAAGCAAATGGGCGGATATAGATGCTTGGGATATGGATTTCGAGGATGTGGAGGTATTGACTGGTTCGGGGGGGAGTTCGCCTTTTCTACGGTGACCAACACTCTACCTATTTGTCTGCTTAAAACATCAAGAGACAGGTCTGGAGACGACAGCACCGTCGAGTTCGAGCAAGCATGACTTTACGAGAAGATGAGATGGAATAAAAGCTGTTGATGACTCCGTCGTACCGTGGGATTCATACCTAGAACGAGAACATGTGTCCGCCACAATCACTCTCATCGAGTCTGAGATATTGTTTCTAGAAATGCTGGGCATATTACCAACATGGAAAGCATTGTTCGCTGCTTTGCGAATCTGAGCCATGGCGAGCAGATCGTTGAAGCAAAGCGAAGAATTAGGCCATCAGTCCTTGTCTTGTAGACTCGACATACTTCGCCTCAGACACGAGAAACGATGCTCGTGTCTGTGGGACGACCGATTTAGACCCAATGAGCCATACAAGGCTGAATGCCAAGGCCGACAAGGCTGCCGATTCAATGACGCCGCAGTTCCAACTGAGTGAAAGAGCAATCAATCTGCCTTCACTTGCGCTTCACTTCTGTCCTGGTGACAACTACTAAAATTCCCACTCCGAACAAGAAACGCGCACGCGTATCTATCTTCTACAACTACGACTTCAGCGAGACACCACCATTGCGAGACAGTCCCCAATCACCGATTGTGATTGATCCTCTCACATGGCAGCCTCGTGAGCCGACTGCCCTTCCCCACCAACCTTGTCTGCGATCATGGATCAGTTCCTGGCGGAGAGTGCTGCTCTCCTCTCAACGCCTTTACCACAGGCTGAGAGTCACTATGACCAGACGGCAAAAGGGCTCGTCTCAGCACTGAACAAAATCTCCGCACCAGATCTAGCATCCGCCCGAACAGCTCTAGACGTATGCTCTCCCCGTCTTGAAGTCGGCCAACACTGACGACCACCAGGAAATACCTTCATCGCACCACACAATTCTCTACACGTACATCCTCCTAGCGAATATCGAGGTCTCCGCAGCAAGCGGCAAGGCTGCCCCGAGACAAGTACCTCCGAGTGTCCTTCCCGAAGGTGCATTATGGCGCTACATTGCCCATCTCATCTTCGAATTCGATCCGATTCAAGCGCGGTATTGCGGTAGCCAGCTGCTGAGAATCGTCGACTACGTGTCCTTGGGCGCAGAACAGACTACAAATTATGTCCCCGCAATCCAAATGCTCCATCACTTCATTCTCCGGTTAGACAGCACATCCTCTACCCTCACCTCCACTCATCGAACGTTCGTCCGGCTATGTCTGCTGTCTCAGGCCTACGCAGAAGCTGCCCAGGTTTTAGACAAGCCTATCTACCATATCCCCTCGATACAGCCTGACACCAGGACCAATAGATATCTCTGTTCGGATTCAGATCGATCATACCTGTTCCTCAGCCCGGCCACGGGTCTGTCGCAACAGATCACCAGCCGGACATACCTTGAATACTATTTGTTGGGCGGCATGTGCTACATGGCACTGAGGCGGTATCAAGACGCTACGCTCTTCCTTGAGGTTGTTCTTACGGCACCAGCCGTCCAGAACGTGGCAAGTGCAATCATGGTAGAGGCGTACAAGAAATGGTTGCTTGTTGGGCTGTTGATACGAGGAGCCACTCCCACGATACCAAAGAACGTCGGCCAGAACGCTATCAAGCATATTCGAGCATTGGCACGGCCATACGAATGTGTAGCTGAAGCCTTTAAAATTGGGAACATTGAGCGACTGCGCGCGGAGATCGAGGCGGGGAATCTCATCTGGCAAGACGACAACAATTACGGTCTCATGGTTGAAGTCTATCAAGCTTTCCGAAAGTTTGCAGTGCTGAAATTGGGGCGGACCTTTGCTGCGCTATCAATAGCGGAGGTTGCCAGACGAACCTCACCCGATGCTAGCAATCTTGGTGAAACAAAGGCATACCTCGGAGCACTGATTGCGAGTGGCGCCTTGAACGCGGTCATCACAGATGGGAGCAACGGTGGTCAGACCTTACGGTTTTTGTCTTCATCGACATCTGCAAAATCAGAAGCACAAGTCGAGTCGGCTCTGGTAGCTCAGGCGCAAGATTTGCAAACTCTGCTACAGCATGTCCAAGACACGGAACATCGCCTCGAAGTGAGCAGAGAGTACGTCGACTACTTGAGGAAACTGAAGAAACTGAAAGAAGAAGACAAGAAAAGTAGCGGGACGGGCGCTGGACGGTCGGCAGCCATGGAGGATGTTGACGAGGACATGATGGAGGAATTTTGAGGAGAGCCAACGCTCATGAGTTAGGACGAGAGCACCGATTGAGGGTAGTCAAGCTACTACTTGGCATAAGGCACGCGGCCCTGACAGGCGTGGACATTTTATGGTTGCCCATGAAGCGAGTGACAGCGTTGGTCGACCCTAGACGGCTTTGGGTGCACGGCCGGTCTCATGCATAACTAGGCAATGGCAGGATTGAAGCCACAAAGTGGGTTGAATGGGCGGCCAGGCACCTCGACAAGAAGCACGTAGCGTCATGCCCACGAATGAAAAATGAGACATGATACAGCCAACAGCCAACAGCCATCGTAGCCATCCACGCACCGTACCACACGGCATGACGGTTTTCAAAAGCCAAGAATGGAACGAAGCCCCTGGTGAGAGCAGCATCATCCCTTGATCTCGTTCCAAACGAATATGTCTCTTATATCACCTCTGCCACGTGTATGTAGACTGGCAAGGAAAGGGAGAGATGATAAAAAGGACCTGGACGGAAAGAGTTTATTCCACGGTTGGAGGAGCGAACTCATCCCGGCTTCGCAGTCTGCTCTGCACCCAACCGCGAAGCAGCGTGTGACGGTAGACAGAAGTGAGCGAGATGTTCCACCACGATTACAAGGGCTGTAGCTGCACTAATTCTGTCGCTGCCTGTGTTTGTGTACTGTAGAAGTTCAAGCTGGGAGCAGCGTAGCAGAACAGCGCACCCACGGGAGGCTTACCTTCCTCATTGGATTTAGACTTCCTCTAGGAGCGGTACGGAGAATGTCTTCTAATAGCAGCTTGATCAGCGGCTCCCATTGCCCGTGTCCTTCGCACCTTGCCTATGTGACTCGTTCGGAGGACATGATGAATTCAGAGCGGTCTGGGGGCGAACCTAACTACGAGTATCTACCTGGGTAGTTAGAGAAGCCTACGTAAACAATACGGTACTTTACACAGGGGGCAACGGTCCATGACACCTCCTTGGCGCTGTGTGGCCAACTGTCGGGTAACCTTCCCAGTCACACCTATGAAGGCTTAGTTCCCACGCCGCGGACTCATGGCTTCTACGATCACTCGTAATTCTCACAGCGGATTCTCTCCCAATCTGTCATCGTTGGTACACAGGTCGGGACTCTGTAAATGCGGAAACTGCGCAGCACCAAGGGCTCCGGCTCCGTCGGCGCTGAAGAAACACCCCAGGCTCCACTGCACGATGGGGACGACTATGGGGACGAAGCTGCACTCGCGGGGTGAATTCTCATCTCCGGTGGAGGCCCGGTGGATGTGGAGGGCTCCAGCAGAATCTACCCACAAGGTCGGAATGGCGAGCTGGCACTTTCGTGTTCTACTCGCCGCCGGTGCAGGATGGGTTCACATAAGGTTCATCTCTAGGGAGACATGCTCGGTGGAATCATGAGAGATCCATGGTCGGGCCCACGTTGCCTTACAAAACCGCATGTATTTAAACATGACGGTCGCTGTCCCGGACTCGTAGGTTATTCTCAAGATCCTCTCCTCTTGCAGGCCCTGATTCCACATCGCCACCATGACAGCTCATTCACTGGATACCAAAGGCGCGGACCATGTCACGGCGGACCAGGTCGAGGCCGCCATGAAAAAGCTTTCGACAGAAGAAGGAGGTGCCGCATTTACTGTGAAACAGCAGAGAAGAATCGTCCGGAGGATCGATTTGCGCCTCGCAGTGACGCTCGGATGTCTCTACTGTATCAGCCTGCTTGACAGGACCAACTTGGGCGCCGCGTCGGTGGCAGGGTATGTGCGTATCTTGTGGTGACCTTCTGCTGGCTGGCTGACTGTGGTCCAAGGATGCAGAAGAGTCTGAACATGAACAAAGAAAACAACGCCTATACAATAGTGTCGCTTGTCTTCTTCATTTCGTACACGATTTTCCAGGCGCCTGCAGTCGTCTTTATCCGGAAACTCGGACCTCGCAACTTCCTCGCAGCCATCGTCCTCGCGTGGGGAGCTGTCATGATCGTTAGTCGAGCACCACGTCCCAACAAGCTCTCGCCTAACCGTGGAACAGGGATTCGGCTTCGTACCGAGCTGGGAGGTCATGTGCGTCCTTCGAGTCATACTCGGCGCACTTGAAGCAGGGTGTAAGTAGCAGGCTCTTCCTCACAGCTCCCAGTGCTCTTCCCCAACAGACAATGTACAAGTCCTTCAGATCCTCTTGCTGACAGCTACGTTAGTCTATCCGGGATGCGTCTATCTCCTCAGCACGTGGTACCCTCGTTTCGACCTGCAAAAGCGCAATGCCCTGTTCTATCTGATCGGTAGCATGGCCTCAGGGTTTGGTGGAATATTATCGTATGGGCTCATGCAGATGGACGGGCTTTCGAGCCTTGAAGGTTGGCGTTGGATATTCATCGTTGGTAAAATCATCGCTTGCATCGGGCATGGAGGCTGACTTTGTCTAGATGGAGGGCATCTTGACATGCGTGCTCGCAGTGGGTGCTTGGTTCATCATTGTGGATTTCCCAGAGGATTCGCCGAAGTCCTGGCACTTCCTCAACGAGGCCGAGGCAAGTTGGGTTGTCGCACGCATCGAAAATGATCGCTCAGACACCTTCCCTGACGAGTTCTCGGTCGGCAAATACCTCCGGAACGCCTTGGACAGCAAGGTCTGGGCATTTGCCTGGCTCTACATGCTGACGACGACAAATTCGTACGCCATCGCCTACTTTCTGCCCATCATCCTCCGCAGTGGCATGAACTTCTCCGTGGCAGCTGCCCAGTGTCTCACGGCACCTCCTTATGTGGCTGCGGCGATTGTCATGTTCATCGAGTCTTACTATGCCGATAAGTGGCGGGTGCGCGGGCCGGTGGTTGTCGGAAACGCGCTTATGGGTAGGTTGTCCATTCACGCGCGCCTGCAGTGACTGACTCTTCTCAGGCATTCTCGGTCTGGGCTTGTTGGGATACGTCCATAACAACGGAGTCCGGTATTTCGGAGTCTTCCTGGCGACGACAGCATGTAAGTGATATGCGACTGAGGCGTCTTCTGCATTCTTAACTGACTGGAACTCTCAGGTAATGCGAACTGTCCAGCCTTGATCACCTACCAAGGGTAAGTCGGCGCCTTTTGCAATCTGCTACCGATATGGCTTGGCTGACCATGCGTCCCAGGAACAACGTTCGCGGTCAATGGAAAAGGGCGTTGACATCTGCCACTCTTGTCGGCGGCGGCAGCATCGGCGGCATCATTGGGACAACAGTCTTTCGAGCTCAAGACGCCCCCAATTATCGTCCAGGTATCTTGACTTGTCTGCTCGCAAACGTGTTGATCGTGTTGATCGTGGCCGCCTTGAGCGTCAAGTTTCACCGGGCCAACAAGAGGGTGGACAATGGTGGGAAGCCGATTGAAGGGCTGGAAGGGTTCAAGTACACCCTCTAGGCATCTGTAGGATGTTGTAATAGGCCGACAGGGACAGTGGCAAGTATTCTGCTGTCTTGCAGCAAGAGCTGTAGTCAAGGAACTGTGTGTTCCTAGAAGGCTGTAGAGAAGATTCTCAGTGCAGTCTCGGTTGGTAGATAAGAGAACGAGGCTTGTGCTCCACTGGGCTCATGTCTCCACTTGAAACTAAGTGCTCGATGCATGTACAACTGTGAATTAATTGGGTATGGCGTTTCTTTCCTGCCAGGCTTCATCGTACCGTACGGAGTAGTGTTCACGGTGACACCAATATTCGTCGGATCCGAGGTCGTTAGGCGTCCGTGGCGTCCTTATGTAATCCCACGTGACCCCCGCATCCCCGCACTTTCCTCGGCGCAGGCATCGGGGCAAGTCGCTCGCTTCCCCAGCCGGATTCCGCCGAACATGAGCTCGTGCTCGCGGCTCACTGACAGCGACAGAATTGTTGACCTCGTCCATCAATGCTATCGGAGCTGTCCACTCTTGCTCCGGAGATACACTGCGCTCGTTCTTGGGCATGGATCATACACAACGCTCCAGCAGACATGCATGGGCCTGCGACCGATGTCGCCGTCAAAAGCTCAGGGTATGACTGCTACCCTAAACTTCTAAAGCGAGGGTTGACCAGATTACGCAGTGTGATGTCGAGAAGCCGTGTATCTTATGTGTCAGAGCCGGTGCCACGTGCGAATCGCGGCTATCGGCGCAGTCACCTTCTCTGAAGCGCAAGAGATCCATTCATTCAGACGCAGCCGGCCGTGCGAAAGCGGCGTTACCATCACCCACCTCAGGGTATGTGCCACATCGTGGACTCCAGGAACCCTCTGCAACCCACAGCCCGGCGAACAATGTGCAGCAGCCAGCGAGATCCTCCCATTTCGACGGTCCCAGCCCAGATGTCACGGATGTGACTAGGACGAGTCCCGAAGAAAGCCACCAGTATGGCGCCAACGACTCCACCATGGGTTTCGCCAAAATCGTACTCGGTGAGGACGACGAAAGCGATTCTTCTGCCATCGGAAACATTCCTGGCGATGCTGGACGCTCGACTACAGACACGCAGTTCTTTCCCTGGATTTCAACACCATTGCCCTCGCTAAGCATCCTCCAAGTCGCCGTCGACGCATACTTCGACAGGGTGAACTGGTACATTATGCTGTTCCATCAACCTTCGTTCACGATCCGTGCGCAAAACATTCTGCAACGAGCTGCATGGAGACGAGATGAATTGGTGGATGTGCTGCTGGTGGCGACGGTCGCAAGCGTGGGGTTGCGGTGCGTGCAGCATGACAAGACGTGGCAAGGGCACCGCTTGTTGGAGTCCTGCTCGGTTTCAGCGGAATCACTCAGCTCCGACTTGATGTCTCAAATTGGCTCGCGCTTTTACGAAGTGATGCTGGAGTCGCGAATCGAAGCATATCAGATCTGCATGCTTCTGACCACTTACCATGTGTACTTTGGATCGTCGAATTTTGCCTGGAACGTTTCTGGCGTTTCAACACGAACGGCATATGCGCTGGCGCTCCATTGCGACAAAACACGCACCAATAACGAGATTGCCCGAGAAGTCAGCAACCGGTGTTGGAATCACTTGGTGGTATCGGATCAATTTTCGTCAATGATATTTGGACGTCCAGCAGCGCTCGATCCTGCATTTGCTCAATTGAAGAAGCTCAAAGACTTGGATGATACCACGCTCCCTGAAAGCACGGCAAATCTGCCCATCTTGCAAGGACATGGGGCTCGCATCTCATTTCTGACCTATCACACCCTGAAGTTTGAGCTGTATCACATCATTCGACAGACTCTACAGAGCTTCAGGGTCATGCAATTGCAGAGCCCGGTTTCTGTCCAGGATCTGACGGCTCTTATTCAAGTCGTCAACACCACAGAAATAATGTTGCAGCAATGGCACGACCATCTGCCAGCAGTGTTCAAGCCGTCGCAGTGGCCTGAAGGTAATCCCTGGAATGTTCTTGAGCTCGACGAATGTACACCAGAAGAACAGAGTGTCAGGAAGAAAATCGGACTACAGGGCTTCATTCTCCAGCTTCTATACGATGCTGCCAGAGTTTGGGCTCATCGACCTCTGCTGAAACTCCGCGTAGCCCTTTCACCTGAAGCGGATATCTCGAAGATACCCCTCGTCGACGTTCCAGATTCGCTAGGGACTTCAGTACAGGCTGCGCTGCGGATGTCGCGCGTCCCCATACACGAATTCGGCGGTCACCTTGCTCAATCTTTTGCCTTGATGCATCTTTTCACGGCCGGAATTATACTCTGCGTCGCCCCGACTTGCCAGCCGTACAGTCAGATGGCGGGCGACGCAAAGGCTGGCGTGCTAAGAATCATTGCCGCTTGTAGGGCGATTGAGGACGAGAGCAAGATTGCCAGACATACAGATCAAATGTTGACAAGGCTTTACAAGAAGACAATGCAACGAGAGATGGATAATGCTTTACGGAATGTGGACAAAGGAGCGTCCAGGGATCGAAGAAGCCTGCCGGTTTCCGTGAAGCGATCTCCAGACACTGGAGATGATCCTCAACCACGCAGGGCACCCGTTCTCGTGTCCGAACAGACTTCGCGTACCCAGGTGAATATGGTGAGCCCGACCTCGGCCACCGAATACGGCGGAACCATTTCAGCCTTCGATTCCCATGTCCGCCGTACTGATGAACCGCGGGAGGAACCCGTTGTCTCATATCTCCAATTTGAATCACTTCGGCATAACGACAGGATGGACCCTCACGATATGGAGCATCTCGATGAAGCTTATGGTGCGTTCGAGCAGATGTTCAACCTCGACTTTGCCGAATTTTCCTTCAATCCGGAGTAACCGAGTAATCCGATGTACGTTCGGTATCATGTCCATGCTCGTAAACCGCCTGAATCTTGCGATCCGGCATGTCCAGGGTGACGATTCCGTGCCGAATCATCACAACTTGAGAATTCCACACATCAGCCTAGTCAGAACAACCTGGGGGTACCATTAGCGGCTTCAGACAGTGCCGTATGGCCTTCATGGGCCCGGACTTCAGACCAGTCAATGTGGCGATTGATTGTTCGAGAACGTCTGCGCTGATCTATCGCAGCTGTTGCTTACTGACGCAAGATCGTCGGGTATATGAGACGCCCGAAGTCTCGTCCAGGAGTCCCGGAGCAAGGAGCGCCACCTGAGCGCGAATGCTCACCAAGCTCTCATCTCACCCACTGCATGCGAGAGGTATTCCCTAGCACCGAGCAAAGACAGGTGCAAAAGCAGCCCAAAGGACGCCATAGGTGCCCTTATACGAGTGAGCGCGTCGCCTAGCAGTCATGCCCAGCCAGAAGGATTATAGTTTGCGAGACTTCTTTTGGATTTCTGAGGACGCGCGTGTTCACGATGGTTGTACCGAGTTTGTGTGTGCGCCATCTCCAACGTCGACCAGCTCACACCGAGATCTCCCATGGACAAGACATAGTTCATTTTGACACGTACCTTGTGCGAACGTATACAGGAGCCGCGGTGGAACACCTCAGGTAAGGATGGCGAAGGCGTATTCGGCAGCCAGCACCGCCTCGTCCTTGCCGCGAACTTGATCTTGCCCACGACTGCCGACCGCTGTCGAAGCGTGTTGAGTACCATAGTCCGACTTGAGCGCGAGATTGAAGATAGAAGTACGGACAGGGGAAGGCCTGGCCCTCGCAGAATGGACGAAGCCCAGCTGAGTGCGTGTGTATCATAATCCGACATGCAAAGTGTATATACGGTTTACAAATTCCCCATGCCGAGCCTTCAGCTTCACGCGGCCAACGACACCGACGCGCTCAGGCGAGCAACTCTGTCCATTCGTGACCGCTCACTCACGCTCTGTTTAGATGGCGGATAAGGATTAAAAAGGGAGGCTTCGACGCCTCGCCCGATCCCAGTTCCCAAATTCCGGGGGTTTATCGCTTCTTCGCTCGAATAATCCCGCAGAAGCGTTGGTGTATGCCACTGTAGTACTACACCAGCCTTCCTTCCCACCTTTACTTTGACCTCACCAAGGAACCTCCTCCGTCCATTGTGTTGACCTCACCAGGGGACCTCATACGTGACCTCACAAAGGAACTTCCTCCGTCCATTGCGTTGACCTCACCAAGGAACCTCCTCGCCGGTATAAGTGTAGAACTTGCCGGTGTCCTCGTCCTTTAAATTATGCACGACCTTTAACATCTGCAGAAGTGCCCGTTGTCAGTCAGTTACCAGTCGATCACGCATTCTCCTTCCCTTGGCTTTCCGCGGAGGGGGGCGCCGGAAGAGAGACAAGCAAAGGAGCAAGCAGAGTGAAGAGCAAATGAAAAACATCATCTCGACTCACCCCACCAATACTATCCTCCGGCTCGAGCAATGCGCCGTCGCCGCCCATACGTGTCTTGACCCAGCCTGTACGACGCGGTTAGCTCGTGTCAAACCGCGACGGGGAAAGCAGGATCGTTCAGCAGAGGAAAGAAGCAGTAGCCTCAAACACCACCAAATGTTGAAACACAAAAAGTGAAAGAGTGCAAAAGTGCAAGAGAGAACCCACCTGGGTCCATGCAGATGACTTTGATGCCCCGATCCTTCAACTGCTCGCTCTGGTGCACCGTCAACATGTTCACCGCGGCCTTGGAGATTGAATACGTCGTGCATTTTGGTCTGTGGTGATATCAGCCCTCATTCATATCCTCTGCTTGAGTTCGTTTTGATTGTTTTGGGGCCCCCAAGGAGCCCCGGGGAGGGGGGGGGGGCATCTCCGGTAGCTCCGTGTCTGGCTCATGGTCAACCATACAATTTCTTCCCACAACTCCCTAGCCCGCTCGTCATGTTCAGCACGACGGTCCCCTTGCCCAAGCTCGGTAACAGCACCTTGACCGTCTCGGCGGGGCCCATGACGTTGACGTCAATGTGCTGCCTGAGACTCTCGGGCGTCATGTCCAAACTCGTCTGCTGGGCCGTGGCGTTGATCCCCGCGTTGTTGAGCAGGTAATCGATCTGCTGGCCGGCTAGTGGTCCCTTTATGGCGTCGCCGAAGGCGTGGATTGAGTCGATGTCGCCCGTGTTGCATTCGAGGATGTGTACCTTCCCGGCAGCTTTTGAGGCGAGGTGCTTCAGGTCGTCGAGCTCGCCTTGGAGGCTGCGCACGGCGGCGATGATGGTGTTGGAGCTGTCCTGGGAGATTTGCCGGACGAACTCGAGCCCCAGGCCTCGATTGGCGCCCGTCACTACGTAGACAGGCATTGTTGGGGGCAGTGCAGTGGATCAATTAGTTACACAAGGCAAGGGAGAAGCAGGGATGCTGTGCAGTGGGCGTGGGCAAAGCGTGCGAGGGAGGCAGAATGCGACTTTGTTCAAGGGACTATCTGGGACGGAAAGGGCGCAAGAAGAACGACACAACTATGGCATGGTCAGCACAAGATATGACTTTTGGCGTTTTGACTTCATCGACTGTCCTCCCGTAGTTCTGCCGCGTGCGCATGCACAATCAGCCTAAAGCAAGAACGCCATCATGGTGTCATTCGTTTTGTACGCAGTACCTCCACATCGGCTTCCATGCCGCCGGCATTTCGCCGCGAGCCAAACAAGACGGAGCGGCTCGGTCAGGGCCTTGTGGGGGGATATGTATGGTACGTCGAGCCGAATAGGATACGATACAGGTGTGATAAATGTCGCGGTGCTAGGCTCTCTCTTATAATTCGAGTCATGGCACCGATGGAATGTCGAACAGGTGTGTTCCGCATCTCGACGTGTGTCTTCTCTCAAGGATTGAACTGCCCCGGCCGACTGAGTGCCACCGATTGCCGGACATTTTCAAAGGTTTCAATTCCAATGGACATCTTGGGCAAATCGGAAAATTCCCCTGCAGTATTGCGGTAGGTTACCTGACCTTCTTTTACTCCTCGCGCCCACCCAGGAGGCAGTGGTTCAAGGCCCGCGTCAGGACAATCAGAAGCCAAGGGGTCGTCCGGAGCATGGCTGTATCCTGCCCTGTCTGCGGATTGTGAAAGCAAACACGGCCCCTCAGTAGCTCAATATTCTGATCGTAGCGTAGAACCTTCCAGGTAGACGGAACAGGGTGCAAATCGATGTAGTCTGCGAAGGATTTTCGCATTTCCTCCGAGCTTTCCGTGGCTGTGTTTGTAATAAACTGTACTTGAATTTTGGCCGTCCGCGGAGATGCCTTGCCGCCACGAAGCGGCCTTGAAAAGGTGACTGCAGGGTTAGAGAAGCCCATCTGCTGCAGAAGACTGCCTTCCTCGGTGGCGGGGCCTGCCAAAATCGAATATGTCATTGTTGTCTATTTCGAACTCGATATGCCCAAGAAGTTGGTGCTTTGCGCAATAACGTTTGTGACAATTGTAGAATCCCAAGCGAATGGTCCTCCACTCCTTGATGTGCCTGCCCGTGAGTTAATATCGATAATGCTCCAGTGCATAAGGACCGGAGCTGACAAGAAGACCGCCCAACGTGGATTCGCACTGCTCGAAAGGTCTCGGTGCTCGCCTGACTATTCATCCTGTTTAACATCCACCTTGATTATCAGATGGATTTCGGATTTTCCTGTTAGACCTCAGCCGTAATCTGCATCGCTCGGGTGGGATGGTCTCACTGAAGGGAAGATGTGGCACTCCATCGATGGCGATTTGAATCTGTAGCATATTTTCCGACACTTTGTTGGCCACGCGCCCTTGGTGTCTTCTCAGAAGCTGCGTTTCACGTATGCAATGCCCGTAACGTGCCTTGAGCATTTGGGGATGCTCCGCGTACCACCTCCGGCCCTGCTGGGGTGCAAGACCAAGACTCTGCAAGCGAGGCATGCGAACGATAAGTTGCCTCGAGCGATCTAACTCCTTAGCTTCCTCTAGCGCTTCAGTTGTGGTAAAGGTATGCCTTCCGATCCGGCCTTCCGAATGTATCGACGAAGCTAAGGTCGCGGGTGAAGCTGATGATCGATGGAAGGACGTCCCTTGAATTGATGTACAAGTCGTCTGGTGCTCCGTCAGCGTGTCGGGCTCCGTGAAAAGCGCCTCGAGGCCCCCAGGAATCTTTTCCGTGCTGGCAAGTTGTTGATCGGCTGCGCTCCCCTGCTGCTCGTGACGGGCTGGGCTCACATCGCCCTCCGACACGGTCACAGAATCCATTGTAGCCTCATTTTCATCTTCATCGGCTGCAGTGGGTGCTAGGATGACCGTATCATCCACTCTTTGATGGGAACCTGGATGCTGGGTTGGTGATTCCTTCAGCATGGAGCCCTCCAACGGCAAGCTCGTAACGTTTTCTGCTGGTTGATCCGCCAACCTTGAAGCTTGTGAGCACACTGGTTCAGCTTTGGTATCGTTCTAGAAGTCTTGATAGCTTCGCACAGAGAATTCCAGAATATCCGCTTTCTCCTTAAACCCACGTAGAAGCGTAGCCTGGTCGTGCGAGTATCGCGCTAGAGCGTCAAAATTGTACATATCAGCTGCAGGCTCAAGTATAAGGCAATCCGTTCGAGAGAAACTTCTTCTACTTACATGCGCATGGAATGGAAAATGAACAAAGCCCCAGTCGCACCTTGCAGCCGGGCAGGGTGGACGCAAAATCGGCGAGGAAGTCCCTCCACATATATCGCGTGCGAGCCCTCAGCGAGTCGCAGTTGATTTTTCATGATGGTTGAGTATAGCCTCAAGCCGCCGAAGCTTTGTTGCGCATCTTCCGTATACTCCTTGAGCTCGTCCTGCTCGGACTAGTAGAGGACGTCCAAGGCCGTTCTCCGATTCCCAGAAAGCGCGGATGGTCCTCGTTACCATGTCTGTTTTTCCGGCATCTGTTCCGATGTCCTTGAAATGGCTCGTGGACGCTCTGCATCGCTGATACATCTAGACGGAAGGGTCAATATACCTTGACACATACCGCATTGAAAGCAACGGCGTGGTTAAAATTACGCAGAGGAACCTCGCCTCATGAGCCAACGACAAAACAACAATGAAGTCACCTATTGCGAATCCGAAGCTCATATTTGACCGTTAGCTTGACGACAAGTGCACAATCAATAGGCTGTGGACTGGGGAAATCTCTTCAATCGATGCACCGTTATGGGGTGTTCAGCGATTGTAGAATATCGTCAAGCGCGAAACAAGGGAGATCGATTTGACGGCGAGCAAGCACGCAGACGAAGAAAGCTTCTGGACGTGAAACGCAATTGTATGGAGGAATTGCGAGAGCCAGCGCAGTCAAGGAGGGTCTGTAGCCTGAGATTAACGCCACGGCCACGCCATGGCTCTGTATGCTCACTGGCTGGTCCTGTGCCTGACATGGTGTGTTGTGTATCGAGGGGGAGAAGACTGGGCGGCTGAGTGAGTAGCTAGCTGTACTCCGTATTCTGTACAGCTCAAAAGGAGCCAGTTTGAACGGAGGCCAAGCTGTGGTTGCTCTGTTGAATGGCATGCAGGGACTCGGCCCCGCACAGAATACGAATTGCGGGCGTCACATTCGCAGACAAGTACTGGGTACTAACTATAGGCAAGCTCTTACTCGTGGCACCTTCTCCCGGCGCAGAAACCCATGGAAAATCACCGGAATGATACGCCCGCAGCAGGGTCGCTTGCATTCAGTCACCTTGACAGTCGTTTGCCATGCATCACACAACCATCTCTCGCACGTGCCGGGCATGATCAGAGCAATTCACAAGGCAAGCGTGAAGCAGTCTCAAGGCGAAAGAGCTGGAGGGTCTTTGACACCGTCGACCACGCAGGCTTCAGAAGCAAGTTCGCAGCCTGCTTCGGCCAATTTGTTGGAAGAGAGCTCATTGTTGGGTGTTATGTTCCAATTGACCTAACTCCTGCAAGCTATGAAGACGGGTATTTGCCTTGTTGACACAATTTCATCCTCCCACTTGCTGCTCCTTTTACCATTTGATCAACGGACAATTTATGCCGTTGCGCTAGCTCCCGTGTCTGTGGTTGTGGTCACTGTTTCGATCTCAATCTTGGGCATTCCTTGCGAGGCAGCACCCAGATCAGTCGCCTTCGCTTTCGGGTCTAATGCGAACATAGTTAGTTGCTGTCTTTGAAAATAGCCAGTCTTCGCCTCGTGGGCTTACTCTTCTTATAATAATCTCCAATGGCAGACTTGATGGCGTCCTCCGCAAGCATTGAACAATGTAGCTTCACCGGTGGCAAGCAGAGCTCTTTGGCAATCTCGGTGTTGCGAATCTTGCCCGCCTGCTCCAATGTCATTCCTCTCACAAGCTCGGTGAGATATGATGAGGATGCGATGGCGGAACCGCAGCCAAAAGTCTTGAACTTGACATCTGCGATCGTTTGTGTCTCGGGGTCGACCTTGATTTGGAGTTTCATCACATCACCGCAGGCGGGTGCACCAACGAGACCTGTCAATCCGACAATGCGTCAGTAAACGTAATCGACAATTGTGAGGTTGCCTCATGCTTGCTATCTTGCTTGGGGGAAAGGCCGAGCTTCGGTCATTGCCCGTCCCGAGTGAGACTCACCTGTGCCAACGTCCAGCGCCTTCTTATCCATCGAGCCAACATTTCTGGGATTCGAGTAGTGATCCAGCACCTTCTCATGATAACTCCGTCTCTGCTGTAAGCCGGCGGCGGCAGGTCTGATGGTTGATGAAGGGGAGGCGAGACTCGGTCGGAGAGCGGACATCTGGGCCGAGGTGCGCAATGCGCGTGGAATCGCGAGAAGAGCTCGTTGTGACATCGTGGACATGTAGCTTTCGTATATCTGTGAGCAGTTTTGGATGGACGAGTGGTTGACTGTAGGATCAAATTCGTGAGGAGAGTGTAAGGTGTTGAGTGATTGTTTGAAATCGTAGAGTGGCCTCGTCGAGAAGTGAATTGACGAAAGATGTCGACGATCGATGGCGAGGAGGGGTCCAATAGCAGCCGCTCATTGGCTTTGGATCATGTGATTTTTGCGCTAAACCCCTTTTCGAAGATGACGTTGTTCAACTCGGTCGCGCTTTCCGTTTGTCGATTGGCGCCACTCGCTCCCGAATCGAGCAACACCCAGCGACGAACAGCGACGCGCTTGACGTAGCCGGGGATCGCGTTCACCTGGCCCAGGATGAAGACCAAGAACAAGACCAAAGCCAAAGACAAGGCTACCGCGTCGCCGAGTACCTCGACACCCAAGAAAGATCACCTCAAGAACCCCTCGCATCCCTACACCTTTGAGCACCTTCATAACGCCTACATCACTTCTCTCTCACACGGGAATACCATGCCATTCACGAAGAAGAGGAAGTCCGCAGCCGACTCCGATGATGAGGATGTCCCCATCACGAAACGCGGGAAAGGTGCCTCGGGTAATGCCTTTCGACCGTCGTCCAAAGTCCAGATCGACGCGGATGGAAACAAGTACTGGGAAATCGCAAAGGCCCGGCGAGTGACCCTTTCCGAGTACAAAGGACAAACCATGGTCGGCATCAGAGAGTACTACGAAAAGGACGGCCAGTGGTTGCCAGGCAAGAAGGTACCGTCACACCACTTTCTGGCTCTCAGGTGACTTGCTTACGATCATACAGGGCATCTCCTTGACCCTTGACCAATACTCCGCTCTCATCCAAATCACGCCGCAGATTGAGGATCTGCTCAAGTCGCAAGGCGAGAAAGTGCCACGACCAAATTACAATGGAAATGCACCGGCAGAGGATCAGGATCAAGACGATAGCGAAGGAGAGCAGAAAGACGTGAAGCCGAACATTGATGCTACGAGTGATGAAGATGAATGATCAGAATGATGTCAAAACTCACGTGAGATCGTCCTCGATCGAAGTTCCAGCAGGGACAGACTACTTCCCACCTGCCATACCCTGAAAAGACGGGACGGGACTAAGGGCCAACAGTACTGCCTCAACACTCGCGTCAAGAGCTTCAAGGTATGTTTGGCAGAAACCCACTGAAGTCGAGAAGGATGTTTACCAAGTTGTCACAGGCATCATCACGAGCTGGACTCCCACTCTGCCAACCTGGAAGCCAGGCTACCCTTCTTCCAATGCTTCTCATAGTCTTCTTTCAGATCGACCTGAGACTTCTCTCCGGGTTTGCCATAGCCTCCACCGCCCGGCGTCATCTGAAAGAACACGAGTCAGCAATCGTGAGAAGAACGAGAGATGACACTTACCACAATGATTCGCTCTCCAGGCTGCATGCTGGCTGTGTTCTTCGCTCCCATGCTGATGAACCGCTGTTCATACTCTCCCTCACCTCCGTCATCCCTCCTCTTCCCCTCGTGTTCACCGCCCGTTCCCTTGCTCTTGACCTTCTTGATCTTCCTTACCCAGATGTTCTTCCCGCACTGTGCATCACCACCACCGTGCAAACCATACGGCCTATACACCCTCCTCTCACTCAGGATACTGACCTGCACGGGAATGCGAAACTCGATGTCCCGAATGACCCCGTCACCGCCCCTGTGCTGTCCAACGCCACCACTCCCCGCTCTGAGACTGAACTCCCTCAATATGACGGGATATCTCCTCTCGAACACCTCTGCGTCCGTGATTCTGGTATTCGTCATGTGCGTATGCACACCACTGGTGCCCTCCCAATCCTTACCCGCGCCGCTGCCTCCCGCAATCGTCTCATAATACCCGAAACCCTTCGTCTCGGTCCCTCCCTTCAGATTCCCTCCAAACCCGAAGGTCAAGTTGTTGCAATCACCCTGACTCGCCGCACAAGCTTCGAAGCACTTGAACACCACGTCCGTCACCCTCTGACTGGTCAGGACATTCCCACCCACCACCGCAGCCTTTTCACTCGGAGACAAGAAACTGCCGGGTGGAATGCGCACGTCAACGGGCTTCAGACATCCCTGGTTCAGCGGAATGTCCTGATCAATCAAACATCTCAGACAGTAAATGATGGCCGAGTACGTTACCGCCTCCGGGGCATTGATGTTGCCGTAAACTTCCGGGCCAGTTCCCTCAAAGTCGAACACCGCTTCCCCCTTCTCGGGGTCAATACTGATTTTCAGCGCGATGGGGGAGCCATCATCCATGTAATCCACGGCTTGCAAGTCCTTGCCCTCGAACCTCTTGGACACCTCTTTCAACAGCTCACGCACAGACTTCTCTGCATTGTTCTGAATGTTCTGCATGTAGAACTGCACGACGTCCTCGCCGTAGTCTTCAATCAACGTCGAGATCAAGTTGATGCCCTTCTGATTTGCTGCGATTTGGGCTTTCAGGTCGTTCAAGTTGTCCGCGAGACATCGAGTGCCGCTACACTCGGGGTATTGCGCCGGCTCGTCGTACAATAGTTCCGTGATTCTCTTCTCGTCGAATTTGCCCTCTGACACCAACTTCTCCGACTTGATCGCCGCGCCTTCTTGGTAGAGTTCTCGGCTGTGAGGAGGCATGCTCCCCGGCAGGATCCCGCCGATATCAGCATGATGTGCCCGGCTGGCGACGTAGAAGATGATTTTGTCCCCACTGAACGCCGGCGTCACGACCGTGATGTCTGGTAAGTGCGTGCCCCCGTACTCCGGGTGGTTCGAAACGATGACGTCGCCTTTCTTGAGTTTGCCGCGCCAGATTTCCGCCTGCGTGCGCACACACGTGGACATACTCCCGAGATGGACCGGCAAGTGGGGTGCGTTCGCGACGAGGCCACCCTGCTCGTCGAACAGCGCACAACTGTAATCAAGGCGTTCTTTGACGTTCGTGCTGACGGACGTTTTCTGCAGAGCACGGCCCATCTGCTCGGCGATGGCCATGAATCGGTGCGCGAAGATGGAGAGCAGAATCGGATCGACTTCCTCGGCGTTGGCCTTCTTGCTTGTCCCTTCCTCGCCAATGTTGATCACCACGTGCGTCTCGATGACGAGAGCCGACGCCCCCGGCGTGACAATGATGGTCTGCATCCCGTCGGCGATGATTGCCGGTCCGGCCACGCGGGCCCCAACCTCCAGGTCCTCGAGCTTGTAAATCCTGGTATCCTGCCGTCCGCCTTCGAAGTACACCTTCGCGGTGCTGTGGGCCTTTTCGGGCGCCACGTCCTGCGGCTTGATGTCTTTGAGCTGCTGGTCCGCCGTCTTGGACATGCCGCGGAAGGACTTTCCGATGCCGCGCACGCGGACGTCATCGACAATGGTGTCCCGGTCGGGCAGCGTGAAACCGAATTCCTGTTCGTGCTGGCGGACGAACGCAGCGCCGAACGCCCAGTCGTCGCCCTTGTACAGCTCTTTGGACTCCGACTCGGTGGGCTTGATGACCATCAATGCGGACTCCGTCCCGCGATACCGCATGTTCAGGTATTCTTCGAACTCGATCGCGTCGTCGGCGAAGCCCTGGTCGTTGAGCCGTTTGCGAGATCGTTCCTTCAACTCGGCCATCTTCTTTTTGAGATCATCGTGTGATGAGGAGTCGTCCCATACGTGGGACTCTGGAACTTGGGACTCATCGACCACGTCGGCGAGGGCCATGCCATAGGCGGACAGGACGGAGGAGTACCGGTGCACGAGGATCTGTCTTATTCCCAGGGATTCGGCAATCGCCACGGCGTGTTGGCCCCCAGCGCCGCCGAACGTGGCGAGGCGATGTTGCGATGTGTCGTGCCCCTTGGCTTCGGTAAGCGACCGGATCGGGCGGGTCATGGTCTCGTTGGCGATCTTGATGAAGCCATACGCAACTTCGTCGGCGGTCATGTGCTTGTCTGTCTGGCTGTTGATCTCGTTGGTGAGTTCTTCGAAAAGCTTTCTGCTGGCTTCCGGGTCGAGGCCCTCGTCTTCGTTCTTGCCAAAGATCTTAGGGAAGAACTCTGGTAATAGGCGGCCGAGGAAGAGATTGGCGTCTGTGACGGTCAAGGGGCCGCCTTTTCTGTAGCATGCCGGCCCGGGATGTGCGCCCGCGGACTCGGGACCGACGACGAAAAGGCCGTTTCTGAAGAAGAGGCGGGACCCGCCCCCTGCTGCGACGGTGTTGATGTCCAGCTGGGGTGATTGGATTGTAACTCCGGCTGTGGTGGTTTCGAAGACGTGCTCGTAGCGTCCTTGGCCATACCGACTGACGTCTGTGCTTGTGCCACCCATGTCGAAGCCGATGACGGGGGTCTTGGTCTCTGGGTCATAGGACGTCAGCGCATAGCCGACCACACCACCCGCTGGCCCGGACAGGATGGCACGCAGGCCGGAGAATTGGTCAACATCGACGAGGCCGCCGTCAGACTGCATGAACTCGCATCTGGCGCCTTTCTCGCCTTCTTCCTTCTTCACGCTCTCGGTGCCGAGGCCACCTTCAAACCCGGCTTGAAATCCCGCAATATACTTCTTGATGGCGGGAGTGAGGTATGCGTCTGCGCACGCCGAGGTCGCTCGAGGCACCAACTTGATCATGGGCATCAGCTCGTGACTCAGACTGACGTGTTCGAAGCCAATCTCATGCGCGAGCTTGCCGACCAAGGCTTCATGGTCGGGGAATGTGTACCCATGCATCAAGCATACAGCGATGCTTCGGAATCCTTCATCGTAAAGCTGTTTCAGCTGCTCCTTGATCTTACCTTCCTCTGGCCGCCGCAATATCCGGACAGCTTCACCTGAGAGGCCTTCCACAAGGTCGTTGGACTTGTAGGCCTCATGTTTGGCTTCAGCTTTCGTCTGGTGTCTCTCAGGGTCCTCTGCATAGTCTTCTAGGGTGACTCGCTCGTCGATCTCCACGACCTTCTGGTACAGGACGTCGGGCCTCCGGATGGCCAGATCAAAGATCTTCGGTCTGGACTGATTGCCGATCTCCAAGCAGTCCTTGAACCCGCGAGTGACCACCATGGCCATCTTCTCTCCCTTCCGCTCAAGCAGTGCATTGGTAGCGACTGTCGTTCCCATACGGATACTCTCGATCTTACTCGTGTCGAGAGGCTCACCTCTGGGGATCTCACGCCCTGTGAACTTCGACATGAGCCGTCGAATACCTTCCAGGGGCGCATCTTCGTAGTTTGACGGATCCTCTGAGAGCAACTTGATGACGATGTCATCTTCCATACGCCCCGTGCCTGGGTTGCCGACACAGTCTGTGAAGGTGCCGCCTCGCTGTTCAAGTTACTGGATGAGTCGAGAGTACAACAAGTTTTGTGTATGATTCAGACTTACGTCAATGGCAATGCGGATGCCTCGCTCTGCTCTCCCAGCGTCCCCCATGATTGGAGTATTTCAGGATACTCACACAGACCAAAGAGATACTGTAAGAGATACAAGGGAAATGGATATGACCTCTCCAGGTCTCATATGCCCTCTGGGACCCTTCTCCCTCCTCGGACAGAGTCGCGAGAGCCTCACGGGTTCCTCAAGGAGGAGAAGTCCGCATCAGTAATTCTCGGCCTCCACTTGCCGACAATCCAGTAGAAATGCTACACAGTAGGCGTCGTACTAGTGGCACTTTACGCTGTGCAGAGTGTGATGTCCCTGTGCAATCTATCGATCTCTCAGTGGTAGAAGATGGGAAAATCGACAGCAACCCAAGAAGAATGCAAGCTTAAAGACAATCAGATCTGCTATCCGGCGTCGGTGGGCAAGAAAGATCTGTGAGACCGAGGTCAGAGTTGCGTCATAGCCATGGGTCTTGATGCAGTTGGGCTTCACCGTAGTGCTACGGCGGAACTATCGGGAGCCAACCGCAACATTCGGAGTGTCTGCTTTCTTACACACAGACAAATGCTAGTAGCATGGAAGGTGCCCCTTTTCAAAAGTGTCTTCGTTCAACACAACATCGTCACCCATTCCATTCCAAGATAAACGCCATATCTGTTGCCTGCCCGAACCCAATCCAAGTCCGTCGCTCATGCCTGGCGGAAAGAAACTGTCAATAAATTCATGACCATCTACGGCCGTCAGGCCATCCCCATCTCAGCCGATCTTGAAGAGCAGTCGTCACTCTGAGCTTGACCCTCTGCTGCTACTACTGGAGGCTCTCTCAAAGGCACGTTCGCCACCTTTCGTCACGCAGTGCTTGACAATCCAGGGGTGCTGGAGAACGTCGTCGAGTGGAATACGCTTTTCGGGATCCAACACTAAGAGCTGTGGAACAGATATTAGCGGCCTCAATTTGCATCAGGTCAACGAGAGGAGAAGACTCACCCGCATGATCAGGTCCCTGGCCTCAGAGCTCACGAAGCTTGGAACCTTCATGTCACACCGCGCAATTCTCCGCTGTGTCATTATGGTTGTGTCCTCGAAAGGCGCTTCGCCAACAAGGAACTCGTACGTAAGGACACCCAGACTCCACAGGTCGACCTTTTCGTTGTAGAAATTGTCTGAGCTGCCTGGCTTGAGCATCTCGGGTGGAAGGTAATCCAAAGTACCACACATGGTTTGTCTCCTGTTGTTGGGGGCGTGTACTGACCAGCCGAAATCGGAGATCTTGATTTCGCCGTGGATACCGACAAGGATATTTTCAGGTTTGATGTCTCGGTGCATGACATGCTTCTTGTGCAGATACTTGAGGGCAGCAGCCATCTGGGCGATGTATTGTGCCGCCTTCCATTCTGGGAACCGGCCTTCCTTGCGGAGATGCTTGTACAGCTCACCCTTGCCGGCAAACTCAAGGATCAGGAACACTCGCTTGCTGTCATGGAAATGACCGAACAGCCTTAGGATGTTGGGATGTCTCAGGTTGGATTGAATCTCGATTTCTCGCCGGACTTGCTTCTCGACTTTGCCCTGCTGTAGTTCTGACTTGTGAAGGACCTTTAGGGCGCACACGAATCCCGACGATCTTTCGCGGGCGAGGTAGACTCGTCCGAACTTTCCTTTCCCAAGTGGTTTCCCAATCTCAAACATGCCAAGGTGGAACTGTTTGGGTGCTTGTGGTTGATCGAAGAAATACTTGGGAGTGGCTCTGCTCCGGATCGAGTCATCGCTTTCGTCCGACTCCCTGGCAGCTTGCAATGCGACTCTGACCGGTGAAGGAGGATGGGTAGGAACGGTCGTGGTTGTTGTGATGGTCGCAATCGAGGCTACGTTCTGTTTAGACTCCCCAGTCGCTTGGAGAGGGTATTTGACGAGGTTCGTTCGAGCTTGCGTTGATGATAATGTCGGTATAGCACCTACAGGCGCTGTCTGTAACAATACTGTCAGCACTGCAAGAGCACGCTGTGCGCGGTGACTGAGACTACCTTGGATTTGAGAATGGTCGCAGTTGGAGCTTCATTCTCATCATTGACGGTAAGGTGCTCGAAGCGAGACTCTAGTGTTTTCGTCGCCATGATGCAGAAGTTGTCAGAGGGCAAAATAATCAGACAGATGTTAGCAGTGACTGATCTGATTGACGAATGGCGAATAAGAGAACGGGAGGATGTTCGTTATATCGTAGTCGGTGGGTTTCGGCGTTCGGTGATCAACGAAGAGACACAGCAGTAAACAATGTTGGGCGTCATAGCAACCACAGCCTCGCCCCGCCGCTTTTGCCACGAGGCTGGGCTGCTCCCCGCACCGACACTTTCCCATAGTGCTGAGGATGGCACACACCCTTGGGAGGTCCCTGCTTTTGTTCTCGCTTTCTACGTTTACCCAGCGCCGACATCAAATCAGCTTCCTCCCTCGGCATTGTGTCGCTCTGCATTTCCTACCGGCTTTGAGCGGCGTGTTCATTTGCCCTAGTCATGATGGCAGTCAATGGTCATCGGGCGCCTAATGGCATCAACACGACCTTTCCCTCGCCTTCCGCTGCTCCTCCCCGGGCGTTCTCGATCGAGGGATTCCGCGTCCAGACCCAGAAGTTACCGATCTTGAAGGCCGGACCCATTGAAGAGATGACCAAAAAGCTGGGGATTGCTCCGCCTGAGATGATCTTTGGTGACAATCTCGTCACGATCGAGCATTCGGCCTCCCAATGGGGAATCAAGTTTGACGCGTTCGGAGCTCTAGATCGTGTTGACAAAACCGGCGAGCGACGGTTGAAGGTGGCCTACTCCCAGGAATGGCAACAGAGTAGGGAAGATCAACATGATATCAAAGAAGTCGTCAAGCCGTTCGATTGGTCCTACACCACTGACTACAAAGGTGACCTTGCTCCGGGAAGCCGAGAATTCCAGCCTTCGGAAGTCCCGATTCCGCTTGAATTACTCAAGCGACCCGACCCCATTTTGTTCTTCGACGACGTGGTACTCTATGAGGACGAGCTCGCGGATAACGGCATTACGATGCTCTCATGCAAGATCCGAGTCATGCCTGCACGATTACTTCTCCTCTGTCGGTTCTTTATGAGGCTTGATAATGTTCTTGTCAGGTTGCGGGATACCAGAGTATACGTCGACTTTGGGAAGAAAGAGGTAATCAGAGAATACGTAGCGAGGGAAGAAGGCTACAGCAAAGTTTGTGACCGTTTGGCAAGCAGAAGAGACGATGTCACTGCTGTGCTCCGCGACCCAAATCAGATGGCCGACATCTTGCCTGTAGTTGAGAAAACCCTGGAACGCGTCGAATTGGGAACTTGAAGTCAACACAGATACATACCAGAGGGGTGCCGTGCTGACGGGGTCCACCTTCTCCAAAAGAGCTGTGTGGTAAGTGTATGGGGACGCTGCTAGCCTTGAAGGGTGGAACCGCAGGAAGTCATGCATCGATCCATCGTGGGACTGCGCAATATCTCTCGAGTTGCGTATCCGACTACTCCGTACCGGCTTCAGAAAAGACGAGCAACTACGGAGTACACCTACCTAGCCAGCAGAATGCGACAGAACTCGCAGGGCGTTCGCCTCTGAGTCGCTAGTCCAGCCCCTCGATTATGCATTGGGTCTCCTGCTCAGACCAAAGAAGAACAAACACTGCCTCAGCTTTCAAGGGAGGAATCTGTTTGAAGAGGCCGGTACCCAAGCACGGGCTGCGCGAACTCGCTCTGTACCTGAGTGCAACCTAAAGCCTCATAATTGGGTTACCTATCCGTTCGGATTGCAAGTGGTTGGGAGCGGAGTGATGACCACGTGTGCGTCCTGTTGCCAGATTTCGTGAGATCTCGGCTATCAACCAACATCATTATCTGCGAGGACGCGCTCGGGGCCTGAAACGCGTCTTCAGGCTGTCAACCCCGGAAGCACTTCCGACTCTAGAGGAGCGAAGCGAATGTGGCAGCTGAAGCCAATTTCCGCTGTCTGAAAGCGGCTAGATGACAGCCTCAAGCCTGGCCAATAATATCACGTATCCTTCAGCCTTCCACGACCCTTGATCCACGGCCGCTCAAGAGCTGTGGTGACCCTGACTCTCGGCAGTCTTAGTCCAAAGCCACAGAATCCGCATAAGGGAGATGACATCGGACTTGCCCTCGAGAGCCATGGACTTCTCGACAAGGCGCTCGCAAATCTCCCGGGGCAGCAGCTGACCGGGTTTGACACCCACCCCCCCATAACTCCATGACCTGGACCACCTTGGATCACTTTCCAACACAGACCTTGCGTTGAGTCTCGTCGTCTTCAGTGCCGTGGCACGATGTGCCAGCGCCGTGGGTTCTGGCCTTTGGCTGTGGCTGTCTGTCTCGCCTTCGCCGATGCACAGTCTTCAGTTCCTGTTGCGACTGACCCGATCCTGGTGACGGCAACGGTGCCAACAGTACTGCCATCGTTGGTCACGGTCTATTCTGTCGTCCCTGCAACCGATGCAGCGCCCAACCAAGTGACGACTATCACGACAACGATCGATGGCATCGCGACAACTGTTACCTCAGCGGCCGTCGTTGCCGGCTCTGTCACTAGCACTATCATCTCGACCATCTCTGTCACAACGAGTCAAGTTATTGTCAGTACCGTTGGCTATTCAACAATCTATGGTCCAGAGCCATCCACAGCCGCTGTCCCTGGCATATCTGAGACAGCTATATCTACCTCGGCAGCATCTGCGACGACTGCACCGACTCCTTCAGAGCCAGTGTTGCCGACCTCTTCTTCCGACCACACCACTGGCCTTACAGCTTTTACTACCTCGTCTGCGGCCGCGACTTCTTCGAGGAGTTCGTCCAGTGCATCCACCGCTGGTGCCCACAATTCGGCAGCGACATCGACCCCTTCGTCTCACAATGGGGGGCTTTCCACCGGTGCGAAAGCCGGAATTGGCGTTGCGGTTGCCCTGCTAGTCATTCTGTTGGTTGTTCTATCCTTCTTCCTGGGCCAGCGTTATACGCGTCGTCGCAACAATCTCCCCAGAGCCACGCCAGATGAGGTTTCTGTCGATGAAAAGGACACGTTCCAAGCCGGACGTCCTTACGAAACCACTGGCCCTCACGCCGCTTCGTCTTTACACGCTACTGGTAAAACCCCTGCCTATTCCACAAATACTACAGCAATCGGGAGCGGCTCCCCCCCTGTAAGTGGGCGCTCCTACGACAACCCAGGTTCACCTCCACCGGACAATCGTTACGAAGATTCGGAACTATCAGCTCTTCCACCAATCACAAACGAAGACAACCAAATGTATGTCGGGGTCCCTGCCCATATGTCAGGCTCGAAACGTTGGAGTATGAAAGAATTCATGAAGTGAGAGGTTCAAGGAATATTATGATGATCAGGCGGACCCAAATAGCCTGCACCACAATCCACTCCTGTCCCGCCGAGCAAATATCTTTCAAAATATATGGAGAGCACCGAACGATCTCGAGGAGCGACCGGCGGTGCAACTGACGTCTACCCTGATCCTGGAATTAAGGCAGGCGCATCAGAGCTAGAACTTGCCAGCCTGGGAAGCTCCATCACAGCAATCAAGTCCGGAGCTGGTCTTGCCTTCTCCACCAGGCATAGCATCGGCATCCCAGCCAAGTCCAAACCTAGAGCGGCGCTGATTCTGCCTAGACCTCGGATCAAAGATGCCCTGAGCCGAGCTACGCAACCCCGGAGTCGGGTCATGACAGCACATTCATTCCACGCGCAATCTTTCAACTTCGCTCGATGCAATGGGCATGGCTGCTCAATTTTGTGGGCATTTCCGTGAAAATGGGATCTGCAGCTCCAATACGTGGAATTTTACCCTGTGTCGGGGTTACACCTTGGCCGCCGCGGATACCAGAACGTACATATGGGCATTGGCCAGTCGTAATATGTAGTGTGTAATTCCAGTTATTTGGCAGGTTACTGCTTTCCCCGGGCCGCTTTGACCTGAGTTCCAATGTCTTTTGTTTGCTTGCCTTTTCAAACTGTAAAGCCATGGGAGCACCAGAAGCACCCCACCTCTACCAGGTACCAGCCTAATGCTTGGGTGCGAGCGGTCATACCACCGGTACCAGCAGTATGGGCCGTTATGTAATCAATGCCAAGGCTCGCATCACGGTACCTGCCAAGCCTAATCACGTGACGTGAGCTGGCGTCAAAATGGGGCGAAGCGCTCCGACTGTCGTCCCGAGTTTTCTCTCTTCTTCACTACTGCCCGTGTGTATACAGCGAAGTCCGCTCCCTGATTCTGGCTTGCTCAGAAACCAGTTGCAACCCGCTAACTGACTTGCTCTCCGACATTTGCGCCTGATGGTTAACGATGCCGGCTCTATTAGAGGATCCCGAAGCGCCTGTGATCTATCGGGCCTCGGGACAAGAGCCGTATCCGACCTCAGATAACCCGCAAATACCATCCTCGATATTCCCAAGGCCTGTCACCCTTCGGGATCGTGTCACCGTCGCAACCCTGGTACCGTTCTTCTCCCCGGATGCCGTGCCCAAGAGACTCCTGGCGTACCTCTCGGAGCAGCTCAATAAGGAGATTGAAGGTGGCGACACGTATCCAATGATCGATCCATTGCCACTGGAGACCTTCGGGCCGTATTGGTTTGGGAATTTTGGCGCTGTGATGGTACTCGGTGATATTGGAGGAATCGAGGCAGTCGCTGAGATGGATGCCAACGGCGTTGATTGGAATAAGAAATGCCTGGGGAGCTTCTACATCAAGCCCAACTACCCTGGTCGAAGCAGCCATGTCTGCAACGGTGGGTTTCTGGTAACGCCTGCGGCTCGCAACAAGGGCGTCGGGAAGTCTATGGGTCAATGCTACCTGGATTGGGCACCCGGGCTGGTAGGTTTGGCGTCGAATGGAGACAGCCTGACGCAGATAAAGCTGATGATCACCAGGGATATACCTATTCAGTCTTCAATCTGGTCTATGAATCCAACACGGCTTCTACAAAGATATGGGACTCGCTCGGTTTCAAACGCATTGGCCGAGTCCCTGGCTGTGGCCACCTGAAATCCTCGGAAGAACCCGTTGACGCCATCATATATGGTAGAGACCTCAAATCTGAGGGCGAGAGCGACGTCTCGGAAGAACGCTTCGATAAAATTCGCTATTATCTGAGACACCTACTATACCCTCAGGGGGCGGATCGTTCTGAGAAAAGTCGTCTTCGAAGCGCGGCCACCCACTACAAACTGGTGCCTGGTGAGGACGGTGGCGCCGAGAAGCTCTTTTTGAAGGACAAGGAAGTCATTTCCGACTCCAACGCACAGTACGAGATAGCCAAGCGGATTCATCTCCAGTCGCACGCCGGTATCAATAAGACCACGGCGATTATCGCGACCAAATATCATTGGATCCGGATCAAAGAAACCGTCAGCCACGTCATCAAGAATTGCCCGGAATGCAAGGACGTGAATAAACCGCCGATTTTGCGCTCGGAGAACCGGCCTGGCCGAAGTAAGACGATTGATGAAGCGCCGCCGAATCTTCCCAAAGTCCAGGTACCAGCACCAGCACCGCCGCCACCGCCGCCGCCAGACGTGCAGCACTTGCCGCCGGAAGCTCAAGATCTCCCAGCCAGTCACATGTCAGAGCACCATTTCGCAGCCATACAGCAGCCTATGGACCTGTCTAGTGATCATGACCACCTGGTGGCAGACCATGATACTCACCTGGATCCGTATGACGAAATGGCAATTGACCCGCAGATCATGGAACAAATACAGGCACAGCTGGCTGGAGCCTATGATCCGAACGGCCATACGTACGACCCAACTGGATTAACCTCCTTCGCAAACACGCCGCATCTACCACCGCACCATGAACCCAATGACTTCGACCGACCACCAGAACATCACTTCATTCCTGATGCCGATCAGCAACTAATGACACACGATCACGTTATGGACGACGGGGGCGGCCCAGGCGCTGGACTGAATGACATGCAGCCAATGCAACATGTTCTGCCGATGGACTACATCGAGCCTGGGAATCAAACACGATTCAAGCTCGAGCAGTAAATTGGGTGCTGGAGTTTGGTGTGTGTGGAGTAAGGTCGACGACACAACTACGTGAACATGACGACAATGAAGCAGGACTACTGACTCCTGTTAGCAATTGCTAGAACTGGCAATAAAAGGGCGGAGTCTGGAGGTCACGGTCAGGATCAGGCGCATGCTTTTGACGACTAGCTCAGGTGCTTGGCTACATAGAGAGGCCCGCCAGTGATAGATAAAATAGGAGAAGCTGTGGACAACATGCTCGAAAACAAGAACGACTCGACGTCAACCGATGGGGTGAATGCGCAGGAGATTGACTTGCAGTCGTCCAGCTGATGCTCTACTGCTTCTCGTCAAGACTGGGACAAAAAGCCCCGCGTCTGACGATTCCCTCCCCCTAAAATACCCCGCACATGTATGCAGTAAATGTCATCGTCAGACGCGGGGATTTTTCCACTTCTCGATTATAAAGTCGCTCACTGCCTTCTCACCTGGGTGTCACACCCCAGGTGTCTGCCATCTTCGACAATGCTGCGACTACCTTTCCTGATCATGCCCACGCGAACATGGACGTGAAACAGGCTCAGCAGTCGACGCGTCCGCCGCCTCGTTTGCGCGTCAAGACTGGCTGTCAAACCTGCCTCAAGCGCCGCAAGAAATGCCCCGAGAACCGACCGGTATGCGCAACTTGTGAACGGCTCCGTCTCTCTTGTGTCTACCGAGACTCAGCACCGCCTGCAACTTCTGACCTGGTCCCAGTAAAGGCACAAGCTGTATCCAGTGTAGCCGAGAGTCCACCCGGGCTTCTACCTCTGACCGCGTCATTGAGCATCCGACCCGAGGGGCTGAGAACGGCGCGCGACTGGAACGTGTTCAACTACTGTGCGACCAAGTACATGAGCGTCATTACATCGCCTGAGTCTCTCTCCAAGTTTCGAGACTTGTCCTTCGTCTTCGCCATCGGCTACGACAAGCCCTGGGTGGTGCATGCCGCCCTTGCACCTGCCGCGCTCCACGCCTCGTTCTCTTCCTTGGTCACCAAGGAGGACGCCGTGCTCTACACGCAGAGTGCCATTCGAGGGCTGCGACAGTCTCTTCTGCCGTCGAGACCTGTGACCCTTCGTCGGGATCCATGTCTTGCGACCTCTTTGTTCCTCGCTGTCTTTGAGGGAGGTCTCGGCCATCATATGCAGGATTGTGCGATTACTGACTCCGACTAGGATTTCTATTTGTCTCCCTTCAACGCGGGCTTGACGCACCACCAAGCCATAGCGCAATTACTGGAGGCCCAGTTCGCTGCTTCGTCCCGCCTGGACATCAAGTCGCTGTCGATCCTGCACTTGACTCTACTCGATGCGAGCTTGTATCATCTGTCCACCAGACTGATTCTGGAAAAAGACATTGATGCTATCTGGGACGCCTTCCCGTCAGCAACTTTCAGCAAATACATCGAGGCACATGAAAGTGAAGCGAGAGACGTCAACGCCCAGCGACCGATCTTACCGGTGCTCGGGAGGACGCCGCCGGCTTTATTCGTCCTAATCTTCCAGGTCACCTGGCTGAGCCGGAAAGTCCCATCTCCCGGGGACGAGCACTACGGGCACGCTTTCCAATACTTGATCGAACTGGACCGCATCGAGGACAACTACCCCGGTGTACGTAGCGAGGAAAACACAGTCTTGGGAGCTCATGGGACCGCCGCTTCACACAACTCCGAGCTTGCGGCGAAACTCTACTTTCTCGCCGCCCAAATATTTGTGGCCAAGGTCGTCAATCCCCACGGAGTCACTTCCACGTCAACCCAAATCCAGACTTTGCTTATAAAGGGAATGGCGTTGCTGGAACTGTTCGATCCAACTGTCCCTTGCGGACAATTCATATGCTGGCCTCTACTAATCCTGGGCTGTGCAGCATGTGCAACAACCGCCTCAGAAGCCGTACAATGTAGCGATGAGCCTGAGGTTCGCCGAGGGCAGATGCGACGCCTTATCCAAGAACGACTCCTGCGCATCTGGAATGTCTCATATTCAGGCTATGTGCAGAGAACCTTGGGCGCTCTCGAAAAGGTCTGGAAGCTGCCCGGTATTATTGCACGGATACCTACAACCGGGTCTCAACTTCCCGGCGTTGAAGCCGAATATGACGGACTCAATGCACTGCTTTCCAAAAATGGCCTTGGCGTCGCCTTTCCCGCAGGCAATTTCCGGAGACTGATATAGGAAGACGTTTTTGGCCAGGGCTCATGCTTTCAGGCATTTATCAATAATTCGAGCCACCCGTAGGCACTCCTCGTCACGCATACGGCTTGTGAAGACCTGGACTGAGCATGGCGCCCCATCCTGCACTTCCGGGTCATCTGGCGCATCCCGTTAGCAAATTATCGGCGTTGGAGATGCGTCACTCACAAAAAGGGCCAGTTTGATGTGGCTGCATTGTTAATGGCTCAGGGTCAAGCTGCTTCGACGTCTTGGAGAAGGGGATGACACAAGCCGGATACTGTCAATGTCAGCACTTGCCTCACCACCAACCAAATGGCCGAGACCTACGTCGAGTAAGTTGAGGTGAGCAGTGTAAGGAGGCCAGCCATACGTGTCATGTGGCACTGCTGTGTTCTGCGCTGGAGGTCCAATGACCGCGTCTAATTTCAAGTCTGACCATAACTTTCGCCAATCCTCAGACAATTCCTGACGTTTGACTGTCAAAGCTGCGTATTGCTGCAGTTTGCCAAGCTTGCTGATATCCGGCACGAAGCTCCTCTCACCGCGGTTGGCGGGCTGGTGCTGCGCCGCGACCGAAGGAACAGGAGGCTCGCCGCTCGCTTTGATATGTCCCACCGTAGTCTCTGTCTCGAGGGTGAAGAGTAGGGCGGCGACTTCGGTGGCGTCAGCGACACGGCCTTGTTCGGCGCTCAGCTGAATTACTTGGTGCCCATCAGCCTGGATTCTCCTAATTGCTTCTTCAAGCGCTCGCTTGACTGGTGGGTGTAGGGGGTAGGAGGAGTCTTCAGCCAGAACTCCGATCCTCAGTTTGGACTCAGCGATCGGGTCCAATTGCCGCCAGGGTACGTCTATCGCAGTTGAGTCCAAGGCTCCAGGAATGGAGTCGATGACGACCTTGGTGAAAATCTCCAATGCCTCAAAATCGTTGGCAAGTGGTCCGGCGCACGCAGTTATGGGTTTCCACCCCGGTAATCCGGGGGTAGCCTGGCCGCCGTACGGGATTCGGGAGGACGTTGGCTTGAATCCATATGTGCCGCAACATAGTGCCGGGATGCGTACCGATCCAGCGACGTCCGTCCCTACGCCCAGAGGAGAGCCTCGGAACGCGACTAGTGCTCCTTCACCTCCACTCGACCCTCCGGCGCCCAAAACTGTGTTGTGAGGATTCAGGGTCCGACCGAAGATGTTGTTGTCGGAATCCGCTGTCATCAGCGTCATTGGGATGTTCGTCTTCACATAGAGCACAGCACCGAGGCTCAGCAAAATGTCGACAATTGGCGAATTCTTGGTGGATTTCTTCCCCAAGAATGACACGAATCCGATTGATGCCTCGGTGCCAGCAACCTGGAACGAGTCCTTGAGGCTGATAGGAAGCCCATGCAAAGGCCCAACCAGGTTGCCCTCGCTTCTTCTCTGATCAAGATACCTCGCTCTTTCGAGGGCTTGGTCGAAGAATGTCTCTGTAAGACAGGAGATCAGCTGCTGAGCGATGGCTGCCCTCTTTGAGAATGCTGTCGTGACCTCGACAGAGGTCAATTGGCCCGAAGCAAGTTCTGCTAGCAACTCGGGGACGGTATAATTTTCGGTAATCGCCAGTTCTCGGTCGGACAGGATGCCCGTCTTCCTTACCACGTCAAGGTCGATAAGTCGATTCGGTTTCTTCTCGAGCGGGAAATCGAAGAGCTCCAACACCTGGGGAGGGACTTGCCATTCTCTTGGAATAGCATCGCGGCATTGCTTTTGCTTGTGTGCAACCTTTGTCTGCCAGTCCGCCAAGCTGTCGCTTGCTTCAGTGTCCGGACCCAAGCTCCCCATGGTGGCTATATGTTCTCGAAGGCGAGTACCGTCCGTGACCGCCTCTTAAGTATGGCTTGTACCACAACCAGCGAAGAGAAGCACTGCAGTGATTTGTGTTTACTTGCCGCCGTTATATCTCGGAATTGCGAATGAAGGACGGTACCGATCCCGCCTTTTCGGCAATGTGATGGTTATGCAAGAATTTCGTTCATTGGCTGATGAGACCTTGGCTTGTACAACATCTCATACGAGCAGTTTGTTTGAAGGACCGCATTCCCATCGCTGTTGTCCGCACAAGTTCCGATAGCCCAATCACATACCATTGCGCCCTGCAGCTCTCGCACACCAATCGCACATCTATGCGCCATGATTGGCACTAACCCGGATTCCTTCCTCTCCAGTGAGGACTCCCCTCTCCAGCTGGCAAGACAATAGATGCTGCTTTCCGGCTTTGCCTTCCCTGCTGCCACCGCAAAAGAAACTCAAATACCTACACAGAGGACCGTTCCCGCTTGCACTTTGATCCGAGATTCCGGACCGGGCGGCTCTGACTTCTCGAGTCGATCATTTGGATTTCCTCTCGATACAACTACTTTCCAGCTAGCAATAGTCGGATGATATTGACCTGCTTTCGAAGCCGCCAAGCCACTTCTGCCTCTGGTCCAGCTGAAATCGATTACCCAGCGTCCGAAGACCTGACATGGGCGACTCAGGAGGTGGTGCAATCCTGCACAAATTAGCCTCGAGGCTTGACCGTGATCCAGGAACTCCAGTCGACAGCCCGACCGAATCATTCTGGCAAGTGCCCCGCCACTCGTTTGCGGACCAGCAGTCAGAGACTCTACCGCAGCAGACTGATGTCGTCATCATTGGCTCAGGCATCACAGGTATCAGCATAGCACAGCATCTGCTCAGGCTCCTGCCTTCGCTGGAGATCATCATGCTCGAGGCTCGCTCGGCAATATCAGGAGCCACGGGTCGCAATGGGGGCCACATCAAGGCTGTGCCATGGGCAGACTACTACGCCCTCAAAAAGGCGATGGGCACAGAAAGTGCGATGAAGATCACGAAATTTCGGTTAGCACATCTGGATGCTCTTGTCAATGAGGCGGCAGCGCTGGGCGATGCCGGCGAAGTGGGCTTGGTGCGCCGCGTGGAAGGGGTGAGCGCTGTCTTTGATCTAGAAGCGTGGCAAGCGGCCAAGCTCAAGCTGGAGACTTGGCTCGAGGACTTTCCTGAGGAGCGCGAGCGGTGGACTATCCATGAGGGAGAAGAGGAATTGAAGGTGCGATCAGGCTGTGCCACTCGGTGACCTGTGCTCGCTTGCTGATCTGAATCAGAACCTCGGGATTGCCAATGCCTACGGGTGCATCAAAGGCCCTGCCGGGGCTGCGTGGCCATATCGATTTCTAGGCGTGGTGATGTCCAAATTACTTGAGAGCGGAAAGGTGACGCTCGAGACTCATACCCCTGCAACAGAAGTACGTCGGAGCCAATCTTCCAGCTACCCATATGAGGTAGCCACCAGGAGAGGCACAATATCCGCGAGACATATCATTCATTGTACGAACGCGCATGCCGCTCACCTGCTTCCCTATTTACAAGGGAAACTCTGGCCACTGAGGGGCCAGATGACAGTCCAATCGGTGCCTCAGGACTTTCCACGACTGGGCGGCTCCAGGTCATGGAGCACGATGTGGGCGAAAGGATTCGACTACATCACGCAGTCCCCTAGCGATGACGGCTCGCTCTACCTTGGTGGCGGCTTCTTCCAAGGTGGTCCAGAAAAGGACGAGGACTTGGGCAATACTGATGACAGCCAGTTGAGTGCTCAGTGCCTGGGACACCTCGAGACGGTGGCGCGAAAAGCGTTTGTCCACGGCACAGGTGTAGAGATTGACAAGAAATGGACCGGCATCATGGGATTCACGGGCGACGGCCTCCCCTTGGTTGACCGGGTCCGCAACTTCATGTCCGGGCGAGAGGAATGCGATTCCCAGACTGGTGGTGAATGGATCGCTGCTGGCTGGGACGGATACGGCATGGTCCATTGCTGGCTCGCCGGCAAAGCCCTCGCGTGTATGGTGGCGGGCCGCGAGGAGCAGGCTCTCGACTGGTTTCCAAGGCACGAGTTCCGTTGCACGCAAGACCGGTTAGAAAAGATGAACCCGGAAAGCGCACTCGGCCGTTTTCTCGGCTTGCTAAGTTGATAGGGAGGTCCGGCAATGAGAATAACAACGACAGCAACCATAAGGGTGAAGCCATTTTGTGTCCGGGTTCAGATGCTTGAACTGACTGCGTGAACAACCAGATTAGGCAACTCCAGCCCGCACCTCACGGTTGTTCGAGCTGCTGCAGCACGAGAAGCGGCCTTGTCCATCTCGCTGCATCGCCTCGAGGCGCCAAACAACCACTTCGTACCGCTGGAGAGCGCATATCGATATGATTCGACGCCGCTTCATCGGTCTTCCGCGCCAGACCCGCTGATATGGCCTCTGGTCGATCTTCCTTCTCCGCATTTCCTCTCGCACAACAGGTTGCCGACCACGGGATCTTCTAGGCTGGGCTGCCCTGGTTGCCACTAGACCGATATCTAGGCTGGCAGGTAGGTGGATGGTGGCAAAGACTAAGCAAGCTCTCTAGCATTCTGGCACGCTATTGATAACGGCTCGAGCCTGCGACATGGCTGCAATGAGGTTTGTCGTCGGGTTGCGACAAGTCACACCGAGCTACAAAATGGTCATTCCTTTCCTGTGCTGAGCTGCTATCACTGATTAAGTGCTTGAGTGCTTGAGTGCTTGAGTGCTTGAGTGACACTCTATACTGTTTACTTGGTCTTGTATACTGTGGATCCGCATTGTCTTCTGTGCTGTACTCGCCTAGTCCTTCGCGTCTCTCCCTCACCGATATACCCTCCCTACGCACGACCAGATCAATATCAAAATCACCATGACCTACGACAGACTCCCGCCCGGGACACAGAGGATCGAGGATAAAACTGGGCAGAAGATTCTTCTTGCGCCTCAGCCGAATGCGGATCCCAACCAGCCTTTGGTAGGTTCAACATCACCGATCGCTGTGCACAAAACAGAGTCGAAGTTCACTCCTTCCTCCGCATCCTGTCCAGTTCATCAGTGTGCGCGGAGCAACATACTAACTTTAAAACCGTTTGAATCACAGAACTGGTCTCCATTTCGCAAATCACTACACATGACGATTCTGTGCTTCTACGCACTCATGGTCTTTGCGATGTGAGTACATGCGGGCAATCCGAGTATGGGTCCGAATACAAACATACATACTTCAAGACTCTCCACAACCTCCCTGTAGCGTCACGCTCCCTGTGTGTCTGCTGGATCGCTGACCCTCTCCTCTCTACGTTTAGTCTCTGCGTCGCCGTCCCACTATGGCAGGACTTCAACACCGAGCTCGGCATGAGCTACGCCGTGCTGAACGACGGGTACGCGACAAACATGGCCGCCTTGTCAGTCGGATGTATCATCTTCGTGCCGATCGCGCTGCGCGTCGGCCGCCGGCCCGTCTATCTCGCGACGGCGCTGATCATGCTGGCTGCGGCGATCTGGCAGGCGAGGATGCGCACGGTCGGCGATATGATCGGGGCGAATGTCATTTCGGGACTTGCTGGGGCGGTTAACGAGGCCGTCTTTCAGGTTACGGTAGGTTCGATGCTGAACAGCTGAGTACAGCACCGGTGCGGTGTCGGCACGGGAACATTCCAGTCGACCGTAGACCCCGGAATTGAGTGGCTGACTGTACCTCGGACTCTACTTAGGTCTCCGATCTCTTCTTCGTGCATCAGCGCGGCACCATGAACGGGATATACCTCGCCATTGTCATCATTGGGAACTATCTCGGCCCCGTCGCGGCAGGATACGTGGCAGTCTCCCAGCATTGGAGATGGGTCTTCTGGTACTGCACCATCTTCATGGCGATCGTTGCGCTGGTCATGGCCTTCTTCCTCGAAGAGACCAAATACACTCCGTTGGTGACGGACGGTCGTGAAGTCGTCCTCTCCACGGCAGTCGATCAAGGAGCCGACGACATGCTCGCCAAAGTCAACAGCACCACCAAGTCTGCTACAGCCGCCACACGCTTGGGCTCCATCTCCGTGGACGCGACCGAGGCCGCGCAGAACACCGAACGCCGCCGCCTCGTGGAGATCGACCACTCGATCCCGCTCAAGTCGTACCGCACACGCCACGCCCTCTGGTCTCTCGACAAGCAAGTGACGTCCGCGCACCGGCCGCCGTGGATGCACTTCATCCAACCGTTCCACATCTTGGTGACTTTTCCGGCCGTCATGTTCACGGCACTGCAGTACGGGTTTCTGATCGCCATGTTGGCAATCCTGGCCGTCACACAAGCCACGTTGTACCCGTTTCCGCCGTACAATTTCACGCCCATTGGAGTGGGGAATATGAATTTGCCACCTGGTGAGTAAGAACATACGAGATCGAGCATGCCTCCAACGTGCAACATGTGCAACGTAAAACACCGGAGGAACCCCACCCTGCGCTGCTCGCTTCTATACACGTTGAAAGCTACCGTGGACTAACCATGATTGTCGGTACGCCACGCACACAGCAATCGGCGCGATCCTCGGCTCTCTCTTCGGCGGGCCCCTGAATGACTATTTCATCGTCCAAGTCGCCAAACGACGAGGCGGCATCTACGAGCCCGAGACGCGTCTGTGGCTCTTCCTCATCCCCGGCGCGTGCATGCCCGTCGGCCTGTTCATGTACGGCCTGACCATCTCGCGGGGCATGGCGTGGCCGATCAACGCCGTGGGGGCCGGCTTCATCGGTGCGGCCATCGGCGGGTGCGGCGACATCAGCTTGACCTATTGTCAGGATTGTTATCAATATGTGAGTGGTTCACCCAGTCGTTCTGAGTAACTATGCCCATGCCCAACATTTCTCGTGGACCCTGCCCAACCATCTCTGACCTCTGACTGCCTTTCCCGGTATTTTCAGATCCTAGGCGACGCACTCACCGGCGTCGTGTTTGTGCGCAACATCATCTCCACGGGCCTCGTCTTCGCCGTGACGCCCTGGATCGCCGGCATGGGCGTGTACGACATGTTTGTGCTTCTGGGGTGTTTGAGCGTCGCTGTCGCGTTGACCTGCATTCCTTTGATCGTCTGGGGACGAGCGTGGCGGGCCAGGTTGGCTGGACGGTACGAGCATTTCGCCGCCAAGCAGTATTGAGGTGGGTGAAGTACTTGTGACAACGCAGCGTGGGTGGGTGGGGATATGTATCGCCGTGTTCGACTCCGTCGACGAGGTGGCCGATGGCCTGTAATGTGACGAGCTGTGTCCAAGTCGGAGGATGAGATACATAACCTGTACATGATGAAAATCAAGTTGAACGGCATTGAAGCCTTTTTCCGGTGCTGGGTCTTCTTCACAACGCATCTTTTCGACATCTCACTTCTAAGCTCCGCTCGGGTCTCAAGAGAGTGTTGGCTTGTCGATCAAGCGAAGCCGTCAGTCGTCAGGCGACATCATCTGTCTGGCTGGTATGGATATTAGGGAGAGAAGTCCGTAGCCCGCTTTGGGATCGCCCAAAAAGACTGCAGGATCCTAGCACTTTATGCTGGATTATTGGACCTCTCATGTAGCTTACAGTATATGCTTGTTACGAACGCCGGAGAGGGGGGGGGGGCACGCGGGTTCATGACAACTCGTCCCTGTAAACTGGTACAGCTCTGTACTTTTATTTTTTGGGTCCGGCGATACCTGTGCTGCTGACGATGGCACCGTAGTGCTATGTAAGGACACCACGCCGGCCGATACTTTACTCTACTTTGGTCTGGCTGTCGGGAAGGGCGGCTAATCGAAAATAAAAGGAGAAAGTGTTGTGTAGCTAGTAACTATCTAGCTATCGACGAAGACTCAACGCGTGCAGAACATGAAGGTTCTCGCATGCGATGAGTAGGCTACATAGTCCCGTAGCGCTAAACCTGCTCTATTGTTCGTTAACACGGGCTTTTGTTTATCCATGGCACTGTACACTGTACATGGTGCTAAAAGGCACACATGTGGCGTCTCATGCCAATCTCGCTCTCAATCCGCCTGCCTTCTTTACGATCAAGCGAGGAGTTCGACCGGTAAGCAAGTAACTAGGCTGAGCCAGTGATGGTACACACGACTTGCTGAGCAGAGGGGCATAGGCCACAGACCGCAGACAGGTTGACGTGACGTGACCGTCCCGGACGGAACAATACCAACCACAGCATCACCTTGCGCCTCACCGCACCGGCAAGCCTGGTTGGTGGTGGCCCAACAACCAGCAGGCGTGGACTTCCTTCCCCTTGCGGGTCTCTGCAGACTATGCTTACTAACCGAAAGAGTAGCAGAGCTGCTGCGCACCTCACTGCGAGAGGGGCAACGACGCCAGCAGGGGAGAGAGTTGGCAAGAACCATTAGCGCTCTCACGACAGATGGCGTAGAGGACACAATTTTCCCAAGACCAGCGGGTGGAAATAGAACAACTCGCAGCGCTACTCACTGTAGAAGGTGACAGGCGACAGGCAACAGGCAACAGGCAGTAGGAGCACAGGGAGTGATAATTAGTCTTCGGTATACACCAGAATAGTATAACAAACAGGCATGACGAAGGGCAAGTATGACAATCGTCTCTTCGCTGTATAGTGCTGCAACCACAAACACAACCAGAATAAGTCCATATCTCCGATACTTGCTTGCTGTTCAGACTCAAAACTTATGGGTATAAATAGCCTTTTTCAAAATAATTGCCGTACATGTCCACAACGCCGGTCCGACCTTTGGGTATCGCATTGCGGATGACCTTGATCTCGCCTTTCCAATGGCCTTCGACGTATTTCATATCAATGTCATTAACATCAGCGCCCGTTCCAGCGGATGCCACAATCGGTTTATGTGCCGAAGCCTTCCAATTCCCATTCACATGGGCTTGAGTGTGGGATAAAGAGCCCGGTCCAGCACCGTGGTCAAATCCGTATCCGTAACCTCTCGGTGCGGAACGGTGACCTCGAGTCTGGCTGTCGAGAGCACCGTTGGAACTCCCGTGGCCTGCACGGCTCATTCTATAACGTGCCAACTCTTCCTCGTAGGCTTTCTTTCTCTCTTTCCTCCACGCCGCCACTTCGGCAATGACATCCACGGTCGCTTCTTCCTCCTGTTGTCGTTGGTTGTGCTGAATGGGACTCGATGTCGGCGCAAGCATGGAATCCCGCGACCGCGGTCGATACTGGCCGTTCATGAATTTCGGCGAGACTGGCCCACCCTGGATTTCGGCTAGCACATTTCTAGGGCCGCCAGAACGCTGAGATTCGTTCGAACTTCGCCGATTTCGTCCCAGAGGCAGGTTCCTTGGACTTCTCAGCGTGCCGTTCGAGTAATTCATCGAGAAGGGCGACAGGGCCCCCTGCCCGTGAAAGCTGCCGTGGGGACTGCTGGAGCCGCTTTCGGGTGGGTTGTCTTCCGGGCTGAGCAGGATCTTGTCGTCGAAATGTGCGGTCGGGAAGTACTTTTCGGGGTCATGTTGATAGATACCACACTCTGCTTGCTCTTCGCCTTCCTCCCCAAAGAAGCTGAAGTCGTTCTCCGCGGCCGACCATAGATTCTCACTATCCCGGTCCCCCGTTGATGATTTGCTCATGCTGATGCGCTGGCGAGAGTGCTGCCATCCGCGCTGGACAACCGCGTCCTGCGAGACTGGCTGTTCCATCTCGAGTACGATTGTCCGAAGCGCAAAGAGTGATCGGGCCTGTTCGAGCTCGGCCACGTGTCGAGCCGGACCAGGTGGAAGGGAGTAGTCCGTTCGGGCGAGGAGACGAGCGAGTGCCGCTTCGTCAGCACAAGCGGAAATGAAAGACTTGAGCGCAGACACAACCGGCGACGATCTGGGAGCAGTGGTGGGCACGTTCGTCAGGACCAGGGTCCGCAGGTTGGGAAGCACGGCGGGATGTAAACGTGTTAGGTTTTGAGCAGCGATCTTTGGCACAGTTGGATTCGAATGTGAACCTCGGGAGGACAGCCCAGGAGGCCTTTTGGCTAGCAGGGCGTCTATTCGTGCCTGACGGTGCTGCAAAGCGACCGCTGGTATCGACGGCGATAGATTTCTGGATGGTGCGGGTACGGGCGCCGGCGTTTTCGGGGTCGACGCTGTCCCAGTTGACGTCTTCGGAGCCGAGACTGTCCCGTTCGTCCTCTGCGGGACAGAGGTTGGTGGCGGATTAGTCTTCGGTGGAGGCGGAGCGACCAGCGGCTGGAATGTCATGTTGTTGGGATGGGGCGACAATGGAGATACTGGTGACAGAGTCGATCTCGTGGTACTGTGAGTGCCTGTCTCATCGGAGATCTCGGATTCAACCACGGTTGCGCGATCGTCGTGTTCTCCGCCATGGGACTCCTCGTTCACTACTAACTCCGGTGCATAGGCTCCCTCTCCGCGAATGGGACTCTGTGTTTCGGTGACCGGACTCGTGACTTCGGGTTTCTCTCCAACCGGGGGGCTGAGGGCAAAGTATATCAGATCACCTACCAGTTCGACCCTAGGCTGAGCAGGGGTGGCATCCAACTCAAAGACCTCCTCGTTAGCCGGAAGCTCTACGGCATAATGAGCAGGCGCCGGCGCTTCGGCCAGTTGCCGTCCCTCTGGGGGGAGCTCCGCTGCCAGGGGTTCAGACCCGGCAAGCTCGACAGAAGCCCCTTTCGACTTGACGACCTCATGTGGTGCGTCAAGCTTTGCTGTGATCAACGCATGGTCGACACGAAGGTACGTTAGATTCTTGCTGGCTGAGCGAGCAAGCACAGGGATCAATTTCTCTGCGCCTGGAAATCGAACTTCGTCGATGTAGCCTGTAGGCGAAGCAAGGGACTGAGTCCGTGCAATGGTTTTGACCGTGTCGACCGACCCGCCATCCAGGATATGCAGCCTTTCCGACTTGAGTAGACTTGACAGACCTTCAACGGATAGACGATTCCCAGAAATGTAGAGGTGGGTTAGACCGCGATGGGGAATGTCCTCGAATGCTAGCCTGCCTGTGAGTGGCTTCGTCAGCTGCTTGAGGAGCTCGTGATCGAGTTCTTCACTTCGGAGTGTGTCCAGGCTGAAGAAATCAGGGCCTGGAGCCATGCCTACAGGCCAGTCCTCGACGTTGAGGGTGCCTCGTTGTGCGACGTCTGAAGACAAAAAGCATGCTTGCATCAACGATCGCACAGCCATATCAGTCAGAAGGTTGTCGCTCAAATCCAACAGCCTTACGCGTATGCCGATTGCATTGGCCAGCACCTCCGCCTCTCCATCTCTGAGGCCGACACCGCGTAACTTGAGCACCTGGAGGTCCTGCAGATACGAAAGAGCCGCCAGAACTGCGGCGTCTCGAGCCGGTGAGGTATATGACAAGTCCAGGTAGACCAGACCGGAAAATCTTGGTAAAGCGCCTGCCAGGGCCGAAGATGTAGTATTCGGTTCGCTAGACGCCAGCAGCAACTTCAACCCGAACGCTGGCAATGTCTCCACATCTTCGCTCGACAATCTTCTTCCCGCGCTTGTGGTTCGCAGCGCATTGAGACTGTGATGGTCGAAGAAAGGCAACTTGGTGACGATCAGACTTTGGAGGTTGGGGAGGTATTCGAGGACGTCGCGCAACCAGCTCGGGTTGGGACCGCCGTAGATCTCACTCAGAGCCGGAGGCAGATGCAAGGTATGCGTGAGGCTCCTCACGGTCAATCTCGCTTTGCGCAGGGTGCGCTTGAACCGAGTCAGGGCGACATAGACGGCGTCGTTCTCGATGCCAAAGTGCGAAGCAGGGTCGCCCCAGAGAAATGGCACGAAGATCGAGTACCATTTCTGAGAGACTAGGCAGGCAGCACAGAGATCACGGGAGGAGATCCAGGGCGCGATGATGGTCCATGCCTCACGACTGACGGCGCTTTCGTAGGACGGAGGAACATCAGGCTTCATCGCGGCGTGGGAAGGTCAGCGGGTGACATGATGTCCGGCACATGAATCGACAAGAGACAGCGACAGTGGAGAGCAACGGCAATTGCATGGATAGATAGAGCAGGACTGTCTATGCCCGCATCATGGCGGTGCAATTGACTTGGCTCTTGCATTTCCAGTTAGAAGAAACAGGCGGAAGAACTCCTAGAAAGCGCCAATCACGGCCGCCCACCACCACCAAGAGCCGCTAACGGCCTCGCTAGCGCACCGTGGGGCACAGATCACGTGGACACTGCGTCATCACATGATACATTGTCGGCGAAAGTCGCCAGGTGTTAATTATAGTTTGCGCTCGTTGACAGCGAGGTTTCGCTGGCACGTGATGTGATGTGCCTTGGGCTACAACAGAATTCGTGTCTGGGCTGTAGCTGCGTACGAATACCGCAAATAGATATCACTGCTCATGGCGAGGAGAGGAGATGAACATTGAACGGGCGCTTTTCCTTCGTATCCTATTTAGCACCCCGGCTGCGCAGGTGCTCCGCTATTGAACAGGTCCCTCCGGCTGTACATACCTCAGAAGGCGTCAAAACAACAGGAATACAGCGTCTCTGAAAGTGTTGGGGTCAAGCCTTCCTTGGGTATCATTATCATCCTCTCATGACCTCCTCACATCACGTACAGCAAATCAGTGTCTGTAAGGAACCAGATTAGCGTCAGCGGCACAAACAAGGAGGCATAAAACTTACTAAGCGGGTGTGAGCAACTCAGCTGCGGCTTCTGCGTATATTTCGAGGCCAGTTCGTCCCGAATGCTGTTCAGAAGTTGCACGTAGCTCTGATGCGGGTTCTTCTTCAGCGAGGTCACGAAGGCCCAGCTCATGGCCCCGGTTGCTTCTCCTCCGATGTTGGCATCTTGGCTGGTCTGTTGGTCTTTGCTACCAGACCACATTATCACATCGGCGGGGCTCGTCTTGGTCTGCTTGTTCCGTTCGTATGTGGAGTTTCCACCCCCGACTTTCTTAAACAGGCCCATTGCCGTTGACGCCATGCCGCTCAAATCGCCTCGAGCATAAGACGACACAATGGACAGCAGACCTTGGCCAGCCTCCTTTGCCAAGTTGGGCTCCTTGAGTACTCCTTGGGTGGAGTAGATGTACGGCAAGTCGAGGGCGGATCCGGAGTGACAAGAGTCGAAGATGGCTGTCAGCCTGACTCCCGGCTTCAGAGGCTTGACCATGATTCGGTGCATCTCGTCATCTACGATGTGGCCGGCCGACCGGAAATCGACAGGATAGATGACCTCGTCGTAGCCGTCTTCTTCGTCTCCGTCCAGATCGGGCGTCTGTCCACCGTGACCACTGTAGTGGAAGAAGAGGGAGTCGTTGGGCTGCGCATCCTTGACCAGCCAGTGCATGGCTCGAAGAATGTTGGCCTTTGTGGGTTGTGACATGGGGTTCTGCTGATCATCGGTCAAGATAACCATGTCTTCTCGTGCATATCCAAAGTTCTGGTTCAAATAGGTTGACATGTTCTTTACATCGTTGATACAGCCCCGGAGTTGCCCTCGCTGACCGAAGTAGTTGATGCCGATCAACAAAGCCTTACGTTTTCCAGTACAGTTGGAGTATTGGAAGGCGTAACCGGCTGGCGCGCCGTGGCCAAACTGTTGTGGTGCGGTAGGCGGTGGGGGAGGGTTCTGGGAGCCATAGGTATGGCTGTTGTTGTAGGCTGGCATTCCCGGCCGCGGGCCTGCGTAGCCGTTCGGTTGTGGCGGCGGCGAGTTCCATTGACCGTAGCCGCCTTGGGATGGAGGAGGAGGGTTGTTCTGAAATGTCTGTCAGCCTCTGCTCATACCAGTGGCATCCTGCCTATTAACGGTTAGCATACATATCCGTACGGTGCAACGTTCTGCGGAGGCGGCTGCCAGCCTCCTTGCGGTGCGTAGCCCTGTTGATTATAGGATTGTTGATTGTAGGAAGGCTGGCTGTAGCCTTGGGATGAATACGGCGCAGCCGAGTTCGCCGGCGGATAGCCATAGCCGTTGTGTTGCTTCCTGCTGTTAGCATCGCACTCTCTTTCCATGTTTGTTTGCTTGCTCACCTGCGCCCCACCGTACCCTTGACCAGGATAGTACGACATCTCTTATAAGCTGTTCTGGTTACCCGACACCAAAGCAGGTGGACAGGCACAAACAATCGCAACCGCGCTGTCGGGATGATGTGCACGACTGAAGCAAGACTCAGGCGCCGAGGGTGTCCAGCAGTGTCTCAGAGAAAGGTAAACAGTTACAAGGAGGAAAAGTGTGCGGAAGGTGATTCGTAAGTCAAGAGGTGGAAGTCGAGAACAAGTTGGGCCGCGCCGGGGTCGGGACTGTTTGTTTCGGGGCCAGAAGAACAAGGGTCTTTCGAGCCTATTCAGGTCTATCCGAGGTGGAGAATGCGGTTGACGTGTTTAGCGAGAATCTTATCCTGTCTCGCGGTCACGACGGAAAAGATATAGGGAAGACCAGAGTGATATGTTCGACGACGGGCGCAGGTCGAGTGTGGCAGTGACGACCTCAAATGCTGCTGATGGATCGAAGCCCGACTCACGCTCTGGTTCTTGACCGACGACCAAACGCAAGCACCAGAAGCTGCAGGAAGAGCTGACGAATGCAATGGCGCTCAGGCTTTTCCTCCGGCGCTTTAGCTTCGTGATCAGATCAGCCATGGCATCTGATTCGCGCATCTCTCTTGACAGGCCTCTCGCCCAGCCGGGGTTTTGGCATCTGCTTTCCAAGGGTCTCTGCGCGTCGCTTGCCCATTGCGTCGTGGTCGAATAAAGCAAGGCCCCCGGACGGCTCCGGCGCCTGATCGAGAAACCGTTCGCCTAAATAGACTGCTTGAAACATAGCCGTCCGCCAACATGTTGGTGTTTGGGCTGCTCTAGGCTTGTCGTGGCCCAGTGCCCCGACAGCCCACGACAACAATGCTGGCCGAGAATTGGCGATTCCAGCGATACGCCCTCTGACAGCACGCTCGGTCGTCAAGTCTGAGTAGCGACTGACACCATCACACCCAGTTGAAATGGACACAGCACCTATCACGGATACCGTCTAACCCTGGATCACCGCGCTGCTGCGCACGGCAACGTACCTTAACAGGGACATACGTTAGCCCTATCCCGTCATTCGAGGTCCACGTGGCATTCCTCGCTATGCTTCAGCTTTTCCTGAAATCTCACTAATCACCAGATCCATGACAAGCGAGCGCCGGTAATTTGCACAGTTGCTTGATCTCTGGACTTCAAGAACGGGCTCCGCCCCAGCTTTTCAAGCACATTCCCGCCCAGGGCTGAAGTGCGTGGCACCCAGCTGTCCTGCAACGTCCATCAATCATCGAGCCCCAGCATCTGCCCAGCAGCGTGTGGCCCAATCGAGCTTCAGCCGCTTGCACCCTACCCTTAACCAGCACTTAGCGAACTGCAAAGAGTCGTCAGGGGTGGACCGGATTGGGAAGCTACAGCCCTTAGCAATCACTCCGCTGCAGCCACTTCGGTTGTCCTGGCCAAAACGAGATTCCCGTAGTTAGGGGCAAGTGTCTACGACAGCTTTGTTACCAATGATATGCCAGTCGAGACAGCCCTTTGGACTTTTTGGTAGCTACAACAGCCATGCAGAAGAGCTCTCGTTGATCTGCCATTCCCCGCAAAATCACGAATGCTCGGAGATGCTGCGCTAGAAGAGCTCAGCCAGTCATAGCAGTTGTAGGCTTTTGACCCTGAATCTCTGACATTCAATATGACCTTTCGTGTCCATTTCGAGACGCTGTAACGGCTGGACGCTAACTACCAGAATATGTCCCCCCTTCAGCGACGCCGGACCAGAGCTCGAAACCCGGTGGCTGCCGATACGACGCGGTGGACAAAAGGACAAATTCACCCCCTGCAGGTGGCTTACCACGGCGTACAGGTACACATGGATACAAGTACAAACGGGAGTGCGGGAAGGCTCTCCGGCGTCGGATGGCTGAGTACTGTACGCAGTGACTGGCAAGGGGTTCATGGCTCACCCCCGAGACTCGCATAGGCTATTGCATGTCTACGAGGCTGAATCGTTGAGACACGCGCAGCCTTTGGGCTAGATCTATTGTTCTGCAAAAGGTTGATGGACGCTCACCGTGGCTCAGGACTCTCCTCGACCGACTAGTCTCTTGTACTGGCTTCGGAGAGACCTTTGGAAGGCTCTGCTCTCCGTGAGGATGGGCCAGCATTGACTGCGAAAGCCTCTCCTCCCCCATTTGACTCTCTTACAGGCTGCTCTGCACTCACACATCCCTAGACGTCTGCCACAGGATTTCGTGCCAGTCGCAAGCGCCCCTTCGGACAAGCCTTGGTGGCATCAGCAGCTGCCTGCGCGGCTCGTCTCGACGCCTTGTCTTCTTTCCCCCTTCATGAGTCTAGCCCAGCTGGTCGTGGAGTCATTCATCACACCCTCGGGCGTCATGGGTATTCATAACCTGCGCCGCAGACTGCTGTCCGAGAACCTTTGTATGCCTGCCGTCGTGTCAAGCAGAGCGGGCAATACCAAGTTTCATCCTGTCTTCCTCACCGTCTTGGCATTCCCCTTCCTCTGCCCCTCAATGCCCGCTGAGCGGCACCTGGTGGCAAGCCCCTGGCCGGCGCCTGCGGACCTTGACTTTCCTCGTTCTTGATCGTTTCGTCGACACTCAGTATCAGACACGCCGCCTCGACAGCCGCGGAGATGGCATTGACCTTCACCAGGGCTGGCTCCCACACGAACGCATCCATGTTGTTCCGCACCCCTTCGTGATCAAAGTCGACGCCCGCCCAGACATGTCCCTTTCGATGCTCCACTCGCAGTCGGTTGAGGATGTCTGTCGCATCGAAACCGGCATTGTCGCATAGCTGGCGTGGTATGACCTCCAGAGCCTTTGCAAAAGCTTTCACCACTGCCTGCTGCTTGTGTGGGACATTTTTATCAGCGAACCGGTGAAGGTAGCCTGAAACCTCCATTTCGATTGCGCCACCTCCGGCCACAATGGTGTGGTTCGTCAGTGCGCGCTTGACAATCATGATGGCGTCGTGTAACGACCGCTCAACTTCGGCAATGAATTGTTCGGCGCCACCTCTCAGCACCAGTGTGCAGGTTTTCGCTTCTGGGCATTGACTGAACAGGTTATACCGCTCACCACCGATCTGCCGCTCTTCGAACAGCCCACACGTCCCGAGATGTTGAGGGAGAATGTCGCTACATGTGCTCTGGGTGACCGCACCGGTAGCTTGGCATACCCTCTCCAAGTCATCGCTTGACACACGACCGGCGCAGAAAATATCCCGGTCTGCGAAATACTGTGTGGCCAAATCGCCGATGGGCAGTTTGCTGAGCACCACTTTGGCGCCCGTCTTGTACAGTGCCTCCATCTTGTCATAGATGATCTGCCACTCTGCATCTACGATGGCTTGGTATTCGGATACCTGGTCAATCCGCACTTCAGCGTTGTCTTTTTCTGCCTTCAATTCCAATTCCACGTTCAGACAGACGATTTTGGGATTTTTGAACGACTTCGGCTGTTGCTCGAAGCCAGCGTAGGAGAACGTCTTCTTGAACGCAACCCCATCAACGAATAGCGAATCTTCCAGCGCACCGCCGGTGATCTTCTTGATTCCGATGAGCTTTTCGTTCAGGTCTTCCTGGTCGAGGGAGAGGACTGCGTCGACAACCACTACATTTCCTCACCGTTAGTACAATCCCAAACATACCCACCCTCAAAGAAATGGGTTAGGCTAAGCGAGTGGAGGCAAACGTACTCTTCGTGAAAAACCCAGCATTGCGATGAATCAGCTTGCTGCTCATGGCCGTGGCCGCCAACTTCCGCAGCGTCTCCCTCTTGTCCTTGGTGTCATCCACACTCACGGCGATTTCCTTGATCTTGTTGATCGCCATCTGGCTCGAGCGTCTCAACCCCTTCACAATCGTCTGCGAACTCACGCCCTGCTCGACCAATTCTTTGACCTCCTTGAGAATCTCCCCCGCAAGGACAACCACCGAGGTCGTCCCATCGCCGACCTCAGCATCCTGTGACCTCGCAATGTCCGTAAGGATGCGCGCGGCGGGGTGTACGATGTCTAATAGTCGCATGACGGTGGCACCGTCGTTCGTGATTGTCTGCTTTCCATTCTGGTCGACGAGTAACAGATCCCCACCGTAGGGGCCCAGCGTGGATTTGATCGTAGACTGCACGGCGAGGCAAGCGGAGATGTTTGAAAGAATTTGACCCTTTCCTTGGGAAGCGTCGGTTCCTGTAAGAGGCCAAACAGTCAGTCGGTCGGTCAGTTGGCAAACAATCTCCGCAAGAGTCTTTTGCAAGACAATATTCTTGCGGAACGATGGGGTAATGACTGACCCTCTTTCAGCACGATGATCGTGGGGGTTTGGCCCCCAAATGCTGCCATATTGACAAGAACAATAAGAACAAGGACACCAAAAACAACGCCCTAGACTGGATCAACCGAGGGTAGGAGGACGGTGGTTGCGGTGCGGCCTGCGAAATTTGGGCCCGCGAAACTTGAGCCTTGTGAATTTTGGGGACGGAGCATAGAGACTTGATGTGCAGTTTTGAGGGGAATCGCTGCTACGGTGGAGTTTAGGCTGGCTTACTGCAGAAGCTGCGGTGCATAGCAAGCTTGTGTCGCGAAGACGAGATGTGGACTTTAGTTTCATGTCAGCGTACTCCGTACTTGTTGTCTTTTACCCAAGATCAATCAAAGGGTTGGCCGGCCTGCTGCAGCTCGAGATGGCGGTCTGGCACGAATGCGATTTTCAGCAAAGCGAGTGCGTCGAAAGGGGAGACTTGACACTGAGGACAATTTGCGATATTGAGACAGTACGGAGTACTTGTCCTGCATGTAAATTATCCGCGAAATTATAGCGCTTCACGACTCAGCGCTCTTCTCAGAGCTCTTCTCAGGCACCTTCTGCCTTTTGAAGGTGTCCCGCTTTCTTGGATTGTAGTGACAATGACTTACGCCCGGAGAGGCCTCTCCCTCCTTTGACACGACCCGCAGAACCAGCAACGCCTCTCCATGCTCATCTTGCTACTTATTGTACATGTGCATCAGCAGTCGCCGGGATCTCCACCGCAGGCGTCTCGGCCTTCCGCAAAATTTCCTCCTCGTCGTCCTTCGGCCTCGGGGCCAACAAGAACTGAAAGATGGCCGCGATGGCCACAACTGCGCAGCTCCACCACGCGCCTGCCGAGCCCAAGCTGCTATAGAAGATGCCAACGAGCGGTGGCGCTACTGTCCGGGCGGCTGAGCAGGCCGACATTGCGAGCCCGTTCACTTCGCCCAACACCAACGGCGAGGGGGTCGCGTTCTTCAGCAGAATCAGGAATGCTGGGAACGAAACCACACCAGTGAAACTCGTCAACGCGAGGATGCCGTAGACGCCAGCCCCGGGGTTCGGCAACAGGGAGAGAAACGGCACAACGATGTAGATGAAAGGACTCAGGATTGTGACTGACAGCACAGCCTTCCAGACGCCCAATCTCGCCACGAAGATGGTGAAGACCACGCCTTGGAAAAACAGCGACATAACGCTGCCGGTGGCGAGGTAGGCTCCTACGTCGTGCAAAGTCATGCCGAGGCCTCCTTTGAGATCAAGCTCGCGCGAGCCTCGCCGTGCGTCGTCGAGGAGATAAATAGGCAACAGTGAGTAGAACCCCATGGAATGGTAAGATTGGAACACCAGCGCGATGGTCCACATGATGACGCCTTTGTTGAAGGCTTTGATCTTTTCCGCCTTCGCGGTGTGCTCAGAAACATCATCCTCCACAACTGCGGAGTCGAAACCGGTTTCGACCCCCGTCTCAACACGTGGGAGGGCAGGCCGCGCCAACGTGCTTGATTTATGCTGTAGTCGGATGGAGCCGAGAGAGGCCAACGAGCCGCGCCGGAGATCGAATGCCGGGTCAACGGGCAGAGGCATTGATTCCGCCACGTAAGTCACTCCCCCAGGCGTGTTTGAAAAGGCACTGACTGCCGATGCCCTCCGTCGCCTTGGTGGCAGCAAAGACGTCGTCTCGTTGGCAACGTCGACACCGTTCGAAGGGATGTGCAGATAGCTTGGGACCCGGCTTGGGGCAGGTGACCTCGGATTCGTCTCTTCAAGAAATATGACGCCTTGGATGATGGCGATGACGATGACCACCACTGACACTAGATTCGGTAGCAAGTAGGGATACTGGCCGAATATGCCGTCTTGGGAGAATACGTCAGGGTAGAAGCGTGCAGGTTGTGCCAGGAAACCTCCCAGTGCCGAACCCGCGATCGAGCCCAAACTCCAGACGAAGGGCTGCACTGCATATGCGGACGCTAGGATTCACGTAGGTCAGTTGTAGTCCGCACCCATGCATACAGACACATCCGCATGGTCAACAGGATCATGCGTGGGAAGACTTACGTTCGTGCTCTGGCCTCTTCACCATCTCAGCCACCATGGTCTGCATAACAGCAACATTCCCGTTCAGGAGCCCACCGACTACCCTCGCCAGCAAGGCCACCCAATACTTCTTGGCGAAGCCGAAGATCAAGCTCGACAGAGCGACCCCCACGAGGCCAAATAGCACTATTGGTTTCCTCCCATATCGGTCTGAGATGCGGCCCCAGATCATCGCGGTGGAAGCCTCAGCCATGGCAAACGCCGACACCAGGAGACCGGCGTAGAAGGATGCATCTTCCTCGCCTTTGATGTCCTCGACCATCACGAAGGTGTAGGCCGTGATTGAGCAGAAGGCAATGGGCTCTGCAAGCCGACATAATGCTACACATGGTACTGGTCAGCAACGGGGTCGAAGGTGGTGTAACGGGGTGGATGTTGTGAGAGACGTGACAACAACATACCCAAGACGGTGAGTTGTTTGTAAGGATAAGCATCATCGCCCTCTCGCGGTGGCGGGACGGATCGTTCATGTTGTTCCGGCATGACCTTTTGAGTCTGGAGTCTGGAATGTCTGGTCTGGACCGGATGAATTTGCACCGGCGGGAGGCTGAGAGACGATAAACTCCGCAACTCAAATTTCGAAATTCCTCCCAAGCCGACACGAAGGAGAAAATCCGAATAAAACGTACCCAGGAGAAAGAAAATGGTCCAAGAGCCAGAGGCCACACACTCACTCACTCACACACCTCTGCAGAGTCTTCGCGTCAAAGAGTGGCGGGGATCAGCGACGGTCCACAGGCCTCACAAACGGAACATGATGCCTTCATCAGCGCCATCCTTGAAATTGAGGGGAACCTTAATTACTCGTCGCACCGCCTTTATGCAGGGTTTAGTCCTGAGGTCGCCAGTCAAATTTCAGGCAGCGGGCTACTTCGGTTAGATCTGAGATCGACCTCTGTTAGCAGGATCTTGTGTCGTTGGGCTTTGCTGTCTGTGGGGAAGGATGCTGCGCGATGCCCGTTGCGGGTTGCATATGAGTGTTCCGGATGCTGTTTACCGCCTGCGAAGTGGTGAATTAGGCTGTTCTTCGGTTGAATCCCACGCATATTCTCCCGCCTCGAACTATTACTCATACGAGCGCGAGTGCGAGTACGAGTTATGAGAGCGATGAACCCTGCGGAGTTCCGGAGGCGAGCTAAAAGTACATCACCTGAACACTTGCATTGCAGGCAGGATTCTCGCCCGGAGACAGATTGCGGCGTACGGAGACAGAAGAGAGCAACCTCAACAGGAGAACCGCCGTCGGATGTTTGTAGCAGCTTCCACATGCAGGCTGCGCTTTTTGTAAGATTGTTGACACCTGCGAAGTACATCGAAGTTACGCTCTTCTCGTGGTGCCATGCACGTGCTAATGCAGATACTGAGCTTTGTGCAACCTGGGTCCGTGTCGATGAATCGTCAATTGGTGCACGGGCCGGTGATTCGACACCATTCCATGGGCCCGTCAATCACAATGATCGTTGTCGCGTCGCACAGGTCAACTACTGTCTGTGTTTCCTCACCGCCGTGTCACAGAATCGTGATCGAAGCTGTCAAATAGATGACGTTGCCGTGACTTGAAAATGTTTAATGCAGACGTGAGCGGCTGTCAAGGCAAACTTAAGCGGATATTGAGACTGGAAAAGTGGAAGACGGAAGGGAAGATTGGTTAAAGAGGTTTAGGACCCGAAAGAAAGACGAGTGTTGGCCCTGACATTTGATGGTCACTGCTGACTGACCGCCCAATGGAGCCGCGCAAAATACTGTATTGCACGTCATCAGCGGCTGTCAATGCATTGCTCCTTCTCGGCCCTCGTCCATACGAAAACTCAGCCACAGTCATGGTCACCCACCCAATGGTGGCTAGGTCACATTTCCAACTACGCCAACGTGGCTAAAATGCTATCGGTTTCACCATCAGTTCGATCTCCTCCTAATCCACCAGGTATATTCCGGCCGTCATTATCGCTAATTTGGGTAGATCAAGCCAGGGCCGAAGAGCGTTTTGTTCGCAACATCATTGGCGTTGATGAACGGTCCACTAGAATTCGTGACCGCTGCAATGGTAAGGCCATTCAGGTTGTTCTTGGTGAAAGGGAAGTCGGCTTGAAAGGCGATCATCCCGTTCCTTGAGGTAGCGTTGCTGATTGTCTGCACGATGGGCAGATTCTGCTGGTTGATGTACACCAAGCTCAACCCCTGCGTTGAATTCGTCCGTATGCTGAAAGTAAGGGTCTGATCCACCGCTCGGATATTCTTCGTCAAGACATTCAGCGTGCCGAAAATGGGAACATCAATTGTGTTGTCATTCGGACATGTGCCGGGGACGATGAAGTTTTGCTGAAGTGCCGAGTAGGCAAACTCGCGTGTCGACTGCGTCAGGAACGGTTGGTCAGCAGGAACGAGGTCTTGGAGGAGCGTGCGATAGACGCCTTGTTGCTCTCCCTCTTGGCCAACAGTGGACACGATGCCACGAATCACGCCCGAGTCGCCATTCTGGCCAAGTCTCACTGCAACATCTTGCAGGCTACTGATGACCACGGCTGTGAAGTTCGCGGCCAACGAGATGGCGCTGGCGAAGTCGGTAGCCGAAGATTTGAACATGCAGGGTTGAATCTGAGAAACATTGAAGTGTCTCAAAACTCCACCCGCTTGAAGGGCATGCCACTGCTCCTGGCCTTGAATGACGGTCAACTTTGCGACGATGTCCGCCTTTGTTGCTGGGTCGGAAATCTCGAAACCGGGAACATTGTTTGTGATGTTCAGCAATAGTTGCGTGAAATAGTACACCTCGAAGGTCTCTTGGAGTTGGACGACCTTGAGACTTCGAAGGTCATCGGCCGCAAGGGAGGGCGGCGGTGGTGCATTTGATATGGAGCCGTGTGCCTGCACCGTCAATGCCTGGAACGCAGGCGTGTTGTTGGCGATGTTTGGGAAGCCATTGGACAGCGGGAACACCACGGGCGCATTAGGGCCATTCGCCCCGACGGGAAACAGCGTAGGTATGGATGAAGGTGCCCCAGGTGTAGTATTGTTGAGGGAACCAACTTGCGGAGCAGCCTTGGCCAGGACCGTGAAGGCTAGGACAGCAGCGAACTGGCAGCCGATTTGATGGGTAAAATGCATGCTTGCTGTCTGGATAATGGATGGAGTCCTTTCTCGAGTAGATGCACGCGAGCTTCTGTCGGGGTTGGAAAGGGCTCTGGCTTTGATGGCAGATTCATTCATTTATAGAGGACCGATAGAAGACTATTGCTGTCCTCGGCAGCCGCGTTCGTGTAGACGCGTGGATACATGATGTTGGTCCCGTCTATGATGAGGCTGTGCTCTTTCGCACAGTCGACGAGCAAGTTCTTCAACACCACCGGAAAGTATGCGCTCAGCACTCTACCATACCAACACCGACCATGGCCAAGGCACTCCAAGGCTGGCTGCATCTGATGTCGACAGACGTATTCGCGATCATGCCGAGATGGTTTCGCTAGATGCCCTCGGTGACATACCGTTGTCTAAAATGTTTCACTGCTCATGTTTAACTCTGAAACCCGACCGGCACAAGATGTTCATTGCCTGTCTGCGGACGGCGGCTCGAGATGGGATAGGACGAGGCGGCCACATACCCTCAAAAATAGGTCACCCCGTCCTCGGTGCAGTCGTATAGAGAGTAAGTACCCATGCAGTAGCGGGGCCTCTGGATACATCACTTGGGAACTGTGTGGTGACCTACGAAGGCGCAGATAGGGAAAGGTTTACGGAGTACGGAGTACGTAGAAGTCGAAGTCGAATACGTCAGCCTTGGTGAAGCTTTGCCATCGTGGCTTGGGTTGCTTACTTAAGTAAGCAATGGAAAACCTGCTCAGAGCTCAACCTGCTCCCATTGGCTCTCCCCCGCCGTGCCGCTTTCACGCACACTCGCACGCGGCTCACTCACCTCTCACCTCTCTCACTTTTAATTTACCTACCAAGTCACCCTCATATCCTGTATACCTAGGTCATGCTACTTTGTTCTTTGCTCATATCTCTCAACAACGAAAACCCAAGGACCAAAGTTGATTATAGTAGATAGATCCTACTTTCAGATTCAGGAAACTCTCAGTCTCCGTAGTCACGACCCTCTTGCTTTCCTTCTATGCCACCACTCATCATTGTCAAAGCCGCCCGAATTGAGTTTGTTTCATTGCGAGAATCTCACCGCTTGAGTACATTTCGATTCTACCTAGCCTGGCTTGTTAATTAGGTTGAAGCAATTCAAATCACCGGCATCTCCAGAGAGACGACAGATTCCGATCCCGATTGCTAAATCGCAATCCTCCATCTCCAACTTCCCCACAAAACTTCCTCCACGACTCGCTTCTCTCTTGGTCGATGGAGCGTTCGCAGTCCGAATTCCTCTTCCCATGGGGCAACGGGCCCTGCGGAAGATCTGGTTGGCTTGCAGTCAGGAGAACTTCTCTGGGGAATCGCCATGGCCTCATCGCATGTTACTCCGATGAGGAGTTTCCGGCAACGAATAAAAACGAGTGTGAAGGGGGAGGGAGGTCTTAAGTCTTAAGGAGCACATCTCTCAGTCGTCAATTGCAGATTTGGAAAAAGCATCGAGCACACAGAAAGTACCTCTCCCAACATTACACCCTATCATATCGTCTGATATCTCTCGCAAGCATGTCTCCTGGAAAGACCAGGGATGAACTCCGAATCTTGACCCCCGTCGGCCAGTTCGGTCAGGGGTGGAATTCTGGTGTCTTCTGGGACGCTGTCGAGTCTGGCGTGGACGCTATCATTGCCGATGCTGGTTCCACAGATAGTGGTCCTGGGCGGCTCGCACTTGGCAAGACCGCGGCCTCCATGCAAGGCTACAGGAGAGACTATGGGGAACTTGTCAAAGCTTGTCACACCCGCGGTGTTCGCTGCCTTATTGGCTCCGCTGGTGGCTCTGGATCCAACGCGTTCGTTGACATGAGCACCCAGATCATCAAAGAGATCATCGCTGAGAAAGGTTACCGGCCCATGAAAGTCATCAGTATCTATGCAGAGATCCCGAAGGACATTGTTCGCCAGAAGTTCAAAGACAACCTCATTAGCCCGTGTGGACGTTCGGTTCCTGAGCTCGTGGAGGATGATATCGACAGTGCAACTAGAATCGTTGCGCAGATGGGGTTGGAGCCATATGTCAAAGCCATGGATGAGAATCCCGACTTCGACATCATCATCGGTGGTCGGTCCTACGACCCTGCTCCGTATGCGGCATTTTGCCTTCACCACGGCTTCGAAGACACTGGTAAGTACTCACTGCTCGTATGCTAGTATGTTTCTGTACAAGATGATTAACTAGATCCTCCTTACAGCTCTTAACTACGCCATGGGCAAGATCATGGAGTGCGGAGCACAGTGTGCAATTCCCAAGTCCCGAGAATGTCTGGCAATTATCCGGCATGACAGCTTCGACCTGGTCCCGCTCCAACCAGGAGCCCGGTGTACCCCGGTTTCGGTTGCCGCGCACTTGTTGTATGAAAAGAGCCGACCCGATGTTCTGCAGGGACCCGGCGGAGAGCTTCACTTGCGAGATATGAATTATGAGCAGGTTGACGAACGCATTGTCAGAGTCCGGGGCGCAAAGTTTATCCACCAGCCAGAGGGCGAGTATACCGTCAAAATGGAAGCCGCGCGGGTCAACGGGTACCAGTCCAGCTTCGTTGGGGCTTTCAGGGACCCGATTCTGATCTCCCAGCTCGACACCTGGATTCCTGCCGTCAAGGAAACGGTGAAGAGCAGAATGTCTTCAGACTACCCGTACGACACCAAGGTCATCACCTACGGCATTAACGGCGTCATGGGCGCGCTTGAGCCGGACAAGAGCCTCCCGAAGGAGGTTTGCATTGTGGTGCAGTGCAGAGCACCAACGCAGGAGCAGGCAAATGAGGTGGCCAATAGGACCAAGATGGGCTTCACTCACTCGCCATACCCAGGCCAACTCGCAACAGCTGGAAACTTCGCCTGGCCCATCACCCCGTGTGAAACAGCGATCGGCCCAGTGCCTGAGTTTTGCATATACCACCTTATGCATAAAGCAGACCCTGTCGGATTGTTCCCATTCAAGGTGGAGGAGTTCCAAGGGCCGAACACGTTCGTCCACACACGTGGTAAGTCTGAAGTAGAACCCCTGACCCAAAATTGGCCTTTTATTTACCGGTTGAACAGGTGAGAAGGTGGCGGTGAAAGCCGACGTCGCGGTGGCTAATAGCATCGCTCTGTTGGCAAAGACTGGCCAGCCAAAGAAGTATTACCTCCGCCCCGAGCCGGCGACAGGAACCTGCTACCTCGGCGACATCGCCTCCGTTGTCCGCAGCAAGATCGCGGGCCCATATGAAGTGACGTTTGACATCATGTTTCCCAACGAGGAGATCTACAAGAAGGTGAAGGGCGCCGATGTTTTGTCCCCCGCCACCGTAGCGAAACTGTACAACATTCCCGAGAACGATGTGGTTGCTGCTCTGTGGTGGGATCCTGCCCGGGCATTCAAGGCCACGATCCCTCGGTACCGCGCCTCTGCTGGCTTTGAAGAGACGGACACACATGGCTCTCAACAGCATGCTCCCCTTTTGTACTTGAGCCTTCCCTGGGGCCGGGAGTAGTCCGCTGGATAGAGAGTTAGTACCTGAAGTTTTGTAGCTGCAATTCTACCAAAGATCGCTCCTGAGTGGTTCCACAACCTGGCAGTAGTTAGTGTTTGGTCAATCCCCCCCATCTCTCCCAGACCTTGAAAGCTCTTGTTATGCCCGTACCGTTGGTGTCTTTGCTGAAGTAGGCTTTCGAGCATAACTGCTGTCATCTCACCCTGATGCCTGAATCCAAGCCGAGACAGCGACCGGTATCGGACACGGGTCGCAATCATGCGCGAGGATATCGCGTTGTGTCGTAAAGTTCAGCCCCCGTCTCATCGGGCGTGTGGTTACAATTGGACGTTTGACGCCTTTCACCATATCAAACGAGGCTGGTAGATCCATTCTCCTATCTCCCTTTCCGTGCTCCCTCCTACTCCTTGAATGACTTGTGATCTCGACTTGTGACAAGCCCATCGCCGAACCCCGCCATGTCTTCACCTCCTCGCGTCCTTCTTCTACTAGGCGCCGGATCCAACCTCGGGGCCAAAATAGCGCAGACCTTCTCGACAGCAGGCTACAAGGTCGCGCTCGTGGCCCGATCACTGGACGAAGGTCCTCAACAGCAGAGCGGACATCACCATATTCGAGCAGACCTCAGCAATCCCGACTGCATCCCGGAAGTGTTTGAGAAGGTGAAACTCCACGTCGGCATTCCCAGCGTGGTAGTGTACAATGGTGCGTTAACTACGTTGCGTTGCGTTGCGTTGCGTTGTGTAGACGTATACATATTCCTCTCCTGGTATATGTATATATATTGAGACGCTGACTTTGTATGCTGATTTTGCTATGAAACAGCCGTGCAGTACACCCTCGACGACCCGGCGGACCCGTTCGCCTCGCTCATGCCGGAGAAGGTGTCTCAATTCCACACGGCGATGGCGGTCAACGGCACGACGCCTCTGATCGCCATGGCTCATGCCGTTGCTTCGTTTCGCAATCTGCCGGCCGAGATGCCCGGGAGGACGTTCATTTTTACAGGAAACATACTCAACCGGTCTCCGTTCGTGAACCGGTTCTGCTTCGGCTGCGCGAAGGCAACCTGTGCTTATGGGATTCACTTCGCTTCGGTGATCTACGCGAAGGAGCGAATCAGGTTAGTTCTGTTCTAGTTCTCTCAGTTTGATGGCCGCTTGCGCGAACACGATCGAAGCTGATGATTGAATTTTGTTGGTTTCGGCGACAGGTTCTACTACGCGGATGAGCGCACGGTGGCGGGATTGCCTGTCATGCGAGAAATTGACGGTCCCGCCGCGGGAAAGGTCTATCTGGAAATTGCAGAATGTGCTGAACGGCGGGCCTGGCACTACACGTATACCAAGGATGGGGAGTATAGGGATTTTGGAGAGGCCGACTATCTGCAGATCAGAGAGGGTGGGCCTGGATTGTCGAGGGGCGGAAGAAGTTGAGGGATCACAGTATACGTGGTGACAATGACACCGTGGGTTGAACCCCGTCAGAGACAGCAGTCGAGGTATATTACTGAGGGTAAAGCAATAGTTTGGGAAAATCTTAGCTACTGGCAGGACATAAAAGGCGATACAGTCCGTACTGCACCGATGTTGCCTTTTCATTGAAATTCCATCCAGGGCAAATTGTCAAAGTCGAGAAACTCGGTCGACAGGAAGACATTGGCCTGCCGGAGGTCCGTATAGACACGATGAAAATCAAACACCAGAAACGCCCCCATGCGCGAACGGTGCGGCGAATCCTTGTCTCCGCTGGCCCGCGTGAACGCGTCCATGTTATCCGGCGATGTCACGGTGGCTAGAAACTGCCCGACACTGGGCCCACCGGGGCCTTCGGAGGTGCTCAGCGCCTGCCGTGCGGCGTCGATATGATGCTCGATCATGTCGTCCTGGCACCCGTACGAGCCCAGCTTGATCCGGTAGAGGAGGAGCCCGGCATAACAGACGGAGCGGCGCGTGTAAAAGGGCACAAGGGACAGGTTCTTCTCGCACGCGACCTGGATGAGGCGGATGGCGTCCTCGCGGGCCTGGTAGATGATCTGAACGCTGTTAGCCGTCACGGGCACGTCGTTGTGCAATGCAAACGACCACAGCTGCAACCTCGAGTTCAAGTAGAAGATCTCCACAATGTCCGTGGGCTGCGGGAAGCGCTGGCGTCGCAGGTCCTCAAACTGTTTGCCAAAGACGTTGATCATGCTGATCCGGCTCGACGGTTCGACCAGGCCGGTGGTGTTGGAGCCGCGGGCGCCCAGCGCCTGCGTGGCGTCCACGGTCAGATGGGAGATGTAGCACAGGTGAGATAGCTCCTGAGGCACCGCAGGATCGTCGAGGGAAGATAGCAGGGAATAGTCTGCCGACACCATCGCGGGCACCCCCCGCCGGCTGGCTTGAATTTGCGCCACAACAAAGCACGCAAGCCATGTCGTCCGTCTGATCTCCTCGTCGCCCTGTCGCTCGGTCGTGGTCGTCTCGTTGCCGAACCCGGCATCCACGGCGGGTCGGTGCAGGCCCAAGCTCAGGCTGATCTGGGTCGCGAGGCCGCTGTAGATGAAGGACGAGTCGGCCTTTTGGCTGTTGAAGGGGAACGGCCACATGCACAAGATCAGGATGGCCTGGACCATCTCCACGCCGCTCTCCTTGCTCGGGTCGAGCACGTCCAACATCAGCCCTCGAATGGGCGCTTCGAAGCGCGGGCGCGCCGTGTCGGGCGAAGCCACAGCACAAATCACCCAGAACAGCATGGGACATCGGTCATAGATCGACTCAATCGATCGACACATGGTGAAGGGGAGGTAGGGATGACACCGGGTGAAGTAGACCCGGAACAGTTCATTGACATGTGCAGCGGTGAGATGCACATCGTCGATCGACTTGTCCGTGATGCACAAGCCTTGCAGGTTGCTTACCGCTGAGGCGGAGGAGGACGACGCAAAGGCCGGCGCAGGGAGCGAAGCCTGCCCTGAAGCCACAGACGGGATATTAGCAGCTGGCGTGGTGGCTGAAGTCCCCCCGTCCGGAGCAACTTTGGCTAGTTTCCTGAGCTCGGCCAACTCGGCCTGCATGTCAGCCAGCTTCCTCTTGGTGGCGGTGCGCCGGAAGGTCCGGTCAAAGGTGCACGGTAGGCCATGGTCCCGGCAACGAGTGCAGCCCTCTGGGCCTGAAATGTCGGCATCACAGCCGACTTTCCACTGCCGGCAGCGCGTGCATGCCTTGGCTTTCATGGAACGGTCTCGCCTCGCGTGCGAGCAGAGCCAGGCCAGGCGATGATTGCGAGTGTAGCACTGAGCGACCGCGGTTCAGGCAGAGGGCGCAAGGTGAGGCGGCTCTGCGAAACACGGAATCCGGGCGACGTGAATGGGGCTGGACATGTATTTAACCATGACCTGGAGACCCCATGTGGGGAGCCAAGGATGGATCTTGCTTCAAGCGGGACACCTAGACCTAGGGGACCTGCTCTCGCCGAGCCCGAGTCGGCATTGCGATTCCGGCGATGTGCCCGCGCCGGTGACTCTGCGCCCGGCGGCTGAATCATGGGGTATCAGGCTGGGCGAGCTAGATCGACCCGGCCGAGCTCGATCAGGGGTTGAACAGATGCTACGCGGTATGGGTACTGCTTGTACATACTCCGAGGGCCATGGTGGGACAAGCCTGGGCCGGAGCCGCCTCCGTCTCAAGCAGAGGCCAGAATTCCCCCGGCACAAGCGGTGCATATACGATCACTCGTTTCTTGGAACTCTCTGTCAAGTCAAGGTCGAGAACCAGACATAGCATCCGTCTGACACGGGCGCATCCAACGTCGATCCAGCAGACATCATGGCCACATCACAGCAAAATGGCACATTAGGAGCCGCCACCGGTCTATATGTGGCCCTGCAAAGCACCGGCGTGGTAGAGCTGGCTTTCGACGCCCAGAAAGGCGTCAAGGAGTCCCTGTCTGTTGTCTCGATCAACACCAAGGCTGGTTTCATGCCGGGATGGCTGACAGTGTCGGGAGACAAAGTCTATACCATCAACCGCATGGGCTATCCCTGTAGTGAGTCCGACTCAGGGAGCGTTACTGCCTTCCAACGGGCCACAGCAGGTTCATCTTCAGCAACGGGTGAGACAGGCTTGACGCTGCTCGACCAGACAAGCAGCAACGGCAAAGGCGGCGTCCATTGTGACGTGAGCCCGGATGGAAAGGTGCTGGCCGCTGCGAACATCACGGCGTCGACGCTGTCCATCTACCCATTGTCCGCGACTGGGAGCATTGGAAAACCCACCCACGTCTTCGACTACAACAAGTCAGACCCTGGGCCGAAGGAGGCCCATCCCCATCAAGCTCTGTTTGATCCTTCTGGAAAGCTCCTGGTTGTACCACTTCGGACCATGGATCGCGTCGACATATACTCCGTCGACGGCCCCGAGCAGGTTGCAAAGATTCACAGTATTCCTCTGCCCGATTCGACGGGACCCCGGCATGCCGCGTTCCACCCAGTCAGTTCTTCCAAGGCCTATCTGTACGTGTTGAGTGAGAAAGACAACACCGTCCGCGTCTATGCAATCGGCTACCCGAGTCCGGTATCACCAAATCTTACCGTAGAATTCAAACAAGTGCTCTCGACCATGGGTAAGGACGTCGGCCGCATCCCTGATGAGCACAAAGACCTCGCCGGGGAGATTGTGGTCAGCAACGACGGCAAATTCGTGTATGCGTCCAACCGAAACCTGTCACGCTCAGACTTCGACACTGTGGCCATCTATTCCGTCGACAGCGACCCGGTGCACGATGATCGACACCTGTCATACCTGGGAGCGCAAGAATTGGCCGGCAAACATCCGCGAATGATTGCACTTTCCAAGGACAGTGAGAACAGGTGGCTCGCCATTTCCCACCAGCTCACTCAGAATATTGCCATCTTCGAGCGGGACCCGGTCACCGGATTTCTGAAGGATCTCAAGGGCACGATCAGCGTCAGGGCGAACCATGCTCACCAGCCCGACATAGAGAAGGTCACGTTCGCGGAGGATCTCGGCGTTAGAGGCAACTGGACCAAGGAAGACCTGAAGCAGGGCAAAACAGAGGGACCCATGTGTGTCCAGTGGAAATAAGCAGAGGCTTCTCGATAGAGCCGTTTTTGTCTCGCCGTGCAGGGGGTGCCTTGAGGGTTCTCAAGGAGCTGCCAGTCCTTGCAACGGGTACACTAGTAAATCGCAGCCGCGTTACGAGGGTGCTAGTAAAGACCTGGACCCCTGTCTTCGCGTCCTTCCCCGAGGCATACAGTACTGTGGACGTTCTTGCGCTTGCTCTGGCCGGACATGTCCCTCCTCGTCTTCGTCCTTGCGGCCGAGAACAATCGGCGCGAAGAATCGCAGTTCTTTCGGAAAGAGCGCGACAGCCCGGGCCAAGAGTCGGAGTCGTTTTGCTTTCCAAGACTCGCTCAGGCTATGGGAGCCAAGAACCAATCGATGCCGCGCTCATTGCGAGTCTCGCAATCCGTCTCGAACTAGCCACACAACGTGGCCATCCTTCCGCTCCACACCTCAGGACCAAGACCCCGGACCCCATGGGGTACCCAGCCATCGATTGGCTCATACCTTTACGGGAGTATAAGAGTGTGCAAAAGCCCTGAACTCAGACGACGTCTGCACAGTTCTGCCCGTTCCCAAAGCCAGGACTCCTTTTCTCTTCCTCCCCGGTCCCAGCACGCCCCATCCCTGTCTTGCAACCATGGTCTTGCCCGGGAACTGGATCACCAAATGCGTCAACGGCCGTCTGGCCTTCGCATCGGCCATCATGATGCTGTCCCAGATCAACTTTGGGATGGACTTGGTGGCCTTCTCCAATACGCAGGCGATGAACGCCTTTAACAAGAAATTCGGGGCCTTCGACAAGAAGCTCGACCGCTACGCCATCGACCCGTCCTTCCTCTCGCTGCTCAACAGTCTCACCTATGTCGGTCAAGCGTTTGGCGTCATTACCGGGGGTTGGATCGGGCGCCACTATGGCCGCCGTACCTCGTTCTGGGTCATGTCCTTCTGGGCGACCGCGTCGGCCATTCTGCTTGTCACGGCGCAGCAGAAGGAGCAGGTCTTGGTCGGCCGTATCCTCAACTACGTCTATCTGGGTCAGGAGCTGGTCACGGTGCCCGTGTTCCAGGCGGAGATTGCGCCGCCACAGATCCGAGGAATCATCGTTGGCACCTTCCAGCTGGGTACGATGGTGAGTGTTTTGCAGCCCATTATGTTCGAGATTTTGAGGCGAATGCTAACAACGTCGAATAGGTGGGGGCGTTCATCATGGCCTGTATCACGTATGGCACGAGCAAACTCGATGGCGAGCAGTCGTTCCGCATCCCCTTTGGCATTTTCTTCATCATCCCATTCATTGTCGCCGTGGGTGCATGGTTCATGCGTGAGGTGAGTTCCTCTTCCAGGATGAGAGAAGATTGCCTAGGTTCGTACCTGATTTTGGATTCATCGTCAGCTGACTCTTGTCGGTGTCCTTCCAGTCTCCGCGATGGCTTCTACTCCGTCAACGAGAGGATGAAGCTCTGGAATCTCTCCGACTATATCGCAAGGGCAAATTCACCGAGGAGCAGATCATGGAAGAATACCATGAGCAGGTCGCTATGATCGCCGTTCTGACCCAGGACAAGGGCACGTTCAAGGAGATGTGGCAGGGCACGAACCGCAAGAGATCCCTCATCGTCATCGGCGCCAACATTAGCATCCAGATCAGCGGCCAGGGCCTGTTCAGCAAGTACGGCACCATCTTTCTCAAGGACCTCCATGGGCCGGATCCGTTCCAGATGTTTCTCATCAACACGGCGCTGCAGATCGTCGTCGTCCTTTGCGCCATGTACATGTTTGACAGGTTTGGGCGCAGGTCAGTTCACCTTCCACCCTCCACCTCCGCCGTGATTCCAATATTGACATTCTTTGGTCTGCAGGCCCAATTTAATCATCGGATCCGCCGTCCAAAGTGCCTGCTACTTCGCCATTGGCGGCTTAGGGACCAGATCCGACCCGGGCAAAGGGACCAAGATCGGCATCACCGCCCTTTTCACCGTCTTCTACCTGGCCTTTGTCTTCGGCTGGGCCCCGATCTACCACATCCTCACATCCGAAATCCCAAGCTCCCGTAAGTTCACGTGCCTTCATCACCACCCATCTCTTCTTGCACGTTTTCCATCGGGGCTCACGTACCTCTCTAGGCATGCGAGACGTCACATACACGGTAGCCAGCTTCATCACCGTCGTCAGCCAGTTCGTCGTGTCCTTTTGCATCCCCTACCTCTTGTACGCGCCCTACGCCAACCTCGGGTCCAAGGTCGGCTTCGTCTTCGCGCCCATCGCCTTTCTCACGCTGATCTTTGCCATCTTCGGCGTGCCTGAGTGTCGCAGCTTCTCCCTCGAAGAGATTGACCACCTGTTCAGACAGAAGATCCCTGTCCGCCATTTCTCAAGATACAAGCACGGTCAGATCCTCCCAGAAGAGGCGACCGAGGAAATTGCACAGAAAATGGGAGAAGGCCCGTCCGTGCAACTGAAGGAGGTTGTTGGGAGCTAGACGTTAATCACACAGCAAACATGCCGTTTCTGCTAGCTTGGGAGACAATTCAGTCTCCCACGCGGAAGGCACGCTGTCTGTATGAGATCGAGGAGCGAATGAGGGTGCTCTGTGAGATTTGGTCCCGGCTTCCAGTCCGTCGATGAGGATGAAGATGATGGTCAGCAGACACGGTGATTCCTCGCCATGGGTAGTACATATATGCTGTTTGGTCTAGCCTCAAGCCCAAGCTGTCGAGGCATGGTCGCACATACATAGCGTTAACTAACAGTGACCAAGTGCAGTCGTCTTTCAAGATCATTTGTGTGAATAGGCAAGATGAAGATGTGGCAGCATCAAATGCTAGGGGTGTTGCACGTGATATAACACGTGGTCACCGCTAAGATGTGTCACTAGGCCCGATCCGGAGCGAGGCGCGAGCAAATCTTGGCATGTTTGTTGATTTTGAGCTCCTCCATAGTTGGAGCTGCGATTCATTTCGAGCTTGGATGAGCGCAGACGATTCTGCCAAACACGATCCCAACACACAATCACCTGTCCTCAACTCTCTCGAAGCTTCTAATCTGCCCCCGTAGGCACCAGCATGCCTCTAGTTGCGGCGCAGAGCTTGCGCAGGCTGACCCATCTGCCCGCCACATGGGCCTACCCGGCTCACCTGGTCGCAGGACGGAGAGTTGGCGGGTACAAGTACATCACGGTCCAGGCCACACCTGCAACGGACACCAGCACAATTAATACTGCCGGTAGATCGGTGTCCGCTTCGTCTCCAGGTTAGACTAAAGTCTCAGCCTTCCGAATGTATCTGCTGACCGCTTTAGACGCCACGTTCGAGGTTATTGGAAGTCCAAACTCGCTCTTGTCTGTCACTCTGTCTCCCTCTCAAGATCTATACGCGCGGCGGGGAACATTGGTGGCCTTTGCTGGCGATCCCAATGGGACTGTATCGACCCTCCGAATCCTCAATCCTGTCCGACGCGCGTTAGTCGGTATCCCATTCATGTATCAGAAAATCACATCAACTTCATCCGTCAATGCTCTAATATCGACCCGATCACCCTTGACCACGTTTGCTATCCTCCAACTAGACGGCACTACGGATTGGAAGCTAGCCCAGAGAAAAGCTCTGTTGGCATGGACTGGAAGCACGCTCTCCGTGAAGCCGAGCATCAACGCGAGGTTCGCTCCGGCATATTGGGGAAGTTCCGATGTGACGGGAAGAGGATTGCTGGCTCTTGCGGGTCAAGGGCAGGTCTACTCAGTTGAGCTCGCGGCAGGGGAGACATATATCGTCCATCCGTCTCATATCCTGGCTTACACCGCTTCGTCGCCGTCACCCGCCCCGCAACCATTTCGATTCAAGTCGACAAACATTCGATTTCAGATACCCCTTCAGCTGGGAAACTTCTTCCCATCTTCCAAATTTGTCGAAACGCTGAAAACGAGCAACACCTACAAATTCGTCGCAAATGCACTGTACAGCATACGGACATGGAGTCGGAGGACTATCTGGGGAGACCGACTATTTTTACAGTTTCAAGGGCCGGTCACCCTCTTGATTCAAAGCAGGGCCGCAAGAGTCAACGATGTTCTGACCAGTCATGACGTGAATGAGATCGCCGATACTCCGGCCGGTGCGGTGCAGGAGGCTATCTCCCATGTCCGCTCTGCAGGACCCGAGCTGTCCAAGCCAGGGGTTGCGGTGCCCTTGTCGACATCATCTTCGCAGCCGAGGTTGTCGACCGCAACCATCAGTCGCGATGGAAAGGTCTCGTTCAACCCGTCACAGAGCTCCGAGCCGGTTAAGCCTTAGATCCTGCTTCTTCGAGATTATGCACAACGTACAATGCTGGGCGGCAATGGCGCGGATAGATGCTGGATAGACAGGACTCAACACAGTGGCTTCAGCACTGCCCTATTGTCTCATAAATGATTTTCTACAGACCAAGATACCAATTACGGCCGGCAAAGCGGTTACCATCTTCGTTTAATGCCCTAGTTCTGACACCCCATTGAGCGCCAACGGATCAGCTTACCGTATATGACATGCGTTGAGCATTCTTTGGCCTGAATCACCATGACCAGTCAAATGGTGAGCATTGTCTGAGCGGGAAGAAGGAGAAGGACTCCGGCAGTGACATGGGAAGGCACCTACAAAGCTGCAAGGCGAACGGGTGAATCTACATATCCATCAAGTCTGGCGGCCACGTTCTGAGGCATCTCCTTCAACTCTCACGCACTCCACTCCATTGAGACAAACTAATGACCGTCGCATGCCTGAACTGAGTTCCTGGCATTCCTGAATTTGGGCGCGCCAGTATTGTGTAATGTGCAAGCATCCCCATCCTTCCAATCCCTGTCAGACTCGCAACGCAACGCCGCGCCACCTTCTCACTCACTTGTGACCCTGTTCAAGATCTCACCTGACACTTGGTATCTGCGTCATGAACATGGTACTTGCACCCCTGCCCACTCGGTTCACGCATATTTCCCTTGCAAGCGCTGGTCAGGTCGACAATAAAGTCCACCAGGGGCAATTCGTCTCTGAGCAACACGTATTCCAACTCCTTTCGATTTGCCTTTGTGTTCAGAAATTCCTCGGAAGTTGTCCCGGCCTGGTAGACGAACTGGTCCACCACCAGCCGGAAGAGAACACTGGTGCTGCTGGCATTTTCCAACGTCCAGAGGATATCGCGTGCCGAAATGTCGGCTCCGTGCCACCAGGCCATGATCTCGCTGATGATATTGTCCTGCCACTTTGCCATGCCGAACTTGTCTGCAAGAACCCAGCATGGCAACGCACAGGGAAGGTTGTCGTCGTCGACTTGTGGCGGCGGTTCGTCAAAGTAGATCCACGACAGAAACTGCTCGAAAGCCTCGTGGCTGTCTTCCGGGAGTTTGACGTGGTTGGTATGCGCCTCGGACATGCCAGAGTCGAACATGTTGGCGAAGAAGCGGCATTTCTCGGTCAGGATGTCCTTGTGTGTTTGGTAGGTGATCTGTTCCTTGCCTACCGACACAGTGATGATGGGCAAGGCGGCGAAGCTGACGGTGGTGTTAGCTACATGAGAACTGCCTCGGTTTCGCAGCGCAGTCTCGACGTACTGGTGTGTCACTTTGGTAGGAGGTTTAGATTCGGCTGGAGCCAGAGCCACTTCGCTTCCGTCCATGTTGCGGGTTCAGTGTTAGGTTGACCGGTGGTTGTAAGAGGATAGTATCTGAAGAGACCAACGTTGGAAGAGAAAAGAGTCAGACACATAAATGTACAGTAAATGAAGAGGTAGGCTGCCATTGCTGTAGTGCCTGCCTTTGTTGGACGTGCCAGCGATATCACGTGCTGCAGGTGAAGCGCTCTTGTTACCAGGTAGTGACACTCATTGTGCTGCTTAGTTTGTTGGACGGTATCCTCGAACATGGGAGACAATACAATACCACTTTTGGGGCGGGAAAATGTAGGGCAAAGAGGGGACCCCATGGTCTGAGAATCTACCCGGGGAGCCTGTATGGCAGGACCAAGGACTCCAAACCCTGACATGCCTTGTGCAACATACATGTCCACTTTGCGATATTTGCGAGTCCAATACACTTGTCCGCGCTGATGCAAACAAGCTCCTCGGTAACAAGCTGCAACTGAGGAGAGATTAACAAGAGAGTCGGAAGACAACAAGGCACAGACACCTTCAGCCTTCAGTCTCCAGAATGGACGAGAATCTTAACTACGCTACCTAATTAGATACCTATGCACATAATATTGACGCCCAACGAAGGAAGCCAGATTTCCCTGGCGCCTTTCTCGCAGCACAACCGGCGAACAACTCAAGGGAGTTTCAGCATAGGTCAAGACGCAAGACATGCCTCCGCGTTTTGGGCTACGAGGTACAAGCTTCATTTCTCGCGCCGGACATGCTGGCACCATTGTTGACGCATGCCGACTTCAACAGCCAGCCCGGGACAGGCCACAGGGATGCTATAATTAGGGGTTACGAGCTGGGTGAGAGCTGGCAGCGATGCGAACGCGAGGAGGAGCACGTCCACAAGGAGATGAGCCTTCGGTGATATCATCCTTTCATCCCTGATGGTGGGTATGCTTTCATCCTTGATGGTGGGACCATATCTGATAGCACGTACATAAGTGGCAGCGAAATTGAGGAGTAGCACGTCAACAAGGAGATGAGCCTCTGGTGAAATCACCCGTTCATGCCTGATAGTTAGACCATATCTGACAGCACGCACGTAGTGACATGTATCTGTCCTTCCATTGGGTCCGACCGGTAACAGCTTCAGCAGTAGAAACCCGCCATTCATTGATCATGTCTTCGCGAACACGACACGCAAAGCAAACAGCGCAAGTCCTCCAAACGCTTGCTCACAGCATTGCCATTGATCTTTTCTATCCGCCTGCCTCGTATTCTTGCACGCCCACATGCCTCGTCGCTGAATGGGAGACATCGCCGTGTCCATGTCTTGATGTCTTGATGTCTTGGCATTTGTTTACCCCTTTTCACAGGCCGCTCACTTCAGCCTCGTATCTTGGATCTGGCCCCCAACTTACAAGGTACCGTGCTGGAAAAGGTCCTTCAAAGGCACAGCGTGGTATGTTCGGAGGATCAGCACTGAATACCATTTGCCCTGACTGGTTTCGCTGTTCATCGTACGTACTCGTCTAGCGCGCTCTACCCTTACTGCTTTTCTCTTCTGGCTCGTCAAGGTGCAGTCGTAGCCTAAGTGGTAAGTACCGTGCGACTTCGTTCCTTAAGCCTTATTCGACGTTGTGAACCTTCCGAAATGTGGACTTGAATTTGACGGTCGAGATCGAAATGAGTCAAAGGCGGCGTTTCCACAACGTCTAGTATTCGACGATCAGAGTTACGGAAAGTCAACTCCGAAACGCCTAGTATATCTTGTAGGGGGCGCGTCTCTGTGTAGCATCCTCGGTCCTCCCGTATTATCTGCCGGAACTAAGAATCAGCATTGGACCGACTACATGGAAAATCGCCGAGATACTGATTCATGCGCTAATACAATCTGCCAGTTACAATTATCCAAGGGCTTAACGTTAGCGTGGCGTTACTCTATGGCGCGAGCGCCACTGCTTACAACTCGATCCAACCTGCAGTTCAGTCGGAATCTAAGCTCTCCATATCCACGGCGTCCGGGACATTACAATCAAAATCACCGAGCGTGGACGGATTGCTAACCTTGTACGGCCTTTAGTACGCGAACCTAAACAGCAGCTCGAGGGCGATTTCTCGGTCGGCCATCAGCTCCTGGAGCTCGTCACTTAGGATCTCCTCTTCCCCTGGAAACGACGTATTATACGACGCCGGGTCCGTCGCGATTCAATAATGCGGATGACCGAGGGCAAACTCGCGAAGTTTACACTTTTTCCGGGTCTTTTTCCACACCATGTGCACCTAAGCCGGCGATGCGGGCATAAACCCATGTTGGAATCTGCGGAAGATGAAAACGACGCGGTCCATGATGGCGTTTTGCAGCTCAGGCATAAAGTACGTTGTCTGCGGTGGACTAGGCTTCGGCCAACTGCCAGATCGAGCGGCTGTCAAACGAGATTGTTCTGGCGTACACCCATTCGACGAGGAGGACCATGGCTTCGGGATGGTCTTCGGGGAGGGTTATTTCTTTGTCCCGTTGCTCTTGCATCCCGTCGTTGAGGCACTTTGTGAACCACGCAAAGCGTGAAAGGATGTTTTCGTGCGCGAGGAACTTTACCTTGGTTTCACCGAGAATTACAGATATGATGGGCGATTCTACTGCGAAACTGACCCATCGGTGTTAGTAGAAGCCATTTGATGAACATTTTGCCGGTGCCATATCTTCTTGTTTTTGTCAGCGGGTGCGTTCTCGGGATTGCCATTACTGCCACGTTTCTTGGCCTTGGTGTGGATAAGTGCGAAAATGTACAGGCAGTACAGTCACAATCAAAGATACGGTACCGGTTCCTGACTTGTTGACAAGGGTTTCCGGGACTCGAGTGATGAAAACAATATTCCGGGTCATGGTCACAGATTTATCGAAGGGGCCAGAGAGCCGAAAGACGAGCTGAAGCACACAGTTATTCATTTCTTTGTGCATGGCGGTGCCTGATATTTGGTACCGCTGCGGTGGGTTTTGTGGCCGATCTAATCTTGGTGTACGCCACCTTTGTCGTCGTTGTACCATTCGCCCCGATTCTGTGCATTGTTTCGCTGACGACGCGACTTGTTATGCGACGAGTCGAGTTTTCCGAAAGTTGACTGTCATAAAATGCGAATTCATTGGAACGTCATGGGGCCTGTGCCATCGGTTTTCTGTCTCCCAGTCCTTCGTTTGAAATTCGATGTGCTGGGCGCGAGTAGTGCTCAGGATGTCCCGTCCAACGTCAGATATCTCCTCTGCTCCTTGGTGAATGTTCACGATTCTCTGCGATTGCCCGATGCTCGCGGCCACTCCTTTGTATCTATATGTATGTGGGATAAGTAGCGGGTTGTAGCAGCAGCATATTGCCCTTGCATTTCCGGTACAGGAGGCCTGCCAACTCCGTATCTTCCACTTGCAATGCTCGCATCTCCCTGCCGTAAAGCCCGCTCTCAACACCTTGACGTCCGTAGTCATCTGGCCATTTGCAAATGTCGTGGTGCAGCTTAGCTACGACAAAGTTGCGAAGTTCGCAACAATCTGGGCTCAGTCTGTAGATCAGCGCCGCGTCGGAGGGTCCGAGTCTGGTAGTCGCGCAGAGTTCTCGGATGGCATCGACAAGAGCATTTTGTAGGTCGAGAAGACCATAGATGTCCGTGGTGATGTAAGTACTGGCTATGCGTAAGACGTTCTCTTCCCGGATCTGCTTGTCCCCATAGAGCCATTTGAAGATGATCTCGAAGACGTCCGGGTCGTCCTCGGGAAGATTAACGATCCTGGTGGTTTGCTCGCACATGCCAGAATCGAGGCATTTCTGGAACCAGGCGGACTGCCTCAGTACACTTTCGTGCACCCAAAACTGGACCATCTCATCGCCGACATTCACTGTGATGATGCTCGACGTGAAAGTTTGAGTTATGTCAGATTGAACGCTCTCTAAGGCAGGATCGATCGTGGCTGACTAGCGTTTCTTTGGGCTCACACCCTCCGCGTTGCCTCCAGCCGAACGCGTGCTCGACATCTAGGACACCGGCTGGAACAGGTAAGTCTGGGATTGGAATAGGCAAGTCTGAGATTTAGGGAGAAGACGCAGCTGAAGTGTTGCTGATAGAGCAAGGTTAGAGGGCAAAGTCAAGGAAGAGCAAGTTTATGAGTGGGAAAATACTGAGTACGACGACCTGTCTGCCAGTGAAGCGCAGCACGTCACCGCCTTTCCAAGTACCAATGTCGCCTAGACGCGCTCCCAGAGGCAACCATTGCAGAACCTTGTATGGCCGAGCTGCCCGGTCTTGATACATCATTGACGTTTCCTACATGGTACGAAACGTTTCGAAACGGAGTTAGCGAGAGCGCCAGAACCGTGTCGACTATTTCCCAAGCCATCCACTTTCTCGGAAGTTGAAATGCTCTGCAGCTCTTTGATCATATCAATCTCAATATGGGTAGTACGCAGGATCGTCTTCATCAGCGGCATGCCTTGGAGCTGACCAGTATTCGCAAGAACGGTCGTGGACAGAGTTATCGGTTTCCATGATGTCTCGATGATCTGCACCGCAAATGTAGCAAAATTCTATGTGGCATCGCACTATGTTGAGTCAGTCAGTGAAGGAGCTTCTCAAAGGATATCCCGTTCATGCCACAACGCATGTGGTCACATCCTCCAACCTTCTCAAAGGGGGCTCTGCAACTAGGACGTAAGGCCGTTTTTGCTTGCTTGTACCGAATCGAAGCAATCTCCTTGCCTGCCCGCCTGGCTCTGGCCTCTGCTTCTTGGGCAAGTCTCTCGTCCTCTCTAGCACGCTCCCCAGCCCGCCGAACAAGCTCAGCTTGAAATTCCCTGCAATCAATGCCACTATGCCATGCGGTGCGGCAACTGACGCATATCTGTTTGTGACACCCTCCGCAAGTCGCAAAATTTACTTCGTCGTCTTTCGGAATGGCGGTGCCGCAGCCGCTGACCGGACACAGGAAGCCTCCAAACAGGGTCGCGAGGTAGCGCATCCGTGAACGTTCAAAATCCTCGAAGGAGAGATAACCGTCCATGTCTTCTAGCGAGAGCATAGAGTCACATCCTTCCTCGAGGCATGGAATGGCAGCCGGCGGAAGCGTCCTCAGCTGAGAAGAGAGCCACCGTCCCAAGCAAGTTGCACAATACTCAATGACGTGTCTGCAATGAGGTTCGAGTCTCTCACTCAAAGAGAACTCCTTGGCACACACCAGACGTTGCGTTGTTGGAGGAACCTTGCCTTCCCTCAGCGTATTGATGGCACTGCAGAGCGCCGCCGAAGTGAACTGAGAGTCTCTAAGCCGTCTTAAGTGATCAGGATCGAAGCTTTGCCAGATTTTGTCGAGCTCTGAGTCCCTCCATTCCGTGCGCTTGAGTTCTTTACGTGCAAAAAACTGATTCAAGGCGGCACACATCTGTTGTCTGTTCGCTCGCCTTCGGGCCTTCAGGCCAAACCTTTCACATAGTGTGGAGAGTTCATGGCGTGACCAGAGGCGGGCATTTGGAAAGAGCTGCATCTTGTGTCGAAGTCTTCGGAGACACTTTGCTTAGAGAAGGAGTCAATGTGATATGAAAACAATTTGAAGAGTTGCTGATCGTAAGTGATCAGAGGACTGGTCTGCCACTGCGAACAGAAGTCCAACACCTTCCGACAAGCGAACGATTGGCTTCGCTGTTCGAGCCTTGGCCGTTACTGTCAGTAGGGAAGAATGGCGGGCGTTGGGCTTGAGAGAGACTTTCTCAGGCTGGTAAGACGAATCGAAGATTGAAATTTCAGTTGACCTAAGGTAGCCTGAGATCTAAGCCGAAGCCCACGAAGCAGAGAATACCAATGGAGGAATGAAAAGGAGCGACATATCTCTGCGGTCTTAAGTCTTGACTGTTGCTCTGGAATTCGAACACCGACGTCAAATGAGGCTCGATTCATGAATCATTGGTAGTGTTGTCTCAAGGCTTCCTTTGTCGTATCTTCTCTCTGCTGAGTTGTCACCGTCTTCCAAGCCCGACCACCAATGTGGTATCCAAGCTAAACAGCCAGAGCAAGCCTTTGGACGTTCTATATTCCAATCTCCAGTCCATAGACGTGATGAGAGACCGAGCTTCGCCAGAGGACATTCAAAGCTCTTCCCAGACTTGGACATGATACTGCTGTTTTTTAACGGATGGGAATTGTTGGTAGGCCGTCGCAAGAGCTTCGTGACAGTTTATGAACCCTGGTGTATAGCTCGTACCCCAAGGCTCCGTTCTCCATATGCCCGTTTTCAGCTGAGATGCCCGGTCCGTTTCAATCCGCGCTTGGGATTTTTGCAATTCTTCCGACGTTCCACCCAGAGACTTTCCATCATTATCTCATTGTGCAGGGCGTCGATCATGAACGGACGGAGTTGGCTTCCCTCGACAGTTTTGTTCCACGCCTAGTTCACGTCTTCTACCTTGACCTTGCTTTGTCCAAACTCTGGGGTAAATCTTGCGCTCATAATATCCAGCAAATTGTTCTGAAAACGCGGCATGAGGAGTTTGTCAGCAAGCATGTAGGCCGACATGAGTGCTCGTATAGGATTTGTGGACGAGATTGTGTGAGTGTAGAGCAACCCTGCGAGAATGCTGAAAGTCGTCCAGTCGTCTTCTGGAAGGACGACGGTCTTCTCTTCCTGCTCCTTCATGCCAGATTGGAGGCACTTCCTGAAAAAGGGGGATTGCGAAACTAGAAGGCTCTCGTGCAACTGAAATTTCCTCGCCTCGGGACCGACGATGACTGTGATGATATCGGACATGGCGAAACTTTGGGATTGCGTCAGTGAGTACGGCGCTCTAGGGTTTACAATGGTCATGATGTGAGACTTACGAGCCGTCGCCATCGGTGGTCTTCTGCTTCTTGTTCGGAGGGCCTTTGTCGGCCATGCTGTCAGGTCTGAACTGAGATGAGGTGGATGACAGGCGACGATGTACGGTGTGGTTGAATTGAGATGAGACAGGCTGCAGCGGGTTCGTAAAAGAGGAGATGAAAAGGTGTGTGAGTGAAGAGACAAGATGTCTTTCTTCGCTCGCGGGAGAGCATGCCACTGCCGGACCCGATCGTGTTATCTGCTGCTCTGAGTGAAGTCAGCCTCGAATGACATGGTTCTGAGGCTTGGTGAACATGGTGCGTAGGAGGAAGAAGACACTACGAGTTGGGGGTGACAGGAAGATTGTGGAGGGAATGGTCCTGATCCTGTTCAATAATTTCTGGCGGATGGACGCGTGGCTTGCTTCTGTTGTTGATCTCGATTCATGCACAACTGCTAATTGTTGCCATCTCACTCAATTCTGCAATCGCCCGAGTTCGCTTCAGCTGGAAAACTACATGAAAACTGCCAATCCAAGCCAATGGCACATCATGTCGATTCTGCAATTGATGCCGCTGTGGTCTGATGATCCATCTGTGTGTGTCAGGTGCACTTCTTTCCGTCGTGGCGGATGTGATAGCTGCAAGCAGGCGATTTTCGAGGGTCTATACAGCCTCCTGTACCTCTCTTGAGGTTGTGATCAACAGACTTCCACAACAGCGCAGTCGTTAGGGCAGGATCTTTCCGGATCACCTGTTTCAAGTCCATAGCAAGTTTGGCGTCCGTACTAGTCGTGCCCAGTTTGAACTTACTGGGGGTTGTCATGATTCGATAGTGCAGCTGGTCTAAGAGCAGTTCGCGAAGCAGACAGCCTTCTGGAAGGGTGCGCAGAAAAAACCAAGGCACCGTGCTATAAGGATCTGGCAGTCAAGTCTGCTTGCCGGTCACCGCCCCCGGAGTCATTCATAGCACAGCAGACGGCAGCGTTGCTCCAAGAAAGGTCAGCCTCCACAGAGAGATCGAAAGAAAGGCATGTGTGGGCTTGAACAGGTGGGAGTTGATCATAGATAGACGAAGGCAATTACTATAGTACCTGTAGCGCACCTTCTTCAGATCATAACTCCACTCCCTTAGGTATATCAACAGAGGCCTCTTGCCCCTATGAGACAGGGTAAGCTGACGGACAAGTCGACAGAGTCGACATGCTTCCCTCCTCTGTCACACGCAGCATGTATCAGTCATGTGCTTTGGTCGTTGCTACTACCAAGCACATCTCCCTCAACTCGAGGGCGACGGCGGTCAGTCTTCGATCGGTAACCTTTGGAGGTCCGTTGATGGTGTCATTGTAGCAAAAGGTTGTATTGCCACTTCAGTTTGTATGGCCTATTTCCCTTTTACTCGCCGATAATTCTCCTTAGGATGGCATACAGAGAAACTGTCTCTTGATCGATCCAGGTGGCCCTTGTGCTTTTGATGGTAAGCCACACTGGTGTCTGATTTGCGTGCCGCGATCCACGCGCTGCTGATGAGATATATCTCTCCCGTATTCCAGGCGAACGGCACTAGATGAGATGCTTCGACCTGCACAATCTCGGCATTAGCATGCGCCCACGGAACAGGGAAAAAGCAGGAGGGGAGAACAAATACCTGAAATAAGCCCTCAAATAAACGACTTGCCAGGCGCCCAAGCCCACCAACATACCCATCGTACCAAACGCAAACCACTTCACTCGCTCGTTCGTGCTCTCATTGGTATCACGCAGCTTCTGCTCCCGTATCCTCAGGTACTCCATTTCCTGCACGATCTCGTTGACAGTCTCTTCTATCCTGCGCAGGTCGGCTTCGACGGGCTTGAGCTTCTCATTCGCTTGGATTGCAGACCAATCACGCGCGTCGGCGCCGATGTCAATGTCCAGCTCGACATGCCGAGTGGGGTTGGGTATGTGTGCTGTACGCGGCGTCAGTTCTGCTTCACCATACTGTAGACCTAAATTAGACTAGGACCACATACATCTTCCAGTCAATGTGTTCTCAAAGCACACGTCAAAGGCGGTATCCGCCAGACTCGTGAACGCCATTCTCTTCTCGCCCGCGACATCCTTCGGTCGGCCGTAGTCGTTGCCAACTGCGTCTTTGATGTGCATATTAACCATCATCCCGTCCCCTCTGTTCCCCGACACAATCGCCGTGACCACAACCAGTGTATCTTGGGTGACAAAATTCCGAATGCATCTCTCGTTCTTCGCGCTGTGGCCTGATTGAGCAACTAGGTCGAATTTCAGGGCAGATGAGAGGATTGGAAGGAGGGCCAGCGCCCCGAGGAGTTTCATGGCGCCGTAGAGCCTGAACGAGTTGCGGGAAGGAAAGAACAGGGAGAAACCGGTCAGCAGCGCATCCGCGAAAAAGTTATGGTGACAAGAAGGTGGAATTAAGCAGACGAGACGGAGGGTGCCAGATCGCGGTCGCGGAGATGAAGCCAGAAATGTTCGTGTTCAATGGTCAGGAGTGGCAGAAAGTGTGGACAGATCGATATCACGTGGGCGGTGAGGCCGATAACCCCTATTTTGAAGCCCCTGAAATCGGGTGCTGGGCGATGTGCACGCGACCATTCGAGCCAAAACCAGGTCTTTTTACATGCAGATCTGCATCTGCAGAAGCTGGGAACTATCATTGAAAGAGATGTTCCAGGCCGTATCCAGCCAAGTCGTCGCCAATCTGGGGCACAAAAGTTCGACCACTCAGGATAGCTATTAATTGGTCATCTCCAAGCACTGACGTTGTAGGCATATCAATCAATGCTCACATTTCAGCACATGACAAAGAAACGACTCCCAAATATCCCGTCCCTTCTGCGTCGCTTCATTTTCTCACACTTCCCCTCCTCTGAAAGAACTTCATAAACCCAGCCTGGTCCCTCTGCAAGGAAGTATTGAACTTCTGCACTGGCTTCTCATTCATCCCAGGCGGCGGTCTCGAGTCTTTGAGGAACGCTGCAAGATCTGCCGTACTGCCGCCGTTCGAGATGCCCGACGCACCTCTTGGCTCAACTCGAGCTTTCGTCTGCGTGCGGTTTCGGTCAACATGTGCTGCGTGTGTCGGAGTTGTTGGTTTGTATTTGTCCAGCTTCGATCCCGCTTGTGTGAGATGTGGAGAGGACGCTCGTGCTATGTTGACGGGACGCGAAGCAGGTGTTGCTCCGGTGCCATTTGCGTCCCCGTTGTTCTTGTTGGCTGATTGCCCCCCGGGTAAGAAATCCTTCAACTTGGAGCCACTAGCCGATCGTTTCAGCATGTTGGACGCGTCCGGTTGCGTTGGACCAGGGACTGCAGCGAGGATTGGGAGCGTGGCCATCCCCGGAGGCGGCGCGGTATTGCGTAAGAAGTCAACTAGTGACTCTTCATCGGTCCTCCTCCTCGGCGGTGCCTCGAATTGTTCCACTTCATCCTCTTCATCGCTGTAATCAATGGCATATGGGTCCCGAACCCGTCTTCGTGTTCTTTTGGGCATACCATCTGCCTCGGGGATGGCTGGTTGTTTCGAAACAGCATTTACGCCATTCATAGGCTTGCTAGCCACACGGTTTGTTGAGTCAAGTAGACCCGTCCGCGAATTCAGAGACGATGGCATCGATTTGGCCGTGATGGCACTTTCTGGTACACTTGCCTCCGAATTACGTGGCTTCGGATCAAGCTCTGGAGGAGGTGCTAGCGCGTTGAGATCGTCAGAATCCATTGTCGTTCGGAATGGTGCCACGTGGCGATCGATCCGATGTTCTCCAGGCGCCCGTGGAGGACCTTCTCTGATAAAATCGATCAGGTCCGAACTATCGGCAGTTCTGGGCACTTTCGCGTCTCGTGCCTGATATTTCAAGCGATTAGCAGTCTTGGCTGTGTCAGGACGATTGTCCTCAGCGAGAGCCTTTTCTCTCAGAGAAAAGTCTGTCTTCGTCCCCTGGGCGGTAGAAGGGCGAGGGCCAAGCGACTTGGGAAGCTGTGCCTCGTTTTCGGGACCCGTGGACCGTGCGTAGTCGGCAAGGTCTCGAGTGTTATTGCGCACCATCCTGGCCTCGCGTGGCTCGCCTACAGGATTCCTAGGCCTAGAAGGCGAGGGCACAGGCGGTTGACTTGGTGGCGCTTTGACTGTGACTGGGGTTGGAGGGTTCGCTCGAAGACCGTTTAGACTACCCTTTGCGGAACGAGAGGACTTCGGCCGCATGTCTTGTTCGGGAGGTGCCGTATCGCTGAAGAAGTCCGCTAATGCCTGAGTTTGACTTCGGGCCTTTAGTCTGCCTCCCTGTAGACATGTTAGCGGCTTTCCTATGATCACAGGGGATTCCACTTTACCACTGTAGCGGATGCGGGCGTCAGCGTATAATGCAGCGTTTCGTCGCTGTCAATTAGAAGATCGAGACTCTTCTTTGCTCTGTCTAGATCCTCGCGCTGTCGTACCTCGGCATCTTCTGACCGAAGTCGAAGGTGTTGTCGTCGAGCTGTCGAAGAACCAGAAGTCGAAGGTCTCCCTTGGTTCGCGCTAGCGCTCCTTGAACGCGCATATGCGGATGTTGCGAAGCGAGGGACCGGTTGCTCCATCATCTGTTGGTGTGACAGGGATTGTGTAAACTGGTTAACGAGGCGAGCGTTGGACTGTTCTGGTTCCCTTTGCTCCAACGAGGACCTCCGATTTGGAATAACGGCAGGCCATGCAGAAGATACGGGTCCACCGGCTGTTGTGCTCGCTTTCATCGCAGCAGCGGGTTCTTCGGGACGAGCCATTCCTGGGCCGGAGTTGCGAGTCGAGTTCGAACTGCTGTAGCCGGCATTCATGTCCGGTGTCTGAAAGATTGTCGCATATCCAACGTTGGAAGATCGCGTGCTTGGGGCAAACGCATCACCCTGAGCTCCAACTTCGTCGTTAGGTGTGTGGTCGATGGTTGATGGCTCATAGACGGCATTTGCCACGTCGCCGTGCTGAGGCATCTCGTCCTCAGCCCCAGCAACTCCGAATCCAGAATCCCTAGGATTTATTCGCTCGGTGTCCACGTCAGTCCCCTCGTCAGCGCTTAAGCCCAATGCCGGATCTTCCGCTTCGGACGCGACCTCCTGCGTCTCTCTTTCTGCGACATCAGTGACAGCAGTCGGTGCTCGCAAAGGGCTGTGCAGTCGTTCGATGTCATTTGCCGTATTGATGGACGAGTGAGGTTCTACGGCAGACTCGGGAGATGCGGGAGAGGCCGAGTCTGTTGGGTGATCCCTGCGGAACACCTTGGCTGCTTCCACGCTGAGAGCGCCGGCAATCGTAGCAACAGTAGCACCGATTGCAGTTGAGCGTAGACCAGATGAGCCCTCCTCGTTGCGCTGTTGAGAATCTCCATGGTGCAAGCGTGGCTCACTTGGGCTAGCAGCGCCGATAGGGCTGGAGTCTTTCCGTGGAAGCTCTAATGGTGTCCTTGGAGAAAGCACCGGAGAAGTCGGTACTGATCGTGATCTTGTTCTGCTCATCTGTGGCCTGTCCGCACTGTCATTCAGGGGTTTGGAATTTGGATATTGGCCAGGCATGATCAGCATATTTGTGGAATTCCGCTTTCCAATGGCAGGGCGCTGGATCTTGCCCTCCGCTTTGGCAGTAGATCCACCTTCAGGCGCCTCAATCTCTTCGACATCTTTGTCAGTAACTGGCAGCGGTATGTTGGCTGGGGTAACAGATCGGCTCTCTTCCTTGATCGGAGGGATTGCTGGGGCAGTAGGAAATCTCCATTCTTGCGTGGGTGATTCAGGGCTCGTGGGCGACAAGATGTTGGGCGTGGTAGGGCGCGAATATGTAGTGCTACCGGCGCGGACACTGCCCTTCCACGAGCGCCAAAGTCGGATCAGAGGTCCTTCTTTGCCTATGCCCGACATGTCTATCTCTTCCAACAAGATGGTGATGTCTGCTCGCCCGATTGGTGCTGTCCGAGCGGTATCGTTGAGATGAGCGTGTCGCTTTCGCGCGTGCTGAGCGGCTATGCACAGGGCTTGCTCACCAATGAACTCCAGTACCGTGGTAAGGAAGATGGCAGTGGGTGGTAAGATCCGATCAATAACCTTGTTCGCCTCCCTCAACTGATTTAAATGATCCCTCACGTCATCGCCTTCGAGATAGTCCTCTTCATCTTCTTCTTCCATATCTCCAAGCTTGGCATAAACCATACATCGTAGTCTGGCGAGTTTCCAGGCGAGGTCGACATCGAACTCAGATCTAGGATCAAGGACAGGTGCGGTGTTTTGGATTTCTTCCAGCTCATATTCTTCCAAGTAGTCCTGCAGTTCATCATCTCCGGCCTTTATCGCAGCACGTCCCAACCTCTGTTTCAGTACTAGCGGGATCGCGGCGCGGATTGCGGTCAGGGTGATCGACTGCGATTTCGCCAAAATGTCGTAGAGTATTTGATCGAGGAACCCATTGAGCAATTGCAGTGCGCCGTTCGAGATCTTGACCGCCTGCTCAATCTCTGCGTAGACTAAGTTCTCGGCTTCGGCTATTGAGACGTAGGCAGGCGGTGCGGCTGCATGAGGAAGCGTAGCTCTCGTCGACCTTGCGGACATGGAGAGGACGTCCGTTCCCGAACTCACGCTTCGCAGTTGCGCCATTTTGTGAAGGCGTGAAGAAGCGGCGGGGATGCAGATGCGAAGTGACGAGGGTAAAATGGGTGACACCGGCGGTTGAGCGATCAGTGCTCCATGCGGCTGTCTTGATGCGTAGCTGAGGGTGAAGTGATTTCACTACTGGTATCGCTGGAACAAGAGCTGAAATCCTGCGGTTGACTCGAGCTCCTCGCGACGGCGGTGTGAGCCTCGTCGATTATCCCGGTTTGGAAGTCAGTCTGCGACTACTTCTCGCGACACTGAAGCGGCGGTCGCAGTTGAGGTGCTGGGGGGTGACGATCACTCGGTTCCGGTCCAGTCAGAAAATTGGAGAAATTCTGAGGCGGACTGGATCAATGCGTTCCTCACATGGGCTGCGGATTGCGCGTGGGCGCTCAACGGGATTTCTATACCAACGTGGCTGAATATCGCAGGTGGGAGAGTTAAGGTGTAGCTGGGAGATCAAACAAAAATGGTGACGGGTGAACCGAGCAGATCAGTGAAGCTGGGCATTTCGGGGCTGGGTGTTTCAACTGGGGGTCCCTGGCCACTCCTGTTTGACACCCATCGCGACTTGGATATGCCCACTTGCGGATCGCGGTCCCTGAGCTACGGATGTGCTATGCTCAGTAGCGGCAATTGGGGTGAGGACAAGCCGTGCCTAATGCACATGTTTGCAGTGCCCCAGACCCGGACTGGGCGTATGCAGGAAGACGGTCTCTGCCATTGGCCTCTGTCAGTGGCGGCGACTTGCATCCATGCTTAACTAACTACGGAGTACCACCGCCTCAAAACGTGTACAAAATGCAAGCAACCTAACCGGATCCAACACCACCTCGTCCGCATAAGGGGCGCCCCTCCTCGTAAACAATGCATCCATGATCATATGCAGACGTCTCTCTGATATCGCATCTCCTGAAGCAGATTGGAGAATATCCTGCAGTTTATATCGACAGCTCCGGGCATCTGCACCATCGTCGCCACGGCCGATCTCGACTTTGGTGCACATACTTACGATCACACTGTCGAGCCTTTGGGTTGGAGGACATTCGCCAAATGGATACTCCTAATGTCGTGCCCGCCCCACTGAAGGAACGTGGCTTTTGGTAGCTCCTCATAGCTGCATATCAGTTGTTCAGGTGAAAGTAACGCTCACTGCCAGTGGGGATCTCCTTTCAGTGATAATGAATACAATGGGCCATGGCCGTAGCCGAGCAGATTTTTCTGAGCTTTCACCACTGAAGGGGTCCGTGTCCGTCGTATCGGACTCCAGACCTCCATTCGCTTAAGAGTCGATGCTGGTGAGATTACTGGCACCGCACCTCACGGCGAGTCTGCCATCAATTGTGGTTGTGTAACCGGCGACGTAGGCCCAGTTGCGGTCGGAGGCGGTACAGCGCCTTCTTACAACCTCTGGTCTCCTGAACACTGGCGTCGGGGACCCTTTGTGCCATTGATATCTCACACATTCGAAGAAGCGCCGCGGTATCGGGGAATGCATTCAGACTGACAGACCGTCACCATGATAGTCGCCGATCGTGTGCACTGCGGCGAGTACCCTTTCTTAATGTCGGTACTCAGCAAGTGATTTCATTTCAGGAGTCCACCAAGGTCTCTTTCCATGCCCGAGACACGGTCTTCTAACCTTTTCTTCATTACTTCTAATTCTTGTATCTCGTCCTCTTCAAGCTGGAAATCGTCCTCGGTCAAGACCGCGTGCTTATCATTGTCCGTGAAATCGTGTTGCCTGTCATTTTCGTCTCCAGCATTGTCTGGGTCCGAGGTGGAAGGCCTGCGCTCCAAGAGTGACTGTTGCCTGAGGACCTTCTTTTCAAGCACGGCAATGGAGGCAGCGACTTCTTTATGACGGTTGCGGAGTGCGCGAATCTTGTCCGAGGCCCCTGCAACGTTGTAGACCTCACAAAGCTTCTCTGCACCACGGAGGAGCACTTCGACGTTGACTCCGCCATGGGCTCGCGCATTGCTTGACTGCCTTATTTCCCGCAGCATATCAGTGCCTAGTACTAGCGTGACTGCTGACGGTTTCAACGGATGAGGAGGATTGAAACCGCTCTTGCGGCCATTGGGGCCAGCGTCTGGGTTATTCGATCGCTGGCGACTTCTAGTGACAGCATTGTGATCAAGGGAAAAGAGTGCGCGCTCGTAAGGTTCCGTGTCGCGAATCAAGGTGGTGATTTCAGCATTGCTTAGCAAGGCATTGGTGAATCTCTTCGGTGGAGGGAACCTGGGAAGATGTCAATGTAATGTGTGGGAGAACCCAAACCTTTCGAACCTACTCCAGCTCAGCGATGGCCTTTGCCGACGCAGAGATCTGCTCCAGATGACTTGCCAGGAGAGTCATGTTCGTAGGGGAGTGTGCGCACGTGTCCGAGTCGCACCTCTCTCATGTGCAGCTGACTTTCAACTGAGTACCCTCAAAGCTGCATGGTCCCTAGTCGTACCAAATGCAGGCTTCTTCATCTAGGTAGTTCTGCAGGCACCTCCATAGGCACATCGATGTTCGGTTTCTAGAGTCACTATTGTGTTGTTGATGATTAGTTGGTCGAGTGGAGTCAGTGACGGGAACGCGTCTTGTGCTTGTGCCTGGCTGCGGTTTGCACTGCGGCTGCGCTACGGAATCTACGACCGACCCAAGGAGAAAGTGACTGCGTCTCCATCTCCATCTGCATTCCCATTTCCGTCTCCGTCTCCATCCAAATTACAGTTGCTTCGACCCTGCCTCACCCCATCACATACAAGCGACCTTGTCGTCTCTTCCGATCATCGTACGTGGACCGTGAAGGGCGACCAGCGTCTCCGAGGAAAACTCCCTTCGACCCAAGGGACATCTAAGAGCTCAGCGAGATACAACAAGTCGCCTATCAAATCCGAGCAATCAATCAATATTTGCGCATTCCTGCTCTACGTCGAGATCGTCTTCCCTCCCACCCCATCAGCCTAGCTCCGCCGAAGCCATGAGTGGTGACAAGCAAAATCTCAATGGCTCTGGTCCGGCTCGAAATGGCGTCAACGGTGCGGATGACGTTGATATGAAGGATGAATCCCAAAATGCAAAGAAAGGCACCAAAGGGTCAAAAGATAAAGACGGAGACAGCGATATGACGGTCGTTGTTCCGCCCTCGAAAGGCTCAAACACTCCGAGCGCTCCTTCGAAAGCGACTGAGGCTGATCTGACAAATGGCGCCGTTGACGGCGACGTCGAGAAAGAAGCCGAAGAACCGGTCGATCCCCAAGAAAAGGCGATAGAAGGTGAGCGGCTTGCTTCCAAGAATTTGTGTCGGAGCTGCGTTACTGACATTCCGCCAGAGATAAAGGCCAATTTGCCATTGTTGGAACGTGCCGTCAGTCAGTTCGATCCTCGATTCAGCTTGAGAGTCCTTCGATCAATACCTTCCGTCCGCAAGCACCTGACGGCCTACGTGTTGGCCACCGTCGTCACCGAAACATATTCCAGCCCTACTGCAACGGCCATCTCACTTCTCAGCGCCGTCAAAGACGATCCGACTTTTCCCTCCCAGAAAGCAGAAGAATGGCATAGCAAGAAAGATGCGTCACCCCCAAAGAACTCGCAGAAAGAAGTCCTACCAGAAATCGACGTCTACCTATCCATTCTAGTGCAAGTGCATCTTTACGATAAGAAGTCCATCAATGCCGGTGCTCAATTCTCAAGCGCGCTGGTCGAACATCTGCGCACCTTGAATCGTCGGACACTGGATTCACTGTCTGCACGTGTGTACTTCTACTATGCTCTTTTCTATGAGGAGGTTGCACCACAGCCCCCTTCACCTGCCGCCGCACTCATTTCCATCCGCAAAACCCTGCTCGATGCGCTGAGAACTGCAACGCTACGGAAGGACCAAGATATACAAGCCTCGGTAACAACACTACTTCTGCGGAACTATCTCTCTACTTCTCATATCACTCAAGCCGACCTGCTGATATCACACACCAAGTTTCCCGATACTGCTGCCAACAACCAGGTGGCCCGTTACTTGTACTACCTGGGTCGCATTCGAGCGATCCAGCTGCAGTATACCGAAGCTCACGAATACCTGACTGGAGCGACACGGAAATCGCCAACAGCATACAAGGCCAGCGGATTTTACCAGGCGTCCACCAAATTGCTCATTGTCGTCGAGCTTCTGATGGGCGATATCCCTGACCGCGCGATCTTCCGTCAGCCCAGCCTCGAAAAGGCGCTCGAACCATATCTTCAGCTCGTGCAAGCTGTCAGCTCAGGGGATGTGACTGGCTTTCAGAACCTGGTTCAGCGATACAGCGCAACCTTCCGAAAGGATGACACCTACACTCTCATTCTGAGATTGCGGCAAAATGTCATCCGGACAGGTATCCGAATGATGTCTCTTTCATATGCCAGAATCTCTCTGCGAGACATGTGTCTTCGATTGGGACTGGACAGTGAAGAGTCGGCAGAGTACATTGTTGCAAAGGCTATTCGCGATGGGGTCATTGAAGCGAGTCTCGACCATGAGCGTGGGTACATGAAGAGCAAGGAGACGGGCGACGTCTACGCTACAGGAGAACCCGGCGACGCTTTCCACGATCGGATCCAAGCTTGCCTAGCTCTACACGACGAGAGCGTGAAGGTACGTAGGCTCCACCGTTTATCCGACCACAGTACTGATCTTATTACAGGCGATGCGTTTCCCCATGAACCAACACCGATTAGAGCTCAAGAATGCCCAAGAGGCTCGTGAGCGCGAACGTGAGCTAGCGAAGGAGATTGTGGAGGGAGAGATGGACGATGACGATGCGCCTGGTGGTGATTTCGACGGGATTTGATTGAAAAGGACATATTGTATTACATACGGATCGGTAGCCGGTTGTCCAAGGGTTCTCCCAGGCGCACGCAGAACTCAGCAGTGATCTCTAGCCTCGCATCCTTCGGACGACAGAGGTGGTCGTCTCTAGAAATGAGGATCAGCCAGCAGTTGACCGCTTCATGCTTCACTGGCTTTTTAGAGGCTATGGTCGGCCTGTGGGCTGGGATAGCTAGGTTTAAATGTAATAGTCGTAAAGGTCTGGCTTGTTGGGGGTGGGTGTGTTGTAATGGTGACAGTGCTGGCAGGGCTACTCGTACGGAGTACGGAGTACACTGACGGAACATCGCACCGCTGGGCACAATCATGATCGAGCCTTGTCAAGCCAGCCTCGCCAGCCTCGCCGGCGAAATTGGTTTATCCGTGTGCCGAGGCTACCCGGTGCGCGTCTTCATTGGCTGAAAACGACACGTCTTGAGACACCGTCACCACCGTGGATAGACTCGATAGAGCAACTAGTTTACTCGCTGTCCTCTCATCCTCACATAAAATTACTGTACCTCCTTCGCAAATAATCCCATTGCTCGAAACATGGCCCAACCGCGCCCAACAACCCTCCTCCCCTCCCGGACTCGCTCCCGCTCACCCACATCTCGCCCGACGACACCCCTCCGCGCGTCCTCGCGCTCGTCCTTCCGCGCTTCAACGACCCTTCCGAACGATACGATCCCGACAGGCCTGGACCACCTCGAACCGCAATTCGCAGAACTCAGCGACTCGATGGCCGATCTGGAGGCGAACCTCATGCACTTGCAACTCATGCACGAGAGTCTCAGCCGGTTTAGCGAGAGTTTCGCCAGTTTTCTGTACGGGCTGAATATGAATGCTTTTGTCGTGGATTTTCCAGAGGTATGTAAGTCGTCAGCCCGCTCGCACGCACGCAGGCACGGGATTCTGCCCCGCAGTCAGATTTCTATGCGTTTCACGTCTCTCCACCCTCTGAAAACTGGAAGTGATGTCGATCTCGATCTCAATCTCGATGCTGATGCTGATGTGTGCGTGGTAAACCAGGCTCCCATCACCGAATCGATCAAGCGGTGGCAGAGACGACAACAAGGTCTGGATGACAATTCGAGCACCATCAACGTCACCATGCCTAATTCTAACCCAAACTCAAACTCGTCTACTGTCGGCGGGCTGAGTCAGTCCGAGGGCAACGCCGGGGACGCGACGTTCGTGACCAACGCGGATGCCAGCTTCGCTAGCTTAAAAGCCACGCCGAGGAGGAAGACGGTGGCGCCGCCTGTCACGCCGGGGACTACGTCGACGGTCCAGCAGAGTCGGCTACCCGGCGCGAGACGTGGAGGAGGGGGAGGGGCAGGGACAGGGGCTGTTGGGCGAGGTGGGAGAGGGGACGGCGCCGCGAGGGGTGCGAGAGGGTCGGGTCTGCCGAGAGGGAGAGGTAGGGGAGGAAAGTGAGATGGGATGAGATGAGATGAGAGGAGAGGGTGGCATTAGGAGACTTCATCGATCGTTCTCTTCTCCTTCAGTTATGACACCGAGGGAGGTGGGTATGATGTGATGACAAGGTACGGATTCCAATCAAACATGATACCCACGTTCCAGTTACAATTACGGGCACGGCCACGGCCACGATCACGGCTTGGAGATCATATCGGGAAGTTTACGACTTGGTTGATCTCTTGCCTCTTTACGTCCCTATCTTCCTCCTCATGTTCGCCACAAACCTGCGACAACATGCCGCACGCTGGGCCGCAGGCGTTGTGTTACGTGCGGGCGGCCGGCGAGTGGTGGTGTTATGAATGGTGATCACAGGTGCGGATCGTAAAAGAATTCTCAAAGGACAAAGAGATGACGAGAGTTGTCCATAAGGACGAGCGCAAGGATGAGGACCAAAGAGGCCGGAAGGAGGAGAGATATATGTCCATCTTGCGCGTCCTAGAGATGCACCAGCCAGCTCCAGCTCTATCTCCTTGGGGAATACTTGCTCCGAACACCGCTGACGATATCGTCATGGAAAGATCACTAGTAGGACAAATTGTATACAAGGGCCAACTTGAATGCACCGTACACCAGATCGGGACCGGGTAGGTATTCATGCTCGGCTGGGTCGGCGGCAATGACATGTCGCGTTGCCGTCTGGCTTGTTTTCTTGCTTCTCGTGGGCCTCGCCATTAAACCGCTCGGACATTCGAGGTTGATGGAGTCGCAGGGGAATTTGGATGTGAGATCTCTTCGCGCTAGAATGCGTTGGCAACCGCCCTTCAACATTGAAGCGACTTGGGTAGTCATGTATTGTGGCAGACGGTCACACTCATTATCACCTACTGGTGTGGTTCATTGTCCTACGAGTTTTACCCAGCAAATTTACGACCCGCGACCGGCCGGCGCCAGGAAGACAACTCAGCCAAGTTCCTCTACGTCGGCTTCCTCGTCTCCGTCAACACATCCTTGTCAAGATTCGTCTCATCTTCGGCAGTGTCGCCGCCGCTCCCTCTGCTGTCTTGGTCCACGGCGGAGCCTTCATATCATCTTCGGAAACGAACGCTCCAACACCGCTGGAGGGCTGGTGAGCGCACGCTGAAGAGCTGAACGTCACGCGAAGGAAATCCTGACTGAGCGTACAACCAAAGGGATCACCAAGTCGTGGTCATTGCTGAGCTGATAGATGCGGGCGCTCCGAAGGGGCCAGGGTCAAGTTAGCTGTTGGGCCACGCGGTCCTCTTCCTCGATGACCCGGTTGCCGAATGAACACTTCCAAACCTGCCGCAAGCCGTCTTCGAGAACATCCTCGACGAGATCGGCAGCCAAGTGAAGATGATTCCACACAACTTGCTCTTGGGTTCGAGCGCCCGAAGAGGAACGTTGTGTAATGACACTGCAAAGAGGAAGGAGCATACCAGGAACTCGCTTTTGAGGGGAAAGCGGTTTGCATGAGCTGAGGTGATAAGGATCGCCTTATTCCAGAGAGTTGAAATGCTCAAGAGCTCCAGGTGTTATCGTTGGTTAACGGCTGTCTCTGGCAATCTACTCCCACTCAACCGTCCCGTCCAGTCACAGCATAATCGGTATGGCTGGAAGCATCCCGTGCCATCATTGCTTTCCTGTCTTGTTCCACCTGCCCTCTGGAAGGCGCTCACCCTTCTTGAGAGTGATCTGCAACGTGCTCGACACGATCCCGCCAGGTCGCATTTGCGGTGTTGCAAAATGGACATATCAATTATGCCGTGGGCACATCCACGTCACGGCCGTCATAAAGATTCTGGGTGACAAAGGGATGATGGATGAGGTGCATATGCTGGATCAAGGCGTCCTTGCGGAAGTACGTCCTGTCTTTCTCGGGCCGCTCCCAGCATTCTTGGAAACGATGCCGACAGTGGCCAACATGTAAGAGCTCAAAGCAGACGGGACATTTGCCATAATATAGGTGACGATTGCCACCCATCGCGCAGAATGCCGACGGCTCGCACACCCACACCTTTGACGGTGCATGAACAGCCTGTTCATGTCGTTTCCAAACATATTTCTTGTCGAAACCCGTCCCGCAGAATGTGTACTGATAAGGGAAGTCGCTAGAAGATTGTACATGGAAATTGGCTTTTGGAACTTCCAGCGACTCGGCATCTCCTGGTTTGCAGGTATCTGTATTTGTAGGTATCCACAAGTCGGCGGACGGTCCGAAAACATCTACTAGAGATTGCCTGTAACTGGAGTGATCGGCTCCATCGAAAGGAGCCTGACTATCAGGTGTCATGAGTAGTCCAGAGGGATCCAGTGGTGGGGTTCCAGATGGCGTAGAGGGCCGGCCACAGCCCCGGGATTCAGTCCGTGGAGAGGTGGATGCGACTCCTGGCGACGTCCCTCCATACGCGACTCTCCGCCCTTTCCGAGGCCCGAAAGTCAGGTAGCTGGAGCAGGATGCGACAGAAGCAGCACCACTTGAACCTCTAAGTGACTGTGCGTAGTGGTAAGGACTTCCGGCTCCATGTTGAGTAGTTGCACCTAGCCCCATCCAGCTGAAGTCTTGATTTTCAGTGCCTAGGGACTGCTCCGGCTGCAATCCACTCGCTGGAACGGACCATGGGAGCCGAGGACTCACCAATGGAGGGCTGTATAACGAAGTGGCCGTTAGGCACGGCAATGAATTTTGTGTACATGCGCTCCGTCTCGACGTCGCTCCGTCACTGGTCTCAAAATTATGCTGCTGGTGGCCGCCTTCGACCTCCCCAACACTCGCCCTGCGCCAGAATGAAGGCTGGGCAGCGGGCGTCGTTTCCGAGTGGAGATTGCTCTGGTGAACGCGTAGGCTGTTGAGTCCTGCGAAGCTGCGACTACAATGAAGGCACTTGAAAGGCCCCTCGTATGATGCATGATACCGCTCATGCCGTTTCAAGTGTGCGAGTCTTGAGAATGAGCGCGTACAGATCCTGCAAGCATGAGGCATAGGCTTGTCGGGTTCAGGTGACGCTTGGCGAAGAGCAACTTTTCCGTGGCCTTTGGAATCGATAGCCTCATCGTGCGACCGCTGCAGGAATGTAACCGCAGTACCACATTCAGTGTCGCGATTCTGGGTGGCATCGGTTCCGGGCAAGGATGGTTTGTTCAAGCCGACAGGTTCCGCAGACCGACTATGCACGGCAAGAGAAGTGATAGGGTCAGCAGTCTCGGGCGATACCAGCGCCACAGGGGCATCGCAGTCGCCGCATCCGCTCGGAGCTCTTCTTCCCGACTAGCTTCAACGGCTTGCACTTCTGAGGACTGTTGGCGAGCGCGCCCCCACTCACCCAGGTTTTCGAAACCGCTGGGATCGGCGGGTAGAAGCTTTAGCCATCTTTTCATACCCCAGTCTTGAAGGTACCACATAGGCTCACGGCACGATGATTCTCCAGGGCGATGGCTGCTGTTCCTGCTATTGGACTTTGGAATAGACCAATAGCTACCGGGTTGACTTGGCAGACCAACCTGCAGGCAGCATTTTCCGTTGGTAGCCGACCGAGCGCCACAACTCCGTGGAAGGAACCGGCGGAGAAAACCAGCCATGCTCGAGGGTGGAGGACAGCTGTTGGGTCTGTTCAGGTTTGCTGCAGCGGCGCTGGCGTCACCAATCAGACCCGAGAGTGTACACATCTCTTCGAAGGCTGTAGCGCTTCCTAAAGCCACCTAAACACCACGTTTTGCCCGTCCTTGTGCCGGTCAAGGAACGACAAGCCCGTCGATGCATCTCGATGTCATGATGAGTGGGAGCGCGCTTCGAAGACCCAGGCAATCTTAGCTCTGGTGCTTGCCGTGGACGGTTCTGACTGGGAGCCATGACCTTTTCGCCACTGATGCTGCCTGCTTCATCCAGCTTGAGCCTTGTGAGTTTCCTTTGGCGTGTCCTCGCGAACCACATTTCGACCTGCCGAATTGATAATCCAGTAGATTTGCCAGACTGGCCTTTATCTCTGGGCCTGGAAATGGATCTGCCATATTTCGAGACAACCAGTCTTCAGGCACTCCCGTCTGGAACTGGGTAAAACCGGGCTTCTGTCCCACAACTTTCACCTTGCGCCTGGCCGAATCAGTATCATGCGACGTGGAAGAACTGGGTCTTGTTCTCTTCCTGTGTGATAGGTGAGCTTGGGGCTCTGCCGACCAAAGCCGAGGCGTAGGGTCTCAGGGTCTGTATAGGTATCGAATGTCATTTGGGTGAGGAACTCGTCTTGTTGGTCGATTGTGTCGACCATGAAGAAATCAATGTCTGGCATGAGGAGGTCATCGTTACGAAGGCTGTTCTCGAGCGATGGGTGGAAAGATGGCGAATCAGGCGGCTGTGCGGCCAAGATATAGGTCGAGGAACATTGGTTGAAGGTCCATGAGGGAATCCACGGACATGTGCATCCACGGCATGGTCAAATACACCCACACCGACTGTATTTCTGTCAAAAGAACCATCCACCCCCGGTTTCGAGGTGAGCAGGACATTTCCCCATCCATGCCGTGACGATGCTGAATCGGTTTTCATCTTCGCAAGGTTGGGTGATCTCGATCATCGACGTCACCTGGAACGTCGGGATCTGTCCCTGACAATCTCGGTGCAACATGATGATGGTGGTACGCTTCTTCTCGACAGAAGCGGACCGTGCTTGGATGTCGACAGGGAACGAAGGGTGGAAGAACAAACCGACGTGTTTATGTTCTTCGAGGCAGGGCAGATACTGGTTTTCAAGGTGACCAATCAGCGGGATCGAGCTTTCGAGTCGAGCCTGCCTGGCATTCAAGGTGCTCGCTTAGCGAGGCCAATCATCGTCGGCGTTCAGCTTCGCAAAAGGTGGCGGGGATATATCGCGAGGCTGTGTATGTATATAAGACACTGTGGCCCGCCGTATTTTCAGCCTCGCAGTCCCCGGCGGAGCATACAAGCCGGCCAAAAATAACCCAGAACAATCTTCATATTTTGAGCCTCATTTTCTGCCGCTTCCTCTATTCAAGGGCGCGGCTATTCTCTATTGTGCTCACGCTTATGCATTAATAGACTCACACGGTCCAGGCTGGGTGGATTGGGCGATATTGGACAATATAACTCCCATTCGCGCCCTGGCAGCTCACTTTCCAAAGCCGGTTCTCCTGAAGTGGCTCACACCATCGACTTCTCATTCCTCGCGTGACCGACAGGGATCTTGAGTATCGTCGCGGCTCAACGCCATTCCAAGTGCATAGGACGACAGGTTCCGCGCGATGACAGCCTCTCCGTATCATATGCCGTCGACAGGCTGCGAACACCTCAAACCTGCCACAATCAAGAAAATCACGGCCTTCCGCAATGAATCCAATGCCATCGACGCCGACTTTGCAAACTACGGCTGTCTCTCGTGCAGTTTTACCGGCAGCTTCCCCATGCTGGATAAACACTTCAACAAGACGAAGCACGAGTTTGCCGTCTCCTCGAGATCCGTCTGGTGTGGGCAATGCAACGACCTGGTCTACGATCCGGCGTTATTAGTCAGCAACGGCCGGGCCGTTAGCGCAATCAGCAGCAGACCAGTCGTTAATGGCGTGAAGCGAAAATTGGTAGAGTCCAACGGCGGGGAGGACGATTCTTACCTGACGACCAACACGTCGCAGCGACCGTGTGGTCGGACGGGAGTGCGCGGACTGTACAATCTCGGCGAGACGTGCTATATGAACGCAGTGTTACAGATGATGGTGCACAATCCGCTGCTGGCAAGCTACTTCTTGGGGATGGGACATTCCATCCACACGTGTCCGATCAACCGCGAGCTGGAGGGCAAGAAGGAGAAAGGCAACGAGTCAGAGGAGGAGCAGCAGCAGCAGGACGACGACGCCGTTAGTTCCGAAGAGAAGAAAGAACTGCCCAGTTGTGTGGCGTGTGGGATGACAGAAGTCTTCTCCGACGTGACGATGGTCGACCAGCCGATCCCTGCGCAGGCCGTCAATTTGCTCTTTGCGAGCTGGAAGAACATCCAGGTAAGTTGCGTAGCCGCGTGTTCTCCGTGTCATTTCCCTCAGCAGCTAACGCACCTCAACAGCACATGTCCGGCAAAGGCCAACAAGACGCGCAAGAGTGGTTCATGTGCATCGTCGACCGCCTGCATGAGGGTGTCGCTCAGTACGTGCCCTCCCCCGACAACAGATCCGCCAGCAACGCCGCCAACGCCGCCTCCACACCCAGCAAACAATGCGTGTGTTTCTTCCACAAGGTCTTCTACGGCCGCTACAACAGCCAAATCACCTGCGATACGTGCCACACGGTGTCATCGACCGAGGACGAGTTCTCCAGCATCAGTCTCGACTTTAAGAAGCAGGCCAAGAAGCGCAAAAAGGCAGCCAAGGAAGCGGCCGCGAAAGAAGCAGCCGCAGCAAAGGAAACGGCCAAGGACGACGCGACCTCGAAGAAGGACACCAAAAAAGAGACTGCTGGTGGCGGCGCCGACGACCTGCGCATCCAAATCCCCACCCTACGCGATATGCTGCGCGCGTTCACGGCGCCGGAACCCCTCTCGCCGGACCAGTACCACTGCACGAGCTGCAACGACAAGCGGTCGGCAAAGAAACAGACGCGCATCCGCAAGTTACCTGCGCTGTTATGCGTGCATGTCAAGCGATTTGGCATGACCGCTTCGTTTGCGCCCGAGAAGTACGAAGGCAAGATGGATTTCAGCCTCACGCTCGACATGGCGCCGTATACGACCCGGCCGCCGCCCAAGAACGGCGAGCACAAACGGGACGCACGGGCGAAGAATGGCGGCGGCGGCAAGAAAGACAATGAGTTTCTGTACGATCTTGACTGCGTGGTGGTGCATCAGGGCGAGCATGCGCAGAACGGGCATTACTTTGCGTTCTGTCGGCAGGATAACAAGTGGTTCCGGTTCGACGATGAGATTGTGAGTGCCACGACCACCGAGGACGTCATGCGACAGGAGGCGTACCTGCTGTTTTATTCCCTCAGGAGTCTTGAGAGGGTATAAAAGGTCGGGGCGTGTGCACAAGTCAGTCTGCGCGAGTTTGGCGAATTCATCGTGTTGATATGGATAATTATGGTACGGAGTGGCATCGCACCGCATCGCATCGCATTGCAATCGGCACGGGACGGATACTGTACGCTCAATGGGAAACGAAACATAGACATGCGAAGCAGAAAAGGAAAGAGGAAAAGAAAGATGCAGGATACGTACATGCAGATGTGGGTATGAGTCAGTAATATATGCTGTTATGCTACGGTACTGGCTCCTCCGCAGCGTTTCTTCGTGGGTTAAAAGACAGTCACAGCTGGCACCATACAGGGACATAAGTAGCAAGCTCACATACAGGGTCTGGTTCATTCCCTGGGGTAAGTACACGCATCAAACAGAACTCGATACTCTCGGCAGTCGGCAGTCGGCAGCACGCATTGTCGCGGGACTGTTGCACTCGACAGAGTACCTACTATTGTACTCCGTACTGTCCTGAGTACAAAGTAGCAAGCGGTACGGGGTACTCCTTGCAGGGTCTGGGCGAACGCGACGCGTTTTGAAATGGTCTTGGGATCTTGGGACGCCTACCTATTGTACACAGTCCTCCGTACATACCGTGTAGTGCCGTTCACAGCCTACTCGGCCGGATGTCCAGGCATCACATACCGACGACGCGTGCGGGCCTGAGTGCTGAGCGATGAGTCCCCTGCCGCCAAGGCATTGGTCGACGGTGGGCGTCTTGCGAGATTGCATCCAGAGTACGGAGTACATACTCCGTACCGTGTCCAGTATGCTTTGATGCAAACACTGGGCGTGCAAGTCATGCTGAAGTTCCCCGGTACTCAGTTCGCGGTCTGATCAGAGCTCATCTTCATATTGGTGGACGACCATGCCGATAACGTGCATCAGATCGAGATGCGAATACGATTACGCATCGGGGCTTACTCGCATTAGGCAATTTCACCAATTTTGGGGAGATACAGTAGATGGATGGATGGATGATTTTTGTGCCACAGGAATCGGTGTTTGTGCCGGGCGATAGATTCAAGCCGCGAAACTGTCAGGCCTACATCCGAGTACTGTGTACCGTAGGACTGTGTAGGGCCGAGGTGTCTGGACTCTCGCAATTCGCTTGTGGTGATCGACGGCTACTGGGTATAATCTTTGCATAAAATTGTGCATGTGATGCGTGCCGATGTACGTGATGTGAACGAGGCCAATGTCTGGTCGCCATGGCGGCGTCCTCGTGACCATTTGCAGAACACCAATGCATGCAGGAGAATTGGTGAAACAAGACTTTGGCTTCCTCATCAACGGCACACCGGACTGGATAGGGGGTGCCCCGGGGGTTGGTATGAGGAGTGGGGGAGTCCGTCTTCGAATGAGGCTTTACTCATCACGATTGCAGACGCCGAAACAGAAGTTGGGACCAACTGAGGACTACTCCGTAGATACCATAGTAACTCGTACTTGGCGACGGTCTTAGGGCGAAGGAACTTGCCATGGCGCCTCGATTTCAGACGACTCCGACGGGCTGCAGTTCAGTTGGCGGTCAGTTCTCGGATTACACGGCACTGTGAATGGGTGATACTAGCAAGGCTCGGAGCCTCGGACCTGTTCTCGACCGAGAGGGACATAGGACACAGCACAGGGCAGCACAGGGCTGCACAGAACCGCACTAAGAAAGTCTTCTGACTGGTGGAGGATCCGATGACAAAGTCGAAGCTTTTCTGCATCGTATGCAGTGATCGATGATCGACGCTTCTTCATTTGCCGCTTCCAGCTGTGAATCATCATGACTGCGAAAATCAAGGGCCTGGACCCGGTTCTTCGAAGTTTCGTACGAGTCCTCGTCCTGTCTGAGTTATTCACGTTAGAGGGGCAACATTCTCTCTCGGTCGGCCAGACCGCCCCAGTCATCGTTTGCTGGCAGGATTCAAGAAGATGAGCCCAGCCGCCGAGAGGTTGGCACTGCGGAGGTGACGACTCCGTGTTCGGTAGTGCATACGTAGCAGCGCCCAAGGGGAAGATGTCGGTCGTCCATATTCCATGTCCTTCGAAGCCGGCCCGGTGAGGCATTTTGCTGCCAGCTAGCGGAGGAGCTTGGGGGTTTCAAATGCTGATTTATCGAAATAGCATCGAGAGAGAATTAGTTTGAGCAGTGTGTTTTCTACTTGAGGTTAGGGCGTGCCGATATATACCGACAACTCGATGTGGTCGAACACCAGGGCGGACGTGACGTGGCCTAACGATTGGTGGTGAATGCAAAGGTGGGTTGACGGAGGAAAGGCACGAGGATGATGGAAGATGGGGGTCGGCAAGGAGTCTGACAGGAACAGGCGTAATCTCACGTCAAGCGAGGGAAGAAGGCCGATTATCCATCCGTGCGACGAACGGGTGTACGAGAGATACGAATGCGATGGAGTATGGATTATGGATGGTTCGTTGCACAGGGCCACTATCTTCTGAGCTGGCGAGAAAGGCTGAGCGGAAGGCTGCCAGTCATTATTCCAATGGCCAGAATCGATCGACTCGGAGCATTGTTCTGGACGGAGTACTCGTACTCAGTACATAGCAAAGTACCCAGTAGTTTTGGGAAGGCCCATCCGTTGCTGATCCCGCCGAACATGTGCTTCGTATGGGTCGTATTCTCCCCGCCACCGACCTTTTGGTGTCAGCATCGATCGTTGACTGTCCTTCGTGCCTTCGCACCTTGCGCGCTCATTCCCGTCCCGCTGAGTCACCGCTCTTCTCCTCGCGCTCTCCGCATGTTTTCCAAATCGAACCTCTGGCGCATCGCGATCTCTCACAAGATCAGGCCAGCAATTGGACCACTTTGTCACACCACGGGCTCGAACCACTCGCTACTCTTAGAGGTTCTTGACAGCCTGATGCGGCACCCGGCTGGCGTATCCGGAGCTATCTACGCTGCATGGTTGTTTGATCACAACTGTCCAAGTCCGCTCTCAGTTGACTGACAGAGTCGCCGTTGCGGAATGGTCCGGCATGTCCGGCATGTCCGGAGTACTGGTCCTGTACGCCTCACGAGTACGGAGTACAGATTAGAGAGTATCGCCTTTCTACCATGTGGTGATGTCATGGGGACGTGAATGATGACTGAAGAGGAACGACACGGAGGAAGATTCGGGAAACTCTCGCCTCGAAGCCCAGACTGCGGAGATAGGTTCATCCAGAATGGAGCGTGAGAGCAGAAATAATCTTCGATTCCGCCCTGCGCGATTCTACCCAGTACACAGTACATTTCACGGCGGGACCCGATTATTGAGCCGCCGAGTTTGTCAGCCGAGCAAATTCTGTCACTTGAGCGTGACACGGTGAGGTGATGGAATCCTCCGTATGGGCGGCCGCTAGCTAGCCGTGGTGGACCCTGGTCATGCCCTCAGTCAAGGTACTGTGTAAACATCATCGAGGCAGTACGGTATAGACATCTGCTACAGCGATGAGGTGTGCCAGGACGTTAAGGTGTCTTGGTTATGACGGTCCATGTCGACATTACATACTATCGCGGCACACGAGTTTCTCGCCTGAAGAGACTCAGCGGGTGAGGCGACCGTATGGGTGAGTTTCGATCTGAGGTGCACCTAATTACTGGGTACTGGGAGCCTGACAGCCTGGCGTGGACATCAGATGGCCCCAGCAGCACCAAACTCTGAGTACAGGCGGGCATAGTGGGGAGCTTGGCGTAGGTTGCCGTCCCCGGGCTGCGGCCAATACGCAGTAGCCGGGCGATGCGGCCAAGGGCGTCCGGGCTCTGGGCGCTAATGCAGCAGCAGGCCTTGTCAATCCGACCTCTCTCGCCTCTCTGGCTTGCCCTTCCTGTCGCCGGTCGGCGATAAGAGGCACAGGCACATGCAAACTATTCTTTCGCGCATCCGAGAAATCCGGCCGGCCATTCCCAAGATGCTCCAGTCGATGCCACCACCGATGCCATACCGCATCCCGCAAGCTGCTGTTGCGCTGTTGCTGACCTATTCGTCCGGGCTGGCGCGTTGCTGCCTGTGGGCACATTCTCCCCTCCGATCACTCGCGACCTGGCGATGAGCTGCTCTCGGGATTTTAATAATAGCCCGTGACCAGCGCATGTCGAAGTCTGTATCGTATACTCCTCTTCTTGTTCTCTTACACTCCTCGCTGCTGCCTCTGTTCTGCCTGACCGTGACTTGTCATTGCGCGCAACCCTCATCTTCACCTCTCTTTCGCGTCACTTCCGCCGTTGTCGTACTCGCCGTGACACCCGTGCGAGACCAGCCGCATTCCCTCCTGCCACCGACCCTCACTCTCCCTCCCCGGGCGACTGAAGCATCCAGCCGGGTGGCTTTGGCGGTGCAATAGAAGGAGTGCGCAGACACTAGAAAACGTGTGAGCCGGATGGGTGTGTCGAGATGGACCGTAGCAGCTGTGCTGCTCCAACTGGCCTCGCAGACATTAGCCCACGGTCACGATGAGGGTCACGACATGGACATGAAGAAGCCTGAGGCGCCTCAGCACAAGGACGGAGAGGTCGATCCGTATGACATGCCGAGCTATGCCGGCCTCGGTCAACACCAGACCCAAATCTTTGCGCATGTCGCCCTGATGGTGTTGGCATGGTTCTTCATCTTGCCGATAGGTGAGTCAGAAGTCATGGGACACGAGAGGTAGTTACTAACCGAGCCAGCGTCCATGTTCAGTATTGCCCGGTCGAGATACGCTCTCCCCGTCCAATTCCTCTTCCTCGCCGTCAATGGCCTCGGACTGCTGTTTGGGATTGTATACAACATCAACACTCCAGACCTGTATGTGCACAATGCTCATCATAGAATTGGCTGGATTGCCACGTGGATGGTGACCGCCCTGGTCATCACAAATTTGCTGTTCTGCTACTCGCGGAGAGGCAAGCAATCCACGGGTGCAGCAGATGAAAGGGCCGCGTTCTTGCCAGTATCCATCGAGAACATGGCCCAGCATGACGCTCAGCCATATGCTGAATACCGTTGGTCGGGGCATGGCCGGCAGGACAGCTCAGATTCATCCACGCTTCATAGCCGTGACGATTACCCAACCGTTGTGGGCCGACGAGATACGTTGGACGACTTCGAGAAGCCCGAGCCAGAGCCAGAACCGGAGGACGATGAAGAGTTGCCGACGCCGCAGCGACCTCGCCGACATTTGCGATGGTTGCGCATCGACCGCGTTGCGTTTGTCGACAGGTACTTGTCTGCGAGACTCCCGAATCTGGTTTCGACCAAAGCGTTCCGGGCCATCAAGCTCGCGTACAACGTGCTGGATAGGTTGATCTTGCTGCTCGGGTTCATCACCATGGTGACGGGATTCGTGACCTACTGCGGCCTTTTCGTGAGTGCCCCTGCCTGCCACCACCGGGCGCAGTCTCCGTTTTGCCAGCGAAAAGGCTAACAAACACTACTACAGAGAGCAAACAACGTCTTCACAGGCCTCGCCCACTTTATCAAGGGAGGAATCTTCTTCTGGTACGGCTTGCTCACACTTGGACGTTGGATGGGCTGCTTTGCCGATCTAGGCTGGGCTTGGAATGTCAAGCCGAGCCGCGACGAAGTGGCCCAATGGAAGTCCAAGATTCCGTCGGCTGAGTTCACGGAATCCTTCGTCATTTGGCTGTATGGCGCGAGCAATGTCTTCCTCGAGCACTTGGCCGCCTGGGGAAATGAATGGACCGCACAGGATTTCGAGCATGTCTCGATTGCCGTCATGTTCTTCGGTGGTGGCTTGGTAAGTTGTATTCTTTTACACGCCCGGGGGTTTAGTACCATGCTAATATGTCCTTGTTCAGTGCGGCATGCTCGCTGAATCCCCCACGATCAGACGATACCTCAATACCGTCGTCGACGAGATGCCCGCGCGAAAGGTCGTCCACCCGAGTGACGACTTCGAAGTGCGGGAGGTGCCAAAACAATATACCACGTCTGTCAACCCCATGCCAGCCCTCATTATCATCCTCCTCGGTGTCATGATGTCCTCGCATCATCAAGACTCGATGGTCGCGACCCAGGTACACTCGCAATGGGGCATCTTGCTTGTCGGCTTTGGAGTGGCTCGCATGTGCACCTACCTGCTCATGTTCCTCTCACCTCCCAAGTCAGTCTATCCTGCCCGACCACCAACTGAACTGGTGGCCTCTTTCTGCCTCATCAGCGGCGGCATCATCTTCTGCGCCAGTGCCAGAGACATCGTCCACTACATGGAGCGGACAGGTCTCATGGCCATGTTCGTCTTGACCGTCACCTGCGGGTTCACGGCCTTTATCATGGCGTACGAGATCATCGTGCTGTCGCTCAAGGGCTGGGCCATCCGGAAGGAGGGCAAGGCCCTTGTTTCCACGAAGTTTTGAGTCGTCGCCACCCAGCCACACACCAGATCCCGTTATCCATACTGCCACCGGACTGCGACGATCGACAACGGCGAGACGATTGAGGATTTCGAGTCCCAACCATAATCCAGCCGAGTTAATATCGACTAACGACATGGACAACCCACTCGGACTCACCTTCTGCACTCGCAATGTATGTCGACCTACAACTGTACAGCTTCTTATGGACCATAAGCCTGCTGGACAGTTTTGTGTCACAACCAAAAGAGACACCCTCAACCCTCACCCCAATTGTTTACACACCCTGAGTACCATTCAAAGCAGCAGGAGCTTGACACCGGAGCAGATTATAATGGCCGAAGCGGACGAGCGAGGAAAGGAAAGAAGTCGGCCGGGTCGAGCATTCGCATTCATGTTATACCCTTGCTTTCACCGCACGATACCCCTTGGACCAAAGACCAACACATCAGATGATTCACGACCAGACGCGGCATGCGGGTCACGTCGTCATCAACCACAGAGACATATCGGGCTTATAAGGCTTTTCAAGGCGCTTTTGTGATCCAGAAACCCATGATACCCCCAACTCGATAGAGCTATCGGATCTAGCTTATTTACGTATTGTAACGGACCCGTGCTCGCTCCTTATGAGCCCGGATGCATCATTGCATGGAATCATGCATGTTAATAAATCACGTTCTATTCACTAGACTTGAGTTTCCATGCCTGTAATAAGTCACGTTCTATTCACTAGACTTGAGTTCCCTGCCCGCCTTGTCGCTTTAAGCGCGCCGACCAGTTCTCAGTCCTACGGTCTCCCCTCATTCTGCTTGGTATTCGCTTCTACTTGGTATCGCTTCTGCTTGGTATCGCTTCTGCTTGGCATTGACTGAAAACACGGCGAAAAGAGTCATCATCACTCGTAAGGTCGTTGGCGTGCGTCACCCAAAGCGCTCCCGGATCCTACTCCAACTCGTCCTCCGTTTCCTCGCCGAAATGTAGTAGACCCGGACGGCATGTGTCGTGTGAAGACTGAAAGAAGGAACCAAGGACGGAAAGAAAGGATGTCATCGCTCACTCCCTCCCTCCCTCGGCCATGATCTCCCACGCCATACCGTGTACAGTACATACTCCGTAAATACTCCGTAAATACATGGGATTCGTAGAATAATTTGCATGCCCGGCCTGCTACAAAAGGTAATGTACCGTTCCACAACGCGGCCTTAGCGGAGCTTCATATCCATCGTACTGTAGCGCCTTCCGCTAGATTTACCTTGGCGTCAGAATTTCTGGAGGCATTGCGCGATATGTACTTGTCCCACGGGGCTGCTTTGTCTGGCTGACTGCAATCCCTCAACACCCTGCTTGGAACGCATTTTGTATTCGTATTTGTATTCGTATCGGCCTGGGAGGCGAAACTCTGAGAGAGAGAGAGTCTCAGTCTCCCATAGGAAGTCGCTAACACACAAGTACGGGAGCACGCACACGCGTGCCACTCAATGTAGTACGACAAAAGGCCGCCGTCCCTCGGGCAATAGGATCTCGGTCGACTGCACGACCGAGCCGACCTTGTCGGCGCCAGAACGCCACGCCGGGATGGCGCCTCCGTCAGTGGCCGCTGCGGCGTGGATTTCGCTTCGCGACGATTCTTCGATCCCGCAGGTCGTGTACAGCAGGTCCGGCACAATGGCTGAGTAGTCGCCTAAGAATTCCTCGACTTTGTACGTGTTTGAGGCCGCCGCCGCCGCCATCAGGTTCCATGAGTCGACAGATCGCCGATGTGCTTTCGCATCGGTGGGTGTCGAGAACGTTGTGGGCTCCGTCCGGCTCCTGCTCATACTAGGCCTGCTGAGACTGGGCGATTGGATGCTGCTGACGCTGATGCCCGTGAGACTCAGCCTCTGGAGCCAGCGGCGTTTGGGAAGCTTGACGGGGAGTTTCACCGGAAGTTTTAGGGGAAAGTGGTACGAGTCGGGGGATACGGTAAAAAGGACTTTCCGGGAGCTCCGATTGTGGGAATGGAGGTCCGCTGAGTCGATGAACTCCGGGAGCGGTTGCGGATGTAATTCGACAGCGACTTGGACGACGGGATCGTCGTCGGCTTTGCTCGGTTGTTCGGCGCCAAGGATCGCGAGGTCGATGTATTTCTGCTGGACGTCCTCTTGTTGCACGAAATCGCCGTCCGAGTGGAGCTTCGAGGCATGACAGATCGTCTGCTGGAGGTAATGCCATACAAACCCGTACGGCCATTTGACCATGTGATTCAGCTTGGTGAGAGTGTAGTCGGAGAGGGAGCGCAGTGAAGTCGGTAGAGCCTCCGGGCTGCAGAAGCAGAAGATAAAGCTGGAGAGAACCCAAAAGGCGTCAAGTGTCGTATGGGCGTTGTCGGAATGGGGAAACATGGGCAGCGAGGTTGCCACGGAATGACTGGGTCGGGCGGGTTGAATTTCCAGTGCCTTCCTCTGAGACACGAAGAACCAATACAGGGTCAGTCGTGCGTCGTTGAGAGAATCGCGCGACACCACATGAGAAGAAGGCGGTTGGTCTGCGAAGGCCCCGTTCAGAATGGTCTGTCCTTCAAACACGGCGTTCGTACACCACTGCAGGAATGCCTTGGCTTCCTTGATGTATGCATCGAGGAAATCAGGTGGCTCGGGGGGTTCATGTTCCTGTAGAAGCCGAACCCATGCTTGACTAGTCTTGGAGGGGATGGCCAGGTTCCTCACAAACTCCGCAAGAGGCTTCTCCCATGCCGTGGACCGTGCTGGGAGACTTAGCCAGCTCTGATGGTATCGCGACAAGGTGAGTAGGTGTGTGGAGACAACGAAGTATTCTCGGTTGAGGATGGCCGGGTGTATTGACCAGACCAGATCATCCAAGGAATATTCTTGATCTAGTCGAGTCGATTTTGGCGATACTGGCAATGCACTGTCGCGGTCGTGTGGCTTCGGAGTGTCCGGGGTGTTTTGCCAGTGCCATAGGTCTATCAGGGTGTTCCTGTAGACGTCGAAGAGGATCAAGGGTGCTCGGACTCGCGTAGCATATTTCAATTGCCGAAATACACAGTGTGCTGCATCAAGCATCACCCGAGCGAGCTTACTGTCGGCAGACGTAGTGCAAGATCTTGCTGCGCCGATGACGGCTCGGGTCAGGAGTTGCAAAAGGAGAGGCGTGCTAGCCATCACTTTCGAAGCCTTTTGATCTTGATCCAGTTGGCCAGCGTCTTCTGGCGTTGCATCCCAGTGGGAAAGTCTTCGGCCCGTGTCCGTAAATATCTCAACGAAGCACAAATAGTGTAAGTCAAAGGCATTGTTGAGGTACCGGGCTGTACCAAGGGCGTCAGCAGTGTTGACCATCTTCTCCCAGAATGTCCAAGAATTATTGTGTTCGCCAGCGTCTACATTGTCGTTGGTCACGACGCCGTCGTCTCCAAATTTCAAGGCAGACGCAGTCCAGATATCTCTCGCCACCTGGCCAGGCGTGTACTTTCTGATGGTCTCCAAGTGCTCGTGGAGGGGACCGAGCTTCTTCAGTTTGCTGGGGTCTGTTGGACTCGGCTCAGTGGCTGGCGTCGGGTAAGAGGCGGATCGCAAGTACAGGAATGCAGGCGAGTCCGACGACGATGTGTTGCCGGCTGCGGTGGAAATCTGAGAAACTGAGTCCCAGGTAATAGGCCGTAGCCGCTGGTTATTTGCTGACCATACCGACTCTTCAGAGAGGGATACATTCTCGCTTAGACACGAACGTTGGTCATGTCGACGAGGGGCGGTAAGAGTGGACGAGCCCAGCCCAAGGCGTCTTTGGACGCTCGTCTGGAGTGCCTGCATACTTCCGGCACTCCCAGGATCCCGACGATACGTGCGCAGCGGTAGGTGAGCTGTTTGATCACCGTTCCGACAAGTGCTCCGTGGTCGAGGTCATCCTGGCCCGGCAAGGCTCTGCGTTATTGAAGCGCGTACTGGACCGTAAATCGACGTCCACCGGACTAGTAGACAGTTGGGAAATGAGCATATAGTGGACAAAAACGACGGTCTGAGAGCTGCTGCCGTACTTGGGATGTTGCGGTGCCCGCGTAAAGCTCTGAGATCACAGCGGTTTAACTGCTTGGTAGGGGATCCTCAGTATTTTGACTCGCTCTGACCGTCAAAAAAATTGCTGCCGACGCTGTTACAGCCTTGTAGCTTGCCAAGTGTCAGTGATTCCAAGAAGTCGACATGAGGACCCAGCAGGTTTTGCGGTGCGAAGAGATTGTACGCCTTGTCGTGATGTTTTAGCGATCTTATCCTCCCCTCGAGAAGTCAAGCGGTGTTATTGGAAGACGTCCTGCAGGCGCGGGAAGTGGTGATCTGTTCGGCGCGAACAAATGAATGCATCAACCACGTCGGAGACTGGGATGGTTTAGGGCTTCCATGCTCAGACTAGCCCTCGGGGCCCGAAGCTGGGGGCTGAAGCTTGAAGAGGCAAATCCCACACGGGAGCTCCTAGCTGTCTCCCCCAAGGAGGCCTCGCAGGAGAGCTCCGGTAGTCATTGTCTGAAATCTGCATCCTTTGGAAAAGATAGGAAGCCGCTACGGGGTGATAAATCTCTTGCTCCCCTTTAAGCTGCACCATTCCTTGCTGGAACGCCGGCCTGACGGCGGTGATAAGATGCAACAAGTCTGTGTTGAGGAGAAACGGTGCTAAGCCACAGCTGGCTTGTTTCCAGGCGTCCCATTTCCATCCCACGTGTCAGCGACAGCCCCCATACTGGGGTACTCACGTGAGACACTCAGCAGAACACTTTCCAGGGTCAAGTCTGGTATGTGAAAAATATATGCATGAGAATTCCGACACGATGCCAATCTACCTCTTACCCGACTCGCTGTCGTCGACAAGGCCCGGGGAGACCTCGCGTCAAGAGCATAATCATATCTTTGAAGTGATGGTGACGATGTGGAAACGTCGGCCCGCGGTATCGTTTTAGGGATCGCATCCAACACACCCAAGAGAGATTAAGGTACGAGGCAAAGATGTCATGCTTGCTGCTCAGAAGCTGAATTACTTGTGGCTGCTTATAGCCAACATTGTGATACTTTGTGATGGATGCTACCAGAGAATCCCGGTTGGGGTGAAACTGTGCCCGACCGTGGTAGAAGTGTTCGGAATATGTCAAATTCTAAGGCACGTCAGCTCATACTACCATCGAAGCGGAAATTCGCAATCGCAGAAGTGAAGAGGAGTCCGATGCCACAAAGAATAATGCTTTCGGCGTCACCAGACCCGAGAGACAAACAGGTCGAGGACTCCGCACCAGTGGTAACCACTGCGAAGCGACTGTCGAAAATTTCGGGCGGCGTCTGGGATGTTCTATATCACAAGCGAATTTTGAATACGAGATCAGAGCCCTGGCACGGCGTCGAGTCCATTGTTGGGTGCATAAACAGACCGGTGGACAGTGCATCCTCGTCTAATGTAATGGAGGCCAGTCGAGCATGGTCGTGAAGTGATCCCGGTCAGGCGCAGGTCAGACGCATTAGAGGCATTTCTGTCAGGTTGGAGCGACAGCAGTATCGGAGCTTCGGGATCGCACTTTTTGGATAGACGAACCCGTGGACCTGCGAGATGCACAGTACGCTCTCTCTACTGGCATACACTGCACGGCTTTGCCATTGTCGGTCTTGGTAGACACGCCGATATCTGCGCGAGGCGCCGCAGGGTGCCGTCGTTGAGTAGGCGCTATGTCCGCCGCAGTTAAAAGCAGGAGAGAACTACAGATTCGTAGCTACTGTGACAGGTTTCAACGACCGACAACAACTTGAAGAAAAGGATGAAGAAAGTGAGAGCAGGACGCGCGACACGCGACGCGTCGCCTAAATTTTCTCCACTGTTAGTAATACCAAGATCGACCCTGATGACATAAGCGTCCACATAGAGCTTGGCTGTCTCTCCTTGTGCGTTTTGGTCACTTTCCAGCAACCCAGATGAAATAGCTGTAATAAGGATGAACGGTTCCCACGACTTTACCAAGAAAAGTACGGAGTACATTCACCCGATCACGCTATCCGGGTATTCGCTCACCACTTTGAACTCCAGCCATACCGGAACTTGCAGGGACTGACCTCCTTTGTGCCACACGTCGCTCGCCAGTCGCGATCCGACTATAACATGCAGATGGCACATCAACAGGTCATGAAGGTCTTCCCCCTGAAGACAATTGACCCATCGAGATCGTCCGACCGGCGAACGTGTATCTGCTCGAAATGTGAAGTTGGACAAGCGGCAAGTTGTCGAATAGAGTCATCTATATGCCGGGTTACGAGTGCCATCCGAGTGTATCGTGGAGTGAGCTAAGCCCAGGCTTACGAGGCTGAAATTCAGCCTTGTGCATTGACAGTCGAGCCTAGCATCCAAATCCTCGGCGCCTTGCACTTGGATAGCGGCCAGACAGGCCAATGCCGTGTTTATATTGTTCAGAAGTAGCATGATTGTGACAGTCCCACAGGGTATATTATTCACAGAAGTTGATTCGCGAGTTTACTTCCAAAGTACTGCGTACTAAGTCTCAAGAAGCACACGAGGAGTCGCAGAGCCGCTTGGCTGCGGCGCCTCGCGCAGATATCAGCGTGTCTACTAAGACCGACAGTGGCAAAGCCGTGCAGTACATAGATAGACTTGCAACGCGCATGACGGAAGGTCTGAGTGGACTACAACCGTGTACTCGTGCAGGGCAATTTCTGTCCAGGGATCAACATGCAATTTCTCCGCAATTTGTCGTTGGCTGCGTCTCCGAAATGTCCCAATCCACTTCAGTTCACTTCAGTCCTTGGGCACGAGACACCACGAGTTCGCCGTCGCACGTTAGTCCGTGAGCGATGAAATACAGCATCCAGCCGCGTATGTTCTTATAATGCTACCATAGCCCTTCTGAACTCAGTGCGCCGCAAACCCGCTCAAGCCGGCCTCTGACAAAGCATCCACCACCCTCAAACCTGTCCCAGTATGACAGGACCAGCTCGACCGGCCACGGCGCCTCGGATATCGACCAACAGCCTACCTGTACCGACTCGACTGTTTCAGCCCTCGCGAATCCGGTCGTATATCTTCCGCCTCCCGCTCTTCACGCGCCTGATCCTCCTTGCGATAATAACATTCTGGCTCCTGGAACTGCAGACAGTATGGAGCGTGACAAAATGGGGCTGGTTGGAGCCTAAAGAGATCAACTTTGGGAGTCTTTACCGACTCAACACGTTCGTGCTGATACATACCGGGTTTTGGCACATGTTGTTCAATACAATGTGTCTGGTGCCGTTGATGGAGAGGTTCGAGGCCGAGTTTGGGACCTTGACCAGCATTGCACTGTTTCTGGGCCGTGAGTGAGACAAGACCGAGGAGCGGGCAATGTTGCTGATCTACAACAGCGTTGGGCCAAATTCCTGCAGTCATTTACCTAGTATTGGATGGCGTTATTCTGAGGGACAATACACCCGTGCTGGGGGCCAGGTAAGCTGCATCAGGCTGTAGGTGCAACGAAATATGCATATGGCTAACGTGCCGGTAGTATATGGGTGTTCCTGCTCCTAGCCTCTGAGGCGATCAAGACGTACAAGGCGAATCCGCACTTGGAGTACGTCTCCCACCGTCCTTCATCGATTCCACAGATACTGACGCCAGGGCAACAGAATCGGTGGCCAGAAGATTCCAACATGGATATCGCCTCTGGCCATCCTCCTAGTCACATCTATTCTCATACCCGGAGCGTCCTTCTTGGGGCATTTGAGCGGCTGTATTACCGGCTATCTTTGTATGTTGGATCAGTTTCCTTTGTCACTCCCAGCCCCTCTTCCTCCACCTGTCCCGGCCTATCATCCCGACTAATACTGGCATAGGGGGCTTGGGATATATTCGCTTCCTTGCACCTCCCGAGAAAGTCCTTCGCTGGATCGAAGGCAAGCTCAACCTTCTGGGGCGCCTGCCACATTACGTGTCGGTGGACCAAAAGACCTACGGTCGCTATGGCGTCCTTCCAACAAGCTCAGCAGGTGATCCCGAGGGACACATGAGCCCAATCGGCCTTGGATGGCTGGGAACAAGTGGTGGTGGTCAAAGGCTTGGACCTTGAAGGGTGTCAGCATCTTCAGTATCAACGCGCAGCAACGGTTGGCTTCTTGAAGCTATGCCTCCTCCCGCGACATGGCAAACGACGGGCCAGGTTCGCGCCTACGTCGATAGCGAAGGCCAGCTCTTCTATAGACGTACTGAGTGTACATTAATGATATGATGAGCCAATTTAGTATGCTACAGATATGCTCAGTCAGGGGCATGACCCGACTTTGGGCGGGTAATTCTCGGGATTGCACAAAAGTACAGATTCAATGAGATTCCCTCTGAACCACATTTCGAACGAGCAAATGCGTGCGGCGGCCTTGCAGTGAAGCTGCGACGAGCAGAGCGAGGCAAAGATGGGTTTGATACGTAAGCTCTCTTCTCCGCGCTTGTTTCCCTTCGATGTCTCGTGTCTAAAGGAACACAGGGAACCTCATCTCGACTCTTCGCAAGGACGACCCGCGTCTGCTTCGAATCCCTCCGTACCTGTCCTTCCTCTGCATCGTCGTAGGAGTCGCGTATATTCTGCCTTTACCGCTGCAAGAATACTCAAGGCAAACCTACATATCGGAAAACGCGCTGTTGCCCGGTCAAGTCCACACGTACTTTGGCGGGAGCGAACAAAATGTCTTCCGAGCGTATCGCCATGAACTGGCCCCAATGCAGAACCCGAATCGTACCGCCGAAGTCAACTTCACGGTGGCTATCGAACAGCACAGGGAGGCAGGAGCCAGGAGGAGTGAGAAGATAGAGGAGCTGTTCCGCAATGCGGGCCTAAAGACTGCGCGACAAAGGTACTCATACACCACACCTGGCGTCACCTACGAGGGAGAGAATGTCTATGCGGTCCTCCATGCTCCAAGAGGCGACGGCACTGAGGCCATCGTACTGCTTGCACCGTTGCAAAATATCGACGGCGTCTCCAACGTGAACGGCGTGCCGCTCCTGATCTCTCTTGCACGATACTTCAAGCGCTGGTCGCTCTGGTCCAAGGACATTATATTTCTGGTCACTCCCGATAGTATTACTGGACCGCAAGCGTGGATCGATGCCTACCATTCGACTCACGACCCAGAAAAAGTCCAAGACTTGTCGTTGAAGTCCGGGGCCCTCCAGGGTGCCGTCTGCATCGATTATCCTTTCGAGCATCGTTTCGAAAATCTACACGTGTCGTACGACGGAATCAATGGAGCCCTGCCCAATCTCGATCTTTTCAACACGGCCGTGTCTATTGCTTCAGGACAGATGGGCATCAGCACATCCATCCAACATCAACACACGTGGAGCGAGCATGAGCAGTATAACTCCTACCCAGTCCGTCTCCAAACGCTCCTACGGGGGATGTCTTCCCAGGCGCTGGGCCACGCCACTGGAGCCCACAGTAGCTTCATGTCCTACCATATCGATGCCATCACATTGACAGCCACGAAAGAAGGCTGGCAGGATGAGATGGCTTTCGGCAGGACGATCGAGAGCATTTGTCGAAGTCTAAACAACCTGCTCGAGAAGCTGCACCAGAGCTTCTTCTTCTATCTGTTGATGCAGTCAAATCGATTCGTCAGCATTGGTACTTACCTGCCTGGCGCCATGATTGTGGCCGCTGGCTACACCATCATGGCAATCTACCTCTGGGTGCGAAGTGGCTATCAGCTCATCGAGAAGAAAGCCGAGAGCGCAAATGCCAGACCCGCAGATGGGCCAACCGAGAAATCGAGTGCAACAGGACAGCAACCCGGAAGCACCATTACGAAGGTCGAATTCAAACCTATTGACAGGGCACTCACTCTCCCAATCGCCCTTGTGACAGCCGTTCACCTGGCCTCTCTCATCCCCCTTTATTTGCTCAACTCCCTGAGTGTGATGGCCATGCCATCGACATTCTTCCTCCTGAGCCTTACGTTGCTCGTCCTTCCCGTGATCCTTGCCTCCGCGCTCGCCGAAATGCCCAACAACACCACCTTACCCGCCTTTTCTGCACCGACAACCGAGCAATACGTCCTCATCAAGTCTTTGAGTCTATTGGTACTCGGCCTCTTCCTGACCGTCCTAGCAACACTGAACTTCAGCCTCAGCATGTTTCTGGGCATCATCTGCGCACCCCTGGCGTTTGTAGACCGAACGCGCTCAAGGCCTTGGCTAGCGTCTGTTCAGTACCTCATTCTGGTTGTCATGAGCCCCATGGGAGTAGCTGCCGGCTTGGGTGGATACGGCATGTCCGTCGGCAAAGATGACCTGATTGTGGACTGGCTCCGGCGGCTCGCGTTTGGCTGGAACGTATGGGGGAGCTGGGGCGTGCCCATTGGCGTTCTATGCATTTGGTTACCAGCTTGGGTAGTGAGTGCGACTTTGGTGGCAAGCTCGTGGTTCAGCACCACCGACCCAGCAGATCAAACAGCTGTTGAGAATGAGGCAGCCGGCCGAAGCAATTCCTGACGATTTAGTGCTAGAGCCACGAATGTCAATGAAACTCGAAGTCTTTTCCAAGATAAGGATCGTTAAGTCTACTCCATGCCGAGAGCACAGCATTTCATCCTTATTTAATCCGGCGAGGTTCCAGCGACAAGCTATCTATCCTTGCACACCAAGGAATTTCTTTGCTGTCTATTTCGTACCTGTCGACCCCGGTGAGCATCCAGGACTGACCTGTCCACTATCCGTTAGTCGTTGGTCAAGTATTTTAAGGTCCTCGATTCACTCCGGTCAAACGGACTACAAACAAGACACCTCGACCAATGACAACAAATAGATCATGACCAGTTATTGAGACGGTGAGGACAGGGATCACCGAGGGCCCATCGCACAACGCAAGAATGTTTCCCTTGAAAATGCATAAGGTTCCTCTCTGAGAAGGGTCAAGTCTACGTGGTGCGCAAGATCTACCCGCAAGATGACAGTAACAACGCGAAGCATGGCAGCAACGCCGAATCGGCAGCCTCTGCCTGTCACACTGCTCTCGGGGTTCCTAGGAAGCGGGAAGACCACGCTGTTGAAGCATATCTTGACATCGGACCAGCACTCACTGCGCATAGCGGTCATTGTCAACGACATGGCGGCACTCAACGTCGATGCGTCCCTGATCAGGCGGCACGTGGTCTCGCAAACCCAGGAGCGTCTGATTCAGATGGAGAACGGGTGTATCTGCTGTACGTTGCGGGGCGACCTGCTCGAAGAGCTGGCGAGGCTGGCCAGAAATGGCGAATGCGACTACATCGTCATAGAGAGCACCGGGATCAGCGAGCCGATGCAGGTCGCCGAGACCTTTACAGAGGAGTTTGCGGTCGCGATGATCGAGGCTGCGAACGATGGCACGCTGGCACAGAAGGAAGATGAGAAGATTCTGAGAGAGATGTGCGTCCCTTGCTCGGTCTTTCTCGTGTGGCTAACTGACTGTTAAATGTAGCGCCGAACTGGGCGGACTGCAGAAGATCGTCAAGCTGGACACCCTTATCACCGTGATCGATGCGTTCAACTTCTTCCACAACTTCTCAACGACGGATTTCATCACGGATCGCTGGGGCGAGGACGGTGTCGAGCCAGAGGACGAGAGGACTGTGACGGATCTAATGGTCGATCAAATGTACGCCCTGTTCATATTGAGATACATGTACATGGAGCTAATCCAGCTAGCGAATTCGCCAACACCGTTATCCTCAACAAGGTCGACACTGTCGACAAGAACTCGCGGAAACGCATCCACGCGATCGTCAAACAGCTGAATCCCTCCGCAAGGGTGTTCGAGGCCAACTACTCTAAAGTCGACTTGAGAGAGGTGATTGGCACACAGACATTCTCGTTCGAAAAAGCTGCTACCGGCATGGGATGGCTGCAGAGCCTGCATGACCTGGCGAAGCGTGAGATCAATGGACAGATCAGGGTCGGGCCGAAGCCAGAGACGGAAGAGTAAGTCTTCTGACCTAGGCTGTGGTCCCTGCTGATATGTTGCACAGATACGGCATCTCGAGCTTTGTGTACCGCGCGAGAAGACCTTTCCACCCAAAACGTCTGTACAAACTGATTCATGATAAATTCGTGCTTATGGAAGGACAACTGCAACAGGAAGAAGATAACATGGACGCGGACGAAGACAACCAGGATGAGTCAGAGGCGGCGGAGCACAAAGCTTCTAAAGGCAGGAGCAATGTTGCATCAGATGAAGACGACAGCGGAGGCGACAGCGGTTCCTCTGATGTCGACCTGGACGACGACGACGACGACGACGACCAAGAAGAAGACGACTTTTCGACAGAGATTAAACCAGACGTCGCGGCGAAGAACAAGCAGAACGACCCCGCCTTCCGGGGCCTCTTGCGGTCGAAAGGCTTCTTCTGGCTGGCCACGCGGCCGAATCTGCACGGCGAGTGGAGCCAAGCTGGTACGATGTTGACTCTGCAGGGTGGAGGGCCGTGGTTCTGTGTCCTCGATGACGGTTCGTCGGTTGTGTCTGTTTACAGTGACGAATGCTAACCATGGAATAGCGCAATGGCCGGATGACGCAGAGACCCGAAAGAGCATCGAAGCAGACTTTGCTGAACCATGGGGCGATCGCCGTCAGGAACTCGTCTTCATCGGTGAAAAGCTGGATCACGATGGGCTTATCGCACAATTCAACTCCTGTCTGCTGACCGACACGGAGATGAAGAAATGGGAGAAGATCATGCGCTCCTCGGATGATTTGGAGGTTGTGCATGATAAATTGGCGAATGTTTTCGAGGGTAAAGTGCAGTGTCAATTGAGGTTACTAGGTCAAGCTAATGCATGTACAGATGGATTTGAAGATTGGCCGGAGCTGCTGCACGACGAGCATGAAGATAATGACCACGGACACTCCCATACTCGGCTTAACCATCGTCATTAGGTCGACGTCGGCTTTTGCACGCCGTCGCGGCTTTCTGGGCACTCACGTACGATATACCGCGGCACATCCTTGGTCGTCGACCTCGCTCCAGCGCAGTGGGGCATTGTACATGCTCATACTCCAAGAATCCCTCGGCTGCAGGTCGACCATGATTGGGAGTGTATGTAGATGCTTTGAGATGGGCTGGCTACATCGACAACGACAACGACGTACAGTCATGAGCCTGGCAACACGGGCTGATAGTATCATCCCGCTCGGCTTAACAACTTCGATTTGAACGGGCAGCGGGTCCAATATATCCTCGGAATGAGCCTCGTCAAGGTACAGATGGACATACCGTAGTGCGGCACTGAAGGGCGGGGGAACTTCACTCTCCGCAGACGTACGGAGGGGGTATGGACTTCGTACATAGGACGCAGATCCCATGGACCTTGGAACCGATATACTTACGAGCTACGAGTTAGCCTGTACGGACTCCGCAGAAGTGTCGTTTTGTTGCTTGTATAGAACGCAGAAGAGCTACCTCCGCCAGCATAGACACTGTGTACGGAATACATACTGTACTTAACCGCGATGGTTCCCTGTCAAACCATGTCCCGCACCACCACCGCCACCACCAGCACCACCGTGACTCCTGCCACCACCCCCAAGGACTCAATCGACCGCGGCCACTGTCTCTGCCGCGCCGTGACATTCACCGTGACAGGCCCGCCGATCTACAACGTGATATGCCACTGCGAGAACTGCAAACGACAAGGCGGCAGCACGTTGCACTGCGCCAGCATCTACCCGCGCAAGCAGTACGCCCTGCTCGCGGGCTCGGAGCGCTTCATCACCACGTACACGGACCGCGCCACGCAGAGCGGCCAGCCGCTGTACCGCGCCTTCTGCCGCGTGTGCGGGAGCAAAGTGTTTGCCAAGACGCCCTTGAACGAACAGATCATCTCGATCCCGGCGGGGGTGTTGAGCCGGGCCGGGCGGGATTGGACGCCGAGTAAGGAGCAGTTCTGTGCGGACAGGTGCGCATGGGTGCCTGAGCTGGGTGCCGTCGTGGCGGAGGAGAACAGATTCGCGAAAGGGCCAACGGGAGATACGGTCCAGCAGGTGTTGGCCAAGCTGTGATGGGCACGACGGGGAGGGGTGCGGTGGGGATGGGAGGCGATCGATGCCGTTGATGATCAGATGAACTGGGCGGAATGCGCTACAGAGTACGGACTACAGGGTGCGAGGTGCTACTCTGTAGATATGACACGAACGAAACAACGCTCCGCTTACTGGACTGGACATAAGTGGTGGCTCAGAGTCTACTTCCATTATTCTGGGCCGCCGAGGTCCTCTCCTTCTCAGCCTCGCGATTCCGCTCCGCCATCTTCAACAGCGCGTACAGGCTTTGCATTCTGGGCATTTCGAACCCTCTCTCCCTTGTGATTCGGATCGGGTTGCCCAGTATGACTTCCAACTCCATGGCTTTGCCGCCCTCCCAATCCAGCAGCATACTCGGCTTACTCCCGCTGGAGTTCTTCCTCGTGGACTTGAGGATCTGCTCGGCGGTCGCGAAGCTGGCGGGGAAGGGCACGCCGACAATCTTGGGCGCGGTGGTGAGGACCTCGTCCATCACGCCGCGGAGGTGCAGCGCAAGCTCCGCATCGTTGGACATGGCTTCGTTGGTGGACCCACCCGAGAGCACGGCCGAGGGGTTCATCGCCGCGTTGATGGCGATCTTGTGCCACCGGACGAGCTGCAGTTTCTCGTGCGTGTCGGCTATCGCGTCCTTGATGCCTCCTTTGGTCAAGAATTGGACGAAAGCCGTATTTCGAGTCGTGGCTGTGGATTTCACCTCTGCGGATGGGGGCGGCGATCGTGCAAAGTATGGGCCGACGTTTATTCGCGTCCAGCGGTTGTGTTTGATGTGGCCGTTGGAGGGTTGCGCGCAGGAAGCGATGGTCACGGCACTCAGGATCGTGGCATCCGGGAAGCGCGAGGCGTAGGGTTGTTCGACGCCCAGGCCGTTTTGGATCAACACGATGGCCGTCTTTCCGGGCGTGATCAGGCCCTGTAACAGCTTGGAGTCATCGGAGATGTTGGGCAGGGCTTTGGTGCTGACAACCACATAGTCCCATTTAACGTCGCTTTTAACGGCTGATGATGGTGAGTCGAAGACTCGGGTCGGCGTCCACTTGTAGTCTCCGTACTGTGGTGAGGTGATTTGGAAGCCGCTGTCTCTCACGGCTTTGTAGTTTGAGCGGCATACTACTGAGACGTTGACGGCTGGGTTGAGAGCTACTCGAGAGGCGAAGAATGCCCCAATGGCGCCAGCGCCGAAGAAAAGAACTTCAAGAGGCATGTTTATGAAGCTGGACAGAGGTTCGAAAATATTGAGAGAAATCCAGTCCCCAGAGAGAGTTCTCGAAAGGGAGTCCGGATTATCGTGAGAGATGCGTTACCTGATATACAATCGAAGCCGAGGTGATGTCGCTTCAACAATTTGCCGACGCGGCTGACGGATGCGCGTTTGCACCAGCCACGATTTGTGTCAGCCACACATTACACAGCCACTAGGCGCTAGACCCTAAACGACTAGGGCTCTCCGCCCATCCACAGTGCAGCGTGGTCGTCTTCCAAGTTCGTGTTGGTCTTGCACTCACCGTGAGCACCAGCGGCAGACGTGTTCTTGAGACTAACTGCTGAAGACTCCATAAGGACTCGTCACTCAGCCTTGGCTGCCGTGTTTGTGGCCAGATTGTGATAGCCAATATATGGACTGACTTCTTCGAGGGAGCATGCTTTTTCTTCTTGCCCTCCTGTTCATCTTCCTCTCCTGCTTGCATCAATCTGTTACCCAGTTCCTGCCTCAGCACATCCTCAATCAGCCTGACTTCACAATGGGAGGTGGGCACGGTATCCGATCCGTTGTCTACTATGTCAATTGGGCACCGTACGGGAGAAACCACCATCCTCAAGATCTCCCTGCTGAGAATCTCACTCATGTTCTATACGCCTTTGGCAACGTCAGACCCGAGAGCGGCGAGGTGTACCTGACGGATCCATGGTCAGATACTGATAAGCATTACGATGGTGACAGCTGGAATGATGTCGGAACGAATGTCTACGGTTGTGTCAAGCAATTATTCCTCCAGAAGAAGAAGAATCGGAACTTGAAGGTCTTGTTGAGTATCGGTGGCTGGACGTACTCTTCGAATTTTGCCCAGCCAGCTAGTACGCCCAGTGGGAGGAAGACGTTTGCGGCGAGTGCTGTCAAGCTGCTTGAAGACTTGGGCTTCGACGGGCTTGATGTTGACTGGGAGTACCCGAAGAATGCAAATGAGGCCGAAGACTTTGTCAGACTCCTCCAAGAAACGAGACGAGCGCTTGATGAGGCGGCTGCCAAACGTCATCACACCAAGTTCTTTTTGACGGTGGCGTGCCCGGCGGGGCCGTCCAACTTCGAAAAGCTGAAGATTACGGACATGGATCGACTGCTTGACTTTTGGAATCTGATGGCATATGATTATGCGGGTTCCTGGGATCAACGAGCCGGTCATCAAGCGAACCTGTTCCCCTCCAGATCGCACCCTCAATGTACCCCGTTCAGCACTCTTGCAGCAGTCGAGCACTATACCCGGCACGGTGTGCATCCGTCGAAGATCGTTCTGGGTATGCCGCTGTATGGTCGAGCCTTTATGTCGACCTCGGGTCCTGGGCACTCGTTCAGTGGCGTGGGCGAGGGAAGTTGGGAGCAAGGTGTCTGGGACTATAAAGCACTCCCGAAGCCCGGTGCCAGCGAGCAGCATGACCGTGAAGTGGGCGCCAGCTGGAGCTTCTGCCCATCTTCGAAAACAATGATCAGTTACGACACTCCTGACCTTGTCGCTCAAAAGGCGCAGTTTGTGCGAGACTACGGCCTCGGGGGAGGCATGTGGTGGGAATCATCGGGAGACAAACCCGCCGGTGGTGGTAGCCTTATTGAAACCTTTGTACAGAATTGTGGACGTGACCGATTGGAAGAGGTCAAGAACTGCTTGGAATATCCCGAGAGCAAGTATGACAATCTGCGGAACAAGCTCGAATGATTGAAGCACGACGACGTGTCCACCTACTGGCGGCGAGAATGGAATTGACGTGTTCTGATTTCGTTGAGTAGCGAAGCGCTAGTAGTAGGACAGGGCGGTTCAATGGGTGGGTGGGTAGAAATGAGCCACCAGGAGCTATGCCCGCGATTTCAGCGATGAGTACTCCGTACATACACAAGAAAGTCGAGCCTGCAGGAAGACTGGTCGCACAAGGTCGTGGGTGCCAGCCAACCTGAACTTCGGTAAGCCATCTCAGTGGTCCTTACCATGGGCGAACAATTCGCGAATTCTCCGTTCCAATTATTTGAATCCTCACTGCGCCCTTAGCCGTCAGGAGATGAATCCCCCGCTTTTGTAACTCATCGGCTGTAACCCCAGAAAGCAGGTAGTGCATGAGGTTTACTGGAGCCTGACAGCTCCTGTCCGACAATGGGAAAAAGAGAGCTCAAGGAAGTCCTGTTGGTGTTTTGATATGGTGTGTCAATCGGGGGTGGGCCATCGCTAAACATTTGTCAATCACTGCCAAAAGGACGATTTTTACTTGAGCGTTTTTCAATAGCGTCATCGAGACTCATCTTACAAGGGCCTGATTAACGTCCACAATCTGACATAGTATTGCAATCGACAGGGGGGGCGGAAGCAGCTGAGCAAGGAGCCTTCATTTGCACCTCCAGCACCGATTGCCATTCCATGTCAAAAACGTGCTCGGCCTAGCGCAGAAGTTGACAGAAAGGAGATGCCGCTTGACAGCGCGCCGAGTGACACTCCGGCGTCGAAGACGTCCAGCCGCACTCTCCGTCCGCTGCGCAGTTGACAGTTGTCGAGTCATCGATCCACGCACAGGCGGATAAAGTTTGTGGGTAGACTGCTCCTGCAGGATGCGGACGATCTAGACCACTAACTCGTACGTGAACCTGGGGTCTGAACGATGCGAAACGCCTGTGTTTGAGACGTGCTTCAGGTAGGCCTCAACGTCAAAGAGAAATGCGAGACGACTGACAGACCCCTGCACAAACACGACCCAGGTTTCCACACCCCCCTGCGGATGGACCGTGAAACTTGCTGCAGGCACCACAAAGTGGGCGACGCTCCGGCCAATAGGGCCAGGAAGCGCTCCGCAGGTCACCACCGTCGAGTTCCTCGAGTCCTCCTCCAGCCCGCCTCTTGCGTGGAGGCTGACGTCTAGACCAGAAACAGAAGTAGCAATCGGTATCCTTGGGGTAAAGGCCACTTCCTGAGGGATGTCACTGCTGTGTTATAAGCTCGTGTGCTGACATCCACAGGCGTGAGGTGGTCAACTCCAGCTGAGCGAGCTCAGATGTCAGGGACATACGAGTGCCAAAGTGTCAAAAGCCTTTATTGGACGGCGCCTGGCGTTGGGCTGCCACGAGTTGTTCCCCTTGCATGTTTGACAGCGACGAACATGTCCAAGATCGGACCTCAACAAATTGGATACCGGCCAGAACGGAATGCACAAATTTACAGCCTGGAGACGGCGAGCTCGTGGGTGGTCGGTCGACTTGGCCGAGTGTCATGGTTCTTGGGTCGAAGTATTTCAGCACCGCCCGAGCTACACAGTACATGGCTTCACCCCTCATGGATTGATAGCAGCCAAGAACTGGGTGTGCTGCCAGATAGCCTTCGACAAGCTCGGGTGTTCGCCGGAGCCTCGTGGTCATCGGACGTGAGCATCAGTACTGGGTAGAGGTCTGAAGCCACAAGCATGCCCACCACCACCACGTTCGTGTAGATTTATGCTTTGGGATGGAAGGGCGTGGTTGGCATCGAAAACCTTCACGGATGGAGCAACCGCTCAGCCGAACTGTGTGTCTCATTTAGGCTTGATCAGTTGACACTTTGTGAGCTCCTACTCGTATGAGTTTGCCCTCGACCTCCCCCCCTGAAACGGCTACCTGCACGTCCAACCCGGCAGCCGCGGCGGCGACACACGGCCATGCGGCGCTGTCTGTCAAATTGTTCTAAGTTCTTGATCCCCAGCGTCGTGATCGGGTTCCTTTGTTCTACTGTGTCCACCCGCCTGTCTTGATTACGCTGGACCCGGCTCAAGCCACGTCTGATAGAAAGCGAACCCCTGTCGAGCCCGAGGCCTGTTGGAGCCTGAAAAAGAAACCGCCCGGGCCACCCAATCCCGAACAGGCTTGAATGGGGGCGCCCACCGAGCCCACCATGTCCACCTAAGCCCGAGCCCAGAGAGCCCACCTCCCGCGAATCCACCATCCTGGGCACACCACCCTCTTTGAGTGTGTTCCTACTCTCCCTATCGTAGCCCGCCGTCTGTCACTCTTTTCATTCGCCCACACGGCTGTTCCTGGTTCCTGAAAGACTCCTCTACAAGACCGTTCCTTGCCTTACTGTTCGCTCGCTGCCAGTTTTCTTATCTTCACTCCTTTCGCCAACCACCAAGCTCCACGGTCCCAACCGGCCAGTCATTCTCCGTCGTCCCCCTCTGCAGCCGCATTCCTCAAGCCGTCAACCTCCAGCCTGCGCTGCCAGTCGCCGTGCCTACACAGCAATCGTCAACAGTCGTGTCTGATCATCGTCCCCGCCAGTTCGTCCAAGGTCTTATTCGACCACGTTGCGTTGCTTTAATCTCTACCCGGTGGAAGTTCTGTTTGCATCTGCCGCCTTCTGCATACCGAAGGGAAAGAGACAGGACCACAATTTGGCATTGCCATTGCGCTGGTCGCACCGGGACCGAGATCCCGCCCAAACCGCAATACGAGTAATACTTCAATCTGCTTCCCCAAGCCCTACATTCTCAACTCGGCCGCGTCTGCTTGCGGGAGGGAAGGATTGTACATGAGCGATCCCAGATGACCTGCGGCCCGTTCTGAAACACGACCGACGTCACAATATCATATAACCCCCGAACCGCTATACAGCTCATATCCTGCTTCTCACCTGCCTCGTCCTGCCTGGGCGGCACATAAAGGGTAGATGAGCTCCTCACTCCGCTCCGACGTTCCGAGGCGTGTCTCGAGTGCAAAGGATCGTTCGAAATCACAGCGCTCCAGACCGGGCGATATGTCAGTCGCAACCATGCTTCAGCCCGCCTCGCGAGGCTCGACGTCGACCAACTCGTCCTTTGAACCCGTCAGTCGCACCAACACCTTCTCGAGCCACGATGGCGCTCGGTCGCTCCGGCAAAGCAAGCGGGTCAGCATGACCGCTCTCTACGCGAGCATGAGTGCCAAGGACAAAGACCTTGAGATCAGTGATGACTTGGCCAGAGCACAACGCGCGTTACGAGATTTGAAGGCCAAGATCTCGAATCAGTCCAAAAAGAACTTTGTCTTGGAGAAGGATGTTCGGTATCTCGATTCAAGAATTGCCTTGTTGATCCAGAACCGTATGGCCCTGGAAGAGGTAGGTGTGCGCACACACGTGAACTCGGCCTGAGGCTAACGTGACTGCAGCAAAATGAGGTTGCCAGTCACCTGGATGAGGCGGCGGAACTGCAAGAGGGCTCATTCCCCAACGATGACAAGACCCAGAAGTACGGCAACCTGTGCTTCATGCTCCAGTCGGAACCGAGGCACATTGCACATCTGTGCCGCCTCGTGACCATGGCTGAGATCGATTCCCTGCTTCAAACCGTCATGTTCACAATCTACGGGAACCAGTACGAGAGCCGGGAAGAGCATCTGCTGCTGACCATGTTCCAATCCGTCCTAACCCACCAGTTCGAGACTACACCGGAATACTCCTCCTTGCTCCGCCAGAACACCCCTGTCTCACGTATGATGACTACCTATACGAGGCGGGGTCCTGGTCAAAGCTTCTTGAAGGAAGTGCTCGCCGACAAGATCAATTCCTTGACCGAGCTGAGTGATGTGGACCTCGAAATCAACCCCCTAAAGGTCTATGAGGCCATGGTCAAGCAAATCGAAGAGGATACCGGCGTGCTCCCCGACGACCTCCCCAGATCGGTCACTGCCGAATTCGCTGCGGAGAATGTGCAGGTGCAGGCCATCATCGCACCACGTCTCAAGATGCTGACTGAGATCGCGGAAGGATTCCTCTCGGCCATCATTGAGTGCTTGGAGGACACCCCGTACGGCATCCGCTGGATTTGCAAACAGATCCGGAATCTTTCTCGGCGCAAATACCCAGATGCTCAGGATCAGGCCATTTGCACGCTCATTGGTGGCTTTTTCTTCTTGCGCTTCATTAACCCTGCCATTGTGACGCCAAAATCTTACATGCTGATTGAAAGGGTGCCCGACGAGAAGCCCAAAAGGACCCTGACCTATATTGCCAAGATGCTGCAGAATCTGGCCAACAAACCGTCCTACGCCAAAGAGCCCTACATGGCCAAACTGCAACCATTCATCCAGCGGAACAAGGACAGATGCAACAAGTTCATGCTGGACTTGTGCGAGGTGCAGGATTTCTACGAGAGCCTGGAAATGGACAACTATGTCGCCTTGTCTAAGCGGGATCTTGAGCTGCAGATCAGTTTGAACGAAGTCTACGCGACCCACGCACTACTGGAGAAGCACAGCGCGGAATTGGCCAAGGATCCGTCTTCACACCTGGCCATCTTGCTCCAGGAACTTGGCCCTGCCCCACCACAGCTGCCGCGGAGAGAAAACAGGGCCATCAACCTGCCGTTGTACAGCAAGTGGGAGACGTCTTTTGACGATTTGACCCATGCGCTAGACATCACTCAGGAGGAAATCTTCTTCATGGAGGCGAAGAGCACGTTTGTGCAGATCATGCGAAGCTTGCCGCAGAATGCTGTCGTCATGCGGCGACCGCTACGCCTTGATCGTGTTGCAGAGGCAGCCGGGACCCTGAAAAACGACGCTGTCATGGTTCGGAAGGGTATCCGGTGCATGGAGCTCCTGACCCAGCTTTCCGAGCTAGGTGCCATCGATCGTGCCGATGACTATGCAGTTCTCAGGGATGAAGTTGAGCAAGAGCTTGCTCACCTAGGCTCGTTGAAGGAGAAGGTCCTCGAGGAGACGGCCAAACTCGAGGATGTCTACAAGACGATTCGCGACCACAACGCATATCTTCTGTCGCAACTCGACACGTACAAGAACTACTTGCACAATGTTCGAAGCCAGTCCGAGGGGACGAGAAGAGGCAAGGCAGAAAAGGTGCGAGAGCTTGGTCCCTACAAGTTCACACACGCACAGCTGGAGAAGGATGGGGTGATTACGAGGAGCAATGTTCCCGAAAACAGAAGAGGTAATATCTTCTTCATGTTTCGGAGCCCGCTCGCAGGTACTTTTGTCATCAGTCTGCACTACAAGGGTAAGTTCGACTGTCGCATGAGGTTGGGTGCCAGCTAACAGGATCATAGGACGTGCTCGTGGCCTTCTCGAGTTGGACCTGAAGCTCGATGATCTGCTCGAGATGCAGAAAGATGGTCAAGACGACCTCGACCTGGAATACGTGCAGTTCGACGTCTCGAAGGTTCTTACCTTGCTCAACAAACGATTCGCCAGGAAGAAGTGAGGACAGGATCCAGCCAGATTATCTCCAAAAGGACTATTCGACGACCAGGACGAGCACACGACGCACTTGACACAATCACACCCAGCTATGACGAAGTCGAAATTGCGAGCTGGAATTTTGCCATCTCGACTGCCTTCACCTTCTCCACCTGCTGTTTTAATAGGAGCGAGCGCTGTATCAACCTACTGTAATATTATTTGGGACCGACAAGACCAGTGAAAGCGACTGGGAAGAGCGAGAATGTATGGTGTAATATAGGTGACGCCCGGAGAGGCATTTTGAACGAGCGGAGATGAATTGGGATACCAGTGTACTAATAGGAGCAACATTTTCATATAAGTTACGGCTGGGATTTGGGTCTTTCGGCAATCAAAGTAGTATTGTATTGGCAGGAAGCAAGCATGCACCGCCGCACCAGCATCCTTCGAGGATGACGGGTCAGAATGAGAACCGAGTGAAAGTCGAGTGAGAGACGAGTAAGGGACGAGTGAGAAGTTGAGGCTCCCTCCACCAGCCACGGCCACCAATCAAGTCGTGCGTGACGGGAACGAGATCCTAAGTGCGGGGTTGTTGCCTCGCCTGTGCGACCAGTTTGGCCGCTGCCTGGGGCAAGGCTGCAGCGGCACCACCTCAGACTGGCGATCTGCTCACTTCCACCTCGATACACATTCTACTCTATGCTATGCCTCTACCGTGAACTACGGGTATCGTCACCTTATCATTTGTCACCCTCGCCCTCGTCATGGCCGCCCCTACTTCTCGCCCGTCGTCACCTCTCCTTCCAGCCTTTGGCATCCGCGACCTCAACAGTCCGCCATCCTCCCTGGGTCTGGTTCAGATCAGCCGCCGTCAGTACGACAACACAATCCAGAGCCAGCCTGACGCCACACTGACATATATCGACCTCGACGATGGAGAAATCATCACCGTCGGAAGCTCATACGAGTTGTCTCAACGTCTCGAAGAGCCGGTAGCATCCTCAACCTACAGGGGTCGCTCTCCCGTGTCGACGTGGCGTCCCTTGCCCAACGCAGTCGAGGACAAACAAAACAAGATACACATTTTCGACATACGACGCACGAGTGGAAGCTTGGCCGTATGGAGAGACCACGAAGCATACTCCAGCAAGAGCCTGAGAAAGAAAGATGCCTCATCGCCGACAGTGTCGAGGAGCACAAGCCCTTCTGCCTCTGAACCCCAGCCTCCGGTCAGCACATCCAGTATCCAGCCTCTTCAGACGGAGGACGACCTGACTGCAGCTCTTGCAGACCTACGTATCAATCACGAGCCAAGTGCGAGCTGCGCTTCCTCCGAAACCCCGAAACTCCACCAGACACAAGGTGAACCCGCACCTGAACTGGACAATGCCCTTAACGCTGTCTTCACCGGCCTCGAGTCTCATCTTGGCCCTTTAGCTGACATCCTCGAGGCCACAGCGAGCGGACTACGGAAGATCGCAGAAAAGACGCGTGAAGCGGACTCTACCCCGGTGGAGAACGTCCTGAATGGCTTCCACAGCATTGTAACAGAAATTGGCCAACTCGGCAAAGAGTTTCTGGCGACACTTGATGAAGAGCTGGAGAAAAACAGAACCAAGAAGTCCATTGACGATCCATCTGAGGCAGAAAGACAGCAACTACCGCCCAGGCCTTCGTCCCGGCATGGAACCCTCAGCCCAAGGCCAGACCCGCAGGCTGATAATGAATCTGTGGCGAAGAAAGTCAGCTTTGTTGACACGGCACCAGCTGTACCTCCTCCTTCCAAACCTGAGGTTGCTCCCCCCGAGCTCGTGAATCAAGAAGAGCCTGGCATGGTAACACGAACATTCACGCTGCCACCAGTGCCCATGCCATTTGCAACTCTTGGCAGAGGTCTCAGGCAGAAGTGTGTCGTCGAACTGCCGCCGCCATGTCCCAGGCCATCTCTTATGACCACGTTCGCACCTTCTGCTCGCCACGATACTGCGAAGGACTCCATTATTGACTCGCAACCCTCCGATTCTGATGTCTTGACCCGTTATCCACCCCTGCCGTCTCTCCGCAAGGCTGCTAGTGTGAGTGGGCTGCGAGCTCGACCTGAAGCTACGAGCCGGTATCAACCTCGCCTGAGTACAACCTCGGCTTTGTCTCGTTATCCTAGCATCGGCCAATTCGAACAGCAATCCCGAATGAGCTCCCGAAGTGGGCCGAGCACGAAGCCCAGAGACACCTCGGACTCTGAAATGGACTGGACCTTTCCGCCGCGGATACCTAAGAAAAGAGATGATTACAAAAAGCCGACTGCGGAAGATGCGGATGACGATGACGTCGTCGTCGCTGAACCACCAGCTATAACAGCAGCGAAGAGCACAAATCCAATCCCGCAGGTGAAAGACTATTTTGCAAAAGTTGATGGAGTATCTGCAGAACACCAAGACGCCCCCAAGAGCAGACCGGCCAGCTGGTACCCGCCACCACCCCCTGGTGCTTGGCCTGAGCAAAAGATGGATAATCGGTCTGCGCCAACAGCCGATGGCGACAAGCCTTCCACAGCTGGTGGCTCGGAAGTGGTGGCGTCGACTCAGGAACAGATCTCCAGTGGTCTCTCCTCTCGCATTAGCAGCCCAGTTAGCGAGACCTACAACCGTGCACCTATCTTTCCGAAGAAATCACAGACCGTCAGTGGTACTAACCCGGCCGCGAGGCTCAATGGGCCATTCGATCCTCTTGCGCATATCCCCGTCCTCCAACCCAGACCCCTGCGCTCGCAGCCTGATCTGTCAGTGCCTAAGCTACCCTCGATGAGCGCGAGATACAAGCCCTCTGCCTTCCCTGACGCTTTCCCGCGCCGCAGTCAAACTGTTCACTACACCGACCGTTACAGGCCTCGACATGGACCTTACGAATACACCCGGCCCAATCTGTGGGAGAACCATGTCCAGGTCAATCACAGCACTAGTACCCTCCCCACAGCATTGTCACGCCCACGGCCTTGGTCGTTCTATCCTGAAGCAACCCAGCCATCCCAAGGACCACCATTTCGCGGTCCAGCCCATCCTGAAACCAAACTCCCCACTTTTCCTGCCATCCGACCGGTCCAGTCCATGAGTGGGCTTCGGCCAGAAGCAGGGAAGAACCCGCAGCCTTTTACCTCTCGATATGCACCTCCGGCCGCATCACCACCACAACAGGTTCCAACTCCTACTCAAATGCATCCTGCCAACGCGGTCCCGCTGCCCCCACCTAAGCCCATCTCTCACCCGATCCCGGCTGCATCACCTGGGGCGTGGGGGTCTACAGTCACCAGCCCCAGCCGCTCGTCCTCTATCCGTTCTCCGGGTCCACCGGCATTTATACAACGACATGGCCGCTCTGGCACCTCTCCACAAACACCTCCCGCAAGCAAGGCCGTCGACGAGTGCGTCAGGCAACTCAAAGCTATGGGCTTCGGTAGCGACCCACATGAGCTGGCTCGCTTGAATGTCTATGCCGGCGCTGCAGCAGGAGATGTTGAAGCGGCAATCGAAATGATCGAGGAAGATCGTGAGGCTGCGCGAGCCCTCGAGACGAGCAGCCAGGTCGGCCAAGCCAGAAGCGTCAGGGATGTAGGGAGGGACTTTGACGCGGGCGAGAACCCCTGGGAGGACTAAACTTGTAGACGAAGACCCGGTTTCAGAAGAGCAGAAAGGGTGAGATCATATACAAATCCAACAAAAACATGTGTCGGGACGGCATCGGGGCACTCCTTCATTATCAAGCTCATATGTATTTTTCGACAAGGAATGGGTCATGGCATAGGATAACGACAGATTTCCAGGTTCATCAGTGAAGCGGGATGGTATCGTACCTGGCGTTGATGCTCTTGACATTCGACACACCATGCCTCGATAGCCTGCTACATCGAGATAGCCAAGTACAATGACGATTCATGACATGACTCGACCACGATATGAACTCCAAACATATTTAACAGTAGGACTGTACGATGTGGAGCAATGGACAATGGAGTTGTGCTGCTGTTCGAGGGTGTCGGCCCAAGTCAAGTCAGACCAGAGGTGATTTCAGCACCGCTTCAGCGTTCAGTATTTTAAATTTATATTTTCTTAATATAAACCTTCTATTGTTCTTGCTACTTTAGGGTTAAAAAGATTGGCATCTATTTAAGCTGAAGTACCACTCATACTTAAATATTTTTGGACCTTTTGAATCAGATTAGCTAATGTTCCGTAGATGACGGGGCACGGCAAGAGGCGGCCATGTGTGCCTTCCTTGAATATCGCGTCCCAGGCAGGCTACTTCGAGAAGGAGCGAGTAGGGGGGATACGCAATGACATGGCCCGAAAACAGAGCGCTGAAAGCAAGCTGTTCATCAGCTTCCCATCGCGCGCCTAGGACCTCGACATCCCCATTGTGTTGACCAAGCTCCCTAATTTCTGCACAGCACAGCTTGACCGCGGCCCCAAGCACAGCAATCTGGAGGGCGATTCGTGGGAAGGTGCGGATTGTTGGCACGACCCATGCTGCTGCTTCGGACACAGGTTCGCTCAATTGCCGTTCTCCACGCGGCGATGGTTGAAGCTGAGACCGATGGACTCCTTGCCTGCCTCGAGCAAATTCCACCTCCATCTCCACCTCCATATCCCGACCAGCAGTTGCGAAGACATGCAGAGTAGAGTCTCTCAATCTCCCGTCGCACGCGAAATGCGCCCTGCGGAATCCGAAATGATCGTCATTGTCGTCGTCGTCTGGGTTGAGCTGCGCTGGCTGTCTCCACGGGTGTTGCGGGCCTCCACTCCCGTCCCCTTGGTGTCCTTCCCTAACCTGGAGGACTCGCGGCTGAATCGCATTGTCGAAATCGTCTCTGCTACCAGCGTCATCTCTCCTCGTGTGTCTGATCGCCTTCAAGAATCGAGGATACTCGAGAACAATCGCAAGAGTACCGGAACGTCCTTTGGCTAGCATCCGCAAGAGGCTCGTTTTCCTCCGTGTTGTTTCTCATCTCTCCATCGGTATATGCAAACGATCTTGCCAGAGCAAGCCGCCTATCCGACGGCATTTTCATCGCCGGAATGACAGGAGCAAAGCATCCGCTGTCCAGGCCTCCTCCAAGCATGCCGGCCTGACCTGTTGTCAAGCAGTCCATCCAGATGACCTGCATACCCCATGGCGAATCCGCGGTCTGGAAGACTCTTCTCCTGGGGATACATTCGAAAAGGCCCCGGATCTCAGCCTCCAGAGCGTTTGCCTCAGACGCGTCATTCCAACAATTCTCATCCAGCAAGCGGTCTCTCTTCCCTTCGCCTTGACCAACTAGAAAAGCCACGACACTACTCAAGCCATAGGCCATTATCCATTTGTCGACTTGACAGGCAGAAGAGATCTCGGTGGTCCCGACGGAGCCGCAATAGTTAATACTATCAGCCGTGATGTCTTCCACGGTGAAAGGTGTCACCTGGGCGCTCCACACTGGCAGCAATACCACAAGTGCCTGTAGCGGGAGAGCAACATCACGGAGATACATGCCCCCCCTGAGTGCATAGGTTGATATTGAAGTCCTGGGCCACCATAAGTGGCGGACCGGGCGTGGTATTCTACCGGACATTGAAGTTAGAGATTGCACAGTAGTGACAGCAATACTGTGAGCAAAGTGTTATCTGAACGAAAACAACTTTGCTGGACGGGATATTGGCAGTGTTATCTGCTTTTATGGGCTGCACACCTCGAACAAGCGCAGACCGGATATTGCGACTAGGGCACATTGGGCATCTCAGGTGCTCGCATTTGGGCTCTGGAGAGAGGTCAGAACCTTACCTCACTAGAATGATATCCCGCTCCTAATTAGCGAGATAGATGGGAAGGCGCCTTCTGATAGAGTTGGCTCGCCACAGGCCCGATCATCTGATGACGAAGTCAACATCCTCAATCTTTGACCGCTCTCGAGAACCATATGCAAACAACTCGCCATCCATGGCGCCGTACACAAAAGCCTCACCGATCAATTCGTGGCAAAGGCCACCGCCAGCTAGGTCCGGGCGCTCACGAAGAACCACGGGCACGCTACAGCCGGACAATATACAGATCGAGTCGTCGACTTTTGCACCTTGAGGGGCTAGGCCAACCAAGGGGCTGTCGGTGACGAATGACCAATTGCAACGGAAGGTTCGTCGGTTCCAGACGACGCCGCCCACGACCATTAAATAATTCCTGACATGTTCGGGCACATCGATATCCAGAACCTCTTCAACGTCAATGTCGGATAGCAAGGCGTGGATGTTTGTGCTTCCATTTGGGTTTGAGACAGACGAGGTCATGTGCAAGAGGTGAAACATGGCTGTCTGGTAGACACGGGGCGCTGGATCGCCGTTCTGATCGCGGTCGGCGCAGAGTGTTCTCCAGAGAGCACACGGGATATCGACGATACCAGACTGAGTCTCGGGTATATCCTGACACAGGATGCTCAAACATTCTTTCGTGATGATGGCGCTGGCTAGCCGGGTGGATCTCTGATCGATCCGGCCGATGACGAAGCCACGAGCGTGCAGCGTGCCATCAAAAGAACCGTCTCCGTGCCTTCCGACAGATACACGAGGCTTAGTCCCTCGGTGCGCGTTGAACGTCCGTTTGCCGCTTCGTCCTACCAAGGAATCTGCATGGAGGCGCTGACGGTGGCGGTAAGACGGTTCGCCAAAGGGGAGTTTGTCTCTGGACACAATCCATGAAGGATAGCGTCGGGATCCATCACCGAATGATCCATCTGTGCTGTTTTGACTGGCGCCAATCGATGGGACTGGGGCCCAGGGTCGGCAAATGATGTCTAGTGAACCCGATTGCTGACAGCAATGCAGGACGAAATCGGCAAAAACATCAAGCACAGGTTTCTCATAACTTGGTATCACGACAGGTGGATCTTCTGCCCGATTCGCCGAGACGAGGTCGTTCGCAAGACCTAAAAGGGCATAGATGGCGTCGCGATGATCGGTGGTCTGGCTGAAGGTGCTTAGATCGACAAGAGACTCCAAGCTCAGCTTAGGGATGACATTGTCCCCGTGAGCGTCAACTCTGAAAGCATTGTTGACGATGTCGAGTAGTCTCGCAGCAGGCGAATCAAGGAAGTTGGATAGGGGACTCGCATCTCCTCGTTTCGCGATCTGGCCCAGCTTTGGCACCAGAGGCTTGAGCTTGCTCTGAATCAGAGACACGGCCATGACAAAATTGCCCATGTAGACCTTACCATCGCCGCAGAGGACGGTCGAGTATTTCGAGCACGCTGCTTCTTGGATGACCCATCCTCGTTCGAACCAAGGCCGCACGAGAAGGCTGTCCAGAGCTCGAAAAGGGTGTTCTTCCCACCAACGATCACCCCACTCGTAATGAAGATTAGCGGGATCGGTGATGGTGCGCACAAGATTCAGTCCAGCTTTGCTTGTCGAGTCCTCCTCTCCGAGCCAGATAAGAACTGCGCTAGCCTTGCGGTAGATACTACCGATGTGTTGGATCTGAGCGGTCCTTTCTGTGGTGTCGCTCTGATTGATGCACAAAGAGTCAACCCAGACAGGCAAGGTCCCTTTGATGAGCCTAACGCGTTGGAGCGCGTGATACAAATTGGGCGTGATCTTCACTGTTGTATCGTTAATAGTCACCCGCTGGAGTGATGGCTCCGTGCCCCACACATAGCTCAAGGCGTGGTACGTTGGAGGATTCTGAAGGTTGAAGTGCTGTATGTGGCCAGTAATGCTGGTCCCTAGGGCCCCAGGCTCGAGGATGAGGACGCGAAACTCGTGTTCCTCGAGAGGCTGGTAATATAACTCGTCATTGTGCAAGTCCGAGGCCTTATCTGAGGTGGCAGATATGCCAGCATAGGGCTCCAAGGGTAGATCTGCTTCCTGTCGGAATTTCCTGCGTTTCGGTGGCCTGTCCAAAAGCGCCGGCCGCGTACGGAGATCCTTTCGCGGTGGGTGAACTTCACCGCTTGTAGCGACCTCGCGCAGAAGCCTCTCCGTGGCGCGTTGCCCTTCTCCATAGAGCAAGGGTAAAAACACGCCAAAGATACCGAAGAGACAGTAAGCCTGGTCTTCTTGTCTGCGCGTGTGACGGTTGGCCGCCCATGATAATCGTTCTTGCACCGTGAATTGTGACAGTGGCAAGCCGCGTAAAGCCTCGATGGGAATTTTTGTGATCTTGTGAATCGCTGGCTCGAGTGTCTTTTTGTTGCCGAGAAAGGCACCATCGGCGGAGAAGAAGTCGATGGAGTGTGGAGCGAGCAGCTCTTGCAGTGTCCAGCCCCGGGTAAACCATCTGCTGGATTCAAACGACGGCAACCAGGCTTGTGCGTCGGTCGTTGAAGAGCCAACATGGACGTCGCTCAGATATACGTAGCACTTGACCGCCCGGGCATACCATTGAAACATTGAGTTAACAGCTTCCGAAAGCTCGGCAGAACTGCGCTTGTCGATGCAACAAGTGTCCACCCAGAAGTACTGAAGGCCATCTTTTGCCGTTTGCGTGGCACAAAATAGCAGCTTGGAGTAGCCCACCTTGCTGGTACCTTCATTCCTCATCAGATCCTCGAAGAGAACCTCATCATTTTCTGGTCCCCATGTGTGTGAAAGTATGGCGTACGGAGGCGGCTCTGTACCGAAGTCCTCCGTAAGTTTCAACTCGTTGTGAGAGCGCGGTGTAAGCAAGCGCATGGTCGTCGATTAGAGCGCCGTGGGTGGGACAAGTCACAAAACCCTTTGTCGGGGCGCGCCGACTGAAGCTGCTCTCGCCGGCGTGACTTGTGCGGAGCTTTAATGTATATGATTCACGGACTGGCGCCACGATAAGAGCGAAACGAAGCACTTGGACCGAAGTCTTTGGAGGTCGGACGTGTGCTGATATGTGGTCCAAGAGCCGACTCTAGCATATTGGCATTGGCTCGTTGATTGCGCAGAGTCGGGCGCACGAGTGCCCATGCCAGCGTTGCCCCATGACTTGACGAACGAGGGACGCGGGCTGCTCGCCATCTCACAAAAGATCTTTGGCATCTATCAGGCTGATGGTGCCAAGATGCGATCGACCTTGATCGCAGGCCCGGGGGAACCACAAGTTCGTTGCGTCAATTGCTTGGTATCCAAAAGCCCCCATGCACGCTCAAAAGTACCTGCAATGGCGACAGGCCCCGGCATAAGCCCTTTCTCATCTCGGCGCACCGCCATTTCTTCACGTGGGTCCCAGTTTCAGCCCCTGGATGTCCGAGTACTCTCGGTTGTAGATGATCGTGTACTTGTTTCCATTTTGTCGAAATTACATCTAGACCACAGAGGGTGAGTATGTACAATGACAGCCGGGAGCTCAGACATGGGGCTGAGTAAAGACCATGAGAAGGGCGATGAGGCTGAGCAGTTGGTACCATGGGTGAACCGAAGTTGAGGCAAGTCACATGCAGCCTGAGTAGGACGGCAAGGCAAATTCCTAATTAGGACCGCTGAGGACATGTGCAGATTCGCCGCTGAACGCCAAACAACTCTCTCCCCGGTCGCAGCATTGTTCAGCGCTGGAGTCTTGCGAGTCCTCGAGTTCCTGCAAGAAAATAACAGCATTGGGAGCCCGGTGTATGACCTGTCTAACCAGTTTCTTTGTCTAGTCTACAGACTCTCCGTGGCCTTTGCAAGCTCCAGAAATCATGAGCGACAATGGGGATATGGAACAATCTCGCCCATCGAGAAAGGCGCCTGCGGCTCGGCAGTGGGAGGAAGCTCGTCCCAAGATCAGGGACTTATATATCATCCAAAACCTAAATCTCTCTGAGACAATGGCAGAAATGGAGAAGGGTGGATTCTCGGCCAGGTCAGTCCATCCCTCAAATGAGAATCAGGAGCCTGACACTTCGCAGCGAGGAACTGTACAAGGAGCAGCTGAAGCGGTGGGAGATGGGAAAGAATGCCAAAAGGCAAGACTGGCTCGCGTGGGCAAAGCTCTACCTGGAAAAACGTGCTATCACCAACAGTTCTGAAATTTACATTCAGATACACAACAAGATTCGCCGCATCCAGGAGCTTCGGAGGTATGTGAAGAGCCACGGTGTTATGTATTGTTCATAGCTGGTAGTTGCACTCTCTAGACTGAATACAATCATACTTGAGCAGAGAGAGCATTCCCAGACTGCTCCCTTTGCACCCGAGCTCGAAGCATCAGCGCGTGGACGCACAGAACATACGACCTTACTGTCCTTAGCCACGGTGGGCGGTCCGAGCATGAGCTCCCGCGCCTGTTGAGGGAAGTTGGCTTCTCTAGCCAAAGGGAGAGTGTCCTCGCTCCTCGGCGGTTCCCCTACATTCTCAACGATCAAAATGAGGGAGAAAGCGAAGACGAGGAAGCGAAGACGAGGAAGCGAAGACGAGTAAGGAAAGCTGCGAACTCATCCTCTCCTTTACTCCTGTGCTCCTCACGCAACTGCACAGTAATTACAGTATTGCGTAGGAGGCGTCCCTCACAGTACCCCCCTCCCTCCCTTTCATCTCCTCCCTTCTTGCCCTGGGTATGCGTGAGCTGTGATACGGGGTACGGCGAAGAGCGCGACCTCCATATGATCTATATAGTCGCAGAAGTATCTGTATCTGTACAGTATCTTATCTGCATCTGTATCTAGGTAAGCACGGGTCGGCACAGTATTCTGTTTTGAAGGCAGATCAGAGTTTCATAGGGCGAGTCAGCGTCTAGGTACTGTAGGCAGGGAGCAAGGGAGCAAGGGAGCAAGGTACATAGACAGCTTCTGTACTCCGTACACTCTGCGCGATACACAGTCACAATCTTCAAGCTGCCCAGTGAGATAGATGCTTTCAATGTGATGTAGGTTTGATATCGCAGTGGAGCAATCCATCAGAGCGGCGTCGAACATGCCTGAAGCTGAAATTGAAACTGAATGAAACGAACTGCCGGATATCGACTTTTCTGTGCAGCATCGCTAGTGCCGCATAGAAGAGCATTTGATATTCTGAAACTGAGCGCCTTCGACTGCGTGTCTACACTACATGGGCTGTGTTCACCTTTTCTAAGTCTCACTCGGTCATCCCGTTGATCAACGAAGGTGAGTGTGGTGAAATGCGCAGCCTTACTGCTGCTCAGCTGCATGTCCTATCCATTGCGATCAAAGCTTCAAACACGCCAGAATTGCTTGCCCGCTATGCCCGCAACGCCAATGGCAGGGAATTATCGGGCCAAAAATAGACAAGATCTCAAGAAGGAAGACTGCGACGGTGAAGCTCATTGTCCAGCCACACGACCTGGCTGTGGAGGAGCGTCTGCACGTTCAAAGCATGGACTTGATCTCGTCGGCAACTTTGAACGGCGCTTCGGTCTTGGCTTTGATCTCGTCGACAGTGACGCCGTCGGCGAGTTCGATCAGGGTGAGACCATGCGTGAAGTCGACGTCGAAGACGCACTAGATGGGGAAAGTCAGCACGGCCCATAAATACATACTGAAAGTAAAGAAAGAGGAGAGCCAACTCACGAGTTCGGTGATGATCCTGCTGACACAGGCGCGGCCCGTCAACGGGAACTCGCACTGTTTCAAGATCTTAGGGTTGCCCTTCTTATCTGTGTGTTCCATCAACGCGACGACCTTTGTCTTTTCCGGGTTGGAGACCAAATCCATGGCGCCGCCAAAGCCCTTGACCTTGCCGGGCAACATCCAGTTGGCCAGATCTCCGTGTGCGGACACCTGCATCGCGCCGAGCATGGACATGTTGATCCGGCCCGAGCGGATCATGCCAAACGACTCCTCGGAGCCGAAGCAGCTGGCGCCCGGGTTGAGCGTGACGGTCTCTTTGCCCGCGTTGATGAGGTCGGGGTCTTCCTCGCCTTTTCTCGGGTAGGGGCCCAGACCCAGGATCCCGTTCTCCGACTGCAGCTGTACCTCGACCGAGGGGTCCACGAACGAAGGCGCCAGCATGGGCATGCCGATGCCCAAGTTCGCGTACATGCCGTTCTGGAATTCCTTGGCCGCTCTCTTGACGATCCGTTCGCGCTTGGATGCCGTGTCACCCTTGCCGCCCAATGCGGCCTTGATGTCCTCCTGCCCTTCCTCCTTGCGGTTCGTGTACTTCTCAATCTTCTTCTCGGCGGTCGCTTGGATCACCTTGGACACGTATATGCCGGGAAGGTGGACAGCCACGGGATCGATCTCGCCGACCTCGACGATATGCTCGGCCTCGACGATGGTGATCTTGGCGTTCCGGCCCATTGCGCCATTGAAGTTGTTCGCAGCCAGTCGGAACTGGCAGTTCCCCAGCTTGTCGGCCTTGTACGCCTTGACGAAGGCGTAGTCGCCGGCAATGGACTCCTCCATCACGTACGACTTGCCGTTGAAGACTTTTACGTCCCTGGGCTTGCCGAACGCGGCAATGCTGCCATCCTTGTTATGGCGCAAGGGGATTTCACCCGTCTGCACAACCGTGCCGAACGCCGCGGGGGTATAAAATGCGGGTATGCCTTTGCCGCCTGCTGCGCACCGCTCAGCCAAGGTTCCTTGCGGCGTGAGTTCCAGCTCGATCTCGCCCGTGAGATACTGCTGTTCGAGGACTTTGTTCTCGCCGACGTAACTGGCGATCATTTTCCGGACTTGTTTCGTCTGGAGCAGTTGGCCGAGTCCAGCTCCAGGAATGCCCGCGTTGTTCGACACCGCTGTGAGGCCCGTGATCGAGGGTGTCTTGGCCACTTCATTGATCAGCGTGTCGGGGACGCCGCACAGGCCGAAGCCGCCGCAGAGCAGCGTGCTGTCTGACTTCATGTCCTTGATGGCTTCGGCAGCGGAGCCCACGACCTTGTTGATTTCATGGCGCCGCAGTGTTGAGGAGAAGGAGCGTGCGAGGAGGAGGTTTTGCTGGAGGCGCATGTCAATGAGGGCTGGATTGGGTTCGGAGCAGTGGTTTCACTCACCTTGCGCTGATCGCGTGTGAAGTATCTCGCCGTCCGCAAGCTTCTTGAAGCCGTGCGGAGAGGGGATTCGAGGAACGACATGATCGGGATTCTCAACTCAGCTCACTCTCACCGGATCGTACACTCTGATACTCCCTGCCACTGTATACGAACAGGCAGAATCGAGGAAGAAGGCACTGATCGAAGCAACAACGACGAGAAGCAAAAGGAACAGTGACAGTAGCGGCAGCGAGGAGCAAGAGAAAGTCAACCTACCTCCAGGAACGAGCAGAAACTCGGCTTGTTAAAGCGGAGACGACCCAAGTAAGGACACGGCGGGCAGGCAGTGGACACGGTAAATACCCCGGAATCAGTCCGCCTGCCCTGGCCGAGCTAGCGAGGTCGTGGTACTGGAGCAGGAACTCATGACGGGACGAGGTACGGATCCGATGAGTGGAGAAAGAGAAGAGAAAGGCAGAGGCGTCTCAGAGGCGCGGAATGGACGGGGGAGAGTGCCGAGCTGGTCGCTGGGCGTGCTGCCATGGGACTGTAGGTGACTTTTCCGATGCTCCTTTGCCAGCGCCCGGATCCGGCACAGTCGCGTTGCAACACATACCCGAGCGCTTACACCAGGCGTCCCTCCGACAAGATCCGTCCCAACGAACGTTCCGCCACATCGCGACTCTTGGTGCCCCAAGCATTTGCTGAGTAGAGAGATTGGTCAACAACGATAGAAGAAAGGATGAGTTCCGATAACTGATGAGACACTCTCATTTAGTGATCATGGTGACAGGGGTATCTTTCGAGGTCATCAATGCTAAATACTGTACTTGCCTGCATCGGATAGCAAGGTCAATCCACCAACGCCATGCTATCCAAACAGGAGACCAATTTCACATTTTACACGGATCTAAATCCTGATCCATCCATAATATCTGCAAACCATAGCCACCATTGAACATCGACAAAAGCTTTTAATCAACGAGCATCGAGTCCACCGATGTGTCATCCAAGTCTTGAGCTATATCAAGATCGGCATCGGCCGCATTCGAAGCAGCACTCCAACTCGCACCCGCAGTAGCAGCGAGACTACCACTCGTGGCGCCTCGAGTCTCATTGGCAGTCCCGGGCAAAACCCTCGCCCGGGCTGCCTCGAGCACACCAAGTGACGAGCTCGCCTCAGAAGCATCGTCGTCGCCGCCTGGCCGATCGTTGGAGCTGGACGACCACTGCCAGAGAAATCCAGCCGGTGCCGGCGAACTCTCCTCTTCCGATAGCTCTTCACTGTCATCATCGTCGTAGAGGTTACCCTTTTCCGCCTCGGACGAGGAACTTGTCATGAAGAAGACATAGCTGGGTGGGGGTAGACGAGAGGGTTGAAGGGTGAGCGTACTGCATTCTGCCACACGGTACTCGTACCGTGCAGCAGGTCGGTCACCCTTTTTCCCCTTCCCGCCTCCACTGCCGTCTAGGTTTCTGATCCTGGCGATGCGAACGTCGATGGCAAAATTATCTTCGGGGCGGACTCCTCCGACACCAGAAGCCTCAAGCTCCATCGGCTGGGTCTCGTACTCACCTGCGCTCGTGATGGGTGTCACTGGCATCTCGACATCAGGAATATTCGAAGGCCAACTAGTACGCTTTGAAGGACGTGGACTCAGAAAGTAGCAAGCCCTTGCATCTCGTAGAGCGTCGTCGACAACTGGGCCTTCTTTCCTGACAATTCCCAAAGCATCTGAAAACATTTTGTGAGTGCTCCCCTTCTCAGCAATGGGGGACTTGTCACCACTCAAATCCGTGAAGAAATAAGGGTTTGAGAAGAAAGTTATGTAGCCCTCGTACGCATCCTCGTTGGCTTTAAGGCTTGACCGGCCTAGGGCATGGGCTATGCCACTCGAGTCCGGCGAAAGACCGTCATACGAGCTGGAAGAATCGAGGTATGACTCCCTGGCTTTCAGAAGCGGTCTCCGCTGCTGGAAGACAACGGGCTTATAGTTGAAAGCCGAAGTCGGCGTCGATTTGGACATCGTCGTCGATGTTTGAACGTTTGCGGGATTCGAGGAGTTCGTCGTCGAGTTAAGCATCTTGGAGGCGGTGCTCGACTTGGTTTGGGGAACCCTATGGTCCGAGACCGACACGGATAGATTATTTGTTGTGCTTGCAGTGCTTCTCCCGCTTCGGCGTCCTCCATCGTCGCCGGTATCATCCGACGCGCGGTGTGGTACCGACTCTGGACTCTCTTGACTCGAAGATGCGGCTCCGGCGGCACCGCCCCTCCAACGGATCTTATGTCCATCTTTCGACAACTCGAATTTCGTACTCAACTGTTTCACCGCTTTGCGTACAAATGCTGGAGTCACATTAAATGTATGCAATTGAGCCATGCTGACTAGCAGGTTGAGATACATCCAGGGTTGATCCTTGGCTTCAGTATCGTCTTCGAAATGCGGCGACGACAGTCCCAGATGGCGAAGGTAGTCAATGTTGTCTGAAGCAACTTGGGCACGTTGTATGTCGAGATCCAATGGTCGGGTGGGACGCTGATCGGGAGACGCCGGACGTTGATCTGGAGACGCCGGGCGTTCAGGTGTTTCGATTGCAGTAGGGTCTGTCGATCGCTGACCACCAGCCTCAACAGCGTCCAGGTTGATTTTGGTGTCCGGAGGCAGGATGTGAGCTTCACGCAGACCTTCTGTTTTCGAAGCCCGGTTGAGTCTCCGGTCTTCTCGTCGATCAGCCTTGGCCGCGGAGCGAGATATCTGCTGCTGCTGAAGAGGCAGACTGTGTTCCCCCGGTGCTGCTCTCTTGCCGGTGAACAAATGCTCCAGTCGTTGTACCACCATCTGCATCTTCGCGTTCTCACTGACGGAAACTGTCTCCCGAGGGAGCAGCGAGTCCGGGATGTCATACAAATAGTTCTGGATGTCTGTGTCCTTCTTGCTCTTCGACACTGGCGTACGGTCCCCGAACTTGAGACCACCGACTTGTGAAATCGAGTTGCCACCTGACATCGACACAGACGCGTAGCCAGAGTCAGCCGGGGTCGGGTCTTGGTGGGCTTTCTGGGGTGCTTCCGTTGCATAGCCGGCACTCGAAGTCGACTTTTCCACCGGGACAGAGGAGCTCTGGTGTGATGGCGAGTCCCCCAAACGGGTTGCGAATTTCATCAATATGTCTTCCAGTTCTCTCTTCTTCTCGGCGGGCAACCCATGCATTCGAACCTCAAAGACGCGGTCCGGGTTGCTGCTCGGTGGGCTGGTCCGGCTGTGCCAGCTTCTGAGAACGGTCTTCAGCTTCTTATTTTCCACAGTCAGATCGTCAATGACCCCTCGCAATTCATCATTCTCGGTGTCATCTCTCGCCTTTGGGCCAAAGCTCTCCCCATTGTGCGAGCGGAGATTGTTAGGTGGGTGGGAACTACTCTGACGGGCGAGATAGAAAGGCGACTCGGCTATGGCACATCAGCAAGGCAGGCGGGCAATCAAGGCAAGGACCTGCGTACTTGTACTTTCGTTGGTGTCTATCTTGTCCTGGGAGTCCGCCACATTCTCGTTCTTGCTTGCAAACCACTTCGCGGCGCTCTGATCACTACTGGAATCCCGGCTTTCGCCCAGCGGGAGATTTGGCGAGGTCTGCCCCTCCCTCGACAGTGTGCGCGCCCCAGAGCCATCTGAATTCTGCTCAATCTTTACTTTCTTGTGCTTCGGGAGCGACTTGGATTGCGACGGATTGGAGCGGCGAGGGTGGCTTGTGCTGATTGCAGAGAAGGGCCTCTTAGGTGACGTGGTCGATGTTATCTTCGAGTTGAGCATGTTGAGGCATCGCTCCTTCGCCGTGGTGAAGAAGTCTTCGGTTCTTTGAATGATGCTGGTTCACGTGGCGTTCGCTAAGCCTGTCGAGTGGGTCGATCGGTGTTCTCCTGAACAGGTTCCCTACGCTTCTTGGGATTTTGGTGTATTGATGCGTGGTAAGCAAGGTCGTCGCAGGGGGAGCTTAATGCGAGAACGCTGCGAGAAGGAGTTGCGCGGTCGAAGACAGTCTCGGCAAGGTTCGGTAAGATATGAGAAGCAGGATGGCATGATTCCTGCGCAGTAGGAGTAGCAGATGCCATGTTCCCTGTGGAGTGACCGGTAAGTGGTGCGCGGAAATGGCAGCAGCGAAGTATTTGTTTGGCTCGATCGCTAGAGCCTTATGCGTACGGTGGGAACGGGCACACAGATCGGACGGCGCAGGTGGAATCGCGATGAGGCACAAGCGCGTGCCAAGGTCAGCGTCCAGGCCCATCCCCCTTTGAGCGCCGCTTCGTTCAGGGTGCGTCGAGATCTGGCCATTGGGAAGGGATCGACATTCGGCCAAAGAATCTCGAACACTGCCCGGCATCCAATCGTCGATTCAATTTTCGACCTACCCAATTGTGATGTCCATACTGGCAGGCCGCTGAAACATATCCGTGAGCACGCCGTCGTACTGCGGCGTGGCCAGAATGTTCGGCGGCGTGTTGATCTCTGCAGTGTGCCCAAATCTGGAAGAGCTCTTCGATCTCAGGAATACACGATTTGTAGCCCAGCATTACTGTCTGCAGTAGCCGCCGATTGCTGCTTTCGGCGGAAAAGGGTTCCTGCATATGGCGCCATCATCGATCTCGAAGTCAAGTTGTAAGGTTGGCGGCGCTACCTCGTGGTCGGAGTTCATGTTCTGGAAACTGGTCTTCATTTGGTGATTAGCAATTATGCGGACAATTTATCACGTGACTGATGACACCACCCCAATCAATGACGTATGTCCGGCGGAGCTCCGCCTCAACCGGCCCGGATCAACTCGTTCGGGAATATGAGTCACGTGACGCTGCGATTGCAACGAAATGGGATTCTGCGTCTCGATCATGCCTCGAGTCGCCGGCGCTGGCACGCTTTTCTGCTGCGGAGCTTTCCAAGTGGCAGCCAGCTGCATACGAGTTTCACCGTGCTGTCACCGGTAAAGATACTACTCCAATCTAGGCACGAAGGCTTCCTCGGTATGAGTATGAGCCGCTCAATACTTCAAGCGCGAAGGATCACAATGCTGCCCGATTCTCATTCTACGCTCGCTGGGCAGCCGAGAGGCGATCAAGCTCTTCAAGAGACGGCCAACGAAGCTTATCTGTAGTCTCCTCGACGGACCAATTGGCGCTCCGCCAATTGAATGTGACGCCATCTTGTCGGTTTTTGTGCCCGCTCTCTTCGCCCGCTACGACTCTGACTGCTGAAATTTCTACCACTGACTTAACCAGAGAGGGGCAATCCTCGCGGAGTGACCACTGACAGCCGCAGCAGCAATCACTACGTCGCTTTGCCTTGCTTTTTTGGAGCCGTTCAAGCTATTCGTCATATCCATCCTATCAGCATGGCCATCATGGGGGACAAGACCAACATTGGTCCCTGGCCTCAAAATTCATTATATAGTTTTACAATTTTCTGCAGTTCAAAAGATTGTGGTAGGGCTGAGGCGAATCTTCAGCCTCTCCACCATTCAACATGTCGGTCGCCAATGCCGGGATCATTGCGGCAGCCACAGGGCCAGAGGCAGAAGATCCAAAGAAGGATATCGAGGTCGTACCCTCTCACGGCAACACCTTCGACGAGGAACACCCGGTTGCACCAGATCAATTTGATCCGAAATACGAGACTTCCAAGTGGGAAGTGTGGGCATATTACGCCTACTACATTGGCAACAATGGCTTGACGTTGTTCAATTTTGCGCCGACCGCGTTCCAAGACCTGCTCTATGAGGCTGCCGGTGACAGCGAGAGATTGCAATTCCTGGGGGCGTTTCGAACGATCAATAGTATAGTCTTGCTCGCGAACGGAATATCATTTGCAATTCAGGTGGTCCTCTTTCTATTGATTGGTTCGATGGCCGACTATGGACGATGGAGACCTTACATTCTGATTTTCTGGTCGATTGTGGCTTTTGCGCTGGGTTTTGGTTGGTTAGGGGTTCACACGCAGGAGAAATGGCCGGCTGCGACTGGGCTCTATATGGTTGGCTTAATCGCGTACCAGATGAGTCTCACCTTTTGGACTGCTGGTAGGCAAAAGCTGTCAATGACTTCCTCTCCGATACTGACGAAAGCTCAGCGTTTCCCGGTCTGGCGAGGAATACGCCCCAAATGCGGGAAAAGGCCGAACAGTATGAGAACAGCGAAATCACACGTGAAGATTACGACTTTGCGGACATGATGGAGCGGAACCGCATCTACAATGTTGCTTTCATCATGCAGAGCGCCGGAGAAATCGTGATTCTGGCCATCCTGGTTGGCATACTTTTCGCGCTGCACGTCCGAGACAGTGCGGCGAACAATCTTTGGGGTCTTTCGGTGCTCATTGCGTATGCCACCGGTGTTTGGATCGTGCTTTCCATCCCTTGGTTCATCCTTGAGAAGAGACGGCCTGGACAGCCACTCCCGCCGGGCAAGAACATCATCAGTGTCGGCTTCTGGAATATCTGGCGCGCTCTGGTCCAGATATGGGAGCTGAAGCAGAGTTTGCTGTATCTCGTCGGTGAGTGTACTTGCACACGGGGTGTATCGAGCATCGTTGATTGACAGCATCCTCCAGGCTATTTTCTGCTGGGAGACTCATTGAATACAACAGTTACGGTGATCGCCACTCTTCAGAACTCGGTTGTCGCGTACGACACCCTTACGCTAACTTACCTGCTCATTGTGGGTATCGCTGCTCAGGGCGCCGGCATCCTTGCGTACTGGCTCATCCAAAAACGATTCGGCCTTAGCACCAAGGTCATGTTCGACGCGGTCATGATCGGTATTGTGATCCTCGATGGCTGGGGCATGATTGGTATTTGGACGCAGAAATTCGGCTTTCACAACGAATGGGAATTTTGGGTGTATCAAACCTTCTATGGGCTGTTTGTGTGCCAATGGTACGCGTATTCCCAGACGATGATATCCGAAGTGACACCACGAGGGAAAGAGTGAGCGTGCCCGCCCTGATCCCACGAGCATGGCTGACAACCCCAGGTTCTTGTTCTTCAGTCTGTACTCGATCATGGGCAAGACCAGCGCATTCATTGGCCCAATCGTGAGCAGCGCCATCATCGATGCGGATCCCAAGGGCAACAACAGTCTGCCGTTTTATTTCCTCTTCGGTCTGAGCCTGTTGAGTTTCTTGCTCCTGTTCTTCTTCGTGGACTTGAAGAAGAGCAGAAGGGAGCAAGAGAGGTTCCTGAAACGAGAGGAGGCTGCAAAAGAACGTCGCGCAAGCATCATCAGCCAGGGTCGACCATTAAATCGTGGCGGAAGCCATGGTGATGATGGCGAAGCTGTCAAGAAGCACGCCAAGATGTGAGCGATCGAGCTGCTTTGTCGACAAGAAGGATTTTCAATATTTGATTAACTCACCTGGTCATGATGCATGATGGATGCAGCACGAGCCCCTGACGGCGTGAGCCTGATAGAGATAAATCCACGTTGCGGGAACAGTGGAGTTTTAGACCTTTCATGGTTACATGATCCAGGACATGCTTTAGCAGATTTGAGCCTGCTTGTTGCTGTGCTGTGCAGACGGGCCGCATCCACAAATATGCAGGACTTCAGGCCAAGGTTAGGACCCAGTCGGGCTCTCCTAAGATCCCGTGCCGCAGCATATAAATAGGGACGCCTAAGTCTGGGCCATGAATACGCCGTTCGCGATGTGCGCAATGTGCGGCTGGGGTCGTCGCGGCATCCGGGCAGGGGGCTCGTTGAGGGTTACGCGTAAATCCGGGGGTGATGAGAGGCCGCGAGAGTCTGTTTGCAACCGCCAATGACCATAACGTTAGGGCAATGACTTCCCGATTCGTGATGAAGAACGCGAGGCGGGTGGCATCGTACAGTACGTGGCAAGCACAACCCCAGTGCATCGTCGTGTCATCTGACTGCCACCCTGTCCTTCGGGGGTGAAGTCGCCAACGATAACGTTGGAAGTGTCCCGGCTTCTGTTGTGCGTGGTCGTGCTGCTTATGAGTCGGAGAGTCTGGACCCCGGCGCCTGAGGACACCAAGGACGTGGCCAAGATCAGATACTGTAATCAAGGCCCCGGGCCCGAAGTCGCAGCATTGGTCCGCAATCTGGATTTCGAAGCGCACCGCGGCCGGCTGAGTCTGACGCTCCGACCGTCCAGGATCCGACGGAATCATTCATCGAGCATGCAGACATGGGCTCGACATGTCGTACAACAGGCTGTGAAATTTCGCAACCTGGCTACGAGACTATGACAGGCCGCGGGAGGAGATCGAATGCATTGCGTATATCGTTCCGATGTGCGTACACAGTACGGAGTATGCCTGTTCAAACTGGCATAGAAGACACGTCGACGAGAGGGCGCAGGGCGTACATGTCGATGTTAAAGTGATGCTTGGGTGCATGTCGCAACTCAGCGCCCATAACGGTGATAAGCCACGGTAAGCGGCAGGCAGAGGGCGCGTACCCCGTAAACTCCTATACGAGCGCAGCTCGCAGGGGTGTCGTCGAGGTCGGCCGAAGCACGTCCCAGCGTATCTCCGTCCAGTGTCCTCGGACTCAGTCCTCGGATCCAGGACAGCGCACTCCCCGTCCCCATGCGGCGAAGGTCGCGACAGCCAAGCAAGGGCTCGAAAGCACAAGGTTTCCTCAACGGCAAGTTGCTGCCGACCGGCCCAATTCAATGCCTTTTCCCTTCTGCCTCCGCATAACGCCAGAAGGCATCAGCCAATCTTTTGCCCTGCCACGCTTGGTGTCGCTAGGCATGAGTCAAATGGCTTGTGCTGATTTGCCCGACGGACTGTTTCTACCAGATCGGACACAGTTATGCTGACCACGACCGCGCCCTACGCCCGTGTGCATCTGGTCTGCGGGCCCTTTGGTGTTTCCTCCGGCCGGCGCACTCACGGGTTTAGTCAAAGCCAGCCTAACGAATACGCGGCGCAACATGCTCACGGACGGTGGAGAAGGAGTGTTTCCACGGGGATAACATCAGACGGTGACTCAGGCACCCATTAAACTAATCTGCAGGCTAAGTGATATATACAATTGCAACCTCGTGCTGGTCCACAGGAAAACTTCTTTCCATCAGAGAAAATCTGTTCCACACAACGGACCAGCAGCAACGACTCGCTCGGAAACGTTTTGCCTTCGACCGCCCATTACGAAAGCAGCCACACACCCCTGCTCGGTGCTTGCCTTCGTGACGACAAAGGTTCATCCGAGTTTCAGCCTTCACATGTCACAGCGAGGCTTCCACGATTCTACAATACATACTGCAACCCACCGCCATCTTACACCGAAATTTTCCTACAACCAGGATCCACCGCGAAAATCTTCCGTGGACATAGAAGCAAGCACATCCCACGTGTCTCTGTAGTCTCAATAGCACAACAATCAACTACACCAAATCTCATTACCCAGCGCAAACATGCCTCTCTCCATCATGGCGCCGCTCAGCAGACCGCCTTCACGTGATCTCACCCAGAGTCGGCGACTGTCACGCGAAGAAACATTCCATCTGGCCGAAACAGCACGAAGAAAGACCTCGGACAAGACAGTCCGCGAGGATCTCAGGCTATCACTCAGCCACGGCCACCTACTAGAACAGCTTCTCCAAGAGATCGCCCGAACGGAGCGAGAACTTCAAACATCACCGACAGAAGACAAGTACCTGCTCCCCCAAGAACGGAAATCATCACAGCAGCAACGACGGACGTCGGTGGCGCAAAGGGAACTCGTCGATGAGTACGGGTTTCCCTTAGAGTCCGACGACGGGGAGGAAGAACTGACGTTAACGCGGACGCCATCGCGAAGGCCCTCGAGATGAAGAGCCACAGGCTATTGGATGAGGCTTTGCACTCTACTCCTTTGGCTTTCTCATCTTACGGACTTTGATACGATTACGACTTGATTGTTAGCGTCTTTTCTTACCGGTTCAACAACGATACCCCCCAAACTGAAGACCACCAGACGGTCTCTGAAACAGGCAGTAAAGCTACGGCTTCGCGACGGAAGATGGATCTTCTGAGATGTCCCCATATTATGGCTGACAATTTACCTCGAAGACCACACATGGCGGAGGAGATGGAAGACGGACTGACGACGACGGGGGAGGACATTGACGGGTGGCAGACGAGGACTCTGGGCAATCGAATGGTCCACACAGGCTATTGGAGGAGCTTTGTGCTCTACACCTGTGTCCCTGTTCGATCTGCTCAAGGGAACCGTCGAAAACCGGATCTTTGCGATCCTGTCGTTCAGATCCTATTAAGGAGAAAGACGGACGACGGATATGCGGAGGAACCAGATTCCAAGCTGGCAGATAGATACTAGTAGCAGTCAAACAGTAGACTGCATGAAAATGGGAGATCCATTCTCAAAGCAAAGCCAGTGATTTCCAATTCATGCTTCCACGTCTCTTCGACATACCGTCCGCTTGAGCACGCGCAACCACCACAAGTCGAACCTGGACGACTTCCCAGGCGCCGTGGTGTGAATCGCTACACAGCCGTGGAAAAGTAAGACAGCCAGCTCACGGCACACAGCGCACGGCACACGGCACAACAGCACACAGCACGTGGACTCACCGACAGGGATCATTACTGTACCTAGTACGTGTCAAAACAGCACTGCCCGACGCACCCCTTCCAGATCGGGTAACACTTCCAATACGAGTAAAGTAAACGGGCGTGACGGGTCAGTCGGGGCTTGGTCCTCGCCTCGTACTCCGTACACGCAGTACTAAGGTACCTAGGTAGGTAAGTATGTACGAGCGCAATACAAATCTTAAAAAGTTGGACTTTTCTTCGCATTGCAGTGGACAGACGTGACAGAGAACGGAGTACCTAGGTACTCGTACTCCGTATTCGGTACGGCCCACCGAAAATTCAAAAATCTTCGCCTAATCCAGAGACGAGACCCCTCTTCTCTTCCAGAATGTTCAGCGGGCTTCCTCGTACGAGGAATTGTCCGAGTACTTTAACCATGTACTGTGGACACACGCAGGGCGAGCCTTGTACGAGTAGTGCGCGGGTAGGAAGTTGGGTTTGAGAATTTTGCGCAATACTGGCTCCGTACTCCTGCATATGTGGTATGTAGTACTCGTACCGTGGTATGTACTTACAGTAGGTAGTATGTGCGAGTAGTACGAGTAGTATGTCAGGTTCTTGGTAACTCGAATGGATTCACGATCCACGATCCACGATCCCTCGAATGCAACCGCTTTAGGGTTTTCAATCCCATTAGAGGTACGAGGATGTGGCCGGATCGGATGTTATGGAACCACTACCTCCGTAGTGGGTAACTGCAGGGTAGTACGAGCTACGAGTTACATGTACCTCGTATCGGTGTGATTGGCGTTACATGTCTGTGGGTGCTGTCAGTGAGTGAGTCATGAGTCACAAACCTAATTAACCTGCAAAGAAATTTGCTTTCGGGCGGAGACTCGTACTTTACAGCCACGCAGTCGGGTAGATGGCCGGCTTGTGGATACCAGGACGCGATCAAGCGAGCGGGCGGGCGATCGAAAGGACGATCGAGGATGGAACAAAATGTCCTGTCGTCGTCCGGTGGAGGGGCATCAAGGTACGTACTCTACTTTTCCTCAGTACACATTATGAGTATCGTAGAATTCAAGACACAGAATCGCGGCACACGGTCCACAGTCTACAGGCCGTACGATTGTCACGTATATGCCGCATGGGGAGTGATTCGGGTTATCTCGCGATAATTACTCGTATTCGTGGGGTGCAACGAAGGCGACGACGAGTCAGTCTCCGCGCAGGTCTCGGTATTCGGAACTCGACACCGAGGAGGACGCGATCCACTAGGTACGCGCCACTATACTGGGTACTTTAGTCGGACGAGTACAGCCATGCACGACGAGGATGCATTTCGGAGGTCCTTCTCGTCACTTGGCGTGAATATTGTTGTTGTGTTAGATAGCGCGGGGGGTAACTTCCCAACCACGGACGCCGTGATGCGATAGAGGATTGTTGGCCCGTCGCTGAATGGCTCGCTGTGGAAGATGAAGCGGTGAAGTAAGTTATATCTGTTGAGTTGGCATCGGCGATCCTGCGGCATGGACATTGGGTGGGAGGACGTGGGATTGAAAGAGGGAGGGAGCGTTCGCATGGCGTTGAATTGTTGAGATCTCTCATTGCAGAGAGATCGCTCACCACCATCACGATGCATGTGTTGGTGCAAATAGTCGTGGTCCACGCATCACATTCATGTCGCTTCCGCGGGATTGCATGCCGTGCCGGGCCTTTATTGAGAATCACAATAGAGGACAGAGTTTTGCGGGCACGCATGCTCCGTACGTAGGCGGAATGCGCATCCTAGCACCAGACGCCGAGATCGAATATTCGGGAGGGAAAAGAAATCCTCGATCGGCTTCCACCTGTCGATAATCAGTACGAGTCTTCCGGTGGCCGGCATAATCCCCTTTTTCAGAGATCTAGCCGAGGGTATGTGGTGGACTGTACTCGTACTACACGACGGTACGAGTACTACGCATACCCAGTAGACAGGTCCTGCGTAATTCGCCCGTAGATTGCCTCTCCTGGTAGATGCCCTCTGCGCTTGATGCTAGTCGCGAATATGGCTCCCGCGAGGATCGCTCCGCAAAATGCAGGCACATGAACACAAAGCACCCTGTCCAACCAGCAGGTCAATCGGATTGCTTTGCTCTGCTCTGCGCTGCTTTACTCATAAAACCGGTGACTTCAGCGATGAGGGGACCCCGGTCGACTCCCACTGAACGCCTTTCGGACACGCGGCCTGTGAGCGGCATCGGTGTGTAAACTATCGTGCTGCGAACGCTCATTCCGAGTTCAAGGACTTCACGCCGCGCAGTGATCGCAGGTTGGCCCCGTGATTGACGGGGAATACAAGCTGCAAGTCTGAGTCTGGGAGACTATTTTGGCACAAAAGGAACCGAAGGACGATTCACCCCGAGGTCGAGAAGCGCGGCTGAAGGATGGATTGCCGAGGTGGGAAAGAGGGCAAGCGGCCGCACGCATCCAACGAAATCTGGCATTGACCAAATTCCGCCGGCAAATGTACCCAGTTATATACCATTGTTGATATGGAGTAGGAGTCGAGAAGGATGAAGATGGAGATGCCAATTACTACGTACCGAGGTCGTGCCGCCGTGCAGGGTCTCGGTCGTGTACCCGGTACTGTGTACTCTGTAGATGTGGTCCCTGTATCTCGTACCCGCTCAGCCTTGCACATTTCACGAGGCTGGCAAGGCTGCACCGGCCCCGTCCTGCGGAGATGATCTTCCGGCACTTCCAAATTGCTGCCGCCGACGACTGATCTGCTACCTTAAAAGACACCTTCCACAGAATTGATTGGTCTACTAAGACCTTCTTCTCCCTCCTCGACCATGTCCTCACCTCATACTCACCCCGACGTCCCTCCCCTGCCCTCTCCCTCGACCTTCTCCATCCTCCCCGACATCTACATCCTCCTCGCACGCTTAAACCTGCTCCACCAACCGCAACTGAACGGACACTCGCAATCGTCCCAGACTCAGGCCCCCACGTCCCAGCATCTTCCGTCCCAGACCCATTCCGCCGCCGCGGGCTCGCAGATCCCCGCCTCGATTCTCAACGGCGCGAGTCTGCTCGATCTCAAAGACCTCCCGGGCCAGATCTATCCGCTGAAGCAAAAACTGGCAAAGGCACGTGCAGCCGTGGAAGAGTTGCCGGACGTGGAGAGGACCGTGGAGGAGCAGGAGGCGGAGATCCGGAAGCTGGAGGCGACGGTGAGGGCGTTGAAAACACGGTTAGGCGGCTTGGGAGCGATTGCGCGCGAGAAAGCGGATGTGGAGATGACGGAGCACGAGGAAGGATGAGCCCCGAGCGCGCGGAGCATGTACTTGCAGCTGGCAGGTTCTATCGACGGCCTACTGCGCAGACGCGAACCATGTCTTTGGAGTTGCAATGAACAGCACTTACGGCGGCGCACCAAACACGGGATGAATGGCAACGACGCTACGTCAGCGGGCTGGCACAAGACGGATGATCTTGCCCATGCGGTGCAAGTCTATTTACCGGCTCTATATTGGTTGCGCTGCAATTTCTGGTTGCTGAAGGGTATCGTTGAAGATACTACGCAGACTTTTCTGGTTACCGCTACCGATCAGCCTGGACCGAAGTCCCAAGTTCGTTGAAATCTGGGAAAAGACATGATAAAATCCATCGACCGACCCGACGCCAAGTGTCCATTCTCCATGGTATCTCGACCGTGGTCTACACCGGCAAGGGGAAGCTCGAGGCCCAATCCGCCACCTCCTGTCTTAACTTCAGGATCTCCTCGACCGATTCGCCGGCAACTTTCTCCTTGAAGTCTTTCAGCTTGTTCGCCTCCTTGGGAAGCTCACCCTGGACCTTCTTGCATAGCTTGATGCTCTGGTCAATGTATCTGGCCACCCTCTTGAAGTCCTCCTCTCCAAAGCCTCGAGAGGTCATGGCTGGGGCACCAATACGGATACCATATGGGGTCAAGGCAGACTTGTCCCCGGGAATACTGTTCTTGTTGCACGCGATGTTGATCTGCTCGAGCACAGCCTCGACGCGAGCACCATCGAGGGCTTGTGGGCGCAAGTCGAGCAACACCATGTGTGAATCAGTCCCATCTGCAACAAGTTTGTATCCCAGCTCTTTGAACTCGGACTCGAGAGCTTTCGCGTTCTTGAGCACCTGTTCCTGGTATGCCTTGAACTCCGGGGACGCAGCTTGCTTCAATGCGACTGCCAACGCAGTGATGGTGTGGTTATGTGGGCCTCCCTGGTGGCCAGGGAAGACGGAGAAGTTGATGGGGCCCTCGAGGTCGTAGAGGACTTGTTTGCCGGTCTTGGCGTCTGTGCTGCGAACGCCCTTGCGGTAAAAAATCATTGCTCCTCTCGGTCCGCGGAGGGATTTGTGGGTGGTAGTGGTGACAACGTCGGCGTGTTCGAACGGGGAAGGAATGACACCCGCGGCGATGAGGCCGGAAATGTGCGCCATGTCGACGATCAGGTATGCTCCGACCTTGTCTGCGATCTGTCGCATGCGGGCATAATCGATGAGTCGGCAGTAGGCGGATGTGCCTGCGACGATGCATTTAGGGCGGTACATGAGGGCGTTCTCCTCGAGTCGGTCGTAGTCAATGATGCCGGTCTCGAGGTTTACTCGGTAGGGGAACGTTTCGAAGTAGGTTGAGACGGCGGAGATCCTGTGAATTGTTGTCAGCCACCCAGCTCTTTGGTGTGTCCTTGTGTTCCGTGCTTACTTCCTCTGCGGCGTCTGATACCCATGGCTCAAATGCCCGCCATGCGGTAGATCCAAGCCCATCAGCCGATCGTGGGGTCTCATCAATGCCTGGTACACCTGCAGGTTCGCAGGAGAACCACTCAAGCATTGTACATTGACTCCCCAGATCTCCGGATCCAGGTTGAACGCCTTCAAAGCCCGCGATTGACAGGTGAGCTCAATGGAGTCGATGTGCTGGTTTCCACCATAGTAGCGGGCTCCCGGGTAGCCTTCACTGTACTTGTTTGACATAGGGGAGCCAAGGGCGTCGAAGACGGCGCGGGATGTGACATTCTCAGAGGCAATGAGGATGATCGACTCGCGCTGGCGCTTGATTTCTTTTTTCTGCGAAAAGAACGTCAATACAGAACGACCTTGGGACAGGATGTGCATAAGTACCATGATCTCCGCGATCTCTGGATCCGACTCGACCAAGGACTTCTCGAGCATCTGGGTGAAGCCTCCATGTCAGCTTTGTGGCCTCAAAGGCGCGCGTGAGCAGACACTCACATCTTTGTGAGACTGGGAGAGGGCATAGCTGGACGCAGCCATGGAACCCATGATTTCTAAGTTACTAGCACAGGCGCAGTACAGTGGTAGAAGCTGTCAATTGTGTTAGGGCGCACAAAAACGAGAGAGGGAATGTCACAAGAGTCATGGGAATTTCAAGCTTCTTGGGCACTTTTTTTTGCTGATTGCGGTGCGAAATCCCTGCCCCGCACTTTCGGGTGGCAGGTGGCAGGGTCCACTCCGGCGACATGCTTGTATGCATCCAACGCAAGGCTAGCTCTGCATTCCACCTTCAAACGCCCTCTCGCCGCCTAATCATAGCAGGCAAAAGTATCACCCGGGGGCTCATTCCTCATGACGCGCTTCACTACATGCTCCAGCACCCTTCACGATGCTCGTCACATTGTCCTCTTTTGCTTCCGGGCGCGTAGCTCTGCGCGGATAGCGCTGGTTGTGTGAGATGTGATGTGCGAGTGAATGAAGTCGCGTTTTTCATCGGGGGCACTGTATTGGCAATTGCCCCAGGCGCAGTCTGCAGTGAAGTCCTTGCTATTTCTAGCACCAACGTGGTTCACATTCACATGGTCCTAGACTGACGTCAGCTGCATTGGAACCGTTCGAGAGAGAAGGAACTGACCTTAAGCTCCACGCAACAATCGAAGCGTAGGGTGCACCCTCGCCAATGGCACATGAAGGGCTCGTTCTGAGGAGTGGCCGTCGGTTGCATGAAATCCTCTTCGGAAGAGTCAGGCGTGTCATCCCTCTCCAAGTAGAGGATGATCTTCTTCCCCGGATTCTTCCCGGGCACGTTCTGGTCATTGGCCCCGGGGTCGAGGGATCCGGACGATGAAGAAGGAGACTTCTAGCCTCGCTTCCTCTTTCCCGAGGAATTATCGTTTGGCTCCTTTCCATTGGTACCTTTCTTGGGGCGTACAGCTGGAGTAGGTTCAGGCGCATCATCCATCTCGACGTCTCGCCCAGACTGCGCAGCTGTACCTGCAGGGACTCCGGGAGGTGTGTATCGCTTCTTCAGACCTTCAGGTTGCTGTCGGATTTCTTTCGGCTTGCCAGGTCGTGTCGCAGTGAAGGCCTGCGGAGTACCTTCCTGGGATGGAACCTTGGTTTGATCGTTGACCTCCCGCATGATGAAGCTACGTCCAATCTTCTTCTCCGCCTGCTGGTAACTCGCATCCACTCCTTGAGGAAGCAAGACTGTTTCGTTTTTGGATGGCAATGGCTGCATGCCGTATGCGATACCATTGTGGGTGATAATGGGTTGACCGCGCATGACAGCATCGACGGCCAACTCCTTGATCGAGTCAATGGGGACATCACCAGGAGCAGCGATGAGCCAGACTTCCTTCTCCGACAAATCGTGAAACTGACGCACGGTTGAGCTAGTGTCGGACTGTGAGCGCGCAATGGGTTCATAGCCCTTGGGCGCTTTGAATGGTTTTGCAGGAATTGCGGCTCTGGATTGCACGGATTTGGCGGCAGTCTCTTCGAGTTCTGGGGTTGGCGAGGAGCGTGTCTTCTGGCTCGAAGCCGACGTCACTGCTGAACCAATTTCCGACTCGCTTTGGTCGTCCTCGCTTTCGTCTTCGTCTTCAGCGGTCTCCTCGTCCTCACTGTCGGAAGCCTCCACTTCGCTGCTGTCGTCGTCTCCGTGATCATCTGTCACAATTGTCAGTCATGGTCCTTTGGTCAATGGAGCGTTAACATTCGACAGTCCTGACCTTTGATGCCGTTAGAAGTCTTCGAATTGGACGGCAGCGCATCATGACCCGCGACACCCTGGGCTTCGTCTTCATCGCCAGAGTCGTACACTCGCTCAGCACTGAGAGGATAGGAGCGCGCAGCTTGAGCCATTTTCTGCCGTAACGCGCACTCCTTTACTGAAAACGTTCTGTCACAACTGCAGCTGCCCTGGAATGTTTTTATGGTAGAAGCGACGATTTTGAGTATGATCTTTCTTCCGTGTCTGATTTAAAAGTCAAAGAGATCTCAAAAAGTTTGAAGACGAATCAAGTGCAGTGAAAATGATAGTTTAGCGCCGGCTATACCCGGCGCTAGTATGGCACGCATTAGTGACAATTAAAAGTCATTGGCAATTCATGAGCCTCTGTGCTGTATGCTGTATTTGCCGCATTATGTCCACCAAAGTCACATACAATGTCTTGCTGTTGTAGAGCGCTCTGTCCGAATCAATCACAGCCTGTGTACGTGGCAAACTGCAGGCAGCTGTGAGTTAGAGGGCTAGCTTCTGCCGTCTTTGCTTCTTGTATCAGGCGCAAATCCCATGCAAGCGAGTATGTTAGCTGTTGTTGGAAAGGGGTTGACCCCGTACTGACGTTCCATCAGATGGTCACAGGCTCAGTGCGGTCGCCAGACGGCGCCTCCTGCAGACAAGTGTGTCGGCTGGGTCGACATCTAGTACGCTATCACCTGCAGAGCCAGTGGATGCCGAACAAAAGGGAGTTACTGCGAAGGCGGACTCCACGAAACCCGACGAAAGCACATCCCAAGATGATGGTATTGAGGTAGCTAACCAGTTCTCGACCTTGGTTGAAGCATCTGCTGTTGAATTCAGCTCTTCCAGAGAAGTGGAACAATTGCCGGGGAATTCGTCCAGGATCCGCTTGTCTCGAGGACAGGTATGTCATTACGCCGGGCATCGAATGCTATATCAATATCCTAACCGGGTACAGAAGTGTGTCGTGTTAGGCACCTGTGTCCTTTGGGTCAAGCAAGGATCAGTCTTCATCTACGGGGCAGTCCTTTCAGCCTCGCCAACCACCTACCGTATCTATGCACCCAGCAGTCATGCACTTCCTTCCATTGAGGCCATGACAAGCCTCGCCGAGCTGCAACTAGATCCTCTCAGCGATGGAATCGACGACCTACCGATCGCAGGAACCGGGGTGCAGTGGGCTCCACCTGGTGTCAAGCACAGTGCTTCGCCATTCTACGTGCTAGGACATTCTTTCGAGCTAGACCTGAAAGCTCCCAGACGCCTCAGAGAGCTGAACACCGACCCTTGGAGAGCCTTGCTCGCCAATGTGGTAGACTACGACACTGCGTCACCACCAAGAGTCCTGATCTGCGGCAGACGGTCGTCTGGACTTTCGACACTGGTCAGATGCATCACAAACCGCTTGCTTGCCAAACAGGTTACTAGCTCCAAGTCTGCACACATGACGGGTGTCACCTTGGTGGATTTGGACACAAACACGCCGGAGTTTGCGCCTCCAGGAGTGATCAGTCTGGTAACTGTCCGCGATCTGGTGTTTGGCCCGCCGTTTACGCACCTAATGCCGCCATCAAAGGCCGATACTGATCCTGTCTTGAAACAGCATTTCCTTGGGGATATTAACGCTATAGATCTGGCAGATTGGCACCTTGCAAGAGTGTACGATCTTCTGGACCTTGAAAGGGACTCCCAACCGAGGGGGAAGAATGCGCCAGTTGTTATCGTTCTCCCAAAGTGGCTGAACGACGTCGATCCCAGCATAGCGAGCAAGCTCTGGAACAAGATGTCGCCCACGCAAATCGTTTGCCTCGACCCGAGTCCAACATCACCTCATCTGGAGCCGTGGCGTCTAGTCGCGGCGAGAGACAACTGTGCTATTTACCAAATGCCGGTTCAGGTGTTTGATAGGATTCCGGCTGTGCGAGAGCACAATCTGCAGTTGCAGTCGTACTTCCACCTGGAAGACTCACACACCAGGCGCCAATTCTGGAGCGAAACACCGATTCTGGCGACAACGTCTCGAACGGCGACACTGCCATATCGCGGTGATGGGGGGTTGGTATGCGTGATCATCTTGTCAGGCGGCCATGTCGCACTTGAGGACACGTACGAGGCCTTGGACGGAAGCCTTGTCGCACTGGTGGCTGTTCCGAAGCCTGAAACACTGGTAAATGAAGACAGTGGGCTGAACACGGACAGTTTAGGAGACACCTTCCAATCTGGCGAAGTAAGACGGACCGAAGAAGACCTGCCCCGCTGGCAAGAACATGCTGGAGTCGAGAACTTCTTCCCATTTCGAGCTCAGCATTCCTTCTGCTTGGGGCTAGCAATTGTGCAGGAAATCGACGTTGCCAACAGAGAGATCAGTCTGATAACAGGACCTGGGGTACATGTGGATGACATTCAGCGACAAGGTTACCGTATTGCACTTGTAGTACCGAAAGCAACCGCAGACGGAAGGTTTAGGACGGAATGGGCGCACCGAGAGATGGGCACGAGCAATCGCAGAAGTCAGTAGACTCGGACCAGACCGGCGATCACAATCAATGCGAGAGGTTTGATTGCCGACATAGGAGAACTCACTACTCAAAGCAGTTGAGTTGGCTTGTGCCATTCAAGAGAAGCGTCAAAGACTACATACTGGCTGCAGGGCCCGGACTACCCGATCGGCCAGATGCATGTCCATCCGTGCCAACTTAGGCCTGGAGAATGGATGACAGGACCGCTGATGACCGGCGTGCGTCGCTTCCGATTGCCTTCCGCGGGCGGCCTAGAAGCCCTGTCATCATTCCACTCCTGATTGGATGCCACGGAGGATTCCCAGGACGCCATCGCAAGTGGCGGTCTGCGACAAGACGGAGGAAGGCTAGAACACCACTGCCTCACTGCCTGATTCACTTATGACAAAGTGAAGCCGAGTGAGAGAAGCGAAGGGGGAAAGTGTCATCTTCTCATGTCGCCCTCAATCTCCTCCACTCATACTACACAGTAGTTCTCATCAACCACGAACCCAGCACCCGATCCCTCCGAGTAGCAGTGTGTGCTGTTCGAGATCTTCAGATCGCAATCACACTCATCTCCACCGCCTGCGGACCCACGGTTGCGTCGGTTACGTTTGTCGCCTTCGAACGAGCACACGAGCTCTTGCCGTCCTCTCAACGCCCCTCAACGACTCCCTCACCCTCATCGTTGCGCCGACAGTCGGTATACACTCGTCGCACCTGACAGCAATCCGACCGTCTTCTTGGGAGCAGATGATGGCTGGCTTCAGTCCGGCCAGAGGTGTCCGCCAGCCAGCTCTGAACATGCGCAACGCTCCACATAGATTGTAGGACAATTTGTGGGTTCGTCGAAGAAGGAAGACAGAAGCAAAGGCAACGAGGCAGTGAGATAAAGAATGGATTTCACGGTACGCATGCTCATGGGCTTACTCCGAGCGCCTTTGTCACGATGGTGTCCAGGCTGCCGCATGACCTTGTCCACCCCTCCACCCCTTCACTCTGGCTCAACAGCAACTAACAGAGTCTGTGCAGCTCGCACTCACGCACTTCTGTGAGGCGCATGGCCCAAAGTCTGTCCTTTGTACACAAGTCCTTCCGTTAGAGTGCGCAGTATGCCTGCCACCATCACCACCACTGAGAGCATCTTCCTCTACCGATTCCTTCAACACCAAAGTCAACGACTCTTCCCTGGAGTCCTCACAGGACCTCCGCGTACCGCCAACTTTACGAAAAACCGACACAAACTCCACGTTGCCGACCGACTTCTCAGGCGCATCTACCAATGTCGATTCCGAGCCCGAAAGCCCGATCATTGAGAAACACCCGCTATTCCAGCCGGTAGACCAGAAACAGACCTGTGCCCCACAATGGCGCTATGGTCGTAATCAAGGCGAGACATGCGCCAGTTGCACTTTCTCTGTTCCCAGGGCTGTGGCAGAGCAGTTACCTGCAGGTGCGCCAGGCAGCAAGCGAGCGGATGGCGCAGGTACCGCCAACACAGGCCCGCCCGTACTACGTTCGAGAGAGTTTGTCTGTCTGCGTGAGAAGAAGAGACGTAACAGCAGTGTTCAAGCCTCATACGACTCCAAATCTTCGTCCTACGGCTCGTCTGTTGTTTCCTCAACCCTTTCTCAGACAAGCTCGCGCCCACAGTCTCATCATTCAGACGACTGTCACGACCATACAGTAACCTATCTTACCGCGAAATCTCCTGTTGATCCAGAGAGCTATGCGCAACTGCGCGCATCCGTTATTCGAACGCTGTCCTGTGAGCTCCTTCCCCGGGGCATGTCAGATGGTCCCTTCTGCTTCGGCGATTCGAACACAGGCTATACGATCGCATACGTCTTCCGGTTGACCGATCCAAAAGCACGAGGCCGACGACGTGCATACGCTTTCCTCGCCCTCGCAGGTAAAGACGCCAGTCGGGCCTTTCAAGCTTGTCCGATGCTATGGGATTCATTCAAGCGCATGGCAAAAGGTATCGAGACAGCCGCTCAAAAAAATCAGGACAGACAACGCGAGAGAGAGGAAAAGGTGTCAGCGGATGCAAACAGAGCTGGGGCTAGGCACTACACACCCGTATCTTCATTCCTGACGTCCCGAACCATGGACCCGGCTGGCCACCCTCGACGAGCTGGACAGGCTACACCTCGAAGCCTCGCGGAGATTGTCGGTGACGAGAACATCTTTGCATTCCTTCACCAATACTTCGTGGCCATTCTTCGCTGCCTGGGCGATCAATTTGGCGGAACGCCGCTGGTGGAGCAGCCATCGGTGTTTCAGTCGACCAGCGAGGAAGCACCGCAGTTCAACAAAGCTGATGTCGTTGGGGAACGGAAAAACCGAAATGCTACAAATATCCCGAGTCCCGGCCCGGAGGATATTGAGAGCCTGCGAGGCGAAGATGCGACGCCGACGCCCCAGCACTATCAGATGAGACCAACCAAGACTTGGCCATTGCAGCAAATGCAGCCTTCGAAGACCTCCACTCCGAAGGAGGACAGTAACGAGGATCTTGACCTCGGAAAAGCAGAGCCGAGAAAGAACCTCGCAGAAAAAGACAAGAACAAGGCGATCACAGGTACCACCTTGTCACTCAGGAAGTCGAACCCACAATGCGCAGTGGCCCTTGCGGTCAATGAGACGGCGCAGAGACAAGTCGTTGTATGAATACGGTCACGGGCAGGTTGATGTCAACCTGTTATCTAGCAATGAGTCCATCCTTGATACTGGGACGAACGTAGCGTCCCAAAAAGGTGAAAGACACACCAAACCACGTGGAAGGGGGAGGGGCGCGGCTATCTGCTTCTGATGATTCCAGCTTTGCTTCCAAGTAGCGATGATACCACGATACATCGATTTTCATATGCCTTTGTGGTAAACCGAAGGATATGAGTGGAGTCAATGGGGGATCTGGTGATGGTCCCGATATGTACTTTATCCCTGTTTGATGATACATGCGAGCTATTATACGAAGATTAAGACAATATGTGCTTCGAGGGCGTGATTCTCGATTGAGTCTCCATTGTTTGGTCAACAGAGCTCTTTCGGCCACGGCGACACGTGAGCTTCTGCGGTGGGGGTGGATATGATCTCACCGTCTACAGGATCTGTACCTCGTAACATCGAGACAACTTGACGGTATGCCGGGAAATGCTGGCCAGAGGAAAGTGGTTAGGTACAACGTGTTGAGAGTCCCATGTCATTTAGGTGGGAAATATGGACACGACGGAGCAGCCCGGGAAAACCAAGCGTAAATATCCACCGTAGAAAACATGAAGCATACAGCGGCGCATATGGTTTCTAAACGCAATCCCTCTGGGAAGTAATTGGCTCCTCCGTCGCATCACACAGTCTTCTTGTCTTGTCCCTGTAACCACTCCGAAGCAGCTGCGTCCGGGAGCAGATCTAAAATTCGTCCAGAACACCCTACGGTAGCTCTGCAAGTTATCGCCGGTATTTGCCAATATCGCAAGCCCCCAATTCCATGTCAGAAAGGCGGGGAGGATGATGCCTTGATTCCCCCGATAATCGGCGTCCGCCTGCCTGGGAGGGACGGAGCAAGTCGTCGACGCCATCATGCTGTCTCGAAGACTCTTCGCATTTACGTGCGGAAGACGGAAGTTCGCGGACTCGCTGTATCCTGTTGGTGCCCCTCTGGTTCGTGGACGCAGCCATGCGGCAGTGAAATCAGAGGTCCGGTCTTTCGGGCACTCAGCGATCGCTAGACGCCAGGATGAGCCCAAGAAGGGCCTACAAGCCGACCAAGTCGCTGAAAAGCCCGCAGCAAAGTCTGACACGTCAGATGTGATCAAGCCGGAGTCTCTACAGAATGCCGAACTGCCCAAGGTTGCGCCGGTTGCGGCCAAGAAGGAAGCCTTGCTATCGGAGAAGGTCATCTCCAACAAGGAGCAGCGGAAAGTCGATCTGGCCATAATGAGGGAGATGGTCCAGTATCTATGGCCCAAGGGCGACTGGGGCACGAAACTTCGCGTCGGCGGCGCGCTTTCGCTGTTGGTCGGGGCGAAGATCTTGAATGTCAATGTCCCGTTCTACTTTAAGAGCATCGTGGACTCGATGAACATTGATTTTCTGGCCGTGGGCGGCACTGCCTGGACAGTGGCGGGCTCGATGATCGTTGCCTACGGTGTGACTCGCATCGGGGCCACCTTGTTCCAAGAGCTCCGGAACGCGGTCTTTGCCAGCGTCGCTCAGAAGGCCATCCGAAACGTGGCCAAGAATGTGTTTGCACATCTGCTCCGCCTGGACCTGAACTTCCACCTGTCGCGGCAAACTGGTGGACTGACCAGAGCGCTGGACCGGGGTACGAAGGGAATCAGCTTCTTGCTAACCTCGATGTTATTCCACATTTTCCCTACGGTATTGGAGATCTCGCTGGTCTGCGGCATTCTGACATATCAGTACGGGGCTCAATTTGCGGCCATTACGGCGGCTACTATGGTGGCGTATTCCACGTTCACCATCACGACGACTTCTTGGAGGACCAAATTTCGCAAGCAGGCCAATGCCGCGGATAACCAAGGGGCTACAGTTGCCGTTGACACTCTGATTAACTATGAGGCTGTCAAGTACTTCAACAACGAGAGGTTCGAGGTCAACCGATACGATGCGGCGTTGAAGAAATACGAGGATGCATCGATCAAAGTGACAACTTCTCTGGCTTTCCTGAACACAGGTCAGAATGTAATCTTCTCGGGTGCGCTGGCAGCCATGATGTACATGGCGGCAAACGGAGTGGCAAGTGGTGCGTTGACGGTTGGAGATTTGGTCATGGTCAATCAACTCGTCTTCCAGCTATCAGTACCGCTGAATTTCTTGGGTTCGGTATACCGCGAACTGCGGCAATCTCTCTTGGACATGGAGACGCTGTTCAACTTGCAGAAAGTCAATGTGACTGTCAAGGAGATCGCCGATCCGCGACCGCTCGCTTTGACCAAAGGAGGTGAGATCAGGTTTCAAGACGTTTCGTTCGGCTATCACGCTGATCGGCTGATCCTGAGAAACCTGACCATGACCATCCCTGCGGGAAAGAAGGTCGCCATTGTCGGACCCAGTGGCTGCGGAAAATCGACCATACTCAGGCTGCTCTTTCGCTTTTACGATGTGGATTCCGGGAGGATTCTGATCGACGGCCAAAACATCAAGCACGTCAGCCTTGACAGCTTGCGAGAAAGCATTGGAGTAGTTCCACAAGATACGCCGTTGTTCAACAACACGATCGAGCACAACATCCGATACGGCAAGATTGATGCTCCGCTGGATGATGTTAAGAAGGCGGCCCAAAGAGCACGAATTGCCGATCTCATCGAACGTCTGCCGGCGGGATGGAATACCATGGTGGGCGAACGAGGGATGATGATCTCCGGTGGCGAGAAGCAGAGGCTTGCAGTGGCGCGACTCCTTCTGAAGGATCCACCACTTCTATTTTTCGACGAAGCCACGTCGGCACTCGACACCTATACCGAGCAGACGCTCCTGCAGAACATCAACAGTATCTTGAAGGAGAAGGCTCGAACAAGCGTCTTTGTGGCGCACCGGTTGCGGACCATCTTTGACAGCGATATCATCTTCGTGCTCAAAGAGGGACAAGTGGTCGAACAAGGCACTCACGCCGAGTTACTCGCCATCAATGGGCTCTATGCTGATCTTTGGGCAGCCCAAGAAGTTTCCATCGGTCAAGATATGACACTTGAGAAAGAACTGGAAGAGGAACGTGAGACTAAGAGAAAGGAGACTTGATCGGGTCTCAAGCAAAAGAACTCTCTGAACCATACGTCGAGCAGTATCAAATATGCCCAATTGGTGCAAAAGAGCGGTCCCTGTTGGCTTCTACACAAACACTCCCCAGCGAGGCATCCCGGAAATCAGTATCCTGCTCCATGCGCAACCAGAGCAACGAACGATGGGGTCGCCGGACTCGGTTGTCCAGAATTCATGCTCAAAGGTTGCTCTGGAAGCGAGATCATGGGCCAGGGGTGAGAGTTTGGTCTCGCACGTGGCGCTGGAGATGCCCACCTGAAGATTGTGCCTACAGCTCGATGGAGTTTAGCGAGAGTAGCCTCGATACTACTGTGTACTCAGTATGCTGGAGTGCCGACGCTGGACAGTCTAAGATTTGTTTGATGCCCCTGCAGAATATTGATAGTCGCGACTGGAGCTGGAGAGGAGGCCAATGTTGGATACATATGAGTTCGAGTCATGCAGATAGACGAGTCTCGCAATTCAATCTCAACCTCAATCATCATCCTGTCCGAAAAGACTTCATGGGCACGTCGCTCGCCCACTCCCACCACCGAGCCTAGAAGCAGTGGAAGCCCCTAGGCCTGGCTCCTTCCATGGCCCCAACCTTTGGGCGCGGCAGCTCGCTAGTTAAGCTCGTCTGGGTGGCCCCCCACCGCCATGTTTAACGGGCCAAGCGGGCCTAAGACGTAACTAAGCCCACCTAAACCCTATTTTCTAGTGGAAACCACGCCCCGAAGAGATTGCGTCGGCCACCTGCCAACTGCCAACTTTAGCTGCTCCTTTTCTTGCAACGGGAAGCGTGAGAGCGCGCGAGGGAATCAAACGGTCCACGCGCGCCTCTCCTTTCGTGGCTCCAGCTTCTCATAAGCCACCGCGACTCCCACTCTCACCTTCGTTCTCGCTGCTGGCGACGAGGATACGTACACTCTCTAGACCTGATAGTCACTCCCTACCTGCATTTCTCAGCAGCTGCGAACGCATCTCGAATAGCCTCCCGACCTAACTACTGCACGCTTGCAGCTGTCCGCGCGTTTCAGATCCAAAGAGGTTGCATTAGATCCTGCATAACCAAAGTTCGGACGAACTCAACGCGCACACAAGACGAGCCATCCCTTCCCGCGCAGGAGGCCCTTCAGTTACGTATCACGGGTTGTCAGCTTTTGCCCAATACCCGAAGAAGTTGCTCATCTGACTGGAGTACGCGTCCTCCCACACCTATCACATAAGAACACCTCCAGGCCCCGCCATCCGGTTGCCATCACCCTCCTTGCAACATTTCCCCGCCAGGGACCGAAGTATCCGGACCGGAGGTCAGAAAGGTCGCGATACTATCAAGACCTTCTCTATCAAGGGTTGCGAAAAGAGAGGAAACAGTGCCAGGACAGCCGGCAGTCACAGTTCCCATCCATCTGCAGGGACCTTTGAGACGTGACAGAGGCACTACTCGAATTCAGAAAGGAGCCCTTCAGGCGAGCGTTGGCAAGAACTCAGCTTACGTCGAAGGTTCCTGTTACTGAACGACTCCGGCATCGAAGAGCACTTCCACAGAATTCCCAACCTCGCTTTAGTTTGCTCGTTTGCGGAAGCTCAAATTCAAAATCATTCAAAATGGGTCTCTTCGAGAAGCTCCAAGCCAGTGAGTTTGCGCGCTACTCGACCTCAAACAAGGAATGCTGGCATGCTAATCACCCCGTTGCAGAACTCGACCTCTACCGCCTCGAGCAGAAATACGCCCGCCGAAAGAACCGAACCACGTTCTCGACCGGCGCCGTGTATCAGGACGGAGAGTACTTTTACACGGGCGCCTCTGACGCACGCAGTCCGACCATGTCGACCAATAGCACTGGCAATTCGAACAGCTCAACAAATAGCAACAAGAGGAGGTCGCAAATGTGGATGGCGCCCGAGACGCGCAGATGAACGTCTGGCGTGCGGGTCTCGACAAGTTTCTGCCCCGGTCGGGAAAGACGATCCCTGTCTCTGACCACAGGGTGGACGGTTCTCATGTGAATATAATTTTGTGGTTGCTGGTATCACTTGTCGATTGAATTGAGCATAGCATAGCAATGGCGTTGAGACGGAGCTTTTCCTTTGTTCCTGATTGTTGGATCCGCAGGTTTTTATGTGCATGACTGGGAAAATTGAGCTACAGGGCAAGAGGCACCAGTGAACGAGGACGTGGAGCGGCGATGGCAAAGATGTCGAGGAAAAGGAGGAGAGCAATCACTCGGTCAGCGACGCTGATAAGAGACGAGGTCTCGACGGTCAAGAGATGCTTCTGTCATCGTCGACGGCAAGCAAGAAAGACTCATAGATGTAGATGTATTAACATGTATGCATACACCCGAGTTGAAGTACAGAGTACAGCGTGCATCATATTGGCTTCAGCCTGAAGGGAAAGTACCAAGTATCGTATGTATTATAGATTCATTCTCCACGACACCTGGCTCTATTCTATTCTATTCTCCTGTGTTCTATTTGCCCCGAACCCATTCTCGACGCTGACTGTGTACATAAGACATGAGCCTGGCCTGGCCGGGCCGGACGACATTGCATACGACATCTCTATGCTACTGTATGTATGTACACACGAGTACATAGGTAGCCAGCAAGATACTACAAACGCGCTCGACACTCACCAACTGACCACTGGTTCTTGACTGTCTATTGTATCTTCTCTGTTCTCCCTGTCCTCCCTTTTCCCTTCCGGCGTCCACTCCATCTTTGTAACTCGTCGCCTTCTCACTACATACTAAGAGTACTGTGTGACGCTCGATCGGACCAGAGGGGAGGTCGAGTCGAGTCATGTTCGGCCCCATTGCCGCAATAAATACGTACGTAGTCCCGCTCACACTCACAGCGTCGTCTTCTCTTCTCACTGCAGTAGTAACCGTCCATTTCCCCCCTCTAGTCCCGTCCACCACACAGTATCGCCTTCTCACAGCAGTAACCGTCCATTCCCCTTCTAGTCCATTCGAGCCTCACAGGGTCGCCTTCTCACTGACCCTCCATTTCCCCCTGGCGTCGCCCGACGCGCCAACACAAACGACGCGCCCATCCTTTTTCAACTTCTCCAGCACCATCAACAGGCCCTTCTCCGCCGGCTCCCACAGATTCTCGGGATAATGCCGATAGATCACCCTCACCATCTCCATGCTGTCCCATTCTTTGCCCACGATCACTTCTTTCGGCCCTGATCCTGATCCTGATTCTCGCACTCCCGCTGACGCATCGCTCTCGCCCTCGCTCTTCCCTGTCGTGGTGATCGAGTCGTGCACGACCGGCGTGGTTGACTGCGGCGAATTCACGGTCCCGTACTTTAGTACGTTCAGGGCCTCTTCCTCGCGCATGCGTCTGTGCGCGATGTATTCGTCGATTTTGCCCACCGCGTCGTCGATCACTTGACCGTGGCCGGGGTATGCTCTTTTGGTTGTGGTGGTGGCTGCCGCCGTAGTCGTCGTGCTGCTGGTTGAGACGGAGACGTGGGCGTCAGCGTTGGCGTCAGCATGGGCGGATGAGTTTGGTCCCCCAGAGATCGAACTCGGACTTGAATCCGAATCCGGAATCCCACTCTGTCGAGTGTCCTGCTGGCGTTGGCGATGTTGTGTGGCCACGGCGTCCACGACCCGTCTTTTCATCACGTCTAAGCTCTGTAGATATAGCTGGAGGTCTTCAAACACGGCGGTGCCGTGTCCGAGAACGTTGTCTGCCGTGAAGAGGGCGCCGATTTCGGAGGCGTCCGGCGACTGCGTGATCTGGAAGACCATGTGGTCTTTCGCGTGGCCGGGGGTGTGAATGGCTTGGATTGCGAAAGACGAGGCGTCGTCGTCGTTTCCGTCTCCCCCGCCGGTCACGAATTCCTGGCCGTCGTGGATGTCGTGCACACGGGACGGGTCGATCAGGGAGTCCGGGTTCCACGCGGGCAGGTTCTTGTAGACTTTCAATTCGTGGCCCGGGTTCAATTCGGCCGAGAGTCGTTCCAGGTCGGTCACGCCGCCTAGGTGGTCGTGGTGCCAATGTGTCAGGAGGCAGGTGGATATGTGGAGTGGTTTGGCGGTCGCCGAGTTGAGGACCACGCGGACCGTGTCGATCCATTTCTTCTCGCCGCTGCCCGTGTCGATGAGGATGCGCGACGCGCCAGACCCGAGGAGGTACGTGTTTGTGCCTTGGAGGGTGAACTGTGGGAGGAGTTAGAGATGGGCTCCGGACGGCGTTGCAGAAAGAAATGGGTGCAGTGTGCTGTCGTGCGTGCGATGTAGGGAGGATTGCCGTCCTCAAAATCAAAAACCAACCGAAGTTTTGACAGATGGATCGCTTTCTCCCTCTTCTACCCGATCTCTTTCCAGCCAATCCACAATAACGTTCTTCCTCTTCCTGCTAGTCCTTCTCACCGAGCGGAAGCATGGTGGAACCACCGTGACGATCGCTACACTGAAACAAAACAAACCATGCCATCGAAAATTGCACTCACCTTGCTGGGATTGCCGCCCATGATCCTGATGATATTGGTACTGACCTGCTCCCAGTCCGGGAGATGAGGTAGATTCTGCGCCATGCCGCGGCGGTATGTTCGAGATATGAATGTGGATCTATGGACGAGTTGTAGGCCGCCACGGGGAAGATGCATACACTCGTCGATCTGCTTGCTCGAAGTCTCGCATTCAACGGCACTGGTCCTGGAACTGGCCTCGAAAGTAACAGAGGTCGGTGGCGAAAGCCCTCTACCCCCTGGTCGAGAATGGACCGATCGGACGCCGCTCTGAGGTAACTTCTCTTCTGAGACCTAGAGACTCTCGCGCTGGTCAAAAAGATCCGAGTATAATGAACGGCAGCTTATGCGGGGATGCCGACGTCGAACCCTGCGGTATTCCTGGGGAACGTCCTTGGGGGGGAACAAGGCGGAGAATCACGCTTACAGATGAGAAGAACGTGAAGTAGATGCCGGGAATAGATAATCGTGTACATTATATGCGCAGTGATGGAAGATACGGCGCATCCGCAATCGTGCATCCCTCGTCCTCATCCCCGTTCCACACGTCGATCGATAATCCGCCTTCTCTGTGCCGAGGTTGACATGCTCGTGACTAGATGACACAGACTGCTCACGAAGTGGACGAGACTACGTCAAAGCTAGTACAACTTGGAACGACGATATCCCTTGCGCATTGGTATACTCGCTACGGAAAATACATGAACATCGTGCTACCCACCCACCATAGCACACTACCCGACATAATCGACGCGAAACGGCGACCCGCTCGACAGATATCCCCAACATCCGGCTCGGAGGCTATTACGGGTCACCGACGTTTGTGTCGTAGATACTGACTCAGCTGAACTGCACCCTGTACACAAAATTGCATGTTGATTTTCCAGTCCTTTAGTTTCCTTTCTGATTCTTGGCCATCGTGTTCAAAGCGCTACCGTTCTTGAACCATTCGATTTGACCGGCATTGAATGTGTGAGACAACTCGCAGTCCCATGGCTCGCCATCCTTGGGGTGTACCTTCATGATCAAGGGCTTGCCGACTTCCAAGCCAGTGACCAGAAGATCGACCTTGTCGTCGGGATTGATCTTGTCATAATCCTCAGGGTTGGAGAAGGTCAAGGGCAACATGCCTTGCTTCTTTAGGTTGGTCTCGTGGATACGTGCAAAGCTTCGGGTGATGATGGCGATGCCACCGAGATGGCGGGGTTCAAGGGCGGCGTGTTCTCGCGAAGAACCTTCACCGTAATTGTAATCGCCGATGACGACCCATTTGATCCCTTCCTTCTTGTACTGACGCGCAGTAGCAGGCACAGCATCGTACTCACCAGTCTTGAAGTTCTTGACCTTGTTGGCCTCGCCGTTGGCGGCGTTGATGGCACCGATCAACATATTATTGCTGATGTTGTCGAGGTGACCACGATATTTGAGCCAGGGACCAGCCATGGAGATGTGGTCAGTGGTGGTCTTGCCCTTGGTCTTGATGAGGATAGGGAGATCTTGGAAGTCTTTGCCGTCCCAAGGTTCGAATGGCTGGAGAACCTGAAGACGGTCGGAGGTTGGAGAGACCTGCACTTGAACCGACTCACGCTCCTCTGGTGGGGGTTGACTGTTCTGGTATTAGCATAAAACCCTGGTTTGGGAGCTGGGGAACACTCACTAGGTATCCTGACCGGGGTCATATCCGTTCTTCGGTAAGCCGTCACCGGTTGGTGGCTTGAGTTTGAAATCATTTCCGTCCTTGTCCTTCAAGGTATCCGTGAGAGGATTGAAGTTGAGGGTGCCAGCAATGGTCATGGCGACGACCAGGTCTGGAGACGTAACAAACGAATGGGTAGCAGGGTTCGCATCATTTCGGCCAGTGAAATTTCGGTTATATGAGGAGATGATCGAGTTGGGTTCTCCCTTCTTCACGTCCCGACGGTCCCATTGCCCGATGCAGGGACCGCAAGCATTGGCAAGGACAATTCCGCCAAACTCCTCGAAAGTCTTGAGTTGACCGTCGCGTTCGATCGTCGCACGGATTTGTTCTGATCCTGGTGTGACGGTAAAGAGCGACTTGGCCTTGACGCCATGATCCATAGCATCCTGGGCAATTGAGGCTCCGCGAGACCTTGTTTTCAGACTAAGTTAGTATCGTTCGTGGACGAACAAAGGTGCGAATTTTAGCACTCACATGTCTTCATAGGAAGAGTTTGTGCAAGACCCGATGAGGCCAACCTTGAGTTCCTCAGGCCACTTGTTGTCCTTGACTGCCTGCTTGAACTTGGAGATGGGAGTTGCTAGGTCAGGGGTGAAGGGTCCGTTGATGTGCGGCTCGAGCTCTGAAAGATTGATTTCGATGAGCTGGTCGTACTCAGCACCCTCATCCTCATGAAGCTCTGCGGCGTAGCTGCGAGCGAAGTCGCCAATTGCCCCACGTTTGGTAGCGGCTAGGTAGTCGTACATGCGGTCGTTGAAGGGGAACAAACTTGTGGTTGCTCCAATTTCAGCACCCATCTGTGAATATGGTTAGCATGACCAAATGGATGTGGGGGTATGATGTTCTCATGCATTGCAAATAGTGCTGTTGAAACGTCAGTATCGGAGAGTCATATTGAACGAAGTGCAACATACCCCATGCCAGTGCAAGACAAAGTGTTGGTTCCAGGACCTGAGGAGTGACACACGTCAGTATCCAAGCTGGCCAGCAACAAAACAACTCAAATCTGGCGAATGTGCCTGAGAAGCGGCATGGGTTGGAAGCCATCGTGATCGCCGATGCCACGAGAGAATGTGAGGAGGACAGTCCGTCCAGAACGTGGCCAGGCCACTGATCGCAAGTATCAACGATGCCGATGGTGGCATGCGCACAGCGACGGCAGTATTTCCGGGTGTGATTCTGGAGGCATCTTCCCACGGAGTACGACGGTTGCTGCGAGAACTTGCCTGGTCCAGAGACGAACTTGACAGCCGATCCAGAGAAGCAATGATGATCACTCCGGAGATCCACGAAAATCATAAAGGAGCGATTCGTACTCACCATGATATTCAACAATAGCTGCCATATCGTCAGAAGAGTATTCCAGTATAGGCGAGATAAAAATACTCACCTCCAGTGCCACCCTTTACAGTCAAGATGCCTGCCACCTTGAGGATGATATCTGAACCAAAGGTCAGCATAGAACGAGGCGCAACTCCATTGTAGTTTCCTCACCCTTGGGAGCAGTCCAGCCGGACATCTCGCCAGTTAACCTGACACCAATGTACTTAGGTGCTTTCAATTCCCAAGGGAGATTGGCCATGACATCAACAGCATCAGCACCGCCAACACCGATTGCAGCCATACCAAGACCGCCAGCATTTGGCGTGTGTGAGTCTGTTCCGATCATCAGGCCACCCGGGAAAGCGTAGTTTTCGAGAACGATCTGGTGGATAATGCCAGAGCCAGGTCGCCAGAACCCAATGTTATACTTGGCGCAAGCGGAGGACAAGAAATCATACACCTCCTTGTTGATATCCTTCGCTCTGCTCAAATCCTTCTCTCCACCGATCTGAGCCTCGATTAAATGATCGCAGTGGACGGTAGTCGGGGTTGCAACGGAAGGCATGCCAGCGGACATGAATTGAAGAATGGCCATCTGTGCGGTAGCATCTTGACAAGCCACTCGATCGGGTCTGAGTCTCAGATATGACGCCCCCCGTTCGATGTCTTGTCCGTGAGGGTCGTCCAAGTGGGAATAGAGGATTTTCTCGCCGTAGGTCAACGGCCGGTTGAGTCTGCTTCGGACGACGGCGAGGTTTTCCGACATTTTCCTACGCAACATATCAGCAGCGCTCAGCTGTCTCGAAACCATCTTGGACTCACTTGTAGTTGATGTAATGGCCCTTTTCCCAGTTCGTCATCTCGACCTGTATCCGGTTGTCAGGATCGTGCAACATATGGCTCATTCAGGCAAGACTTATTTTTGCTCAAAGGATCATCTGAGACGGTAGCGTATCCCATCCTCGGCATCCGCAGAGCCTGAGCACCGTCGTTAGCTAGCCGTTGGCGCCTCCAGGTCGAGACAGATAGAGGACTGACAGATGAGACATTGGGTCCCTAGCCGTAGATGGCATGTTAGCTCAGACTCAAACAAAGGCAAGGTGTTCCTGCAGAACATGGGTGTTCCAGTAGTTGTCGGGAGTTAACGAACGTGGGCATGCGAGCAAGGTGCTCGGCATGATGCTGGAGCACTTACCAAGCGCGAGCCCAAGCGGCCCAAAGGCCTTGTGGACATCATGATGGCGACAATGCTTGATCAGTAGCAGAAATGCAAAAGGTTCAAGCTCGACGGCGGGATGCACAGCACCTGAGGGAGAGTGGAGAGGTGGTGGAAAGAATTGAAGAGAGAAACTGGTGAAGAGCGGACGGAGATGTGGATGCAAATGGAGGAGTTGTTCGAGCTCCAAGTTCCAGCGCCAATCAGCCTCGGGGGAATGAGCAACCCACGATAAGCTCTTGGACGACGTCAACCACCAACAACGTCAATGGCTGCAGCTCCTCAGCACCGACGCAACGCGCGAGGGAGATCGACTGTGAAGTAATGTCCTTTCGCCCTTTCGTGCCTCTCCAGACCTGATATATTTTTCCGCCGAGACGGCCGTGTGTGAGGTGTTGCGTCGCTGCACATACCTAGGCCAGGGCTCCACCCTTTTCTCCATGCTTCCGAGCAAATGCCTCAAGCCTCGCCATTTTCTTCTGGCCTGCAGACCATTCCACTAGCCAATCACCGCCGAGGCGATTACCTACCTCTGCCATGGCCGCCTGCTGCGCGCAACTGAAGCCGCTACATCCACCAGCTGCAGTGGCAGCCTGGTGAGTGTATTATGTAGCTTGGAATTACTACTACCCACGGATGATGTTTGACTCCATGAAGCTTGGACGAGTGCGACTTGGTTAGGAGGACGCTCTACTCGTCCCAATACGGACTGAGTGCGATGAAGAGAGGGCAACGTCAGGTCCAATCCGAGGCAAAAGACGTCGCGACGCCGTGATTCGCAGGATGTGTCAGACCGACCGTCTCCGCTACTGGGTGACCACTCGGAAAGTCGCGCTCTTGTTGGCGGCTATTCGCAAGGCTGAGGCCCGGCTAAAGCTGCCCAAATGAACCTTTGAGCCACAAGAAAATATCCGCAAATTCATCTGCGCCTTGAAACCCCGCGCATGTTGTCGCCGCCAGGTCCCTTCCGACAGACAATCGAGCCAACCGTACGAGTACTGCCGGAGAAGATCCCGGCACAACAATATGGGCAGCATTCGGCGCATCAAGACGAAGCGTCGTACCCGGTCTGCTTGCACTCTTGCTTCCACAATGGTCCCCCGCTAACTTCCTGACAGCGACCTCGACCAAGTCAAAGCCGACCTGAAGTCTCCCAGACATCTACGCCTTCATCAAAGTACCAAAGCCTCCGAAGATCTACCCGGTCTAGGTGCTTTCTATTGTATCGAGTGTGCCAAGTACTTTTCCGATAGCCATAACCTGAACGAGCATCGGAGGGGAAAGAACCACAAGAGACGGTAATATCAGACTTTGCGGTTCAATAGCCTAGTCCGTCCTGACGCATTTTCTAGGGTGCGCATGCTCAAGGAAGAAGCCCATACTCAGAAGGTGGCAGAGGCCGCCGTGGGTCTGGGCGCAGACGATCGACGAGCTCGGCTCGCACAGACTGATGCTCATGCCCATGTCGGTAACGAGGCCATGAAAGATATTGAACGTTGAGGTCCGGCGCCGACCAATACATATTCGCTTTCCGAATGACTATTCAGCGACCGCTGCGACGGCGATAACCAACAGCGTCGCTTTTCGACGCTAAAGGGAATGAGCCCTTTATTTGGCGACGGTAGACTGCCTTCCGTTGGTATGGAGCGTCATCGACTTCCTCCGAGGAGTTCCATGATCCTTTCGTATGCGTACCACTACTGGCTTATTGGTAAATGCATCGACAGCAGGTGCGATGACGTACCTGAACAGCATTCACGATGAAAGCCCTCAAGCTGCAGATGCCTACACCACGATAGAAACCTCCAATGCCGGAGCTCCGCCATACTTGACGAGCAATAGCCAGTGAAGACTGCTCTCGATGAGCCGCCATCTCGCTCCCAGGTAGGAGTCGCTGGCGTTCGACCGTCCAAGAAGGCTGTGTTTGCAGACGAGTCTTGATGACGTCCAGAGGATAGATGGACACCCAGGTAACAACTCCGGCAATACCTCCACTGATTAGGACGTCGGCAGCAGTAGGAGAGACGAATGGATCGGCTTGTCTTGAGAGAAGCAGGCGCTTGGTCAGCTCGTAGGACCAGAAATACCAACCATATCCGAACGAATCTCTAAATGCAGTGATTGTCCCTCCGTAGTAGAGCCCGCGTATCCCGCCGTGCTTCCAGACATCCTTCAACACATGGTAGGAAGACCCTTGTCCGTCGATAACCAGCTGAGCCCTACATTTTATGAGCTCAGACGGAGCTGAGACCACGAACGTGGCCAGTCCGCCGATTGCCCCAGCGACCCAGATCTTACTCAAGTCCACCCCAGCCAGCTTCGTATAGTCAAATATACCTGGGTCCATCAAACTGAGGGATCGATTGAAAGACAAGAACAAGATCGAGTTTAATGCGCCATAACCAAGGATGGGAGCCGCCGCGCCTCTGAATAATGCTGTGAATCTCTTGACCGCATTCTCAGGCTCCCGGGTCCTGACAGAGACGGCGTCACCTGTATTTGTACTGGCTTGTGCTCTCACTTTCAAGACATCCAGACGATTGCCGATTAGTATCCCAATGGCGCCAGAGAAATAGCTAGCCCAGAAATCGGCCGACATGCTGAGCTAACCTAACCCGCCCCTCGAAGCCACCAGGCGAGACGGCTGTCCCTGCTATATCATCGTTTTTGTGACCTGTCGATAAATCAGTGGACTGAATGTGCTGTACAGAAAACAGAGAGGGCATTTGTGCGCTCATCGGGTTTCCGGCAGTTAAGCACGTCACGTGACTGCGCGTTAGGCCCGTCGCGTTCTGGGACGCGACTGTCATTTCCAACCTGTCGGCTGCTCAATAGCCTTTCAATAACTGATTAATATCTACGACTGCATCTCTGGCGGCTCTGAATGCTGTTTTGTTTCTCGAAAATGTATGCCTAACCATCCCGTATCCGTGCTGGATGTTGATGCTCACTTAGTCTTACAGGATACGCACGAAGTTGATCGCGGTCGACCACGAAAAAGAGAACATTCCGCCTGCGAAAGCTGGCCGCCTCAGCGTCAACTCTCCGGCAGCACTTGACCGACTGATCAAGCCTTTCAGGTGCCCTGGATCAGCCAATGCTCGCAAGTCCAAGGGTGAACCAGCCAGAAAGAGGAGAAAGGTCAACTACGCTGAAGAAAGTGCTGGGAACGATGATACAAGCGGCGGCTTCAGTCTCGACCCGGAGAGTAGGGCTCTCAAGGACCGGTACCCGGTCTTCAAGGTCAAAGACAAGGAGGCCATTTTTCGTTCACGGTTCTTAGTACCGCTGATCAACAAGAATGCCTTTGATCCCTCCAGGCCTGCACCGAGTCTCGGAATGCGGCGAGGTGTAGGCTTTGTCAACAAGCCCTTGCATGACCCGAGCGGGGAGTTTGCTATCGTCTTGTACGATCCAACCATCGACGAAAAGCCGCAGGACAGGTCGGAGGAGAAGAAAGACGAAGATAAGCCGAAGCTCGACACGCCTCTCATGCACAAAAGCCTCGCCGAAATACTGGGCATCAAGAAGCAGGTTGAAGGCGAGAGACCGAAGGTCCCTGTTGTCATTGACCCGAGACTGGCGAAAGTCCTTCGGCCGCATCAAGTCGAAGGCGTCAAGTTCTTATACCGCTGTACCACTGGCCTGGTGGATGAGAAAGCCAAAGGCTGCATTATGGCTGATGAGATGGGTCTTGGAAAGACTCTCCAGTGCATCACTCTCATGTGGACTTTACTCAAGCAATCCCCCGAAGCTGGCAAATCCACCATTCAGAAATGTATCATCGCGTGTCCGGCGAGTCTTGTCAAGAACTGGGCGAATGAGCTTGTCAAATGGCTTGGTGAGGGAGCTATCACTCCATTTGCCATTGACGGCAAGGCAACCAAAGAAGAACTTACTATGCAGCTCAAGCAATGGGCGATGGCCACAGGCCGGGGAATTGCAAGACCAGTTCTGATCGTCTCCTACGAGTCTTTAAGGCTGAACATTGATGAACTCAAAGATGTCAAGCTCGGACTGATGTTATGTGATGAAGGCCACCGGCTGAAGAATGCAGACAGTGAGACATACATGGCTCTGACCGGACTGAATGTCGAACGTCGGGTCATTCTTTCCGGAACACCCATACAGAACGATTTGACCGAGTACTACGCCTTACTGGACTTTGCAAACCCAGGCTACCTAGGCACCAAGGCTGACTTCCGCAAGAAGTTCGAGCTGCCAATCCTTCGTGGTCGTGATGCCGCTGGGTCTGATACCGACAAGCAGAAGGGGAGGGAAGCCAATGCTGAGCTTGGATCCCTTGTCAAGAAGTTCATCATCCGGAGAACGAACGACATTTTGTCAAAGTACTTGCCTGTCAAGTACGAGCACGTCGTCTTTTGCAATCTGGCCCCTTTCCAGAAAGATCTCTACAACCATTTCATCCAGAGCCCTGACATCAAGAGTCTCCTCAGAGGAAAGGGCAGCCAGCCGCTCAAGGCCATTGGCATCCTGAAGAAGCTGTGCAACCATCCGGACCTCTTGGATCTGGAAAAGGATCTTCCTGGCAGCGAAAAGTTTTGGCCGGATGATTACGTGCCCAAGGAGGCCCGAGGTCGAGACCGCGATGTCAAATCATGGCACTCGGGGAAGTTTGCTGTCCTAGAACGTATGCTTGCTCGCATCAGGCAAGATACGAATGACAAGATCGTGCTCATCAGCAACTATACCCAGACTCTGGATGTATTCGAGAAGTTGTGCAGAGCACGGAGCTACGGGTGTCTCCGACTCGACGGTACCATGAATGTCAACAAGCGCCAGAAGCTGGTGGACAAGTTCAACGATCCCAACGGGGAAGAGTTCGTGTTCTTGCTCAGTAGCAAGGCCGGGGGATGCGGTATCAATCTAATCGGGGCCAATCGCCTTGTGCTCTTCGACCCTGACTGGAATCCTGCGGCCGATCAGCAGGCTCTTGCTCGTGTTTGGCGTGACGGTCAGAAGAAGGACTGCTTCGTTTACAGGTTTATGAGTACAGGGACCATCGAAGAGAAGGTCTTCCAACGTCAATCCCACAAGCAGGCACTCTCTTCGACCGTGGTGGATTCAGCAGAAGACGTCGAGCGGCACTTTACCCTCGACTCCCTTCGCGAACTGTTCCAGTTCAAGCCTGACACCACGAGCGACACCCATGACACGTTCAAATGCAAACGCTGCAAACCGGACGGTACTCAAACAATCAAGGCGCCAGCCATGCTCTACGGTGACACGAGCTCCTGGAACCATTTTGTCAACTCTGGAGAGAAGGGTCCCTTGAACAGGATCCAAGATCTGCTGCTGCGACAAGAGACCACGGAAGATGCCGTAAGCGCTGTGTTCCAGTACATCAGTCACTAAAGAAAGGTCACCGACAGGCCACAGGGGTGTATGGTGGTACGGATGAGTTGTCTGCAGAGCCAAGTGTTGTCAGGCAGCATCGATTCGGGCAGTTGTTAGTGGTTGTATGAGACTTCGCAACTGAAGTCATCCATGAATGGTCAGTGAACGATACAAGTGACAGAACTAGAGAAAGAATAATGCTTGACGTGAAGAATATCTATTTGACGAATGTGGTAGTTGAATTGAAATCGTCAATATACTTGGAGCAGCGCAGAACGCAATAAAGTACAAGCTCCTCATACATAGAACCCAGGCCCACGTCTCTAGGCTCTAGACCGCATGGGGTGCCACCTGGGCTTGCCCGAGATCCCCTAGCCTATCGTCTGTGGTGCCCCCTATCACCCAATGCAGAGGCCTCCCCGCAGAGCCTAGAGGGCTGGCACTAGTCGCCTCCCACGTCTCCCACGGCCACCAGATTTGTTGCCTTATGAGGTCAGCGGTGGCGGAAATGGGGAAGGTCCAGTTCAATCAAGCGGCCGCGCCGCGGCCTCCACTCCAAAATTGAGGTGCACAACGACGCGTTCGTTTCCGGTTTCCATCACCACGACAAAAACAATTAGCTTGAATAACTGCCAAAGCCGTTGTCGAATCTTATTTGAATGCCTTTCTCCGCAGAACGCTGAGCCCGCACCTTATTGGACCGCTTTGTCGCTTCACGGATCCTGACAGTCGATAATGATATTGACCACCCGTGTCGTTCAATCGCCAAATCATCATGGATCCAGCAGTCCAGCGATTGCTCACTGACAAGCTCTATGACAAGAGAAAGCAAGGGGCTCTTGAGTATGCTCCCGCCGCCTGCTGCATGTTCGTGGCTATCGCTGATATGATCGAGGCTTGAGCGGTTTATCAGAGAAGCCAGTGCGGCCAAAGAACACGACAAGATCCGGAAGACGATTGAACAACTCTGCCACGACTATGCCTACGCCGTCCACCTGCCACACGCCCGCAATGGTGGACTCATCGGTCTAGCAGCTGCAGCCATCGCCTTGGGATCTGTGAGTCCTACGTCGGAGTGTTGTATAACCCCCAGATCGCTGACAACGTTGCAACCAGGACGAGGTAGCACGCTATCTGGCCGAAATAGTACCTCCAGTCCTGGCCTGCTTCACCGATCAAGATGCCCGCGTGCGCTATTACGCCTGCGAGGCAATGTACAACATCGCCAAAGTCGCAAAGGGAGAGATTTTGGTCTTCTTCAATGACATCTTCGACGCACTATGCAAGGTCGGGCTGACATGGTCCTCGACTTATCGTTGCTAACTTACCATCACAGCTCGCTGCCGACTCAGAACTGTCGGTGAAGAACGGCGCTGAGCTCTTAGACCGCCTGATCAAGGACATTGTCTCAGAGTCCGCGGCCTCTTATGTTTCTGTGTTGAATTTCAACGAGGAGGGCGAACCAGTCGAACCTGACAAGGACAGCACCGATCTTCCCACCACGTTCTCCCTTGCAAGATTCATCCCGCTTCTCGAAGAGCGCATCCACGTCCTCAACCCCTTCACTCGAACCTTTTTGGTTTCCTGGCTTACACTTCTCGATACCATTCCGGACTTGGAACTTGTGCACTATTTACCGGCATTTCTCGGCGGCCTTTTCAAATTCCTCGGCGACCCGAACCGCGACGTCTATGTGGCGACACAAGGATTGCTCGAACGCTTTCTCAGCGAGATTAAGAAGATCGCGAAGGTCAAGAAGGGTATCGCAGAAAGTCGCAGGAGTCGCGCGGGCAAACAAAGGCCGGCCTCGGTTGCAGACAGTACCACTGCAGGTGGTAGTCAATCCAACGAGAATGCCATCGAGGACTCGGAATCGGGCACAGCTCTAGAAGAACCCAATGAACCGGGAGAGAGCGATGGTGACTGGATACCAGGCCAGGATGCCCAAGTGGACCACGCACAAATCCTCGACATCTTGCTCAAATTTGTAGACGTTTCGAACAGCAAGGAATCGGCACCGAATTTACGTCTGGAAGGCCTATCAAGACAGAAAGAAGAAGAGATTGGGATAGTTGCCCTGCGATGGATTGACAGCTTTTTCGAGATCAGTCCTGAAGAGATTCTTCAGTTCGTGCCTCGTCTGCTGTCACGGGTTTTGCCGGCCCTGTCTGCACAATCAGAGCAAGTCCGGACGACGGCCAGCAAGGTCAATAGGTCGCTGATGGATTATATCGTCACCTTTCAGGATCAGGACGATGTTCCTCGGGACGATCAGAGCGCCTCAGCACCCAGCGATCTCACCAGAGCAACCACTCGAGATGGAGAGGGCTCTGACAAGAGGCACTCAGGCGGGACCACCAAAAGTCCACCTTCTCAGGCAGAAGGTAAAAGCGAGATTTCTCTGGAGTCGTCTGCTGAGCAAGAACCGTCCCCCCCAGAGGTTACTCCGAGGTCCACGGCGGCACCGTCGCCGCAACCCATGGCTGATCTAGATTACGCTGCCGCAGTCAATGCTTTGACACTTCAATTCCTGAATGAACACGAGGAGACACGAGAGGCCGCCTTGACATGGTTGATTATGCTGCACCGGAAGGCTCCCAAAAAGGTCCTTGCTTTCAATGACGGGACATTCCCAGCTTTGCTCAAAACGCTCTCTGACCCTGCTGAAGCCGTTGTCACTCGAGATCTTCAGCTCCTCTCCCAGATTTCCAAGCACAGTGAGGACGGCTACTTCACTTCCTTTATGGTGGCTCTGCTTCAGCTATTCGCGACGGACCGTAAATTGCTGGAGATCCGAGGCAACCTGATTATTCGTCAGCTATGCATCAATCTACAGCCCGAGCGGATATACAGAACGCTAGCGGATTGCATTGAAAAAGACGAAGACATTGAGTTTGCGAGCATAATGGTTCAAAATCTCAATAACAACCTGATTACTGCACCTGAATTGGCCGAGCTACGAAAACGACTCCGGAACCCAGACAGCAGAGAAGGACAGATGTTCTTCGTGGCTCTCTTCCGCGCCTGGTGCCACAATGCTGTCGCCACGTTCTCCTTGTGTCTTCTGGCACAGGCATACGAACAGGCGTACAATCTGTTGCAGATATTCGCGGATCTGGAAATGACCGTCAACATGCTCATACAAATCGACAAGTTGGTGCAGCTCCTCGAAAGTCCTGTCTTCACATGTAAGTTCCACTCTGCTCACGAGAACCTGCGCCTTGCTTCTGCTCGTCAGGATCTTAGACACGAGGCGGGGGCTGACAAGATGGTAGACCTGCGCTTACAACTCCTTGAACCCGACCGGTATCCCTACCTCTACAAGTGTCTCTACGGCCTGCTCATGCTACTCCCCCAATCTTCTGCCTTTGGGGCGCTGAAGAACCGTCTGAACAGCGTGTCAGCCATCGGCCTGTTACATACTCCACCTTCAGCGCCGACCCCGAGACCGTCGGTGGTCGGCGGCATGTCTGCTTCGTCCCTGCCTGCAACAACCACTGGTGCCCTGAACAGCACAGTGACCTCACGGCTCCGAACCCGCGATGCTGCTTCGGCCACAGCGAACGACCTGAAGTGGCCGGAACTTCTCGAAAAATTCAAACAGACTCAAGAGCGCGCAAGACGAAGAAATGAGAGGCTCCTCCGTGGAGACGTTGATCCCGAGACGCCTGCCTCGGCAGCTGTAGACAATGGAGGGCGAACTAGTCGTGCCAGCCTTCGTTCTGCCGGAGCCGGAGAAGGAGAAGTTTTGCGTGCAGGGAATAGATTGCAAAGTGGCCTTGGAAGGTCCCTGGCGCCCGGCACGGGATCAAGTCTCATCAAGGCCGGCAGTGGCATGACCGTGGGCGGATCCGGTGGAACAGGTGGTGCTGGCCCGCTTGCAAAGACGGTCGCGGGCACAGAGGATAGATCTGGTCCGCACAAGAGGGGCCATAGCCTTGCGGGCTTTGGCAAGTTTGCGAGTGGGATTGCCAGGGCTGGAGGGGGTCGGGATCGGGACAACAAGAAGAAGTAGGCGAACAGAGTGCCAACCAGCAAGCTGCAAGCTGCAAGTTGTTTCACGCCGGGGTTTTAGTGGTTTGTCATGAATTGGGTCAAGCTAGCGTTGGCGTCCTATGTATATCCTGGGCCGGTCAGGGTCGAAGGGGGGTAGGACCGGTATTTTGGGTGGTCTGATTCATAAGGCATAGCATCGCATCCAATGTACACATGTTCGGGAAACCAACACTCGAGTAGTCCGTACTGTGTATCTATTCTAAACTGGTGTGGTGTGGTGTGGATACTGTATGATGCACGCTAGATTCTACAGTATGTCCACGATGGTCGCGAGCAGGCTGTATGTAAGGAATCAGTCGAGTCGAGTAGGCAGTAGGCAATCATTCGAGTCGACCCTCTCAGCGCGGCACGGCTTCTACGCAAGTATACTCAAGGGGACTCAAAGGGCGGCCAGCAGAATTTTTACGTACCTAGGTAGTTACGGAGAGTATACTGTATTGGGGGGGATATATAACAAGAGACTTACTTCCGCGCTTGTGGCCTCGGCCCTCGTTCTGTGATAAGCATACTCGGACAGATCTCGACTCGAGATGAAGTCTCCTCATTTCAGCCACTCACATGGTGTCATTGATTGGTACGACGATGTTCATCGTGATGCATAAGGTACCTTAGGAGAGGGGGATCACACACACACACACACACACACACACACACACACACACACACACACACACACACACACACACACACACACACACACACACACACACAGTGGGAAAAGTAGATATATACATACGACCAGGAGGGCAAGGGCATGCCATGTATGCGCTTGAGATGGACCTGAACGTACTCCGTACGTCTACCGCCAACGCCATGAGCTCTACAGGATCGGGCACAGACGTGAATCCCATTCGAGACTGGCATGGTATGGCGGGGCATTCGATGACGCTGATCTCGTGTGCCGCACATACCCTCGAGGCGAGAAAGAGGCGCGTGGTCAAGGACGTCAACCACGGGTACCTTTTGCAATAGTCCTACTTCGTAGCACTCACCCGCAAAGCCTGAGGGACTACTCACCAGAGGGGCAATGCTCACTACGCTCCACAGAACGAGACTGCTGACCTTCATAGTATATGATTCTGCGTGAGAAACTCCACCAACCCAGCACCCACGCCCTCGGGACTGGGTTTCGCGGCGCAGACGTCCGCGTCAAAGCCATATGTCGCCTTGAGATGGTCTCGCGTCGTGGGCCCGATCGTTACGACTATATACCGTCGGTGTTGAGATTCTGATCGGGCTGAGTCCTTTGAAGTCGGATCGTCAGACTGTTCGCCCGTCCACCGCCGGCTCGCGAGGGGCGTCAAGTTCTTCTCCTCGTCAATGAACCCCAATGCGCGAAGCATCGATTCACAGCCCTGCGGACTGAACACCACTACCACGACTGGAAGGGATACATTTCGCCCTGCAGCGTCGAAGAAGGAGGACAACCTGTCGCGCAGGTCCTCTTCCACGGACTCCACGACCGCGGTGGCATACACCTCGAGTTCGTCGACCGGGATCCGCTCCGCCGGCGGCAGTCTGCCGTCCTTGTCCGTCAGCGTGTTGGGGATGATGTCCCTTCTTTGCTCGCCCACGAGGAAGAGGAGCGGTTTCTTCCTGAGCCGCGCGTCATCCTTGTCGACGCGTTGCCCGCGCGTGGATCCCAACAGCGGCGTGAACGGTAATCGCGGCGCCTCGTAAAAGGTGTACACTCTCTGCGAGTGTAACGTGTTGTAGTGTGCGAGGATGTATTGGGCCAGCTTGTCCCCGTTGCCGGTATGTTCGCCGAAGACGGCGGGCCGGAGACGCGCGAACTGCGACGACGGCACGGTGGCGGCCGACTCGGCAATCAGGGTGTTGAGGGCTCGTGAGGTGGCCGGGCCGACCGTGTAGAGCGGGAACGTAAAGTCATCGTCGATGAGAGGGCGGGTGGCATCGGCGTCTGTATCTGTATCTGTACCTGCGCCGGTGCCTGTCTCTTTGCTGTCCCGGGCCCCAGTGTCATCATCGGCTACGCTTGTAGTGCCTATCGAGAGAAAACACCAATTGGCCAAGTCAGTTCTCTTCTCCTCCCGTGCACAGGACCGTATGGAAAGTAGAGGTCAAGGGGGGAACAGACCATACCACTGCCTGTTGTGTCTTGGGTTGAAGCAGCATTGGTCTGCGGTGGCCGTGTTTTTGTCCCTGTCGGTGTGTCTGTCTCTGTCTGTGTCTCTCCCTCGACCCTCTTGACGACATCCGCCCACGCCTCGACGGCCCGCTGACTGGTGAAGATCATCCCCCCATACTGCTCACTCAATCGCCCCTCGCTCAACAGTTTCACCAGCCTCGCCGAGTTCTCGCTGTTGGGCCGGTGCTCGAGCACGGGGACAAACTCGGGCAGGAAGACGAGAGGGGACGCTTCGGCGCCGTTGTTTGTAGCGTTGCCGCCGCCGCGGCGGCCGCGGAAGTCGGAAAAGTACTCCTCATACGCGTCGTGTGGTTGGGATCTCGTCTTGAGCAGGAGGACGGGGATGGTGGTTGATGACGGTGGAGGGGTCGCCATGGTCAGGTCCGCAGGTCCGCAGTTCCGCAGTACGCACTACGGAGTACTCGTACGCGGTACGCGGTGGGCGGTAGGCGAGGCGGAAGTTCGCGGGCCGGGGGATTGAATGAAACGCAAATGCAATGCAATGCGGAGAAGAGGTCAAGGAGAAGCGAGGATAGGGCACCAACGATGGAGTACGGAGTACAGTCACTGACTCGCGGCCGTGCTAGGGGCTTTGGAGCCGGCAAGACGTCGGGCCTCTATCTACGTACGAGTAGCGGAGTCACCAGGAGGCTCGAAGACCTGAGCTGCTGGTTGGACTCATTTCTGAGCTAAAAGCGCAAAGTCACGGTGGTTATCGGTTCTAGATTTCCAGTGGTGGGTGAGTGGGTGCCAATTCAAAACACGTCGAGCGTCGGGTAGTCATTTCCGCTGGCCCAGCCCGCTCACCTCGCAGGATACGAAGCCGACTGGCGGGCTAGCTACTGTTACTGTTACTGTGGACTGTGTATACGAAGTAGGGAGTACGGAGTATGGGATCCACCAATGTTGAGACAGGTTGCAGGCCCCTGATATAGGCGACGCGAGTAACTGATTGTGGTAGGTCTGGACACTCCACCATGTCTCTGGCCTGAAGAAGAGGTGAAGAAGATGTAGAGAAGTAGAGAAATAGTGAAATCAATGATGCAGCTGCGCAGGGCTGGACCAGCAACACTACCTAGTATGGAGCACTCGTACCCGTACGTACTGTCATGCGATGTACTAGTGGTAACTCGTAGTGTGGGGAGCAAACCCTCGTGACAGTCGACGAAGCTCCCTGTTGACCCTGGATGGGGGAACGCAACATCCCAAGAAGAGAAGCTGATCAGACGAGCAACTAACAGTAGTCGTGCACGGCTAGTCGAACTATTGCCATGCCATTTCCGCGTCCGCGCTGGGACCGCTTGGCTTTGCCCATAAGGAGCATACACGAAGCAGTTCGTCCCACAGTGAAAGGACTGAGAATGTCAGGAGATTTCGCGCTTCGTAAGCGGCCTGTTGACGGCACGCTCATGTCGTTGCCGCACAGAATTCGCCAAGGACGAGAGCTTTGCGGAATTCTTGAGCACCGCGTGAGCAGTTTCAGGACACCCGTGACAATCCGCGCGGTTTGTACGAGTCATGGAGAGGCTTGTAGCGGACTGCATGCAGCCTTGCGGTTCCGCCATGGTTTCTATCTCCGGACGAATCCCTTGGCTCGATACTTCCCAAATGGCTTCTTGACACTTGTGTTGGTGAAGCAGCAGAAATATGTCAACCCCTTCCGTTCGGGACGGCCACATCGTCGATCAACGAGGCTCGTCCGCACGCGGTCTGCAGATAACTTGGACTCTGGTGTCCATTCCGCGACGATCGACCTCAACGGACAGGTTGTGCCTAGTTCGGAAGCCAGGACCCCCAGCAGGTATGAAGTACACCACAGATCCAGAGCTACAGGCATCAGAACCGCCTCTCTGCGCGTGGGCGAGTTTTCCGGCTGCATGGCGACAAGAAGGTCGGCTGCAGTGACGTTGGCAGTGACCTCCACATGAATAAAACCCCTCGCGTGTAGGACACAACGGTGGACAGGGAGAAGGCCACTGGCCGCGAGAGCCGTCGTCCGACCTCTCACAGCCGGATGATTTTGACAGGTCACACAACAGCAGGCTGGACGGCTGCCTTTCCACGGAGGAGCAGAGAAAAGTACCGTAGTAGAACGATCGCTCAAACGGTCCTTCAACTTCAGCAGAAGGTCAAAGTAGCACATTGAAAATGGCGAGACCGGCGAGGACGAGGGGAAGGGGTCGTTGAGAGATGTCTGTAAGGCACCGAAGGCCTCCGCCGAGGTGGAATGGTTGTGATCACCTCACGCTCGAGTCGACGCGGGCAGTCGGATGGAATAGACAGGTGGCTGTTCCAACTGAGTGATAGCCATCGAGTTTATCAAGTGTCACGCCGTCGTCAGAATGCTGTGTGCGTCTTCGGTCCGGTGGAGGGGTCTAGAATACATGGGCTCGTATTTGTTTGTGCCCATGCATGTCTCAATCTGGCCGTCGGGCGGTAGCAAACATCATGTACCCTGCGCTTGCGGCTTCGCGTTTGGCGCGGTTTGGCGACATGCTGGCCCAGAGGCAGGCTCCGTGCAGTGCACCAAGTCCCAACGTGGTTTGAAGGCGGGTTTGGTGTGTCGATGCTGAGCCTTGGTAGCACGACAGCTGTCATATTGGCCTTGAGTGAGGTCGCCAACCATGCAACTGGACGGTACGCTGAAACCCTGGTGGACGAGCCTGGGCCCCGGAGGTACCGTGGACGAACATGTCGACGTTCCCAAGTGCCTGGGCGCTGCCACCAGGCTCCGCGGCTTCGAGCCAGCGCTTGAAACAGTGTATGGTCCGGTATCTGAATGTTTGCTGCAGGCCGGCGTTTCAAATTACCCGTCTCAGCAAGCTTCGTAAGATGGCCCTCGCACGCTCGGCTCTTGCCTCGATTTGATAATTTTGGTACTCGTACGTGCCCGGGGCACATTTGGAGATTTCCGAGCAGACTGGCATCCATGCAACAAGGCAACGCATGGGGAAATATGCGGCATGACGGACGTCGTCCTGTTTGGCGTTGCCAGAGTTCCACACGTTAACCAGCGACGAGGGGCCCTCGCTCAAGACGGTAACACGCATACCATGTCAAACTCGCTAACCTTCTTGTTGCGTTCCATGCACGGGCATATTTGACTTCAGGCTCGATGAAGCCGTCGCGGGACGAATCCTGTCAACGTGTCCCTTGCGCGCCCAAGCTCTGGATTTGAAAAGCATCTTGGACAGAGGCCCAACTGGAAGCGCGGCTCACCGTGTTGCTGCAATTGCACCGTATGTGGAGCGACGCCATGTTTGCTCTCCTCGTCCGCCTAGATTCGGAGGCTCATCTGCGATATATAGAACATGCTCAGGGCAACTTCACACCGTCAAGTCTGTGACACTCACTCGCTGTGCTCACGACTCGTCCCATCTTGCACATACATTTCGGGCTGTTTCCTTGACTCTCATTTCTCACCGCCATCATGCCTGCCAGACAACCCGTCGGACCGAGGGCGGCAAAGGATGACTTCATGAAGGCGCTGGGCTTAAATACGAGCGACCCGCGCCACGAAGGATACTACAAGGCCATGCGAGTAGGTCGAAGCCGAAAACAAAATCCCCCGCCTGTGAGACCAAGGGCTAAACGGGCACAGGAGGAAGCCATCGTCGTATATAATCGCCTCAACGCCGATCGCTCCAACCTGATAGATGACAAGCGCAACGACGCGTCAATAACAACACCCTTTTTCTGGCACCACATTCGACAAGACCGCCGCCGACAAGCCATCATTGACACGTGGCAACAGGCCAAGCCAGGCACCGTCGCCCGGACGCTGTTCGACCAAGGAGCCACCACCGGCGAGCATGCTCCGAATTGGGTGACCTTGTGGCTCTTGTACAGTGTATTTCGGTCTCGAGATATCCGAAACAATCGGAATCGTCGAGCCGGCGAAGGGAGTAGTACTGCAGGTAAGCACGTCGACCACCCTGGAAACGTTGAGTGGGACTGAAGCCAATTCTCATTCTTCAGGCCACGGCAGCTCGAGTTCAGGCGACTCGCAGATATTCGACCCTGCGCGAGACCAGTTCGTGCGCCGATGAGGAGACGTGTGGTGGGTGGACGCTGTGATTTGTATGCTTTGTACGACTGGTGTTCGCTTCCATGTCAGGCTGCTGGACAGAATATCTTAATGGTGCTTAATCGTCCTCTTCATCGTCGTCCTTTGACTTGCTCTTGGTTCCGTTCTTCCGTTCTTTCCTCAGCGCCTCAACCACGGCCTCGTCATGCTCATCCTTGGACTCGTCCCATTGCACGTCGTACTCGGCCGCCACCGCCTTGATTTCCTTACGGATGGCGTTCCCCTCCTCGATCAGCGCCTCCCACTTCCGGATGTCAAAGCCCTTGAGCTCGTACAAGCGGCTCTGACGGCGACTGACAGTGAGGTTTAGGGCGGAGCGATACGAAACCTCACGGTTGTGGTACAAAAACCACAAATAACCACCAATGAGCGTGCTGAGTCCGACAAGGTAGGTGACGGGCTCCATGACGTCCCAACCAAGATCTGTCTCGAACGTGAGCCGATATACCAGATACCAATAGCCGATAAGCAGCCCACAGCCGCCCATGGCTATTCTCTGGCCGCTCCGATGCGCAGCAGCATCGCATTCTTGCTTGATCGCAGCCAGATCCGCGATTTTACGGGCCGTTCTGCGCAGTCTTTGACGCAAGTAGTAGGTTCTGTCGTTGAAAGAGGGCACCGCGACCTTGATGGTCTTGGGGCTCCCCTCAATCTCGACTTCGAACTCTTTGGCTCTGGCGGCGTCTCTGATGAAGTCTCCTATTTCGGTGGAGGCACTCCATCGGACGAATTCGCCCTCGTCTTCCCCAGTGCCTTCTCTGCCAGCTCCGCTGTAGCTCTGGACCCCGCCATCACCAAGCGATCGCTTCTTCTCTCCTTTCTCTTGTTCTTCGGGTGTCTGATTCTTTGGCTTGATCTCGTCATCCTTGGCTTCCATTGCCCGAAACGATATGCTAGGGACTCTGTTTTCACCTTTCTCGTTGGTCATGGTTGGCAGCTCTGCCTGGATCAACCGTTCGAGATACGAGAGAGGCTGCTGAGGATGTACGAGCAAGGCAAGGGGGGCGATGTCCTTTCGGTCATCGTTGTGATCGTTTGTAGTCAAAGGCAAAACCAGCTTGAGGAGCCTTGACGGGGTTGTCAACAGCTTCCCTGCGGTAGAGTCAGCAAGCGCGTCGGGAGTCCAGCAGATCACCACTCGCCTTTGGTCATCGCTCCTGCCGAGCGCTGTCGACGAACAGGGGCCACGTCCACGCCCTGACGGTGCCATGGTGCTCGCTGCTGCTTTTCCTGGTCGTCAGCCACGGCAGTGTCGAACTCTGAAAGGGCTTCATCGACGCCTTGCTGGTTGAGGTCCTTCGCCCTTTGTTCGTAGGAAACACTTCTGCACGCATGTATGACGGAGCTCACACGGCCCGAGGCAGAGGGATTCCGAGTACTGGGCTTGTGCTTTCGAGGGAAGATATGGTAATGTTGGCGAAAGTCGACTTGTGCACGAGTCGATAGCTCGGTCGCAAGACTGATTGGCTTCAGTGGCCCAAGTCGCGCCGGGCGCAACACTGGAGGCCTCATTTTAGGGGCGTTTCCTGGTTGTTATACGAATGGGCGTGTTGATCCGGCCATGCCTGTAGAGGTTTCTAGCATCCTCAGTCAGCTGGGACTTGGTTGAGCAAGGACGATGTGAATTCATTTCAGATTCGTGTCTGGACTTGATGGAAACTGGGAAAGAGCCAGGACGTCATCGCCCGAGTTGATGATCTTCACGTCGTTGAGCAAGCACAAGCCACCGCCGGAATAATTGTGGCCCTATCACTGCGCGCCACCAGCCGCTTGGAGGCTGCGCTCGTTAGGCGGGATCTTATCTCGGGGCGCCTATTCGACCCCCATCCAGCCTAAGAAAGCCCAGCATCTCGCACGTTTGCAGTGCAGGTCCGGTAAGAGAAAACTCGTGACTTTGCGGTTCTAAATGTAGGATCAAAATCATTCACACATCCTTCCCGGCTAGAACTTGCTCATGCTTGCTCGTTCTGAACGCGCTCGCCTCCCACGCTTCAAGCCGCTATGCTTCGAAGAACGCAACATGGCTCAGAAAACCACACAGTTGCCTGCTGAGAGAATTCTTTGTCTAACCACGGTGTAGCCGTAATGAAATGCTTGGTCGTGTCATCATGAGTCATGAGAAATGGAAAAGTGCCTCCAGCAGTCATGGGGTCGTGAGTCGTAAAGTCGTACAAAGCGTCTGGGGTCGAATCGATGCACCACAGACGATGGGATCGCCTGATAAGCAGAAGAGAACTTTTGGGGGACAGTCCCTCGACACACGCCCTAGTAGCGTGGCATGTGTCGGCTGCTGTAGTGGCTCATATCCGAGGAGTACACAGGACGGCGGGAAGCCGATGTGCGCACAGGCTCGGTGAGGCGAGACTGGCCCCAATCCGGGCTGCTTCCACCACTCCTGCTTCCAGCACTGTCAGAGTCGCCATAACGGTAGTCTGCTCGAGCGCTGTCCGTGGCACTCCTGCGGTTATGGCGGCCAGAACCAACGGGCACGGGATTGCCCTGAATTACACCTCCATGGGCGAATCCGGTCGGATACATGCCATCATTGGCAGAGAAGTTTCGGCAGATGTTGAACGCAATCAGCGCAGCGTTCTCCTTTGCCGACGTCTCCGAGGAGTGATGCATCGGCGTCTGATATTCACGGTTGTTCACCCTGACAACGCACCGATATCCAGACGAACTGTAGGATATTTGGTAAGCGGGTTCGGGCCATCGCCGGCGCTGACAGAGACCTGGGGATCATTCGTCAGTGTCTGAGAAGCGGATTGACGAGTGAAATCCAAGTAGAACAGGGTTCAGTGGCCCGAGATTTCCAAGCAGACTCGGTCAAATCCTCGAAGTAATACCTGCAAGGCTGGCAAGCCCCTGAGTGACCATGATGGCGTCGACTGCACAGCAACAGTTCGACAGGGCACGGAACAAAGGCCGGGAGCAATGGGGCAAGCCGGGTATGGCAACCAAAACAGCAGAATGAAGCGTTGGAAGAGACATACTGGCCAGATAGACAGTGTGTAGCATGTCTGCGTTCGACCGAGTGCTCCAGGTGCTTTGGTGCCCAATATATCGTGCATCCAATCGTGGGCCGCAAAAGCAGAAAAACCACCAAACAGATCAGAACCTCGTCGACGACACAGCTATCAACCAGTATCACCTCTCCCAGAAGTATTGCCTGGGCCAAAGAGCTTGTGGGATCCGTAGGGCAGATTTTGTCAGGTAGTAGTAGAGTTGATATCATCGATATAGTTGGACCTTTTTACAGGTGAGCCGTCGTGGAAATTCCACCCAGAATTCGTGGCTCAACAGCAGTAAGACCCGCACTGACAGCACAGCAAGCGCGAAGAGAGCGGCATTGCGTGGGGCATGCAAAAGAATTCCACAGTGGCCAAAAAGTCTCGAGTGAGCGGCTGGGTATTGGTCGATCTCGAGGGGAATAGCATTTTCATGCTCTTCTACCATCGTAATGTATTGATGTGTTGGCATGCTTTTTGACCAGTTAATGGGACGTCGACGTCGGGCCCGTTCTTAGCATCTTCCCTTTCGTCTGGGGCATGCAGATCCAGATACAGGCCTTGATTGGCGAGTGGCTGCTTCTATCATTCCCCGCGCAGCCCATCGAATGGAAAGCGAACCCTGGCACAGGCACTCGTGGCTCGCCATGCTCGATGTGTCTGCTCCGCTTCCGTTGGGTGACCGGTGAAGCTTGCATAGAAACGGTTGTGTACACTCCGAAATGCTAGGGCGTAGATCTTTCTTCTGGCCTCTGGCCCGAGATCTTCCAGTTTGACGCAATCGCACTTGTGCACGCAACAGCTGGCAAGTGGAGATCCATAGATGATGATGGAGGCTTCAACCTCGGCCAGACGTTTTGTTCCGAGACATCCAGCCTGAGAAGGTCAGGACGTCTCGCCCCCCGTTGATAGGCAGGCTAAGCGCGGGAATGAGCGTTTCCAGGCGCGGTAGGCTGTCCCTACTGAGTGAGGTCAAACTCTGAGTTGCGCCATCTGAACTGACTTGCCTGAATGCTTGAGTCTGGAGTGCTCGCGGCCATTCAAGTCCACGAACCGTTTCGGCTTGAGATAGAACGCGGCCTGGGAACTGCAGCTCAGCGCGTGGCCGGCGAAAGCATGTATTGAGCCACTTCCCGCACTTAACTCGTAAAGTTCCGATGCATGAATGCGTTGTCAATAAATGCAGGTTACCGTACGTGCAACAGGAGTCTTCTTGTTGGGCGAGCTTGCATGGCAAGTTCGACTCTTCCAGTTCGCCGGATAGGTGAGCTCTGGACTGTCCATTGGAGAGACAGGGAAGAGGCTCAATGGTGACCAGCAAGCGACAAATCGCGGGCGTCGCGATATGCATCCAAGATGCTCGCGCGAGGGTGATCAAGCAGTCAGAAGTGTAATCCTACTTGATCCAACGTGCGCGCAGCTCTAGGCGAAAAGGCGAGTCCTGGTATTCGGAGTGTCTGTGATGAATCACCAGTGCTGTAAAGGGTACGGTAGCAGCGCGAGTCCAGCAGCCTCAGTGAAAGTTCGCAGCTGCAGGCAAGGGAAGTTGCAGCAACGGTGGACAGACCTCATAGAGCCTGCTTGCCACCTTGCCCCGGCTCCCTTCTCCCACTAACAGTAGCCCGTCTTCTGGGGCTCATTCCGCAACAGTCAGCGCCCAGGAACAGGAGCTCGGGAGCGACCACGGGACTGCAGAACACAATCATCTCCTCGGCGCTGCTACAGCTGCATTGAGTCCACCGATGTGTTCGTGAAGCAGTGAGGTGCAGGGACAATCGAAGCGCAGAGCGAAGATTTAGTGAGGCTGAGGCAAGGAGTTTCTTCTGCCGTTATCCTACGTAAGTACGTAACTAAGACTCTGTTCCAATGGGCTTGGACCCCAAGGCTCGCACCTGGAGAGAAAATGTGGCGTACGGAGTGAAGCAGTAACAGCAGTTCAGAACATTTGCGCATGTGTCGCGTCCACGAGACCCTTCGTCAAAGCAGGATGAAGAATAGCTCGTAGTCTTTGCTACTCGAGACCTGCACTATCCTCCATCACGGCCCGGTCTGTGGGGTAATTGCCGTACAGCCTCGACGTTCAGAGGTCTCGATAAGAACCACTGCCTGATGGCCAGGGCAGCGTCGTGTGGGATGGTATAGACCGGGTGGATCTTGTTTACGCGGGCGCCAGTATCGAAGAGCTTGTCACCGTTCTGCTCGCTGCGAATTTGGGCTTTGGACACCTCCCAGGAGAATGCTGAGCTAAACGGGTCGTCGTCTTCGTCAGCGAGAGCGTAAGTGTGGGAATGCTCAACTGTGCTGAGTCCACAAAGAGTGTAACACGTATGGTAAGAATCAGGCCGCCTGTAGACTACGTTAGCGATTGCGAGACACGACTCTAGGGCACCTTACTTTGATGGCTTGTCTCGGAGCCCACCCTCCTCAGCCTGGCAACAGCAAAGAATGTATCTTGCGAGACCTTCGCTGCTGTAAAGATTCTCACCCACACCAAGACTTTTGCTTCCGGCCGAATTGCGAGGCCCGCTTACTGCTGCTTGTATCAGTGGCCAGCTCGATCCAAGCCAATGGCTGTAGCAGCCGTCCACCAGCTTGTTTGTTCGACCAGCAAGTCCACCTTCCGGCGCATATTGCCGCGACGACAGCCACCATATCAGTGCGTCGACATCTAAGAACTTGTTGATGGTTTTGTCCGGCGGGCCGTACAGGCACAAACACGCGAGGGCACAAAACGCATAAGAACCGTGCGCCTCGCCTCCTGGTGATGCTGCAATTCCGCCTTCAAAGGTCTGGCAACGTGAGAGATACTCGCCGAGTCCATCCATGAACGTCTCCAGTCCCGCAGCTCGGGCTGGAGAATCCGGCGGGAGCGATAGAGGGAGATTGAGCAAGGAGATAGCGAGCAAGCCACAAAGAGCTCCTCGAGTGTCTTCTTCAGCGCCCTCGGACACCTGGAAACCTCCATCTGCCTGCTTGAGACGACCAAGCCAGTGCCACATCTTTTCACGATCAATAAGTCCATATGCTTCTTCTCCACCGACCAGCGCAAGACTGAGCAGCGCCGCATAGGTCCCGGCCAAGTGTGCATATTGTCCAAAGCCGCCTCCTATGCCACCGTCGGGATGCTGCATGGAATAAACCGTCTTCACAACCCTGTTGGCACGATCAGCCGATCTGAAGCGTCCAGGTCCTGCTCGCCATGTCGAGACCACAGGCACAAGGATGGAGAGTGTGTTACCTTGACCTGAACACTGAGATATCTTCGCCGAGCAGATAGAGACCTAGTAATGCCCAATAGACCATCCAAGGACGACTGGCGTCGATGCCGACGAAGGGTGCCGGAAATTCACCCAGGTTCTCATGGAGAAACTCAATATGTTTCTCTCTTTCCAAGTGAGGCAGCCCGAACTCGTTGAAGTCAAGGAGGCTTCGGTTTGCATCATCCGCCTCATTCAGAAGCGGCATGCATTCTTTGACGGTTTTGTCTTGTACAGTGGATGTCTCTGTCTCCAGGGCGTCTAGTACTGGCGGTTCACAGCGATAGTAAAACGGTATCTGAAATTCCGCCTCGTCTGAGGCTGCCATCGTGATGGATGTTGCAGTCAGAAATTCTACGTCGTGCAGAGTGGTCGTCGCCTAGAGTGAGATAAGGGATGGTGTTCAGTGTATACGGTTGACAAAGACGGTGTTCCAGCACGAAGCACGTTACTATTGTTCTTGGATTCCTGGTCTGCCACCACCATGTGGAGCATGCCGCATGGCCCTTTTTGCATGCCAGGTCGGTTTCGATGAAGATACTACTTCCGCAAGGGAGATTCCATTGTCAACGATGTCTCGTGTGCTTTAGTCGTCTAGCGCGAAGCCCTCGAATGGACTCCGTACTCACCATGGAGTGCATGTGCTGGTGATTAGACGGTCACGGGCGGTACGAGACTGCAATTGAACCTCGCTTCTGGAGTTAAAGATCCTCCGGAATTCTCCTTGCGGCATCTTCAGGGCCCTGTGGCCCTTTTAACCGCCGAGACCATGAGACCCAAGACCCCTCATCCATTACCTAGGCACTGTAGAGCCTCCCTAGGTACCTAACTAACGAGTCACCAGCGCGTACTTAACGGCGTGCCCCTCTCGCAAAACCGTGCCTTTCCCCACACAAGTCGCGTCAACACATTTCGCTTTGCACTTGCACCAACACCTATGGACGTGCGAGCCGAAAGACAACCCAAGATGTTAGATTCGAGATTCGCATCTTATCAACTGCAGTGATCGATGGGCACACAAGGTTTTGCAGACGCTGCCAGTGCCCAGTTCAGATCGGCGAATCGTTGGAGGAAACCTTCGCGGCGGCTCTCCTGAGTCCACAGTCACCGTTACCGAGCCGCAAGATGCGAGGCACCGATGTCTTCCGCCTCTACTACAAACTTGAAACGTCGGCCGGCTTGACTGACATTTTCTGGTGGGAGTTGCCCTTGCCCTGATTCTCGAATTGGGATTGCAGGCGTGTCAATAGCAGTAACAGCCCGTGACCAGGGGAGCTGGTCTTTGAGGCGTACACCGCTCTTCCAAGTACGTACACAGGTGCTCACGACGTAGCGGTGGACCATCTCGTTCATGCTGTTCAGCTCGCCACGCAAGGTAGCAGCACTGAGCTTCCCGCAAAGGAGCCCATACAATGACAATGTCGGAGAGCAGGGTCGATGATGAGGCTGTTGGAACAGGGCACAAAATCGCAGATATACTGATTGGCGCTTGAGAAGGCGCAGCATCACGCTGAGATCTCATCGTTGTGGCCGGGGTTTTTGCGCACGGAAGACGCGACACGAGAAAAGGACTTGCCTGGATAGGGGTAGTGGTCAGCGCCATTCCAAGGTTGTTGGATTACTTGCATTAGCGGTGAGCTTGTCTATTTCGTGGCGAAGTGCAGCAAACCGCCAGAAGTCTGGGCAGAGGTCGCTGTCTGGCACGTTTCACCCATTCACGTCGGCAGAAAACATCGAGTACTCCTGGGTCTCTCTCCTCGTCCTCTTCATCCACAATCCGGAGTACAGGGGCAGCTCTCCTGCGTAGTCCAGCAGCTAGTCGGGCCTGAGGCGTTGGCCTTCACCACGAGTAGATCGACACCCGAAGAATTAGTTCTGGTCTGTCTGCTTTGGTGCCTTGCGGCAAGGGAGGGAGACGATGGCCGTCTCTCTGCTGCGAGTGATGGCTACGAGTGCCATGAGAGGAGGCAACGTCGGAGATGTGAGCAGAGAAGTGATGGAGGCTTCAGTACTCCGTATAATAGCAGTAGCTTCGGGCAAGAGCAGACGTATCTGGGTGAACGGGTTGGATTGTTGCCATCGGTACGCAGTACGTCTGGTTGTGCCGGCTGGGGGAAGAGGCGGAGGGCGCAGTTACCAAAGTACCCGACCTGTAATTCACAATTCATTCTACGCAGTACTGATATGATGCTGCAATTCCTCCCAGCTCTCTCAGAAGAAAGACTGATCTTTTCCACTACGATTAGCAGCTCCCCAAACACGTCTTCCGCTGCCTTCACCCATTCTTGACGGTGCATTATTGTTCCGAGTGTTATCCAGGTGAAGCCTCAAGAAAAAGTCCCTCGAACAGGAACCCTATCTACGGCCGCGGCCAGGTGCCCACCAGGTCGAAGCATAGGGCGAACAACAGCCGCGCATCGCTCCAGGTACGAGGACGGAGTACGGGACGGTACTGCTCGTGCTCGTGTATCCCGACACAGCCAGACCCGAGCCCGGCCACCTTCGCAGAGGAAAACGTCTTTTGCCGACCACCGTCACCAAACCTCGTTTGGCCTCGTTTGGCCTCGTTTGGCCTCCTTCAGGTCTGCAGGCCCTTTGGTTCTGACCACTAAGCATCGAGCTTTCGGCCGTGGCATCGCACAAACCCACCGGCCACTCCCACTCGACTTGCCTCCCACTCTCTTGTCCCCGCCTAATTCGACGATCCGCATGCACGGCTCACCGCCTCTTCTCACCCTCTCTTTGCTCTCGCACCTGAGGCCCGCCCTCTTCGTCGAGCTCGTCCTGAGCGGTCACTTTCTGTAACTCCTGTCCTCTGTTTCTCTTCCTTTGCATCTCCCTCTCGACAGCTATCCTGCTTCTTGCCTCACGAGACTGGGGAGACAATCAGCCAGGCTGTCCTCGAGCCGCTCGTGCTCCGAACCGGCTATCTGACCCACGAATCTGACGGTCCGAGTCTGACGCATCCTTCAGCATGGCGGGCAACGTCGCCCTGGCTGGCGAGGATCTCACCTACGATCTCGATTCAAGAAGCCTCTCCTACTTCCGAAGTCACGCATGGCCGATGCAGATGGACCAGGTAGCTGCCGCACGGCCAGACCCTAGGAGGAACGTCTCGCCAATTCAGACCAACAGCCACGGGCTGCGACAGACAACAATGGCCGAACATCCCATGATGGATACTTGGAGGTTCGAACAACAGCAACAACAACACCAGCAACATGTTCACCATCAACATGCTCAGCACCACCATGCATATCAGCACCACCAGCAGCCAAACGTCGACTTCACCACACAACAACAAACATACGACCTCCCCTTCGACCCTCAATTCCACGGTCTGCCCATGCAGCCCTCTCAGATGGCCATGATGCCGGTCTCACAAGCCCCAATTGCATCCGGTCTGCCGCTGGAAACGTCATATCTCCCTCTCGACTCCGGTATCGATGGCATGCCTCAAAACTGGGCCGACTTGCAGAGTGAGCTGATGACCTTTACGACGACGGACGTCGGGCTTGCTGTGTCCCCATACCACCAAATGACCAGCTCGCCCACTGGATCCCACCTCGAAGTGCTGTCACAGCCGAGCTCTTGTGACGAACACGGGTGGCACATGGTCGAGCCCCGGACATCATTTGAATCGTACGAACGCCATTATTTCGTTGATCCGAACCAGACTGTCCACAACAGGACCCTCTCCGAGTCATCATACTCGGACCTCGAACCTCAGGGCCACGGCACGTTCATGTCGAGCCTTGATGTCGGCACCTCGCAAGCCGTGTATTCGCCAACCACCCTGTCAGATAGCGACTACGAATACATGGGCCATGCCCACCGCTTGTCAATAGATCAAGGTTCCGCTCCGACCATGGGTGTCAATCCTTCCGCCCTCGTCCGCCCCATTCCTATTCCTCCCGCTAAGTCCTCCGCACCCTCGATACGTTCGCCCGGCTCGCAAGGATCAGCCGGCTCACCCGGTCGCAAAGCTTCCAAAAAGAGTCCCATCGGTGTCAAATCCACCGACAAGGTGATGAAGAAGTCGTTGCCAAACGGCAAGGTTGAGGGAGAGAAACGAGTAGGACGCAGGAAGGGACCCCTTCGACCCGAACAGCGAAAACAAGCCAGCGAGATCCGGAAACTGAGAGCCTGCTTGCGATGCAAATTCTTGAAGAAGACATGCGACAAGGGGGAACCGTGTGCCGGATGTCAACCATCGCATGCACGCCTGTGGCAGGTTCCGTGCACGCGCATCGACATCAAGGAGATTGGATATTTCTTGAAGGACTGGAAGTTCGACTACGAGCGACACATATCGCTGGGCTTCTCTGTCGGCAACATCAAAGGATTTTCTGATACGGAAAAGACGCTGTTCATCACCCATGGCTATGGTCACATGCTGCCTGTCACTGCTCGAGAGGTCTACGTCAGGGATGAGACTTGTTTAAAGATGGACTGGATCGAAGCCAATTCCTGCTCTCCAGACGGCTTCGAAGTTGGCACAGCCAAACTGTCAGCCGGCATGGAAGGCATCTCAACTACTATGCTCAGTGATTACCTGGATCGACACATTGACGGCACTGGCACGTTTGACAAGTTTGTGGACGACTACTTCGAGGGCACGCCTTTCCTGTCGCAGATGTTGAAGACCGCCTACCGCTTTTACTTCAAGACCGGCTCGAAGATCATCAAGAAGGCACTGAAGTTGATGTTGGCCTACAACTTGACGCTCCACATTACAATGGTCGAGGGTGTGCCAAGTGAGGAGTCGTTCGCGGGCAGGATCGAGGAGCAGACCTCCAAGTTCTTTGGCAAGACCATGGCCCCTGTGATGATCAACTTCCAGATCAAGTGCGCCATGGCGGACATGTGGCGTGAGCTGCACAAAGACGTCCTTGAGGAGCTGTCGAGTTTATATTCGAGTGTGTACAGTGGTGACAAGCTCAAGAACTGGCCGACCATCTTCATCCTGGCATCGGTGCTGTTGGCCGTGTGGGAGTGCATGCAGTTCGACTGCCACTATCGCGTGCCTGATGCCGCTGCCGTGGAAAAGTTCTGCAACGACATGGAGACTACCCCGGTCGGTGTCGTTGTTGGCCTCTTCCAGGCCATCTCTCAGAAGCTCCCGTCTTTCTTGGAATGGGATACTTCCAAGCACCATACACTGCTTGCATCGGACATGGACGTTTGCAGTACTATGGCCGAAGTCCGAGAACATGTTACGAGATATGGTGGGTTTTCGTCCATCCCAGTGAATATGAGCGTGACTGACAGTTATGACAGAGAACTACTTACGAGGACGACCTAATTCGCGGTTTGACCGCAAGGACTTTGACTCGCTCTCAAACAAGTTTCTTTCGAAACTTGTGATCCGAGCCAACTAGAAGACAGGACGCATTATGGCTTATGATGAGGAAGTTGCCGTTGCAGAGCTAACGAGTTATTTGAAGTGCCTCACGATATCACGCACCTGCATAGCATTTGATTTGAAGCGAAGCGAATAAACGATTGATGAATGATCACGGCATGATGACGACGAACTCACTCACTCAAGCTACGTTTTATATATACTGTGGTGGAAGAAGAATGGACTCATGGTTGGGTGTTGGAAGAAGTGTCCGCGGTCAGATGGGTATTTCCTTGGGGCGTATAGCGAGGACGAACTCATGCAGCAAGCGTTTTGGATGGTCTGAAATCATTTCGGCCAATTGCCAGCCAATTGTCATTTTGGGCAAGCTCGAGGGGCGGACGGATGTTGAAGCGATTACATAGACCGCAAACCCGGAACAAAAGACGGCGGTCCTCACGGCAAACAGTTGGCAATTGTCGATTCATCCCGTGTTATGCCATTTGAGGCAGGCGTGGATGTGACGCTTTGTACGGCAGTACTGGGTATGAGAGACGGGCTTGTTGACTAGGAACGAGCAATGAGCCAATGAGCCAATAAACATATCATTCTTTCCCCCAGGTATCATCTACGAGTTCTCGTACTGGGCACCCACGAATGGAGGGAAGTCCCGTTCGGCGTGCTGCAAAACATTCCGTACTCCGCACTAATCCGAAGAGGGTTCCACGTCTCTGAAAATGGCTGCCAGGCATATGTCGGATCGTTGTTCCGTACTTGCTTCCGGCTTCTGACGCACGATGACGGTCGCCAAACAACTTTTGCAAGAGACGCACCGTCCAACCAGCTGGACACTTGGTACTGCCTGCTTTGAACCTCTTCCCTCGTTCTGGCCGCTTCCCGAAGATTCACCCGCGTTAAGCCGGAAGTTGCTCCCCATCAGCCTGTCTTTGTCGCCGCGTAACTTGGCGCCGTGTCACCCAATCCGATTGCAACCTAACGACCACGTATTCATCGCTGGCACAGCAGTCGACAAGAAACTCCTTCCGTGATTGAGCTTTTCAACCTGAAATCGAGTTTCACTGCTGCCTACCCAGTCCGCTGCCCATCACTGCATCGACGCGCCACATATCCGCATCACGTTGGCTACTCCAGCAAGCACCCAGCCAACCTGCTCCTGCTCCTGCTCCTGCACCTGCACGTGTGAGCCTGCTTTGCCACTGCTTCGAAAAGCATTGAGCTGGATTTCACGCTAGACAGCGACTGCCACCAGCAAGAGACTCATTAGGTGCAGGACCAACAATCCGAACCGTCGACGAAGCTTTACATCATTTTTACACATCCACTTGTTTACCTCTCACCGGGCTACCTCTGTTCAACCTCACCACACCCGTCGAACGACAGTTTCACTGCGAGGCTGATAGGGCTGCTCACGTCTCTCCAGCTGTCACTCGACGCCCTGCAAACGCATTCGTCTCTCGACCTCAATCCTCCATTCTGTTTGACCGTAGCATCCGTTCGATCCGACCACCTCCTCACCTGGTCTGAGTCAGATCTCGACACCATTCAATTGCTTTGGTGAAACCCCTGCATACCACGCGAGACATCATGCCTTCCGCCACCGATAACCCACCCAAGACGGATTCACGACTCTTGCTTATCTCAAATCGACTTCCGATCACCATCAAACGTTCACCGGAAGGGAAATATGACTACTCCATGTCCTCGGGCGGCCTGGTCACTGGCCTCAGTGGTCTCGCCAAGAGCACCACGTTCCAGTGGTATGGCTGGCCAGGATTGGAGATCCCTGACAACGAGTCCGATGATGTAGTCAAGCGCCTGAAGGACGAGTTCAATGCCATCCCCGTTTTCGTGGACGACGAATTGGCCGACCGCCACTACAATGGCTTCTCAAGTAAGTCACCTGCCTTCGACTATTTGTTGTTAGAACCGGCTAACAGAATCTAGATTCGATCATGTGGCCGCTGTTCCACTATCACCCCGGCGAGATCACGTTCGACGAATCGGCGTGGAATGCTTACGTTGAGGTCAACAGGCTCTTCGCCCGAGCCATTGTCAAGGATGTCGAGGACGGCGACCTGGTCTGGGTTCATGATTACCACCTGATGCTTTTGCCACAGATGCTCCGCGAAGAGATCGGCAACACCAAGTCCAATGTCAAGATCGGCTTCTTCTTGCATACCCCGTTCCCATCAAGCGAGATCTATCGGATTCTACCCGTCCGAAACGAGATCCTCCTAGGCGTGCTACACTGTGACCTCATTGGTTTCCATACCTACGACTATGCACGGCACTTCCTCAGCAGTTGTTCGCGAATACTAAACCTGACCACCACGCCCAACGGAGTCGAATATGAAGGCAAGATTGTCACGGTTGGTGCTTTTCCTATTGGCATCGACCCGGACAAGTTCACCGAGGGTCTGAAGAAAGAGAAAGTCCAGCAGCGGATTCAGGTCCTGGAAGAAAAGTTCAAGGGCGTCAAATTGATTGTCGGGGTGGATCGCCTGGATTACATCAAGGGCGTCCCTCAGAAACTCCACGCTCTGGAAGTCTTCCTGACGGACCACCCGGAATGGATTGGCAAAGTCGTGTTGGTCCAAGTGGCCGTGCCGAGTAGGCAAGATGTCGAGGAGTATCAAAACCTTCGTGCTGTTGTCAACGAACTTGTCGGAAGAATCAACGGGAAATTCGGTAGGCATTCATGCTTCTTCCGCGTCGCACTTTCGCTAACGAGATTTCAGGCACCGTCGAATTCATGCCCATCCACTTCATGCACAAATCAGTCAACTTCGACGAGCTCCTTGCTTTATATGCTGTCTCGGATGTCTGTCTGGTTTCCTCCACCCGTGACGGCATGAACCTAGTCTCGTTTGAGTATATCGCTTCTCAGGAGAAACGACAAGGCAGTCTCATTCTTTCCGAGTTTGCTGGTGCTGCTCAAAGCTTGAACGGAAGTATATTGGTCAACCCTTGGAACACCGAGGAGCTCGCTGGTGCAATCCAAGAAGCCGTCACCATGAGCGCCGACCATCGGGCCATCAATTATGCCAAGCTGCATAAATACGTGACCAAGTATACCAGGTAAGATATACAACTTTCCCCCAGAGAAGTCCTCAAAGGTTGACTGAGCTTTTGCAGTGCATTTTGGGGACAATCATTCGTCGGCGAGTTGACGAGAATATCAGCCCAAGGAGAGAAGAAATTGAAGCTAAGACGGGCGTCCTTGGTCAAGGCTCCTTCGCAGCAGCCAACATCTTCGCCTGCAGAGGGCGAGCAGTCAGACAAGAAGCAAATTCCTCGACCTCCATCATCTAGCAATCCCGACGGAGCAATTGAGGGCGCCATGGCTTTTAGAGAGAAAGATGGCGTCGCGCCGGAGAGGCTGGAGAAGGAAAAGTCGGCGACGATGTAATTGTCTCGGAGCGACCAAGGCGTGAAGCGATGATACGGTCAAAGGGTAGTATTAGATCATAGAAGCATTGCACGGCTACGCGAGGCGAGGCGCCGGGGCATAGACTGGGTAGTCTTATTTTGGTGAAGATTCATGCTTGCAAGAGCCATGAAGTGTGGTCCTTCTCCTTGGTCTCTCAACATCGCACGGCAAGCTTGAACAGTCAGCCCGTCGCCGGTTGAGCTCAGATGTACGGACTATCTCTCCGTCCACACTCGCGAGAGTCAGACGAAGGCGTGTCAACAGTTCAGCGGTCGAAATGGTGAGCTCTGGCACAAACATGTCTATGTCGAGAAGTACTTTGGTGATACAAGGCTGGGTTCTTCATCGGCATCCTCCCTGTGTCAACCGCTTTCGGTCATTTGTGATGTCTCTTATGCATGCGGCGATGAGGTGTAGCCGTCCAGACGTATCTGTGCCCGTCTCCGTCTGCCTTCGGTCCCAGGGTGGTCTCTGTCCATCCCAGCTCATTCATGACCCCTTCCCGACGCTCTCCGTTCTCCTCGGTCTAGAGTGTACATTTTTTTTTTTTGGTCCCCCCCATTTCTGCTCCTCCCTCACATGGCCGTACCGACTGACTTGTTCTCCGCCTCCTTGGCACCCTTGTTCAGACCCTTCCTCGCCTTCTTGCTCCCGTCCTTGCGGCCCTTTTGCCTGACGGCGATCTTCTTGACCTCGCCCTCGGTGCCCTTCCACCGACCGGGGGCACCGCCCACGACGACCCGACCGGTCCTCTCGGCCAGCGGCGTGCCAAACGGCGTGACGACCTCGCGCACGACGTGGCGCACGCCCAGCTCCTTGACCACGCCGTTCCGGTCGCGCGGCCGGTGTCGCTTGACGACGACCTGTCCCCGACCGTCGCGCCGCTGGCGCCACGCCGGCGGGAAGGGCCCGTACCGGATCACGTCGCCCTCGCGGAGCAGGTTGTGCGCGTCGTGCACCAGCACGTGCGTGCTCCGCGTGTAGTATTTCTGGTATGCGGCGTGGAAGGTCAGCATGTGCCGCGTCGCCCGCACGGTCTTTTGCATCGTGCCCGTGCGGGTGACGGTCGCGATTTGCGTGTGCGACGACGACGTGCGCAGGAAGGAGAGGTCCGAGGCGGGGAGGTCGGAAGGGAGGAGGGCGGCGTCGTAGGACGGGGAGACGACACCTGCTGCTGTTGCTGCTGCTGCTGCAGGGGACGTCTCGGCAACAAGGGACGACGATGGGCGCTGGGAGGATGGTCCCGCGTCTGTCGATGTGCGGCCGAGGATGGTGGCGTCTAGACCTGCCGAAGGGTGCTCATCGTCGTGGTGGCGGTGGTGGTGGTGGTGCTCATCCATCCGTTGGGCCTGGTTGAGGAGGCGTCGTGATGAAAATGCTCTCCTAGTCGTCGCCGTCGTCGTTGTCGTCGCGAGCCGTGCTCCGTGGCGGTAGGCTAACGATCTCGTGCTCGAGCTCGAGCGGAGGCATGACGAAGATGATGCCGTAGCCGTAGCCGTAGCCGTAGCTGTGACTGTGGCCTTTGTCTGTGCATGGACGAATTTCCGAGGTGTTGTTGCTGGTCTCGCGCGACATGCGCGGATGAAGGTCGTGGCTGAGGAGTTCATCTTCGTGGCCGGCTCATCGAGGGTCTAATTCAGGCTGCTTCCTGCGTGCTGATAGTATTCGGACCAAAGGCAGCCTTTTACTGTAGTATGTCGAATGTTTACGAGGTTGTGGAGCGTGCAGGAAAGAGCTCAAGAGGGCGCTCGGGGGAAATTCACAAAATTTACGAGCATTGGGAGTCCGAAGTTGGGAGTTTCACCAGTTTCTATGGTGAAGCTGACGAGCCGCAGTGCAACAAACACTCACTCGCAATGCGCCCTCGGTCATTTTGCTTGCATTACTCGGTCGCGGAGTCGGTCTTTAATGCTACAGAGTCTTTCTTTTTCAACCCTTGCAAACGCATTTTCCAGGTCTGGGCCGCTGTCCGCCACCTCCCAACGCCAGAGCTATGCTGTTTGACAAAGCATCATCATGTCTTGGGGCGCCACTAAGAGGCCCAGACATCCTTGCCAACACCTTCTATCCAGTGGCCCAGGTCATTGACATTGCCGCCCCATTCCTTGAGTCGGTCGAGCATACCCTCGATTTGACTCCGCTCCAACACTTTAGGCTGCACCCAGTTGATCCGCGCCACCTCGGCGACCTGGTCGATCTTGCCTCGTACCAAGCCCAAGCTCAAAGCCTTCATGATCAAGTGCTCGATCTCGTCTGGCTTCACTTTGGTCTCCTGGCTGATGGTCTTGAACGTCATAGCACGGTCATGCGGTGGCCGCTTGAACACCAGTTCCGTCAGTGCCGCCAGATTGATCTTCTGCCACAAGAACTCGCGGTGTGATTCGAGAGTCTGGTCGTTGCCGAGATGATTGGACATGCGATCGAACGTAGCCAGGTCGCCTCTGTTGAAGGCAAAGAGCAGTTCTCTCAGCCATGCATACCCATTCGACAGAGCATTCAGGATGGGGTGCAGCAGCAATTCTCCAAAATTGTAGATCTGATCTGACACCAGCGCCGCGATCGCCAGATTATATGCTCTTTGTTGCCGTTCTTTTTCGGTGAGATCCTTGCTCTCGTCTATGCAAGCAAGGTAGAGGAGGGAGTTCCGGTAGTATGAGGTGTAGTCATTTTCGGCTTGGAAGTAGTCGGCGTTGACCCGATAAAAGGCTGCATGCACGACGTTCTCCACAAAGTCGAACTGGTCTAGGGTCTTCTGTGCTTTATCCAGCTGTTCTCTTGCCTTCGTTCTCTCTGATAGTCTCAGATACACGCTGGCAAGTTCGGTGATGGCGTAGACGTGGGCTTCTTCTGAATCTGGCTTGTCGACTCTTTCGGCGAGCGTCTGTAGGAATTGACTTCGTTCAGTGTCATCTAACGGACAAGTCAGAAAAGCCGCATCTCATGTCAGCCTGTCGGATGTACCTTGGATCTGCGCAGAAGCACCTAGTGCTAGCTTGACAAGTTTGAGCTGGTTGATCTTGTCCGCGAAACTGATGATGAAGGTGTTGTAGATGGGCAGTCGTTGTTTTTCACTTGCTGGGTTTTGGAAGTACTCCAGAAGATTGTCTGTCAGCTGATGCCATAGCTTGCGGTCCCAAAGATCTTCAAAGGTTATGAAGATGTGTTGCAAGTCGTCTGGTGCTTCATCTCGTTGCTCTGCAAGGAAATTGGAGATGGCCTCGGGATCGTGCTTGGACATGATGAGATTTTGCGCAAGGATGACAGTAGCAAAGATAGAAGGTCCACGTGAAAGCTAGGTCCAGGAGGCGAGAAGAAGGCTGGACGGAGGTTGAGAGTGCGAGGCTGATCGCTGTCAATAAATCCCATGCGATATCGAGCAGGCGCAACTGAGCGGCGCGTCAAGTTCACCAGTAAAAGCGGCGACGACCTGAATGGTTCTTGACGCTGGGTTGTGAAATGTTGCGCCGTAGAAAGGAAATGCTTGAATTGCCTGAAACTCGTGTTCTTCCATCCTAGCATTTACTACGACCACCGTATGGCTGAATGCAATTGATGTTACAAGGACGCCGACTTATGGCGTTCGCGATATTGCGTCCCTAGAGCCTTTTCTCGAAGGAACCCTACAATCAGACCTGAGTGATGATCTGGGGCACTTTCTGCGGGTTCAATACTATACCACTGAAACTAACCTCCATAGCAGTACGGAATACTCTGAACCCTCATTTCATTGAGCAGATGACATGCTACAGAGAAAACTATCCCACCGCACCTTAGTGCCACTTCTTTGCTTTCTGCCTCACATACAGTACTAGCCGCAAACGAGAGAGAAGGACCAAACCTCCTCGACATGGAGTCTAGCCCAACTTCAAGTGGTTTCAAAAGGGCAAAAACTCCGCCTTCGAACCATCAACCACTTTGAAGCTGTGGTTTGTTAATGGGTCGAGGGTAAGCGAAAACTTTCTGTTGCGAGCAGGTTTTTTCCGAGTGTCTACAAGGGGTAACAAATCCTATCCTTCAAAGTGCCCATTAACTGTGAAACCAGTTGTGTAGTATGCATTCATGGCCAAGAAGCGGATGACTTTGTCAAGGATTGTTGGCAGAATTTCAGCAGGTGCAATATTCTGATGTGTAGCCTTGTGGAATTTGGAGCGGCTGCTGGTATGGTAGAATTGTGAGCTTTGATTTGGACGAGAGACGCCCTTGCCAATGCATACGGCACCCCCGTCGACCTCCTGGACCTTTCTCTACTCCTTGTCGGCCGTCAGCAGCTTTCCAAAGAACCTCTCTCTATACCCACTGTCCAGGAACTCGACGACTTTCTGAACTATCATCCAATCCTCGGTCACGGTAAGCATAAGATATACTCGTTCGCATACTCTCCCACACCATTGTCTCTGCGGCTCTTCGCTTGGGAGACAACCCTCCGTTTCTCCACATGGACCGTGACACCATCTCCATCAGCACTCTCAAGTGAGAACTTCGAATCAGGGGTAGGGCAGACTGGACGAAAGCTACATGTTCCGTATTGCTGCGGGGCGAAAAGTGCTTTTCATCAGCTGGAAGAGTATACTCGATGCATGATTGACTCCGTACAGATAGGAGAGCGTTAACGGTCCATGTTTTGTAACTTTCAATGCCGCCTGCATCGTTTGAAGGAGTTGAGCACGTATGGTGGTGATATTCTGTCACCCAGATATATGTATCGTTCAATGCGTTCTAGTTTTGCAGATTTGGCGGTTGGCCTGCGACTGGTAGGCGTACATGAGGATCGACATATCAGAGTTGATGGTACGGCTACCCGCTGACTTCGTCTTCATTTAATGGTTCGAGAGACGTCCGACTTTTGTGGGATTCCCTATTCGACCGCTCCACGAAGGCTCGGTCATTGTACAACCGTCGCGGAACGAAAACTAGGTGGACAGCAAGTTGGTGCTGACCTAACATGAAATCGTCGAGCAACTGTTCGGGCAAAATGGCTCATACCATCCTGATCTGGTGGGACGGCTGAGAACGAGGTAATTGCTGTCCAGGCTGCTGAAACAACTTGGAAGCTCTTCTGCGCAGCTACTGCGGAATAGCAAAGAGATGAATGGGCCTACCTCTTGCCTTGGTACATTTTCCAACTTGTATATGAGGTCGAGCCGCTCCCGGACACACACCATTCGTAGTGCAGCCAGACGAAACAGGAGAATCCACTGAGATGACTTCTAAAGCTATCATACTGTACTCTTGGTCGTCTTGGGTGCTAGCCGGACCTGTATCTTCGGACACCAGCCTGGACCTTCGTCGACCAATGAACAGTACCAAACTTCCACAATCAGGGATGTGTGCTGACGGTCTCAGGATCCCCGGAGAGCTTACGGAACATGCTAATGCAGAACGGAGACCTGATACCGGCCCCCACGTACACACCATCAGCATCGGCCAGCTCAATATCCCAGAGCGGCTCTGAGACGACTGCGTCGCCAGCATTACCGTATTCAACAAACATTACCCCGTACCCTGCGGAAGAGCTCTATCATATCGGCTCGAGCATAACTTGGGGTTTCCTCAGAAAGACTACCCATCATCAAGATGCACCTCCCTGACGAGCTTCTCGGGCAGATATTCATGCACGTTGACACGCACGACGTCGACCAGAAATTCCGCCTCTCGCAAGTCTGCTCGCAATGGCGCAAGGCTGCGCTAGGACTGCGCCAGATGTGGAATCGAATGTCCATTATGACACCGCAGGATGGCCACCGTCTACCACTCCTCCTCGAACGGAGCGGGTCCGCAGCCCTTGACGTGGAATTGCTCTGGCAACATCGGTACCAGGAGCCAATGCTCACTTCTTCCGAACGCGTCCTGGCTTCAACCAGCTTGGGCGGCTGTCGGGACCGCCTGCAGCGCCTCTTCGTTGATGTCAACCGGATGGAAACCCAGCAACTATCCCCTCTACTTGCCGCTGGACTGAGCTTTCCCGTCCTCGAGAATCTCGAGATCCAGAGTTCTTACAACCGACCTCAGGCGTTGCGACTCTCATTCCTTGCACCACAACTGAGGCGTCTGCGGTTATACCAAATGGACGCTGTGAATTGGGGCCAGTTGCTTGCGCGGTCGCTAACGCATGTACACCTGGAGAAGTGCTTCGGCGCGGATCTAGACCTTCTTGAGACCATCTTCAAGCAATGTGCCCAATTGCAATCCTTAACCGTTCGCATGTTGGCTTCCCCTGTGGGCTTTTGGGACTTGGAAACACCTGTCGCACAGTTGGTACCTCGTCTCCGAGCTCTGGATCTGAGTGCCGACGTGACGGACCTTATCACAATCCTGCGCACCGGCTTCAGGGGTTTGCTTCTGGATGAGCTGACTACCGAGACATACAATGGCCACATGGACGAAGAAACGACCCAGCTCTTGGCCGAAGTGTTCATGGGTATAGACCCACTACACAGCTTGCAGTGCGTGGACGACCAGGACATGATCCTGCATGACGCCTCAGGGCGGATGCGTCGCATGCGTGTTTGGAATGAAGATTCGAGCTGGATCTGGCCGGACGTGTGGATTGAGCTGGCTGACCGGCACAGGGCCTGCGACACGATGAAGAAGTTCCGCATCCGCTCTTTCGACTGGAACGACCTGGCGGGAGCGTTCAGCGAGCGCCCGCCACTCGCAGAAGATATCGAAGTGCACGTCGATCTGGCCTCCAATGTGATCGATGATCCTTATAACTTCGAGTACGACGATCCACCAGTGCCGGAACTGGAGAAATTCTCAAGAGGTCTGCGCTACCTAAAATGTCAGAAGCTCGGCAGAATCGTGTTCACCGACAACGAGAACTACGAGGGGAACAGCAACATCAACGCCGGCTCGCGTGCCCAGGTCATCCACACGCTACTGGATGCTCTTGTTTGTGAATCACCTGTCGTCGAGGTCTGTCTTTCGCAGGCGGGTCTTGAGAAACCCACCAAACAGCCATACGAGGAGGTCCCAATCGCGATACAAACACTCTTGGACACCAAGGATAAATATGTCCTGTGCCGACACTGCGCCACTGTGCTCTCTGCCAAGCAAATGGCGGATTTGAAGGCTGTTCTGTCGGAACATCAGCTGAAAGCGATTGTGTGAAGCTCAGAGTAACGCGACGCGGCCACCGATGTCCACATGAATAGCATGAACTTATGAACAGTTACCTCAACAGGAACATACAGTCCAGGGTTTGTTTGCATCTGAGAAGCTAAAGCGATCGTAGGTGTGAGGGAATGACATCGCAAAAGTGGGCAGGTGAGACCGTGCCAGTTTTGTTTGACACAATTGGAAGACACTTGTGTGGGCTGACCTCAATGGTCGGTTTCTTTCTGCTGTAGATGGATAGAGAGTCTCCGAGCAGCGTATGTTAGCAACAGCAAAGGTCCAGTAACCTGAAGATAAAGCATCAATTGGAGGCGCCGTCTTGCTAGTACAGTCCTGTTAGCGTCTTCCCAGGCGGAATCCTCACTGGTGCCAAATAAGACCCAAGGAGATCCTCGTAATCGCCACATGGACCCAGGAGTCTCTTGCAATTAACGGGAGCACGGCTACAGTATCAGTGCAGCCAAACTGTGAAGGCGTGGCTAGATAGGTGGCGGCCAACAAATAAAGAGATAGAGACTCTCAAGCAACAAGAGTTCAGTAAAAGCACGCATCATTGTCGATTTCTTCGTGCAACCAACCACTAAATGAGGCGTTGGCAATTACAGAAAGGACGATCCTGGCAAATCCTGGTTAGATAGCAGGCAAGAGAAAGACAGGATCTCTCCACTTGAGGCGCTGTATGATGGTAGGGAGAACGAGGTGAGAGTGCGAAGGTGAGACAAGAGTGAGAGGCCGACGAGTCTCACGTGATCACCTTCGCTTGCCAAGACGTTGGTGGAGCTTCAAGACGACGATGCCATGCCAGTTCGAGTGGAGCTTCGCGAAGTTGACTGCAGTTGACCTCTCTGACTGACGAACGACGAGAACACCCAAGTCCCGCTCATTCTGGCCTCAACCCGACATCTCGCTGCCTGCTGAGGCTCTCTCCCGGGCCCTGCATCTCAAAATGCAGACCTGTCAAGCCACCCTCGCGCTCCGCACAGCTCGCAGCTCACTCAAACCTAAGCCTATCTCCCTGCAACGACGAAGCTACACAGTCCAAGACATCGCCATCACCCGCACGGGCAAGCCCATTATAAAACACCGCGGTGGCAGGTCCTCCCTGGGCGGCCACACAGTCACCGTCTTTGGTGCATATGGCTTCCTGGGCCGATACATAGTGCAGCGCCTGGCTCGTCGAGGATGTCAAGTCGTGGTGCCCTACCGAGATGATATGGCGAAGAGACACCTCAAACTCACGGGCGATCTGGGAAGAGTGTCGTTCATGGAGTTCGACCTGAGAAATACCCAGAGCATCGAGGAGAGCGTGCGGCATTCGGACATTGTCTTCAACCTGATCGGGAAGAACTATCCGACCAAGAATTTCAGTCTCTGGGACGTCAACGTCGAGGGCACGGAGAGAATAGCTGAGGCGGTGGCCAAATATGATGTCGATCGGTTCATCCAGATGTCCAGCTACAACGCGGATGAGAACTCGCCCTCGGAATTCTTCCGGACAAAGGTAGGAGCACCGCGAAATTCCCAGCCAGGCGTAGGGAGACGGCTTGAACTGACGCTTCTGCTGCTAGGCATATGGAGAGAAAGTCGCAAGACAGCTCTTCCCCGAGACCACCATCGTCAGACCGGCGCCTGTTTTCGGCTTCGAAGATTCCCTGCTGCACCGTCTGGCGGGCGTGACGAACCTCCTCACCGTTAACAATATGCAAGAACGCTTCAATCCAGTTCACGTAAGATGATGACCACCACACCCCCCTTGCCTACAGTGCAATGTTGACTCACATGTGGCTAGGCGATCGACATTGGCATGGCTCTCGAACGCATCGGCTACGACGACACCACCGCGGGCGAGACCTTTGAACTCTACGGGCCGACAAACTACTCGATGCGTGAGATTGCCGAACTCGTCGACAAAGAAATCCTCAAGGAACGCCGGCACATCAACGTGCCCAAAGCCCTCCTCAAGCCCATCTTATACTACCTGAACAAAGTCATCTGGTGGCCGATCATCACAGCCGACCAGCTGGAGCAAGAATCCATTGATCAGACGATCGAGAAGGGGGCCAAGACATTCAAGGATCTGGACATCGAGCCCGCCGAGTTGAGGGATCTGACGTACCATTATTTGCAGGACTATCGGAGCAGTAGCTATTATGACTTGCCCCCAGCCACGGCACGGGAGAAGCAGCAGGCAAAGAAGTTTTTGCACGTGATTGACGATCAATAAGCGTGCTGCAGTGGGAAGGGGACATTGCAGGAGAGGGATGGGGGTGTTTCACTACTGAGTGAAAAGAGAGTTAAAGCCAACATCATCGATTGAGGTCGGATCATTGTTGTCGAGATTGTACATACAATGGGGAACCGTAGACAGCAAGTCACCAGACTATCCATCTGCCACTCTGCCTGTCTACTACCTACCTGCCCACCTACCATCAGGACGCCCACCATGAATGCCACCCGTCATCACTTGGGTGCAGTCGACTGGTAGATCGTACTCATCGCCACGAGCTGGTCGCTCACGGGAGTCAGTCATTCTACAGGAGCTGGAAGTCCCATCACCACTACTAACCTCACCATCACGCATACATACACGCATGCACAACACAACAGGCCATGTACCGAGTACATTAAGTATGTATGTGAGTCGCAAAGCAAAAAGGTAAATCATACATACCAAATATCCCTCATTCCGGTGCAACCACCAAACCCCCTTGAAAGAGCTACAATTGATTTAATGTAAATCTTAACATTATCTAGTACCTAGTACGAGGACTCATACGAGTAGTAGCAGTAAGATCAACCTATCCGCCAGAATAGTTTTAGCTACCTACCTGCCTAGCTACCTAGGTAGCCGCTAGACGTAAAACACGGCCCCAAAAATTTTTATTAAAAAAAAAAAATGCACATTAACGTCAGCGATAGGGTTCGAACCTATGCCTCCGAAGAGATGTGATCTCAAAAGGCCGTCGCCGGTCGCACCCCCAAGAGAGCATTCACTTCCTTTAGTAGGGGCGTCTGGTGCGGCAAATTCAAGTCACACGCCTTAACCACTCGGCCACACTGACTTGACTGGGGGGATTCCCTCTTCTTTTTTTCCTGGTCATTTGGAAGAGAATTTGCGGGGCTATTTGTGCTCACTAAATATATATATGGCTCTATATTTTTTCCTTACTCGGCTAGTGTGGTGGGGATGCAGCCGCGTATGCCGAGGTGAGTCCTGTCTGCCATTACTCCGTACTGCACGCAGAATGCCGCCCCTTGTGACCAGTCGGACTCTGTACAGTACTCGCAACGATTTCTGTGTGCTGCGTGATTGCTTGACTGCTGTGGTACGATGTGAACGGTGGTGGTGTAGAGCGTTTCCATCGCGCAGTGGGACCAAGGCAGGACGGATCATATTCATGTCTATCTGTCCGTCTTAAACTCGCTCTGTTTCAACGCGGTCCTAGTAATTGGAACCCATCCCAAGGCTTGCTGGCTGCATATCGAACGAGCACAATCACTCTCACGCTCCATCAACAATGACTCTAGTCTGGCCTTTGCCTTCAATCATTTCTGCTGAGCTGATGCACATGATTGGGTAGCGACGGACCGCAGCTACACCAATAGATCGCACCCATGATCTGGTCCCCCACCTCCGGTTAATTGAGCTATGAAAGATAGTCCTTCATGCCGAAAAGGACGTCTTCATCGGCCAGTGTGCACCTCTCTTTACCATTTTTCCCGTGGCCCGAATCACCGCATAATCTCGTTCCAGATCAAGGCCTTCAATTCCTCCTTGCTCAATTGATCCTTGTTGCGGTCAAAGTCGAAAAACTCCTCGGGAATGGGCTCAGCTGTCGGCTCGTCATCTGGATCATGGTACGGTTCGAGGTATGGGTGCTTCAACGCCTCTTCAACAGTGATTCGCTTTACCGGATTGAACGCAAGCAACCTCTCCAGTAAATCCAAGGCCAAATCCGAAGTCTTGGGGAACAAGTGCTTCAAGGGGATTTTCTTCTTGAAAGGAAGCGAACGGATGTATTCACGCGCACGTCGAGATTTGATGCCGTAGTAGTCCTCCATGGTTGGTGTGCCGAGCACGTCCAGGATGAGGGTGAGCTGATGGTGATCTGAGCAATGATTAGTCTTGACCTGACTTGCACGAATGGGCCGATCTTACAGTCTTTGCCAGGGAACAAGGGCTTGCCGCTCAACATCTCCGCAAGGATACAGCCGACACTCCACACGTCAATGGCTTTCGTGTACTCCTTGAACGTCAGCATGATCTCCGGAGCGCGATACCATCTTGTGGCCACGTATTCAGTCATGAAACCGGAGTTGTCATCTGTGGAGGCAGCGGATCGGGCGAGACCGAAGTCGCAGACCTTGAGGTCACAGTTCGCGTTGAGCAACAGGTTCGAGGGTTTCAGATCCCGGTGGAGGACGTTCGCAGAATGCATAGCTTTGAGGGCCCGAAGAGTTTGGTAGATGAAATACTGGCAGTGATCGTCCGAGAGGTCTTGAGTTCTGATGACGCGGTGCATGTCTGTCTCCATGAGTTCCTAAGACCACATCAGCCATTGCACAGAATCTATACCCGTGGAAATTACCTGAATAAGGTAGACCTCGGAGAAAGTCTCGTAATTTCGTGGCTTCTGAATGTCAAGGATGGAGATGATGTTTTCGTGATTGAAATACCGTAGCAACTTCATCTCTCGTAATGTCCGGAGGCAGAACATGGAGTGGTCGAAAGGAGTGATCTTCTTGATCGCGACTTTCTGGCCGGATGGCTTGTGCAGAGCAGAGCTGTCCGAGAGTCAGATTTGAGCCTCGTAGAAGCTGATAAATCAGTGGCTTACCAGACCACACCATAAGCCCCCTCGCCAATCACATCTTGAATATCGTACTGATCAGAAACGTTGAATGAGATCTTTCTCGAGCCACCCGATGGAGCAGTCTGTTGTTGAGGTTGTCCCATATTGCTTGCTTGTTGAGTATGCCTGGTTCCAGGAAAGATGGCGCGATGAGGTGGGGAAAGATATTCTAGCCTGCGTCCAAAGATCTGACAATATCCAACTGATGCTCTGATCACGAGAAGCGGCTTCGCTCAACTCGGAGGTTGTAGAGATTGAGATGGGTGAACGCAGAAAGATTGCGGGTCGTGGTTTCGGCTTGGTGCGCTCGTATCTGCGACCTGAGGTGCGAGAAGTGCACGATGTGGCAGCTAGAGGCAGATATTCTAGACTGTGTGGCAGAACTGGTGCCGCTTAGTATCGCTGTCGGTCTGCGCCTTCGCTGAGAGCGGATTGAGAATAAAGAGCCTGTGGCTCTTTGTCAGATGCCACGTCCTTTGAGTCGGCGATAGCAAAATGGCTGGAGTAGAGCTCACCGGTCCGGTAGGTTATCTTTGTTCTCGCCTGCGAGTCTCGCACCGCGTTCCTGCGCTATCCTCGGCGGTAACGTACGAAGGGGTCAACTGAGGTGCTGCTGTGGTGTCTGAGATGGTGGGGTAGTCAGGTTGCCGCTGGACTGCGGAGTACAACGGCGCAACTGGAATGAGGGAGGACTTCAACAACGAGAGAAGGACGACGAGCTGGAAAGAAGAATGAGAACGCGGCAGCCACGAGAAGGTGCTTGCAGGTGATGACCAGGTTGGGAATCACACTGTGAGCAGTGAAGCAGCTTCACATTCACACTCCAGGGTCGAATCCCCATCCACCCTGCGGGCCAAATTGAAGGGCGTTTGGATGAATAGGCGCCCGCATTGGCTGGGCTAAGCAAATAATGGCTTCAATGGGTCACCCGCTTAACCACAAGCGGCCTGGTCTGGCCCGGGGCCGCCGTTCTGCGACAGCCCTTGCCCGCCCGCCGCTGTGTTCGAGCTTGTCGGATCAGTGTTTCATCCTTTTATTTGCCGCAAGCATCGTGCTGGAAGCTCAAAATAGCTCCCTGGCTACGCCGGTTGGGCGGGACGAGCCTTGCTATCTAGCCATAGATATCCTGTCCCTGCTTGCCGCCCACGGTGTCGAGGGCAGCCGGACGTTCCCTCTTTTCTTCACGAGTGCTTGCCCGGCCGTGACTCCTGCTCCCTGTGGTTGCCATCGAGAAGGAGCAAGCTTACAGTCGAGACTCGACTCACTTTTCATTGCATGACCTGTTGAGAGTGTCAGCGTCGTGCTCCCTAGCTTTCTCCTGGCCTATGACTGTACCTTTTCGCGCATTCTGCCCATCCACTGCTGCAGGCTGACTCCCTGATCCGCTCGGTCCTCCACGAGCATCGTCTGCGCCCACAGCCTCAGACCAGGTTCGCCATCCTCCTTGACCACGTAGAGGTGCGGCACAATGATGCTGCCCACTCCCTTGGACCTGTGATCGCGGCTCTTAGAGACGACAGCCCTGACTCGCTCGTTGAAATCATTGTCCAACTCTGGCAGGCGTTGCTTGCCGACCTTGAGCTGGCTCTTGTCCGGGACGCCGAAAACGTCGAGCACCAGCTGCGGTACAGCATCTCGCCCAACCCACAGGAACTGCGTCTGGCCATCATCGATCAAGTACAGGCCATAGGGTACAATCCTCTCGGATGACAGGTTGACAGGCGGCGGCAGGATGATTTCGCCTGTCTTCTCGTCCACGGTACCCGCGTCGTCGGGCATATCATGCAGTGAGAACATCTTCGGATAGATGTATTGAATTAGCAGAGGCAACGGTAGAGTTGACAGCAAGCACAACGCTGCAGACCGCATATCGCTCGGTATCTGGGACGACCTCCTAAGTCCCAGATTCTTGGTTAGCGCAAGGAAGAGGACAGGCAGACCACGGAGGTTCGCAGGGAACTGCAAGCCACCGCCGCCCATACTGCCTCCCGCCAGCTCCTTCTTGTAAGTGGCAAGTAGCTCGACCAGCTTGGCTTCAATCATGTCCCGAGCGCTGTCCAGTCCGCCGTTCAGGACTCGTTCTACGGCCTTGTGACTGTAGTATTCAGTAATAGCTTGCTGATCCGCTGAGGCGTAGACGTCGGCCAGTTGTTGTGTTGTCGGCAGCGCCAGCGTCATGACTCGGATTCGTCGCTCGCCATTGCACGTCGTGTGCAAAACAGCAGTCTGCATGCACACCACAGGCTTCGTGATGGTCTCGTCGATGGCAACCTCCACGACATAGCTTTGATCCCTTGGGAACGCTGGGAATGCGCAGAGGTCAGAGCTTCGATTAAAGAAGTTGCCGTAGAAGGTGCTCATTCTCAACCCGGTAGTTGCTCGCACCCGCAGAACGGCCTCAAGCCCGATTTCCGCGGACAGGTAGTCAGAGAACTCTTTGGCAAACTTCATGGCGTCATCTTCCCTTGCAGCATTCCAGCCGGGGTAGAAGTAGGTCTGGCCACCGGTGTATCTGGGCAGATTGCTCAGCGAGGCCACGTCCTGGTACTGCGACGAAAACAGGAACATGTCGACCGAAATTTGCTGTTTGGAGCATTCGACTGCAAAGCTCTTGTAGAAGCTGTTGCCAGTCTGGAGGAGACTGCTCTCTTTAGAGGTGCCCAACAGCTTCTTATCCTCACGCATGTCGAGCTTGCCAGTTCCAATGTTGGGAATCGAAGCGGTGACTACCGTCATCTTCCCACCCACAGGTCCTATCAGCTTGTGCCCTGCTCGAAGTGCCGAGCCCATGGCGGATGCGCCATTCTGGGTGTTTTGAAACATCTCTTGCAGTTTGTCGAGGAAACTCTCAATGTTCTCTCGGCACTCTGTCAAAGTGACCAGCAAATCCGCCGGTGTAGGCAGGAAAGCCTCTTCGAGATCACTTACGACAAGCATGCTAGTCTGGGCATTCTCGGTTCCATCACGGGGAATGTTGAAAAAGTGTAGACTCGAGTCTACAGCTATAAACCCCAGCCGAGTGCGTCGATCGGCATTGGGTATCCGATCCAGGCTCTCTCGAATACACCGTGCTGTCGTCGCCAGGAGGCCACTCGTCACCGCTGCGTAGCTGACGTCCAACAAGAACAAATATACAAGAGGTTGAGGAGGTCGGACCATGTATTCCTGGGGAGCAATAAATTCCACGACCGCGTGGTTGAGATCAGGTC